TAAGGTTAATTGGCAAACTCTTGCTGATTTTAAAAGGAGGCAAGATTTCAGGCCTAGGCTGCAAGCCAAAAACACTGTTGCAATTGAAAAGAATTTTCCAAAACAAGCCTAACTGAGTTAGGAATCTAGGAAAAAAAGGTACTCATTCAATATAAATCTCAGCAGGTGCACGGAATACAAATAGGCTAATCCCACTTTAGAAGAGATGAATTAATCAGTTAAGCACCACATAAAATAATTGGACTCCATCCAGGGGACTGTGCACTTACGGACAATAAAAGCCAGCCAACCAACCAAGACAATCTTCCACTGCATCGATGTAGAGAAACAAGCATTCTGCCCAACTCGTTCTGCAAGGTGGAATTCAGGGCTTGGGAGCCACACAAAATTCTTTAAGGTGCAGCAGGGAACAGAGAAGAACAGCGGGTCTTGATTTTATATCCTTTCAAATGTCATTGTTTTTATTGCTTCCATTTGCCTGGCTACACTTCAACCCCCCTCCTCCCTTTCTTGGTCTATTCGTTCCTCCGTTGCACTTCTCCATCAAGCCAAATCTGTCTCTTAAGTTGCCTGGCTGCATCCTTTTCCCCCTCCTTACTGCTCCCTGTCTTTCAAAACCTTCACCACATGGCATCCATTTTTGACTTAACCTGGGACTATTTTTCAAGGAAACATTTCAACCAGAGGTGGGTAACCTGTGATCTTCTGGACTGCAGCTCCCACATCCTCCCTAACTATTGACAATGATGGCTGGACTGGTGGATGTCCCACAACATCTGAAGACCACAGATGCACTAGATGCACAGATGCACTAGAAGGCAGCTTCCTGTAATTGTCGGAACCAGACAAACAGAGAAAAATATTTAATCAAAATTGGCACATAGGCCCTCTTTCCATAGATGTGTTTATCCTTGTTTTCTATTTTTGTCTTCTGGGCCCTAAATGAACAACTGCTTAAAGTACCAGCTTGTGTTCAAGAAGGATATGACTGGTTAGCCTAAAAGAATATGTAATTTAGAGAGCACCACTTGACTTTAATTTAGATAAACTCCTTCTGCCGGATTATACAGCTGGGCCGGACTGATTGGAAGCTTGCTAAAGAGATTGCGTACCATTCTGCTTTTCTTTAAATCAGCGGAGTTGGGAGTTTTAAAGGAAAAAACATATTTCCATGTTCTACTGCGCAGAAGACAGTGCTTGCATAGGGCTGAAATTTAGTTCAGCAAAAGGAACTTGGAGGTGGGGAAAGGACTGGAAATAATTATTTGAAACCATAACTTCTGTACAGCTGTGAAATACAAATCCTAGAAGGTATTTGCAAGGGAAAGGGCTATATAGGGCCCAGTATCAGAGGATCTGCTTTGCACGCAAAAAGTCCAGGGCTCAATCCCAGGTAGGGCTAAGAAAGATGGCTTCTTGAAATCCCGGAAAGCCACTGCTTGTCACTGTAGGCCACAGTTGGGGAACTTTAGGCTCTCCAGACATTGCTAAACTACAGCTCCCATCAGCCACAGCAAGTATGGCAATGTCTGGAGATGCTGGAAGCTATAGTTCAGCATCAGCTGTAAGGCCAAAAATGCCTCATCTCTGCTGTACACAGTGCTGAGAAAGAGGGACCAATGACTTCCTATAAGACCGCTTCCTATGAAACCTCTGCAAACTGCTTGAGGCTACTCCATTCCAGGTGTGAACATATATCAACATATGAAGTTATGAGGTTAGATCATTGGCTTGTCAGCCTAGGATTGCCTATGTGGCAGCAGTTCTCATAAGCAGAGACCTTTCCTAGCTGTCTTGGCCATGATCCTTTAATGGGGGGCGCCAAGGATCGTGCTGGGGCTTCTTACGTGCAGAATGTACGCTTTGGAGCTGGTTAAAAGGAAGGTGGGCTGGTGTACTTCTTCCAAAAATTGATTGCTGAATTTTGGGACAACTTCCTCTTGGGTCTTGCTGATGCTGCTTCTCCAGTAGAGCCCTGGAGCAGGGCTCCTCGCCCATCAAATCTCAGAGAGTGAGAAGGAATGATATTGACACTGTATGAGGTATGCTAATCCTAGTCTGTGAAGAGCTTTAAAGATTAAAACCAACACAAGGTTGTGGATGCTCTTATCTCCCAGCTCTAGGCCTGGACAGGAAATCCTTATGTTTTGAGACATCTTAAAATAGTCATAAAGATTACGAGGGGATAAACAACAATGACAAGATCCACACTCTACAGTTGCCATGCCCTGTTGCAATTGGAAAATGAAACTTATGACATGCTGATTCAGAGGAAGCCCTGGATTGATCAAACAATTGCTGACTCATCATTAACTCACACCCCAATGGTTAGGGATGGGCACTGCCTCCTTTGTGTCTAACTTTAGCTTATGTTGACCATCTTTGTATCCCCTTGATCGTGGCTTCCAGTTCCAAATACTACTAGTCCAGCAGTGAAACAGCAGCTTTTGACAGTTTGGTCGTGGAAATCTAGCTATGGGTGTTATCCGAATACTTGCAATGCTATGCTACAAAGGGCCAGGTCATCTCTTCCTGCAGATTAGATGTTTTTGGGCTGCAAGTTTTACCATTCCTCCTGACCACTGGCCATTCTGGGTAGGGCAGGCGAGAGCTGGATTCATTTGGAAAGCCAAATGAAAATCCCTGATATTAAACAAAATCCCTGATATTAAACAACACTATCAGGAAAATCCCTGATATTAAACAACACTATTCAACCATTTTTCCCAGTAGTGATGTATGGAAGTGAGAGCTGGCCCATAAAGAAGGCTGATCGCCAAAGAATTGATGCTTTTGAATTATGGTGCTGGAGGAGACTCTTGAGAGTCCAATGGACTGCAAGAAGATCAAACGCATCCATTCTTAAGCAAATCAGCCCTGAGTGGTCACTGGAAGGACAGATCCTGAAGCTGAGACTCCAATAGTTTGGCCACCTCATGAGAAGAGAAGACTCCTTGGAAAAGACCCTGATGTTGGGAAAGATGGAGGGCGCAAGGAGAAGGGGATGACAGAGGACGAGATGGTTGGATAGGGTTCTCGAAGCCACAAACATGAGTCTGACCAAACTGCGGGAGGCAGTGGAAGACAGGAATGCCTGGCGTGCTGTGGTCCATGGGGTCACGAAGAGTCGGACACGACTAAACGACTGAACAACAACAAAAATTGAACCATTAATACAAGTGACAAAGTGGAACCCCACGTAACCCAGCACACCAGCTGCCATGTGGCAGAGTGATTATCCCCAAAGCTATGCAGGGGTTAACAGCACACTGAACAGGAGAGGGGCTTCATCAGTGCTCATTAGACAGCCTTTTCACAATCTGTTTACATAATGGCTTTACATCCTGCGGGAATGAGGAGTTCTTAACAGCCACACAAAATGCTCCCAGAAGCTTAGGAAAGAAAATTAAGACTACCTTATCCACTTGACTTTAGCGGAGAGGGGAACTCAGCAGATTGGAACGCTCCCAGTTAGAACAGTCCAAAGACATTTTAACAAAATGCTGAAAGATCAGGAGGTTTTTATTGTATACTTCACCAGGAAAACCAAAAATGTGCATTGGCTCAGCATCTTACACAACCACAGTAGCAGCACTTCAAGTGCTAAATGAAGGGATGGGGAGGGAACTACCAAAGCAAATAAACAATTTAATTTTCTTCCACACACCATAATTACGCAATGCTTGAACCTGAGGTTTGTTAAATATATTTCTTTCGCGTGAAGGTTTACCTGGTGCCATTAAGTGCCAAACAGCTGAAGGTCAAACCTGTTTGCAAAGCCAAACGTGCATAATAACTTTATTACTCGTGGAGACCTTAGGGAATGATTAACAGAATACCAAAGCCATGTTTTCTACCAATCCTCCACTCAGCAACATTTTTCAAGCTGAATATTTTGTTTCCACGAACAAGGAGCATCTGTTCTGAGACAATATGCTCATGGAACGAGAGCAAACTTTGGGCCTGCGGGGACTCTCAAATGTTGCTAGACTGTTATGTTACCTTAAGCCAGCAACTCCCAAATAGCAGGTAAAGTCTCCCTAGTGGGAACGGGGAGCTTTATGAACTTGTTGGCTATGCTTGGATGTCACAATAAAAGACGGTTTATTATTATGGGAACTCCTAGCTTTCCCGGGCTCCTATACTCCCCCTCCCCTCCTCTGCCGTGGCTATGTAATAATGGAGAATCAGAGAATTGTAGTGTGGGAAGGGACTCTGAGGATCATCTAGTAGTCCAACCTCCTGCAGCTGTCCCATACAGGGGTCGAACCTGCCGCCTTGGCGCTATCAGCACCATGCTCTAACCAACTGAGCTATCCAGGCATAAACTTAATATTAAATTAAAAGTGGGGAGCTTCAAGCAAGGTGGCTGACTGTGGCCCTGCAGGCCTATGTGGCCTCCAAGATTCTTACCCGACCACATCATCATCATCATCAACATCATTTCAATTTATTTCAATTTTGGATTACTGTATTTTAATATTTTGTTGGATGGAAGCTGCCCAGGGTGGCTGGGGAATCCCAGCCAGATGGGCGGGGTATAAATTATTATTATTATTATTAACCTTCATCGAAAGATCCCAGGGTGGTGTACAATGTTAAAAACACATTACAGAACATCAGTGATAAAAACCTAATAACAAGCATACTGACAGGCAGCCGAATAATAAGATAGTCATCATAATAACAGCCCTCTCCACCACACTTTCCCAGGACGTAGATTATTTAATAACCATAAGCCTGGGTAAAGAGGAATGTTTTTGCCTGGCACCTAAAGAAATGTAATGATGGCGCCAGGCGAGCCTCTCTGGGAAGAGCGTTCCGGAATCGGGGAGCCACTACAGAAAAGGCCCGTTCTCTTGTTGCCACCTTCTGAACTTCTCTGGGATGGAGGGACATAGAGAAGGGCCTGAGATGACAAATGCAGGGTCTGGGTCGGTTCCTCTCACTTCCACACCCTGAGGGTCATCTAGTCCAACCCCTTGCAGTGCAGGAGCCTTTTACCCAATGTGGGGCTCAAACCCACAGCCCTGAGATTAAAAATCTCATGCTCTACCGACTGAGCTATAAGGTCTAGCATACTCTGGTTAGGTAAGAGCTACATCCATGACTCTGCCTACTTTTCCCTCTGTCCCCACCCACCATTGGAATGTGGCCCCAGAGAGTTGTCTATAAGGGAATGCAGGCCTCAGGGGTTGAAACAATTTCCTACAGCTGTTCCAAGTTCTGTTTAATTTTTCTTTCATTGCTAATTCCCCTTCTTAGAAACCCGGTCTTTGCTGCAGCACACTGTGACTTTTGATTGAGCCACACATGTATCGTTCAAGGACTGTATATATGCTAGGGCTGCCATACATCTGGGATATCAAGGGTGCAATTGACGTTCAGGGAGGGGGGGATTTCCAAAAGGCGGCGCTTTGTCCTGGATCTTAGGCAAGTCAATCAAAAAATCACAATGAATAATAATAATAATAATAATAATAATAATAATAATTTATTTATTTATACCCCGCCCATCTGGCTGGGTTTCCCCAGGCACTCTGGGCAGCTTCCAACAAAACACTAAAATACAATAACCTATTAAACATTAAAAGCTTCCCTAAACAGGGCTGCCTTCAGAAGGGTTAGCGGAGTCTATAACCTGAAGCATATGTAACCTGAAGCGTATGTAACCCGAGGTACCACTGTAACTATTTGTATACCACTTAACCACAGTCGTCTCTAAGCAGTGTAGTCCAGCCACACTGCATGGCCACAGATGCCCCACCCCTGGTGTATAAGATTGCACCCTAAGGCTCCATCCATCTCCACTGGGGGAGTTGTCCTAACCAGTGCTGGAGCTGTTGGGGCCTCAACACCCTGGAAAGAATTTTGGCTGTCCCTTCTGTGCTCTCTCTCCTCCCTCTACTGAAAAAAGGTAAAGGGACCCCTGACCGTTAGGTCCAGTCGCGGACGACTCTGGGGTTGTGGCGCTCATCTCGCTTTATTGGTCGAGGGAGCCGGCGTACAGCTTCCGGGTCATGTGGCCAGCATGACTAAGCCGCTTCTGGCGAAGCAGAGCAGCGCACGGAAATGCCATTTACCTTCCCGCCGGAGTGGTACCTATTTATCTACTTGCACTTTGACGTGCTTTCGAACTGCTAGGTTGGCAGGAGCTGGGACCAAGCAACGGGAGCTCACCCTATTGTGGGGATTCGAACTGCTGACTTTCTGATCGTCAAGCCCTAGGCTCTGTGGTTTAACCCACAGTGCCACCCGCATCCCTCTCTACTGATGCTTACTCCTTTATCTGCTGGCTTTCTGAGCCAGTAAGTAGATACTAAGATACAGGTAAGTCAGAGGAAGTTTGGCTTGAGGGTATTTCCACAATCTGGAATCAGCCCTGATCCTAATCTTGGAGATTCTGGTCCTGGTCTACATGAATATTCTGAACCTTAAGAAAGGCCTAGCGCTTGAAAGCTAAGCTTTGACGGTGGACTGAACTCCCTCGGGAGGCTGTGGACTCTCCTTCCTTGGAGGTTTTTAAGTAGAGGTTGGATTAAAGCATCTGTCTTGGATGCTTTAGTTGAGATTCCTGCATTGCAGAGGGTTGGGCGAGATGGCTCTTGAGGTCTCTTCCAACTCTACAATTCTGCGATTCTATGACTAAAGCTAATGTGGCAGAACAGGAGGTAGTTTGCCGTAAATGAGGCAAAGGCACAAAGCAGAATGACCACAACTAGAATAATAATAATATAATAATAATTTAATATTTATACTCCACCCATCTGGCTGAGTTTCCCCAGCCACTCTGGGCGGCTCCCAACAAATATTAAAATACAGTGGTCTGTTAATCATTAAAAGCTCCCCTAAACAGGGCTGCCTTCAGATGTCTTCTAAAAGTCAGTTAGTTGTTTATTTCTTTGACATCTGGTGGGAGGGCGTTCCACAGGGCGGGTGCCACTACCGAGCAGGCCCTCTGCCTGGTTCCCTGTAACTTGGCTTCTCGCAGTGAGGGAACCACTAGAAGGCCCTCGGAGCTGGACCTCAGTGTCCAGGCAGAACGATGGGGGTGGAGACACTCCTTTAGGTATACTGGGTGGAGGCCGTTTAGGGCTTTAAAGGTCAGCACCAACACTTTGAATTGTGCTCGGAAACGTACTGGGAGCCAATGCAGATCTCTCGGGACCGGTGTTATGTGGTCTCAGCGGCCGCTCCCAGTCATCAGTCTAGCTGCTGCATTCTGGATTAGTTGTAGTTTCTGGGTCACCTTCAAAGGTAGCCCCACATAGAGCGCATTGCAGTAATCCAAGTGAGAGATAACTAGAGCATGCTTGACACAATTTAAGGAAGTTGCTGGCCCAAGATCTGATGGTGGCAGGTGGCTTTCTCTCAAGTGGCTATACTACCTCCAGAATCAGAGGCAGCATTCATCTGAATACCAGTTTGCTAGGAAACAAGTGGGGAAGAGGGCTATTGGCTTCATATTTTGCTTGCCAGGCTTCCCATAAGAATCTGGCCCGCCACTGTTCAAAACAAGATGCTGAATGAGACGCATCTTTAGTCTGATCCAGCAAGACCTATGACTTGCGTTCTTTGCAGACCTACAAGACTTGGTTCCCAAAAGGGTTTCCGTGGTGATTTTTTGATCGTTTAGTTCTCCTTTTTTAGTTGTTATATTAGCTATGTTCATCTGATTTTATGGTATTTTCTAAGCTGCCACTGTACATAAAATATTTTAAATGATTAGTTGCAAAGGTTGTAGTGGCATTTTTAAGCTGGGAGTGCTGTTCTTTTTGGCTCTGTTGGAACACGAGGATGCAGCCTCCCTGCAATTAAAATTTCAGAAGTATTCAGGACTACGGGACACACTCAAGTAGTATAAGTTGTAGCACTTGTAGACACAAGTTGAGGAGTAAATCCAATAAAGGTATGAACAGATTTAATAGCCCAACACATGTGAATCCCTCAAGTTACTAGAGTAATGTTGCTATCATTGTGTGGCCCTTTCAGAAATTTATTTGGAACTGCTTACCTCTCTGAATGTGGGTTTGCTTCTCTGAATTATCCTACTTTTACCTGAATCAGGAAACAGCCCTTTCTCTGAGCAGGCAGTAGCTAGAAAAAGTTTAGCAGCAGCAAACCAGAATCTACAGTGAAATAAACGAAGCCCAGTTATGTAACATGGGGCCAAATAATGACTACCTTCGTGTAGAATTCATTTGTGTCAAAAATGATAGATGGAAAGCAAACAGGGAAGGCCAATCCACTTTAGTGACTACAAGTTAGAAAGGTCTCAATTTGCCACAATTAGAATTCCTGAATTTCTAGTTCTCAGAAGCTGCTCGTAAAGCCTCGCTGCCTTTCTGTTTTTGTTTTAAACTTCCTGTTAATTGCTAGAGCTTTCTGCTATACGATGAAGAGGTTTCTTGAGGATTAACTACTAATATTTAATTTCTCCCATCTGCCAACTTTGTAATCAGCAAATCAAAGCTCAGGGGAAATCTCCAATCTTGCTAGCTTCCGTTTGAACAGATTTCCAAACTTTCAGGACTACAGCAACGCAGCTTTTACAGGCAGGCTTCCTCTTATTCACTGAATTTCACTTCAGGCACCAGCTGATATGAGATCATACAGAGGCGACACCTGGGTCTGACGTTCAGTATTTGTTGCTTTGTGACTAAACCAGCACCGCAAAATTCCAGCGAACAGGAATGGAAACAATCCAGAATTCATCGTCATATCCTAGTTTACATGGCACAGAGTCAAACCTGGATTCTGCCAGTATTTAATCAGTTCCAAGGAACCACTGATGTTTTGGTTCTCTCCTTTAAATAGCATCCTTCCTCTATTTTCCTTACATTTCATTGCAAAACACCTTTGAAACTAAGAGAAGTTTGCCTCATGAAATGGAGGAACAGTCAACTTGGGTACAAGTCTTTGGATTAATCTGAAATGGTCCCTCAGCTAAATACATACATTTTATGGAAAGTGTTCCAATAACATCTATTCACCAGGATTTATGGAATTTAGCAGATTCCATAGGTAAAAGTAAATAAAGGTACCCCTGCCTGTACAGGCCAGTCGTGTCCGACTCTAGGGTCGTGCGCCCATCTCACTCTAGAGGCCGGGGGCCAGCACTGTCCAGAGACATTCCGGGTCACGTGGCCAGCGTGACGAAGCTGCTCTGGCGGCCGGCACCAGCGCAGCACACGGAAACGCGGTTTACCTTCCCGCTAGAAAGCGGTACCTATTTATCTACTTGCACTTTAGGGGTGCTTTCAAACTGCTAGGTGGGCAGGAGCTGGGACTGAAGACGGGAGCTCACCCCGCCGCGGGGATTCGAACCGCCGACCATGCGATCGGCAAGCCCTAGGCGCTGAGGTTTTACCCACAGCACCACCCGCGTCCCTAGCAGCTTCCATAGTGGCAGCAATATTTTGTTTCATGGGACAACTGAAGCCACGGATTCAATCATAGATCTCCAATTATTCTAGTTGCCTTTTATCATAGATGTGTCATGGTAATAGATACCCAAGCACGTGCTAGCAATAAGCCAGTTAAAATAAATTAGCACTAAATGCAAGAGAGCCTGCTTAGTTTTCAGGCATTTAAAAATGCACACAGGTCAAGAGAGCATGAGGTTTCTGCACGCATTCAAGCGCTTGATTGGGCATGGGAGGTCTAAGGCGGAAGTTAAAATAAATTTGACCTTTGTTGCAACCTGATAGGTATGGTGTTGTTTTTTCAAATTGAGAATCCTAGCTGGCCTCAGCCTCACCTCTGACCTGCAATATTAACAGTGGACTTACATTGCAGGGCTGCTGTAAGATATTCTCTCAGCACAGCCCCTCCACACTGCAAAAGGGATAAAACAAGTTAACTACACCACATGCTTAGAATCATAGAGTTGGGACAAGGGTCATGTAGTCCAACCCCCTGCAATGAATGAGGTTTGAACCCACAACTCTGAGATTACGAGTCCGATGCCCTAACAACTGGCTATCCCAGCTTGTTGTATACTAACTGCAGCCCAACCTGCAATTTGGAAATAAAAGCAATGCTTAACACTGCAGGGTTGTTGTACACTCTCAGCTTCGGCCCAATTCCCAATGTGCAATAAGGATTTAATATCACTAACTGAAAACCCTGACCTGCAGTATGCAGTCTTAACCAGTCTAAGGCTGCATAAACCATTCTCTCCAGCCACAACCTCTATGGGGACAATGAACTACATTCGCTTTGGAATTTGTATTAGCAGGGTGGTTGTTGTTGTTTTTAAATCACAGTAAATATGCACCAAGAAGTAGCAGCAAACATTTTCTGCTCTCTTTGGCAGGTTTGTGAGGTGAGATAAACACAGTAGTGCCCAACTGCAGTTGCAATAAAATCAAGTCACTCCAGTCCATTCATGTTCTAATTCAATATTCTGATGTTTTCCCAAACAACCAGTCCATGCTCAGTCCTCATTGGGCTGTTTTTGGCGATTTGCTCTCACCTGACTTTTATTCTTTTTTTTGGGGGGGGGGGCGCGTTTCAGGTATTCGTATCTCTGCAAATCTCAGGGATCCCTGGAGTGCACGCTATTTCTGGCGCTCTTCTGACCCAGAAGTCAGTCCCTGCGGCAGAAAAAAAATGGCGCCGCAGGGGGGGAAAGCACAGAATCCCCCCCCCGATCCACAAAACAGCTGTGGGCCAGTTCCAGGAAGCTCCCTGGGCCAGAACTGGCCCATGGGCCTTAGGTTGCTGACCTCTGATCAAGAGTATAAAGTAACAGTCTAAAGAATGGAACAGAAGAAAGTGTGAAACCACTTGAACAAATGGCAAATTCACATTTGGGATAGCACAAGTTTGGGATAGCACCACTTGCCACTCTGTACACTAGTAGTAGGGAACCTGTCAGACTCCCAACTCCTATCAGCTCCAGCCAGCATAGCCAATTGTGAGAGATGAGAGTTCTAGTCCACAGCAGCAGGAGGGCCACAGGTTCTCCACTCATGTCCTAAGATGTTCAGAGACCTTTCTCCAGGTTCCCCTACCTTCTGAGGTATTGCAAAAGTAATAGTTGTGGAATGCTCTCCCCTGGTGAGATTTAGCTGGCACCTACACTGATGACATTTCAGCACCAAGCAAATGTCTTTTATTTTCTCAGACCCTTTGATTTGTTTTCTCTTGGCTGGCAGTTTCTTATGCCGTTTTTACAGATCCTGCTTTTTTTAGCGTTTTTGTTGGCTGTCAGCCTTTTTATATTCTGAAATTCTGTAAGCTGCCCTGGGAATCTGACTGAAGGCTGTGGTTTAAGGCTGTGGTTTAAACCCATATAATAGATGCCAGGCATATTATTATGTGTTATGTCAACATACTAATGCCCTACTCTGCTATTGTGTTGTACTGCAGAGTTGAAATGCAGAATATAATAAGTAGAAATAAATAAAAGTCACACATAATAAGAGATTTTGATCATATTTGGAAGTGGCATGTGATTAAGGTAATACAAATTGCACTAATAATAGACAGCACATTTACTGAGCAACACATTTATTCAGTCCATGGCAGATTACCACTGTGCTAATGCTGTACACAATTAATTTTCCACGGTGGCAGTTTGCTTCATCTACAGTCAGGATGGCGGTTCAAATTCATACTGAAGAACATTTAATGGTGGCCAGAAGAGGATTCTGAAACAACACACACAGACAAACTCAATTGATTGAGCAATTTTCAGGAAGCCATTTGCATTCAACTTCTACGCTGTCATGTTTAGCCACTTTATAAGGACTGAAAAATATTGCAGATCAAGTAGTGGAACACATTCTACCGTCCCCATCAACCTGGTGTGAACACATCTGAAACCTGGCAACACCTTTAGAAAGTGTGTTAGTGAGTTTTCTCCAACAACGTTTCCCCTTTGTTAGTTATGTTTAGGAGAAACCAATACTTTTAATGACTATATTGGTAAAAGGATACTTAAGTTCATCTATTTTTTTAAATCAAAACGCGCAGTACGCTAAAATCTAGGTAGACAAGCAGCACAATTCTATGCATGACTACTGAGTACAAGGAGCCTTACTTTCTAGCAAGTGTCTTTAAGATTAGTCTGAGAGCCCCTTTGCTGTGCTGATGCAATCTCCACCCTAGTGACAACAAGCAAACACTAACTAGAGCAGTTGCAACACTTCTCAGAGAAGAAATGGGATGCCGCAGTTCAGTGGCTTCTAGCAAGGAGACACTGCTGATGCCCTCAGCAGTTGGGCAGCTGTTGCACAAGCTATGGCCTCTGCAGCACTCAAGAGCACAGATATACCTGAAGTTTGTAAGGGACATCAGTTTTGTTGATCTGGCACAGACAGTGACTACTTATTTATTTTAATACCAATTAGGTTCTAGCTGGCTGGATGATGAAATATAACAGCATGTAGGTTTGGTTTTAAAATATTATGGGCAAATGCCTGCAATATACAGTAGTTGGTTATAAATGATTTTTATTCAGAACATTTCAGAAGTGGCAGCAGCAATTTCAGAGTTTTGTACACACCCTCAGCATCAATGATTGGGAACTATTTTACAATTTTTTGGAGCTATTTCAAGCTCTGTCTTGACTAATTAAACATTTTGCAAAAGAAAAGCTGTCAGTACTTACTATTTTCCAGTGACTTTTTTTTACCTAAGAAAATGAAGAAATTAATTAGAAAACTACTAATTAACAGTTCTCGTCAAATTTAGGCACAATGAAAAAGCCAGATTTAACCCATGTTTTAAACATGACTACTACATCTACATCAGAGGTCAAAATTCAAGACTACCCAGTTTACCAGTTTCTAATCATTCTTAAGTGAGGCAATTCTACACCTGAGGTTTTTATTAAGGCTGAAGTCCTATGCAGTGGCCTGGGGATAAATCTCCATGAGTTTGGGATAGTCTTCACAGTAAACATGGATAGGATTGAGATGCACAACATTTACACTACTTATTGGAAAGGGATAGTAAGAAAATACTGCTGTGCAACTTGGTAAATATGGGCCATACAATAAGGGACTAGTCAAACTAATTTGTACTGGCACATGTACCTGAATAAATCATGAAAGTAATCCAAGACAGAAGTGTGGGAATCTGTTAATCTTTTACAAGAAGGATCCAAGATTTATCCTGGGCCTACCATAGTGTTCCACAGACCAAATGGAATGTGTACCTTTCATTGAAGCTGTTTTGATTAAATCAAGCTTAAAAAAAAAAAGAACTCAAAAAAAGAATAATAATAATAAAAATTCACATAGAATTTCTTATTTGAAGTTAGGCCCTAGTTAAGGATGGCACCTCTTAGAATATTGAGAATTTTGCTATTAATATTATAGTTTATACAAGTTGTAGCTTGCTATTTTGCATTCAAATGAATGAAAGCTACTTCTGTATATTTTTTTTACATATAACCATAAACATAATCCATTTTTTGTTTTGATTCAGTAGCTCACTATCATTATAGTTCTGTTGGGCTAATGTCCTCCCCAAGCCAATTTTAGCTGACACCTATAATTGCAACTTTAGAAGAGAAACGCACAAAACGTACCTCCATAGGAGATTTTGTAAAAGATGAGGCTGGTTAAGAGGGCACCAACCCATAGTTCTTGGTGAACTTGAGTATGGTAAATCTTTTGCATGTCCCACCATCTTGTCAAAGCACTCTTAAACATCTGTAAGTTGGAACAGAATGGCAGTCTTAGTATTTTGAAGTTAGCAAATGTCTAACATTAAGGATATAGTTGTTGTTTTTGAAAAAAAGGAGTGGGGAACCTGTGGCCGTCCTTATGTTGCTACCAACTCCTACCATTCCTCACCATTGGTTATGCTGGCTGGGACTAATGGGAGTTAGGTTCCAACAATACCTGAAGGGCCACAGGTTCCCCATCCCTGAGTTACAGGCATAGGTCTCATTACAGATACAGTGGTACCTCGGGTTACAAATGCTTCAGGCTATAAACTCCGCTAACCCGGAAGTATTGTATATGTAAGTATTGGAGCTCCAATACTTTGGCCACCTCATGAGAAGAGAAGACTCCCTGGAAAAGATCCTGAAGTTGGGAAAGACCGAGGGCACAAGGAGAAGGGGACGACGGAGGACGAGATGGTTGAACAGTGTTCTCGATGCTACCAGCATGAGTTTGACCAAGTTGCGGGAGGCAGTGGAAGACAGGAGTGCCTGGCGTGCTCTGGTCCATGGGGTCATGAAGAGTCGGACACGACTAAGCAACAACAACCCGGAAGTAGTTGCTCCAGGTTGCGAACTTTGCCCCAGGATGAGAACGGAAATTGCGTGCTGGTGGCGCAGCGACAGCGGGAGTCCCCATTAGTGAAAGTGCACCTTGGGTTAAGAAAAGCTTCTGGTTAAGAACTGACCTCCGGAACAAATTAAGTTTGTAACCCGAAGTACCACTATACTTAAAATCAAGAGAATGCTTAGCAACATGCCCAACTCCAACCAATGTTTAATTGCATTTTTTTTTTGGTAATGTGTTACCTTCAATATGGTCTTTTTAACTCCAAGGCATATGGCAAAATTCCCCAACCTGGTGCCCTCTAGATGTTTTGGAGTACAACTTCCCAACTAACGGGCAGCTCCAACTACCACAGGGCAGGCTTAAAAACTTTTGCTTAAGAGTTCAGTCACTACAACATTTAGAGGTGTGAGATAGCTTTAATCAAAATGTGGAATGATTCTCAAGAGCAGATTATGCCAGTGAACATGGTCATATGATTTTGACCACAGATGATAATGCAGGAATTCTACCAATGGCTGTCAAATGCCTCTTCAATGCTGTTTGCTCATCTGACATATTCTGAGGTGTCATCTTTTTAGACAGGAAAAGTCAACATGAAGAAAATGGTCTAATATACAGATATCATGCACACTTGAAATGTCAAAATAAATTTGCCGTGTTGTTAATTGGCCTAGTGGGAATATCTCTCACTGATTCTGAAAGCTCTTTGCCAGTCCATTTCTAGGCATAATTGCTTTTGTTTACCTTTAAAGCCCTCACACAACTTGAGCCCTAGATAACTGAAGGAGTGATGGACGGACTGCACACTAAGATCATTGCTGGACGCCCTTCTCTGAGGTCAGAGCACCAAGAGATGAGACAGGTGGCAACTGTTGATGGATGCAATCCTATATTCACTATCATGAGAGTAAGCCCCCCTGACTTGACTTTCTAACTTCTGGGCAGCCGGAACAACTTCTACCATCTCTTCCTGCTCTGCAAATTGCTGCTGCTGTCTCTGCAAGAAAAGTGAAATGCTGGGCCATCTCTGGAGAAGGACCCACCCACCACTTGATTTATGGTAACTGAGCCGACCTTGACGTAGGACTTCTGAGTTGAGTGGGAAGGAGGAGGTTTTCAGATACTTCGGGCGTAAGCCACGTTAGGGCTAGGCAGCTTTCCTCAATATTGGGGCCTCACATATTGGGACTACAATTCCCATCATTCCAAGCCATCACGTCCAGGGATGATGGGAGTTGTAGTTCAAGAACATCTGGGGACCCAACATTGAGAATACAGTCATACCTCGGGTTACAGATGCTTCAGGTAGCGTTTTTTCAGGTTACGGATGCTCCGAAACCTGGAAGTACCGGAACAGGTTACTTTCAGGTTTCAGAGGTCGCACATACGCAGAAGCGCTAAACTGTGCATGCACAGAAGCGCCGAATTGCAACCCGCGCGTGCACAGACGTGCTGCTGTGGGTTGCGAACGTGCATCCCGCACGGATCATGTTCGCAACCCGAGTGTCCACTGCATATATAAAACACACTCACTCACTCACTTTAAAAGAAGCAAGCCTTATGTTGCCCACCTCCCTTAGGAAGAATGCCTCACAGTGGATCAGACTCCCTCAGGAGGTGGTGACCTCTCCTTCCTTGGAGGTTTTTAAGCAGAGGTTGGGTGGTCATCTGTCATGGCTGTTTGAGATTCCTGCTTTGCAAGGAGGTTGGGCTAGTTGACCCTTGGGGGTCCCTCCCAAATCTACAATGACAAGAGCTGTTCAGCAGTGCAAGGTGGGGGGTGGACTCTCGTTCACCGGAGATTTTTGATTTTTTACACAGTGGGTTGAATAGCCATCTGTCAGGGATCCTTCAGCTGCGATTCCTGCACCGCAGCGGGGGTTGGACTAGATGACCCTCGGGAGTCCCTCTCATCTCCACGATTCCGGGATTGAGTCTCAGACCGGCCTCACCCGCCAAGCCAGCTTCTGCGGCTGACCCCTTGGGCTTGGCTCCTGAGTTTAAGTCTCTCTCTCTCTCCACACTCCCTCACGGTCCCGTAGCCAAGGCAACCCCGTTCGCCCTTCCGCAAGGCCGCCGGGCGGCCACCAAGGCGCGGGGACGAAGGCCCTCGACGCCGCCTCCGCCGCCGGGAGAACAGGGCAAAGCCTTCCGAAGGCTCGGAGCAAAAGGCCGGGCCTACCTCGAAGCCTGTGACACGACAAAGGAGGACGGCGAAGGCGAAGGTCACAAAGCTGCCGCCACCGGGACCGCCACCGCCGACCGTCGCAAGGCCTGCCGGGAGAAGAACGAGGCCTGCCTAGAGCGCCTCTTCGTCCGCTTCCTTCCGCTCGCAGCGCCCCCTACCCTGGAGGAGCTCGCACGACAGCCGCCGCTTTCGCCTGCCCTACCCGGTGGTGGACTGCACGTTGTGATAGGGATGATTCGCGTGGCCCAAGCTTTTATTTTATTTTATATGTCGCTTGACTGTGGGGGGGGGGGGACCTCGAAGCGGTTGCGCAAGGCAAATTTACAGCCATAAATTTACAAACACGATTGCAGAAAGTTTTGCTTTGAAGCTGCCGCTCCCACCGATTTCAATCTACTGCATCCAGATATTAAAAACTGCGCTTTTACGCGAGCCGGATTTGCGAGCAGAGCCCATTGCATTGAGCAAGACTAGGAGCAGCATTAAAAAAAATAATCGCCTGGACAAGAGTTCCTAGGATAGGAATTAATTCCTGCGCCGCTCAAGCTTTCCCCGGTCGCTCAGGATTCAGCTCGAAAGGTCTCAAATCGTGTTCGCTTTCAAATCAGAGCCAGATCTATGTACATGGTTACTGGGAAATAAATCCAGTGGGGCTTGCTCCTAAGTAAGATTGCAATCTTACTCAGCGTGAGGATGAAGCCTATTAAATTCCGCGGGATTTTTCTTCTGATAATGCATTGGATCGGGCTGCATTAAAACCTCTTTAAAACAAACCAACAACAACCCCGCATCTGTTTGAACCATTAAGACCCGCATGTTTGGAAGACATCACTGTGCAACATGGGAATAAAATAAGTCCCACTGAATTCAGCAAAACTTCCCTCGGAATAGGGTTGCATGGATTGGGGCAGTTCGACGTGCGATCCACATGCTTCTTAATTTAAGCGTCTTAAACCTGCTTGCCCAGGCTGTCATTTTTTAATTTTTCACCGCAAGCGCTTGTCTCCTCCCAATAGCAAAAGCAGCATAGGTTACCGGTGCGGCAGGTTCTCCAAGGAGCTCAAGGTGGCGCACGTAGTTTTAATTTTAATCCCTCACACCAACCTTGTGAGGTAGGTTAGACTGAGAGGCAGTGGCTGGCCCCACGTGATCCAGTGAGCTTGACACGTGTACTGTAAACAGGCACAGCTGCTGAAATTCTACTTCTCTTCCAGCCGCTCAGTAATTATTTTGCTGAAGTTATTTGAGGATGATCGCAAATCCAGGTTGTTGAGAATGGATTTGAAGTACATACCAGGCAGCTGCATTAGTAGGAGCCATTGGGCACAGTGGGACCTACTTCTGAGCAAACATACACCTATATTTCTTTATTTTTACCTGTATATCCTCAAGCAGGTGTATGAGATTTCCCTCCTGCCGTTTTATATTCGCGACAGCCCTGCGTGGTAGGCTAGGCTGAGAAAGAAGTGCCTGGCCTAAGATCACCCAACGAGCATCATTGCTGATTTTTTTGGTGGGGGGCGGGTTTCCTTGAACCTGGGTGGGTCTTCCCCATCTGTAGTCCGATGCTGTAACCGCTGTACCACACTGCACAGGATGGCGCTGTTTGTGGGCTAAACTGGACTGCCGCCTGCCTGCCGTAGAACAATTGCTAACCTCATTGTAACTAAAAAAGTGCGTATGAAGTGCATGTTTTCCCTCCAGCAGAGTGGCTTATTATGGTATGCACTTTTGTGTTTTTATATTGTAAACCGTCCTGTAATATTTGGAAGAAGGGCAGTATTGAAATTTAATAATAATAATATATCCATCCATACTGGGCAGCAGCAAAAAAATAAACAGTACAAATGTTTGGGTAGAAACTCCTCGGTGCAGCCCAAGCAACCTGACAGGATGCAAATCGTCTCCTCTCGGATGATCAGATTGTCATTTAATTAGCTGGAAGAATGAAAGAGATCCTTGGAGATCAGCTGTACAAGAGTGCAAAGTGGTCGCCGCTGCATTGCTGTGTGCGGCAACCTCCACTCCCAAAAAGACTAGTCGCCCCCTTTACCCTGCAGTAAGGTAGATTACATTTTTATTTAGAATTGCGAAAGAAAAGAGTAAAAGCGAGCCGACCCCGTTCTCTAGGCACGTTTACTCGTGGGTGGAAGAAAAACCGACGAGATAACTGCATTTTGCGCGATCGACGACAGAAGTATAGATAAACCGTATATTGTGGGTTTTATCTATCAGCCTTTCTCATCGACCTTGCGCCCCCCGCCGAAGTTGTTGGACTACAATTCCCATAATCCCTGACCACTGCTCCTTCTAGCTAGGCATTGATGGGAGTTGTAGTCCAACAAACACACCCTTAGCTCTTTGCAGCGCAGTTTCCAATTTAGGGAGGAAAGAGCAGCCGGTAGCAAAAACACGAAAATTCACCGGATGGTTTTAAGCATGTGCGAGTAAAGGATGCAGGTCTTTCTCTAATATACACACATCCCATTTCACACTGCAGGGCTTACATTCGGGTAAAGGTGCGGAAAGCAGATTGCACCGCAAGTTTGCTTGCAGGCCTAAACGCGCCTGAGTTGAAGTTGGACTTCGGATTCAAACGGGCTTGTGCGGTTCTTACGCACGTGCGCCGCGCGCGCCTAAACTGGGCGCAAGCCCCGTTTGAACGCGGCGGCAGTTACTTCTGAGTAGATGCGTAGGAGAGCTCTGCACCGGAAGCCACGCCCATTCAAGAGGAGTCGCAGAATTCTGCCTGCGGAATGTTTAGCACGTGGCTGTGGGTGGCGCCTAGCAATTAACCTGGGTTCTTAGGGGGCGCTGGCCCTGCTGGGTTGTCTTGGCTTGGCGAGGGGGCAGAGATGTTGCGAAAGCTCACTTTGGACCAGATCAGCGACTGGTTCACCATCGGCAAGGCAGTCAGCGGAGTAGAGTTCTTGGGGGGGCAGCCCCAGGCTGGTGGACCGGCTCACAGCCCGGGGGGGTCTGCGAAAGAGCAGGCCCCTTCTGCCAATGCGTATGTATTTCTGCGGGACAGCTTGTTGCTCACCGTTATTTGTTTATATATTTTTTTGGATGCTTTACTGAAAAATGAAAAAAAAGCACAAAACGACACGTGCACAGAGTAAGATAAGACACAAACAGTACCCACGTAGAAAACAAAAAGGAAAAAATAATAGTATTGTGTACATTACACAAAAAAAAGAGGGGGGAAGCTTGTTATTGTAGTTAACCAGATCGTAATCTAATTTGCCGTTATTTATTTTAAAAAGTTTAGCAACTTTCTCCAAAGGAGCCCAGGGATATATATGGGGAGGGGGGGTTTACTGGTTTGTTTTGTTCTTGTCTTTATTATGTACTGTTTTTTGTGGTTTTATTCTGTGTTTTTATGCTGTGAACTGCCCTGAGGTTTTTTTGATGAAGGGTGGCATACAAATTTAATAAACAGGATTTGTAGATTGCTGTTCCATTGAATGGTGGAAATAGTAACCTTGGGAAGAAATAGAGCTGCATAATGCACTCACCCCAAACCTAATTAGTAGAGTACATTAATCCCTGAGAAGAGTTGGGGCCTTGCAGGCTAACCTGCACAATCTATATTTATTGCTTACCGCATCACAGGGCAGTTAACAATATAAAAACACAACAATGTGTAACCTAGTGAAAACAATACCCACCCCAAGGTTAAAATGCCTTAGATTACAGTGGTACCTTGGGTTACATACGCGTCAGGTTAAAGACTCCGCTAACCCAGAAATATTACCTCTGGTTAAGAACTTTACCTCAGGATGAGAACAGAAATCGTGCTCCGGCGGCACGGCAGCAGCAGGAGGCCCCATTAGCTAAAGTGGTGCTTCAGGTTAAGAACAGTTTCAGGTTAAGAAAGGACCTCCGGAATGAATTAAGTACTTAACCCAAGGTACCACTGTATTTAATTTGTCCAAAGGAAAAATATGCCTTTTTCCAATAAAACATTCCATGCAGCTGATGAAGTGGTCTCTTCGGGACTGCTTTGTAATGAAAAATAGGCTGTACATCACAATCCTGTATGTGCTTACTCAAGAAGTAAGTGCCGTGGAGTTCACAGGGGCCTTACTCCCAGGTAGGTGTGTGTGCTTTTGTTGTGAAGATTATTTGTTCCTCATTGCAGGCAGATGTTTGTAGCTCCAGGAGACTGGAGGAAAGTAAGTGAAGCCCACTGTCCAAGAGAAATAGCCTCTTAGGAATACTCAGTCTAAAAAGACATTTGAGGCCCCAGAGTGTATGTTATGTGTTTCGTTAGAAACAGAAGGGGGAAAGGGGGAGTATTTTAGGGGTATGATCCCACCTCAGTCACAGTCACCTGGAAAAGCAGGTGGTTGAAGGTGACTACCTGGCATGGGCATAGCTAGGATTTTTGTTGCGGGGTGCAGGCCTTTTGTTGGGGGCAGAACCTCAATTATATATTTTTGATTTTTATTCATGGGGCAGCTGCCCCTTCCTGCCCCACTCCCACTATGCCCATGCTACCTGGTAATGTGTTAACTACTGTTTGTGAACTTCTTGAAGGCATCTCTTTGGCCCCTGTGAGAGAGGATGCTGGACTAGATGAGCTTTTGATAGGATCTCTTAGGTATTGATTTGATGGATTGTTTGATTTCCAAGCTAATCGTGTTACCACCAGGTGATCAACACTTCACTTGCCCACTTTGGCCCTGCAGGCAGTTTTTGGAATGAAAGCAAAAGCTAACGTACAATAATCTAAAAACAGCAGCAACAACACAGGAATCGATAAAATTAAAATCTAAGCTGTATAAATTAGAATTACAATTCAAAATTTCAAAACCAGGAATCTTTCAGCGGCATATATTTTAAAATATCAGCGGGTAAGGTATGTCTTGGTCAAGTAAAACCTGACAGGTGTGCGCTCTCTCTCAAAAGTCACAAGACTGATTTATAAAGCCACTTTTCCTTTATGTATTGATGGTTGACTCCTCTGCGGGAGGGATGAGTTCTTTGGGACAGGACTGGACAGGCACGGCTTTGCAGGAATCAGAATGGCTGCATATCTGTGCAAAATCTAGAACCATGTTATTCAAACGATGGGCCTTGGGCCACTTACAGGCAGGCCTCAGGGCCACAGGCTCTTCAGTTCCTTCTCTCTTGCCTGCCCAGCCCCTTAATTATGTCATAGCTTTTTTGGTTAGGCTGGTGCCTGCACCAACAACTCCTTGCCTTCAGAGTCAAGATGGCTGGGAGATGTTCAGGGGCAAAAGGAAGGAAGGAAGGTCTCTCTCCTAAGTGGGGAAAAAGCTCGAGGAGGAAGTGAAGGAAATTAGAATGTGAGAGAAAAGTTTTCATATTTATTAATAATAACAATAGACTGGAAACCAAAAGGGATTGGATAGAGCAGAAATGTAATGGGATCATGGAGGAGGGATGATGGAATAAATGGGAGTTTTGAAGGCAGGGAATAAGGTACAAGCTGAGTGTGAAAGGAGAAAGGGAGAAGAAATTACAAGAGGGGGGGTAAAAAAATACTTAGAGAGGCATGTGGGAGTGGGAAGGTAAAATGATATATATGTTTTTGGGTTTCCTCACAGGCAAGCATCTTCTGGCTGGCCACTTTGAGAATAGGATCATAGAATTGTAGTGTTGGAAGGGGTCACGTGGGTCATCTAGACCAACCCCCTGAAATGCAGGATTTTTTTTGCCCAAGGTGGGGTTCGTTTGGCCATATCCAGCAGGGCTCTGCTTACATTCTTCTCTTCCAAAGATTAACAATATGATAGCAGCTGAGAGAGATTCTCTCCCCCCCGCCTCCATTCAGTCAACAGGTCAGAGTCAGTTGGGTGTAGTGGTTAGAGTATTGGACTAGGTCCCGATATCTCTGACCACTGGCAGTGATGACAAGGCACTGATGTGATTTGTAGTTCAATACCATCCACAGGGCCATCAATTCCCTGGCCCTCCCAACACCATAAATGCAGACTGTGCATGCACCGCTTTGTGTGGAGGTCTCTGCATATCCTGCTGTGGAACTGTTGGTTGTTGCAGGGGTTTTTTGGGGGGGGGCGGTGTCTGGAAGATAAATTTTGGGGAATAAGGCTTCCTTTCTTTGGGAGGGCTTTATTTAAATAAAAAGGATAGGTGCGTAAAAGGCAGAAAATCAAGATCGGGCTGCAAAGGGGAATTGATGGAACTCAGAGATCAGCTTCCTTGCATGTTTTTCCCCTCATGCTAGGAGTGCGTTGGATTCAAGATGCAGCCTTGAAAACCTGCACAATTTATTATCCTAGGCATCAGGGGCAAAAGAAATGTGTGTATGCAATGGGAAACTAAAGTCCCGTTTTCACTTAAAAGCAAGTCCTATTGAATTCAGTGGGACTTCTTTTCAGGTGAAGTGGGGTTAGGATTGCAGTGTTTGCCTCTCGACTCTGACTTTGCTATCTGATGGCATAACCCTAAAACTGCAAGCGTGTCAGTTGCTGTTCCGTAATGGTGGGAGTTAAATTTAGCTTGGATATGTTTGCGGAAAAGTCAATTCTGGCAACTATTTTCATTGATTTTCTGCTCTATTTATGTCAGTTGTGGCCACAGTTCCCACATGTCAGTTTCAAGCTATTGGGGGGGGGGAGGAACCACCCTTCTGCGTGACCCCCACAACAAATGCTTGAGGGGAAAAGCATATATTGAAGTGTTTAAAAACCACAGACTAACAACATGTATATGAAAACAAGCAAGATTGGAGTGTTTATATGTATGTATCCCAAGTTGGTTTGTTTTTAGATCTAACCAGGAATTTTACTGTATAGGGAACCTTTTTCTTTCTTCAGAAAAATTCTGTAGGCTGCCATGTACTGTGGTAATCAGACTTACCAAATCTGTAATCCACTTTTTAACCCCACACTGCAGCATAGGACTTGTGGTTTATTTCCACTTCGTGCCCCCCCCTTAGGTATTTTTCTACTTTAGGATGACTAGAAGCAGAGAAGATCAGAGCTCTTAAATTTGTTACACGGTGGAAGTGCTGCATCGTTCTTACACAACTATTAACAGTAGTAAATGAGTGCTGTCTTTGATTTTTTCTTTCCCTGCCTCTCTCATTGAAAAAGCAAATAGTGGTGTCCATTGTTTTGTGATTTGCCTTAGACCAGAGTGCTTCCTATCTGCTGAAGACCAACGTTATAAATAAGAGTGCAGGAAAGGCTGTTTAATTTTTCCCTTTTTTACTGCTGAGTTTTCATTTCAGAGAGTAAATGACTTACTTTGGAAAAGATTGCATGCCTGCCGACCACAGAACAATCTCCCCTTCCCCCTTTGCTATTGCTTTCCACAGTAATAATAATAATAATAATAATTTATTATTTATATCCCGCCTATCTGGCTGGGTTTCCCCAGCCACTCTGGGCGGCTTCCATCAAAATATTAAAATACAGTAGTCCATCAAACATTAAAAGCTTCCCTAAACAGGGCTTCCTTCAGATGTCTTCTAAAAGTCTGGTAGTTGTTCTCTAACATAATAATTTATTATTTATACAGTGATTTCATTTTTAAAATATTGCAAACTGAAGTTTTCTACCGTACATGCTTATAGGAACATTATGAACAGCATACTTCAGACATCTCATTAAAAAAGTCTACTCTACAGTATGGATTGGGTTAGGAAGGTTCTTTTACACAACATGGTTAGCTAGCAAAACAGTAGAAAGAGGCTGGCATTCTAATTATCCTAAGGACTGTAAATTATATGCAAGTTGTAACAGGTTTAACATTCTGAATTTGCAGCAATGGGGCTGGAGTGGTGTAAAATTTTGTGATTTCTTCAGAGTTGTTGAATCTTGCTGATAGCTGATAACTGAGGGACATCAGAGGCAACCTTGGGAAGAGAGGGAAACTTAACTTGATGGGTAGTAATAGGGAAGATTCCAAATTCTGTGGGAGAAAGTTGGAAACATGCCCTGTGTGTTCTTGTCAACGTAACTAGATACAGTCGGGATCTCCTCTTTGTCTGTTTTGCCTGTGTTGTCGCCAGGTGCTGCAAAGTGCATGGAGCAATTTGTATTCCAAACGTCAGCCAGCTGCTCCTGTTGAGCCTCTCTCTCCAGATTGGTTAGGAACTCTTTTAAAACTTGCTTGAATATGTACACAATTTCCCAAGGTAAAACGTCGTTTTCTGCCAGAACCTCACGGAATCTAGAAAGAAGAGGGGGGGAAACCCAAACAACCTGAAATCTAAGGTTGATTCCAGACAACTTTTTTAAAAATTAATTTTTAATTTTTAAAATTAATTTATTCTGATTCCTTTGCATGGAAGGGAATTTCCAGTAGATTTTCCCTATCACTTATTGCAAAAGTCTGATGTTTTGGGGAAGTGGTTTTGTTGTCTGATACCTATACAGGAGCAACCTGAATTTGCTGGTATGTGCCTATCACTTCTATCTCTTTTGTTTTTGGTGGCAGTGGAGAAAGGTGTTCTGTCCTTTTTGTGGTTGCTTTCTAAAGACACCATCAAGAAACAGGGAGGAATGGCGCTTGTAATACATATTGATGTCATACAACAGTGGAAGCTATTCTGCTCCCCCTTCCCATATTAAGCTGTCTGAGCAAGCTGATTCAAACTGACGTTGCCCTCCAGTCTTTTACTGGGCTCAAAAAGAGAGCATAGGATTGTTCTGATTTTCTTTTTTGAATTCCTATACACTGCCTGTGGGTGAAAAGTTGTATGTATAGAATTAGGAATGTTTTAATGGAGAGCTTTTAATAGGCTGCTTTTGTGAGTCGCACATGTTAGCTTTACCAACATGTGTATGAATTTGGATCGCGACTCACTAGTTTCACAACCACAACGATAGCAAGCAAATTTTAAGCTATACACACTGGGGAAAAGGGTAGTTCATACATATGCTGATACATATCATGTCTAGCAAAAATAGTGCATGCATCTGATTTTTAAATAATAAAGACCTTTTAATAGGCATTGAATTTGCATAGATAGCAAAGCTAAAGTTTTGTTTCTAGAAGGCTTTAGCATAGACATTTTGTTCATCACATTCAGGGAACAGATAAACATTGAAAGTTACATCAACCAGCATTTAACTTGTGCAGTTAAATTTGCCAAAATCGCTCCTATGCACACTTGACTTGAGGTGTCCCATTGAACTTGGAGGGACTTAGGAATAAGCTAAGGCTAGAGTCCAGAGCATACTTGCAGTGAACCATGTAACCACACTGAGGACTATCTACCTGGGGTTTACTTTCCAGAAGCATTATTAAGATGAAACTGCAAGGAAAAGTCTTTACAGTACTTGATTTTTTGTAGACGTTTATGTGATGCTAGGTCAATAAAACGGTGTTACCTGCTGAGAATGATTCCAGTTTGGCACGGTTGGATTTGGGAGCAAAGGACTTCAAGCTGTCTTTGTTCAGTCGCTGGGATAGTTATCTGAGGAGTTTGCTGGCTCTTCAGCCAGTTGTAATCCACACTAGTTTTCTGAACTTTTTGTTCATTTTCTATCTCCTGTATCAGGCGCTCGCGTTCCTTGAGGTGCCATTTCAATTCCCTCAGGAGGGTCTTGGTCACAACTTCTGAGCCAGGGTACTGTCCGGTCTTATAGGAATAGTTTTTTGGCCATTTCATCCAGCCAAAGAATGGCATTTTGGCAGCTGATTTAAAAAGACGAGAGAGAAGGTTCTTTATTCAGGTTTGTTCGGTGCAGTTACAACATTCGTAAATTACCACACAATCTGACACATGGAGGCAGCAATCCTATACACACTTTACCTGGGAGCAAGGCCCATTGAACTCAGTGGGCCATGTACCTGAGTAGACATATATAGGATCACACTATTTGGTAACAATCTGGACATATAAGCTTGCTCCCCCTTTAAAACCAATTGGACTCAAACATGTTTGGATTGGGTCAGATTATGCTGTGTGTGTGTGTGTTTATGTGTAAGCTTTTTGCACTATATGAACTAGGCAAAGCCCAAAAAACTTAACAAATGTACCGTAATCTTTTAAAACACAGAGATAGAAAAGTTTTTCCACTGAATTTAATGGTTCCAGTTATTAAGATATGCATGTACATAACATGAATACATACACACATTTGGATGCCTACAGTTTACTAAACTCTTAGAAATCTGGAAGTACAGATCACTACCCTTCCCATGCAAGACATTGGTCGTTTCTGAGGCTTCTATATCCTTGTTTGTTTTGTTTTTAGTCAATACAATTTCTAAAGTCAATACAACTACAGTACTGTGCTTTTAATTTTCATTTTGTAAGTTTTGAGTGAAATGACTCACCTACTTACTGTACTTATTGAAAGGCGTATCTTTCCCCAATGTGGCTGTGTACGAGTTTTGCTCGACGTGAAGGCTGTTTATTCCAGCATCGTTCCCTTTTACAGGCAGTTGCACATTCTGTAAAAAAGCAGACAAGCATTCCTCACTCTACCCACTTGAGAAAGGAGCACTGAAGATGGCACATTCATCTTTTTGCATCCTTTTCCAGCTTCTGAGGTTGCTTAATTTGCTTCTTCTTACATTAGAGAGAGCCTGTGCACTTGGACGTGGATCCTCCCGAAATTCTTCTCCCAAAGTCCATTCAGGGCTTCTGCCTTTTAAACAGTTTTGTCTTGAGCAGTAGTTGATCTGTTGTGTGGGCTTAAAAAATAAAGGCAAGGACGAGGATTTCAGAAGCTTGTTACAGCTGCGATATGCATCCAAAGTTATTGTCGGTAGCTGGATGAACAACGATGGTCTGAAGTCATGCCAGATGTGCTTCTAGCTAAAGTTAAGACTGTCGGTCGGATGATGCGATGCTTGGATGTGCATAGCTGTAGGTCACAGTTTGGCGCTCTATTTCTATGCCTGTAGTGCTCTAAAAATAACCACGTTGCTTTCGTTGTCGAACTAAACTTTCAGGCCATTTTGATGCTGGATTCCCTCCCCTCCTGTTAGACTTGTGGTAGAGGAAGAGGAGGACAGGTCAGAGCAGCTGCTCTGTTTTACCTATCCACAGTTAACACACACACACACATATATAACAAACCAATACAGCCTTGCGATAGCTCATCTCAACTGGATTTGTGCCAGTTGGGGGCTACTTGCACGGCCGCATACAGAGAGAGATTCCTAGTCTATACTTCCCCTGATTAAATTAATCTCTTAGTATTTGCGTAGTTCTTATTTATAGTCCGCAGCTGTTAACGGTTTTGTGGGGTTTTTTTTTTTTTTTTTTAACATGATGAAGGTATTTAAAGAAGCAGCTTGCTTTGCTAGCACCTCCAATAAGCCATGAGAAACTTGGTTTTGAAAAATAAAAATCCTGGCTAGGATTTGGAAGTAAATGCACGTAGCTTGGCCTAGGATGAGGCAGTCTTCAGTATGTCTACCTATCTCAGTGTTGTCTTCTCTGCTTGGCAGTGGCCTTCCAGATCTCAAGCATAGAGAGAGCTTTCTTATCCTTGGCTTACCTGTTTTGTTCAAAAGGGGATGCCCAGAAACCTGTGAGCTTTCTGCGTCCAAAACACGATCTTAACTATTGAACGATGGCCCCCTCCAAGAAACCTAGATCCCCGGCTCTTTTAAGAAACTATAGCCAGGTCTTATTGCAGACTTTTCTCCTCCATTACGTGAATATGACTTCTTCCTTAGTCTGCCTTTGCTGACTGGCTGATTGGGGAGGGGAGAAATACCCCCTTTCAAGATTCATGATATGTGTTGTTCGTGCAAAAAGTCTTAAACGGCCGTTTTGCCAAACCTTTTATTTCATTTCCTACCATAAACCTGAACAGAAAGTGTAGAATACAAGTCTGTTCTGTTTTTCCCTCCCGCTGCTGTAATTTCCAGTGACAATATTCTCTTTTATAAGCGTTGGTCTCTCCCAGCCAGCCCCCTTCCCCCTCCGTTGTGTTGTATTGAACTGCTTCGTGTGGTAGAACGGCCATGCGGATCTGGCCTGGATGTCATGCAATATAAAGGGTGACGTGTGTGGCTGTTATTAAAGCCGATGTTACTTATATGTTGGAAAAATTCAGGTGTCAGTATTAATCATCCTCAATAGGGAGGCTTTCACATTGCATTGTGTTTGGGGCAGTACAAAAAATAAAACCCACAAAAAAACGGGGAAGAGACTGGACTTGCAATGGCACAGCTGCCTTTGCAAAATTTCCGACGGAATTAAAATGTTCCCTGGCAACTTTTCTCCAGCGGATTTGCCAGGTCCCTGCACTATTTTTTATTTTTATTTTTGTAAAAACAAAAGAAGAAACCTGTACTGCAACTAGAAAGTTCTTTTTTAAAACAACAACAACACCCACCCTGTTACACATTCCCTTGGAGAATGCGATTCTTCTGTAAAAGGACTGAGTAAATTCTGTAACCTGTATGTTCGGTGAGCAATCTGCTGGAGATATTAGGCTCGCTTAAAATGTCTATAGTGTGGGTAGAAATTGTAAATGTCTGGCATTCCTCCCCCCACCCGTGGCTGGATGCAGCAAAGCAAAGCTCAGGTAGGAATTTAGTTTGACAGACCTGCTGTGTTGGCATAAGTGCTAATGCTTCCATGGAAAAACTGGATTCTCTTCTCCACACACCCCTATGTATTTTCATAGGTAGGTAGTTTATTTAAGAATGTGCTAACTAATATTGAAATAATATAGTTGTGTGAATTCAGAGGGCTGGATGTTCTTGTTGCACCTCACGTTCCCAAAATTGATCCTGGCGTGACACCCAGACTGTTATACCATGCTGGCTTTTGGGTGATTTAGCACCCTTTTTTTTGTGGGGAGGGGTGGGTGAAATAGCTGTAATCTCTTTTTGTAATGGCCCTGTTGCCATGCAGTCACAACCAGGAGGACATTACTGAAAGTGACTCTCTCCTGTGCAACAATACTCTGCGGTCTCCAAATGTGTTTCGATGCAACTTTTGCTAAGTTTGCTTGTGCTACTTGGTCCCGAAACAAACAGACAAAAAGTTCTGAAATCTGCAGAGCAGGCAGGTTTAAACCTCCTACGATTTCGGTGTCCCTCCCTTGTTTCAGATAAAGTGATGCTCTCTTGTAGCACGTTATGAAGAAAACAGCTCTGCTTGATCTCAGCTGGCAAATGACTCATGGCCTGAAGTATTAACTTAAGATTTATTTATTTTCTTTATCTGGAGCAGTAAGTAGAGCTGGCCTCCTTACTTACATAAGGCTTCCTTTCTGTCTTTGTTGCTTTTTAAAGACATATATGCTATATTAACTGTACTAGTTGGAGGCTTTTAATTAGTATGCATTATAGTTGCGGAGGCACCATCACTTGGTGGTAGAATCTATGCCTAGAAAGCCATTGTGGTCTAGTGGTTAGGGCGTTGGACTAGGACCTGGGAGGCTGGGGTTCAACTCTGCACTCAGCAGTGAAGCTCACAGGGTGACCCTGGGCCAGTCACTGCCTCTCAGGCTAACCTACCTCACTGGGTTGTTGTGTGGGAATCCAATTTCTCCTTGGAGGAGAAAGTGGGATATAAAAGCAGCCATTAAATAGTAGTAGCCATTAAATAGAAGTATTCAGAAGGTCCCATATTCAGTTGGCAGCATCAATTGTTAATAATAATAATAATAAAATAAATAATTTTTTAATTTTATTTATATGCCACACATCTGACTGGGTTGCTCCGGCCTCACTGGGCGGCTCCCAACAGAATAGTGAAAACACAATAAAACATCTAACATTAAAGATCTTCATTCAGATGTCATCTAAAAGTTCTTTATTTCCTTGTTAAAAGGAGCAGGCTGCAGAGTCAGACCTTGTCTGCCTAAGACAAGGCCTGCAGCTGTTGCTGGCTTTTGTTCCTTCTTAGGCCAGCGGGCATATTTCAAATTTTTATTTATAGGCAGTGACCATTCTAGGTTCGTCCGATATGTGTTGTGACCGTGCACAAGCGCATTGCTCTGTACCTGAAAAATCACAAAAAGGGGGTGGGTGGGTGGAACTGGGTGTTTGCAGGCTTTTTCAATGGCGTTTCGAATATATGCAATTCCACTTAAACACGCGATGCCTTGGAACGTAACCCCTGGGTAAATTGGGAGTTGCCTGTATTAAATTTGTATAGCACCCTTGATTTGTAAATCTAAGGGTGGCTCAAAACAGAAGCAAGGCAGATAAAAACACAAAAGGCATAATAAGAACGCAAACCCAAAAGAGACCCCCCCCCAGACTAATGAATGTTTTTCTGGGAAAGTGCCACAAAATGGCCGCCGTGGTGGGTGTTGCGTAACTCTGAAGGTCTGCTGCATCTAAAAGAGCAGAAAAAGAAATGGCAACACAATATAGTATTTCCCCACCTCACATCGGTAGGCAAAAAGGCACCTACATCAGCCACCACCCAGTTCATTCCCCGAGAGAAGCTCTTTGCATCTCTTCTTTGTTCAAAAAGGGAGGGATGGTGCGTTCCCCATTCTGGCATCCCTTTGAAATGGGAGCATTCGTAGGAGAGGCCAGAGCAAACAGGCTCTCATATACGTCGTATTTTGGAGGGGATTATTTGCTGAGACCTTTAGCAGGCACCACATGGGAGGTGATTGCAGGGACACCGGCACTTGTGTCTGCTGTGTCGGCAACCCCTGGCCTAGGTTCCTGGAGAGCTGCCAGTCAGAGTAGGCAGTATTGGACTATTTTGAAAAGAAACATCCTGGGGTATAAGACAACGTGAATGTTGTGTGGCACTAGTAGAAGTTGGACATAACGTTCTATGGACCAGATGTGCCTTCATAAGAAGCAATTTTAAATAGCTTTGGAAGCTGGGGAAAGTCACAGAAAATTGTGGTTAGATTTGAAGGGGATGGGGGCACAGGATAAAAAAAGGACTCTTATCCCAGGTAGGCTGCCTGGATTTTGGGCAAGGCTGGCCTGAGATGTGTTGCTGTCTGTGACAGGGCACCAATTGCTTCCCCCACCTCCCCAAAGTTAAAGTGCCTAATAGGCTTTGCACTGGAGGCAGAAATTGTCCTTCCTTGGCAGTAAAAAAACAAAAAACAAAAACACTTTAAAAATTGGGATGCAGTTTTATTTATTTCCAGTGTAGAGAGAGCCGTTTTCATCATGCCTGGTCCCAGCGGTTTACAAAGCAATCAATAAAGCAATCCGTCAGTCAAAATCAGGCATAGGCAAACTTGGAAGTTGTAGTCCCAAAACATCTGGAGGGCCGAGTTTGCCTATGCCTGGTCAAAATAGTACAGTGTATGAAACGCAAAAAGCACAGGCTCAGAGCTAAGTTGGCACTGTACTGCTGCAATAGCACAACGCTCGGATTGCATTGTTAATAAGGGTGTTTCCCAGTGCCCTATTTATCGGGCTTTTGTGACTATTTGTGACCGTGATGGTATCAGGGTGGTCATACGTGATCCCACTTTTAGTGCTGTTTGTTCCTGGAAGAGTTTTAGGGCAGTCACACTGCTTCATTTCCAATCAGTGTGTATCCCGTATCTTCTTTCTGAAATCCCATAACCTTTTATAGGTCTGGTGTTGCGTACAACTGCATCAGAGGGGTGAAGTCGTTAAGTTTTCATTTTACAGTCATCAGCATTTTTTACTCAAGAGAAACCATCAGCAGTTTCTTCTGTGGTCTTTCTAGGTGTGATCTAAACCACTGGTGGTCTGTGGCCTGTGAATTTTAAAACTCACTGGACTAATTATTAATGGAGGCATTAAAACTCTTCAGTACAATTCCTATGTCAGAATGACCCCTAGAAGTCATATTTAGGGCTTATGATTGACATGTCTTGGCTATGTGCTGGAGCTGCTTTGGGCATCCAGCTGAAAGCCTGGACATGACAGCTGACTGACAAGGTTAAGTTGATGGCCATCTCATTTGTGGGGGGTGGGTGTGGGTTGCAGGGTTTATAATATACAAATGTGAGCTTGCCCTTCAAGAGAACTCTTTAACTGCCAAGGGGTACTCCTTCTATATATTTTTCACATTCAGAAGCGAAGCAAGGGGTGTGCACCTGAGTTGAGATTGATTTCTCTTCCCCCTACCTCCTCAAAACAAACCTTCACTTAAATGATGCTGTGGTCCTTTCCAAGGAAAAAATGAGAATGATAGGCAAGACTCAACCGATAAACTAAGAATTTCGTGAAATAAGATGGCTGTGAGATCAGGGAATACTGAAAGTCATTCTGAGCCTAGAAGTGACTGAGCAGGTTGAATGCAAGGCCTGTAAGCTGCACACCTTTTCTATGTAGCTTGTATAGTTAGCACTGAAAACCCCCCCTTTTTTTTTGGGTTAAGAATTTAGATTTTATTCTGCGGTTCTACATAGTCTTCAATATTTATAACTGTTAAGCCCGAAGCTTTGAAATTCTGAAAAGGTACGCGTCATGCTAGTTAATGCAGTGGCGCATTAAGGTTTTTGAATTAATGAGTTTTCCATTCCCCCCTTTCCTTTCCCGAATCAGCCCATTTCAGTAGCTGAATTCAAGCGTCTTCCAGTTTTGAATGCTACCTTGTCTACTAAAGGAAAGGCTACAGCCTCTGTGAATGTCGCTGCCGTTTACATCGGATGAAAACTCTTTTCAGCGAGTGTATTAATAATAATAATAATAATACCAATACTAATAACAACAACGTAATAGCAGCCCGGTTGGATCACACTAAAGCAGGGGTAGGCAACCTAAGGCCCGGGGGCTGGATGCGGCCCAATCGCCTTCTTAATCCAGCCCGCGGACAGTCCGGGAATCAGTGTGTTTTTACATGAGTAGAATATGTGCTTTTATTTAAAATGCATCTCTGGGTTATTTGTGGGGCATAGGAATTCGTTCATCCCCCCCCCCCATATAGTCTGGCCCCCCACAAGGTCTGAGGGACAGTGGACCGGCCCCCTGCTGAAAAAGTTTGCTGACCCCTGTACTAATACATACCATTTCCCACACTGACCAGCCAGAAGACTTGGGAAGGCAACAAACAGGACATAATTGAATGGTGGAACTCCCATAGTATGTCGTGAGGGCCACAGACTTTGATCACTTTAACAGAGGACTAGATTAATTTCATGGATGATAAGGTTTTCAGTGGCCACTAGCTAAACAGGTGTATACTTCCGCCAATGTCAAAGGTGGCATTTGTCACTGAATATCAGTTTTTAGGGGAGGTTGTTGGGGAGAATGCTGTTCCTTGCAGGTTTCCTGTTGGGGCATCTGGTTGGTCACTGTGAGGACAGGAATCTGAGCTGGATAGGACCTTGGCCTGATCCAGCAGGAGTCGTCTTCTTTTAGGAGCACAAGAGCATTCTCCTGTGTTCTCCAGTGGCGGATGGTTCAGAGACCTGCTGCCATTGCCATGTCTGGTACACAGTGCTTTTTTCTTCTTCTGGTGGAACATGCCGGAACCCAGTTCCGGCATCTTTTCTTGGCCCCTGCCTTGTGCCACCACCACCTTCGCCATCTTCCTGCCTTGACCGTTCGCGCCCCGGAGCATGGGGAGTGATGGTGATGTCAGTGGCGCAAAGCACGGTGGGAGATCTGACATTCCTAGGCTCCTGCAACCCTACGTAGCACCAGCAGGTTTCTTTACCGAAGAAGGCAACAAGATGCAGTTGCAGAATAATTGATGCTGAAAGAGTGAACGTTTTACCAATCAGAAACCGCGAGAGGCGGGTGTTTGGGGTGGGCGGGGGCTCCTCCAGGAAGAGCATCAGGAGCCAATCAAGAAAGGAAGCTATCCGCCAGTAGGCTAAAGTAAGGCAAGTGTGGGCAACACCATATCAGTGTACTGTGTTGGTCATCCTTTTCGTGATGCACCGATTTGAGGGGCGAAACAAGCTGAATCTCCCTATAAGATGGTATAGCCCAGCATCTAGTCATGTGATTTTGGTTTCAAGATGGCGGCGACGTTGGCGACTATGGCGGTGAGCTCCCGCACTTTTTTGTCTGGAAAACGCTGCTAGTACACAGTTAAAGTAGTAGTAGTAGTAATAATAATAATAACAATAATAACAATAACAATAATAATATATAATATAATTATAATAATAATAATAATATTTATGCCCCGCCCATCTGGCTGAGTTTCCCCAGCTACTCTGGGTGGCTGACAGCACGTAAAAAATGGTAAAACATTAGACTTCATAAAACATTATAGAAGTCAGATAGTTGTTTATTTCCTTCACATCTGACCGGGGGGGGGGCATTCCACAGGGCAGGTGCCACGACCGAGAAGGCCCTCAGCCTGCGCACCAGATGGAGCTGGTAAACAGCTGCCCTGGACACAGAATTGACCTGCGCCCCCATGGACAGATGTGAGTCCAAAATGACTCCCAAGCTGTGCACCTGGTCCTTCAGGGGACCAGGGGACAGTTACCCCATTCAGGACCAGGGTGTCCCCCACCCCCTGTCCCCCAAAAACAGTACTTGTGTCTTGTCAAGATTCAACCTCAACCTGTTAGATGCCATCCATCCTCCAACCGCCTCCAGGCACTCACACAGGGCCTTCACTGGTTCCGATTTGAAAGAGAGGTAGAGCTGGGTATCATCCGCATACTGATGAACACCCAGCCCAGACCCCCTGATGATCTCTCCCAGCGGCTGCATGTAGGTGTTAAAAAGCATGGAGGAGAGGACAGAACCCTGAGGCACCTCACTCACCCCCCCAACACCAAAGTAAATTAATCAAAAGGAAAATGACATTTTGCCTCTTTGTCTCTGGCTCCCCCTACTGTTGAACTTCTGCCCAATCAGTCTCAATAGGCACCTGCTTCCATGGCAGGTAAGTGCACCTCAGTGTAAGCTTGGGGAAGGGCAAATTTGACACGGGGCATCCACTTTCAGCAGTGACCTCACACTGCGCATAACATTGTCGTTCAGCCCTTTGCCAGCTATAACTGAAGCAGCTGTGAGGGATGAGGAAGACACTGGTGCTGGAATGGGGGCAGTGTTTGTAAGAGCATCCATACAGATGAAAGCACAACCTCTGGGTTGATTGATGCTGGCATCAGTATTAAGTAAAACCCCTAGTCTCTTGCTAACAAAAACATTGATGTAAAGATGGAGAATTGGGTATTAAAGTGGAAAAATAAGGGCCTCAGAAATATCCAGGCTTGTGGAAGATGGGATGCTGTCACAAGCGCTTGCGTTCAGAGTTACGATTTCCAGTGGCTTTGGTACATCTTACTACTTCCACTTAAATTCCCATTGTTCATGTGCTGCCTTAGCACCCTGTCACTTTGTATTATCGAGAGCATTATAGGTCAAGACCAGCCATCTTGTATGTTGAAAATTCCATGTTAGATAGCTAGTCCCACAACATGTTTTTATATTTTAAGTTCTGGCGATTAATGGATCTGGTGTAGGTTTTCGTTCAGTCTTCATTTGGTGGGGGGAAGTTTAAAAAAAACAACAAAAAACATTTGTCACGTTGCAAATCTCCAATAAACTACAGTGGTACCTCAGGTTAAGTACTTAATTCGTTCCAGAGGTCCGTTCTTAACCTGAAACTGTTCTTAACCTGAAGCACCACTTTAGCTAATGGGGACTCCTGCCGCCGCCATGCTGCCGGAGCCCAATTTCTGTTCTTATCCTGAAGCAAAGTTCTTAACCTGAAGCACTATTTCTGGGTTAGCGGAGTGTGTAACCTGAAGCGTATGTAACCTGAGGTACCACTGTATGTTCCATTCATTGCAAAGCTGAAATCTGCAACCCTCCTCCAGCCACAGGAACCAGTATCCTGATTGTGTAGCAATGAGAACTGGCACCCCTTGCATTGGCACTGGAGAAGTGGCACTGACTTATGCTGCTAGTGGATGTGTAGTTTGAAAACATTTGTTTTCCTTTGGGGAGCTTTGCTACCACTATTTACAGGTAGGTAGCCGTGTTGATCTGCCGTAGTCGAAACAAAAAAAATAATACCTTCCAGTAGCACCTTAGAGACCAACTAAGTTTTTTATTGGTATGAGATAATAATAATAATAATAATAATAATAATAATAATAGTGTTCATGCACACTTCTTCAGATATACTGAAACAGAAGTCACCAGACCCTTATATATAGTGAGAGGCTGGGGAGGGTGGTGGGAATGGGTGATTGGCTGATAGGTGTGGTAGACCTGTTGATGACTGTTAACAACTGCAGTTGGTCTTACAGAAAAAAGCAAGGGGTAAGATGGCTAAAAATAGCTTTATCATGTACTGTATAATGAGATAAGAATCCAATGTCTCTGTTCAGACCAGGTCTCTCCATGGTTTTAATTCAGCAACTTCTCTTTCCAGTCTATTTCTGAAATTCTTTTGTAATAAGACAGCTACTTTTTACTATGTTAGTTGCTTTTCTTAAAAGCTAACTCAAAGTGACTTACATTAAAATCAGTTAAAAGCAACAGTGAAAACTTGGGGGGGGGGGGGAGTCAAATGAAGGACTGAAAACACAGTTAAACCAAAAGGCAGGGCTACAAGTCCTGCCCTGCTAAAAGAGGCCACAATGCCATCCTTCAAATTAAGGGCTAAGAGGCTGGGTGAAAAGAAAAGCCTTTGCCTGGCGCCTGAGACTGGACAAAGATGGCTCCAGGTGTGCCTCCCCATGGAGAGTTTTCACAAGCAGGAAACCACCACTGAAAAATCCCCCTTTTTTGTTGCCATCCTCCAAACCTCCCATGAAGGGGGCACATGAAGAGGGGCCTCCACAGGGTCTAGGTTGGTTCATGTGGGGAGACACTGTCCTTGCAGTATAAAGCTTCATAGGTAAAAACCAGTGCCAGAACTGGTGTGAATATGTTCCGACTATCCTGCCTCAGTCCATAATGTCAGCTGCAGTTTCCATACTGTCTTCAAAGGCAGCTCAACATGTAAATGCCTTGCAGTAGTCCAGCCTAGACATTACCAGAGCATGGACAGCAGAGGTTAGGCTTCTTCTGTCCATGTAGGGCAGGGGTCAGCAAACTTTTTCAGCAGGGGGCCGGTCCACTGTCCCTCAGACCTTGTGGGGGGCCGGACTATATTTTGAGAAAAAAACGAACCATTTCCTGTGCCCCACAAATTCATTTTAAATAAAAGGACACATTCTACTCATGTAAAAACACCAGGCAGGCCACACAAATAACCCGGAGATGCATTTTAAATAAAAGGACACATTCTACGCATGTAAAAACGCGCTGATTCACAGACCGTCCGCAGGCCGGATTGAGAAGGCAATTGGGCCGGATCCGGCCCCCGGGCCTTAGTTTGCCTGCCCATGACGTAGGGGCACAGCTGGAGCCACAAGTCGGAGCCACTGAGGTCACTTGAATCTGGATCCTACAAGCTACGTACCTGCTCCTTTGGGAGGAGTGTAACCTCATCTTGAGCAGGCTGCTTCCCATCCATCTGGTCTAGGGAGTCATCAGCGCCTCAGCCTTGTCTGGATTAAGCTTTTGTTTACTGGCTCTTCAACTTCTTCCACAGCAACGTCTTGCAGTGAGGTTGTTTCAGAGCCGCAAAGTCTTCCGGCTTTTGGATGAGAAATCGTTAAAGATAATAGAAATGCTTCATATACTGGGATGCTCCCTGTTTTTCATTGTGTGCAGTTGTTGTGACCATCTCTTGTATAGCATAATAAAAATTGTAACACAGATGTTTAAGAAGAAATGAGAGCGTTATAGCAGTGTCATTTGTAATATCCCTCTCCTTGCTTTTGAGATATGTGTGATGTATATATGTGAAATATGTACATATTTATGTGTCTCTGTGGTTTCCTTTGTATGGGTTCAGTTCTCCCCCCCCCCCTTTTTGCTGGCATTGGCTCACAACCTTTTCTGAGGTCATTTCATAGCTTTAAGTCAGGGAAGACCTTTTGAAATCCCTGAATTCATTTAAAGCCTAACGTGTTATTGTGGGAGTATATTTAGTACAAATGTGCCAATTATTTTTAGTGTTAAATGGTGTTTCCCTCCCAGTAATTCCTCTGAAGGGACAAGCTGGCATTCCTTTTGTTAATTTGATGTTATTTTTGTGGTTAGTGCTTAATAGCTATTTCTTGATACCAGCAAGCAAGCAGGCAAGGAAAAAAAAATAGCCTGAAGAGTTGCTTGGAAATAGTTTTAAAGCCCTTGGATTTTTGAAAAAGCCCAGCCCACTCAGCAAAACTCATTGGGTTAAACAAATGCTTGCTTACTATTGTATCATTTACGCCAGGTTAGAAAAGAATTGAAAACTTACTTTTATCCACATAGGGTTGGCCTAAGGCATCTTGCTGTCTCAGGCAGAAAGGCATAATATGTCCAAGACTATTCAGGTTATTATGATACCTGAGGTATCATGACTTTAAAAATATGATGATGTTTATTATACAGTGGTACCTCGGGTTAAGTACTTAATTCGTTCCGGAGGTCCGTTCTTAACCTGAAACTGTTCTTAACCTGAAGCACCACTTTAGCTAATGGGGCCTCCTGCTGCTGCGCCGCCGGAGCACGATTTCTGTTCTCATCCTGAAGCAAAGTTCTTAACCTGAAGCACTATTTCTGGGTTAGCGGAGTGTGTAACCTGAAGCGTATGTAACCTGAAGCATATGTAACCCGAGGTACCAAGGTAATAGTGATTGATTGCCTGTAATTTCATCGTCCTTCTATGACAGTTGAAAATCACCTCAGTCTGCCTAATGGTAGGACCGGCCCTGTGGTGCACCTTGGAGCTCAGTGTGTGACTGAGGGACCAAACCTGGTCCAGGGAGCATCCCCAGTTGCCATTTACAACTTGCTGCATCCTTCTCCATCACTTAACAGGAGTGCCTCATTTCATATCACTTCTAATTTGTACGCCACCTTTCTATATTACAATGCACAGGCTGGAACTGGTCTGCGACCGAAATAATAAATTCATTCATTCATTACTATGCACAAGGCAGTTTACAGCAACAAAGTGTACGACAAAGAACACACATCTTATAATAATCTGACACAATATAAAAAGTCACCATAAAACATAACTTTAAAATGTAATCACTTATATCAAACAAAGCAATCTTTAATAATCTATTAGAATATAATAGTACGCAATAAAATCTACAGTGGTACCTTGGTAGTTGAATGCCTTAGTTGTTGAACAAATTGGCACCCAAAAGTCGCAAGTGAGTGTTACGGTTTGTGAACATTTTTTGGCAGCTGAACATCCGACGCAGCTTCCATGACTTCCAGTTGGCTGCAGGAAGCTCCTGCAGCCAATTGGAAGCCATGCCTTGGTTTTCGAACCATTTTTGGGAGTCGTACGAACTCCTGGAATGGATTAAATTTGAGAACCAAGGTACAAGTGTACTCTCAAAGCATCGGCCAATAATTAAACAGAAATCACTCTTTACAATTACAATAAGTAACTACTAAATGGTGATCAATAAAAACAACTGCAAGTCACAACACATAAAATGCCACAGTACATACAAAACCGTGTAGAAGGCTCAAATTGCGAGACAAAGACACACAACTTCTAAAACTTTTTTAAAAATAGAGGTTTCTTTGAGTTTATGAAATAAGAGCGAGACTGTATTTTGTCTTCCCACCTGACAGAGCTCGACAGAGTGCTGGAGTTGAATATGTTGAAAGATACAGACAACTGGAGTCCGATGAACTCGATGCATCAGACAGCAGTTGGCCTCCCTGTGAACCAGGTAAAAAAATAATAATCTTAACTTTAAAGGCACCTTAGGCAGCCATGCGTAAATTGTGAAAAGGGATTGTGAGATGCTGCATTTTGTAGAGGCTGGATTAAGATCATGCATGTGAATTTGAAGTGGTGCCTAGCTGGAGTGTGTTTGTGTATATGTGCCACACTTGTGCACAACAGTCAACAGGAGGAACTGAGCGCATATTTTCCTAGACTGAAAATGCACGATGTTCTCAGAGGTTGCTGGATTGCATTCTGCATTGTCCCTCGCTATTAACCATGTTAGCTGGGGCTGGTGGAAGTCTGGATAGCTCAGTTAGTTAGAGCATGGTGCTGATAACGCCAAGGTTGCAGGTTCAATCTCTGTATAGGACAGCTACATTTCAGGGGGTTGGACTAGATGATCCTCGGGGTCCCTTCAAACGCTATGATTCTGTGATAAAGTCTGGTCCCAACAACACCTGGAGCACATCAGATTGGCTATCCCTTCCCTACTGTTAAGTTCAGGCATCCCCAAACTCGGCCCTCCAGATGTTTTGGGACTACAACTCCCATCATCCCTATCTAACAGGACCAGTGGTCAGGGATGATGGGAATTTTGGTCCCAAAACATCTGGAGGGCTGAGTTTGGGGGTGCCTGGTTAAGTGTCTTCAACAGTAATTTGGGGGCAGGCAGAGTGCAGTGCTCCTTCATCGTTTGCCACCCAACAGATGAACCATCTTGCATTCTGTCAAAGCATCACGTCTGCAGAAGGCCAGTTTTCTCTGGACCACGCTTTGCCACCAGCTGACCCATCACCACTGAAACTGTTATGAGGGTTTTCCTCGGGCCAAAGGAAGGGATGTAGCAACAGTTTTGGAAGCATAGGAGGAATGATTCTCCCTTCATCCCAAGTCCATTGGAATTCTCCTGATCCCGCTCCTGAAGCAATCACAGTTGCTTATCTTTGGCATGGAGGAGGAAGTTATATGCTTTCCAGGGTCCACAGAATCTTGAGGGCAGTTGGTTTGGTCTCCCCTTTTGTCTTTCTGCAAAGGCAAGAGGATTCTATGTTAGAAACGCCCCTTCCCTTCCTGAACCCTCAACTTCACCCATAATAACTTCACTCACAGCGGCAAACTTAGCAGAACTTGACAAGAGGTCTCAGGCCCTACCCTGAGCAAAGGTTTGGGGGCCCACCGGCTTAACCCCCGCCTTCTTATAATGCTGCCCACTTTGCTGTGTCACAGTTCACAAAAGGGTGAGTGTTGCACTTCTGTGTGAAGAAAAAAAATGTGTTCCGTGGCAACCATTTGTGCTGTGGAGAAATTCGTATTGGACGCCAGTATTAAGCCTGTAAAGACCCAGTGTCAACATTTCCTCTATAGATCCTACTTAGAATTTGGAAACAACATGAAATTCAGGATCCCGGGTGTCACCAACAAACTTCTAGGCACCTGGCAGTGAATCTCTTTGGATTTTTCCAATGCTGCCAGAACCGTTTTCTCCTAGTGGCTTAAAATATCTTCCAGCATTGGTCAAATCATGCAGAGCTGTTGATGTTTCCATACTGACATCTCTGAATTTGCCAGAGGGTGGGTAGCCAGCAAGCATTGTACTGTTGTGACAGAATGCTGTAGTGTACATGAGTTTTCCCAAGGATTATATTTAGAAGAATCCTGGCCAGAAAGCCTTATTAAAAGGAGGAGAAGTGTATTACTGCTCATTAGGGGCACAATCTAGCCGAAGTTAATCACCTTTAAATGCCATTGACCTCGGTGGAAGGGGGCTAATTGTTAAGACTAGTTGCATTTGGAATCACAGAATCATAAAATTGTAGCATTGGGAGGGACCCTAAGGGTCATCTAGTCCAACCCTCTGCAATGCAAGAATCTCAAAGCCTACATGGCAGATGGCCACCCAACCCGGGCAACAGCACAGTGGCCCAAGTTGCACATTCATGTCAGCAGTGAAATGCAGGAAGTCTTTAAAGGTAAAGGAAGAAGAGAAGAAGAGTTTGGATTTGATATCCCGCTTTATCACTACCCGAAGGAGTCTCAAAGCGGCTAACAATCTCCTTTCCCTTCCTCCCCCACAACAAACACTCTGTGAGGTGAGTGAGGCTGAGAGACTTCAGAGAAGTGTGACTGGCCCAAGGTCACCCAGCAGCTGCATGTGGAGGAGCGGGGAATCAGACCCGGTTCCCCAGATTACGAGTCCACCACTCTTAACCACTACACCACACTGGCTCTGACCCCTGACAGTTCAGTCCAGTCACGAACGACTCTGGAGTTGCGGCTCTCACCTCACTTTACTGGCCAAGGGAGCTGATGTTTGTCTGCAGACAGTTTTTCCAGGTCATGTGGCCAGCATGACTAAGCCGCTTCTGGCAAAACCAGAGCAGCGCATGGAAACGCCATTTACCTTCCCGCTGGAGCGGTACCTATTTATCTACTTGCACTTTGACATGCCTTCGAACTGCTAGGTTGGCAGGAGCAGGGACCGAGCAACGGGAGCTCACCCCGGCGTGGGGATTTGAACCGCCGACCTGATCGACAAGCCCTAGGCTCAGTATTTCCTGTTAACATCCTGTAACAGTCCGGTGTGTGCCCTCCGCTTTCTCATCTCAGCAGAAAAGAGGTTAGAAAGTGGTTTACTTCTGAGTGAGTTGTTGCCAACTCCCGATTTCTCTTTCTGTCTTTGAAGCTATGGAGAATCTCAGACATGGGACTATGACCGGTTGAGGGAGAGATGATTTTTTAGTAAGCCTTCAGGTCTTCCCATAAGCAAGGACTTGCTCTGAGCCTCCTTAGAAGCTTAGCTGCATGGACAATAGCTGAATGGTGTGAACATGACCACTCTCTGATTCTGTGAGTTTTCTTCCTCCTTTGCTGTGTTTCACAAGAGAGAGGTTACCAGAGCATGGGCAAAAGAAAAAAGTTAGGCTATCCCTGTCCAGATAAGGGCACTGCTGGGCCACTAGCCGAATCTGATGGATGTATGCTTGAAGTATTAAACTGAAGTGTGGTTGTCCAAGCTGGGCTGATGCACTCTTCTCAGTTAGGGACCAGACTGCTGCATTCCGGCTGATTTCAGACAGGTATACTACTCCTAGTGTGGCTTTTCTGTTGTAAACTGCAAGCGGAATTTCAGTTCAGTTTGTACACGATCAATATTGTACGTCGTTTCATCCACACCAGGGTGTCATGTGGCATCTGTGGATGGGGCTATTTGAGGCTCAGCAAATATTCATTATAATACTTGCAGAGGAAAGCCATTTTTTGGTTTTTTAAATATTACTATTGTTGTTGTTATTTACATTTCTATTCTTGCACTACCTCCCAGAGGAGCAGCAAAGCCAAAACGTTAAATCAATAATATTTAAAAATAAAAACATGTTTCAAACATTTAAAAACAATGAAACCATCTAAGAACATGAGAACAAGTGAAAACATTTTAAACAATTAGTCACTTACCCTCACAGCTAATAGTTTCAAGTTGCCAAGAACAAAATATATATATTAAATTTGTATGCTGCCCTTCATCCATAGATCACAGGGTGGTTCACTATATAAAAATACAAAATATGAACATTTGGCCATCAAATAACTGGCGAAACAGGGTTGTTGTTTTTTTAAGTTTACCTAAATCAAGTGGGTCTTTTTTTCTCCCCCATGTAATTTTGGGAAATAGGATTGCGAGAGGTGCTGTAAAAATACTTGGTAGAAGTCTGCAGCTGATTCAGCTGCCAAATCTTGTTTGTATTCTCTAATAATTTACACATTGTATCAGCAAGGGCAAAGGATCTTGCTTGTGTGCCTGTCTGTGTGCTTTCAAAAAGTCCAGATTTTTGCCACCAGAAAAAACAGATCTTTCAAGAAGCCATGAATAATGCAAGCTCTGCAAATATGAGGAAATCCAGTTAATCCTCAATTCAAAGCGTGGATTTTTTGGGGAAGAATACTCTTTGTGGGGGCGGGGGCAGAGGAGGGGAACTATTCAGAAGATGTATAGAGCAGAAATGAATCCAGATTATTTATAGCCAGCTATAAACAGGAGTAAGCAAAGGGCTTTTTTTCAAAAAAGTGGCTTCAGATGCAAGAGCATCTTTTTAATAAATGCAGAGGCAACATAGTTCATGTAACTAAGCCAGGTCTTGGCATACGAAACAGCATACGAAAATGCATTATTTCAGTAGCATCTACTTTGCAAAAAATAATAATTGTATTTTAGGTAAAATTGCATATAAGTCTGTGTATATTGGGAGAAATTTGCTTTAAAAGCTGATGGATTTTCAAAAGGACTTTTATTTATTTATTCCAAACTGATGTGGAGAACTGAATTTAAGGTTGGAAAAAATGAGAAACTGACAAATTTGCCCATCCGACTTGGTTAACATTTTGACTAGACACGTGTTTTCTTAACCTTTTTGACTGTGTTTCCAGCTCCACTCCAACCACCCCAGCATGAATCCAGTCCTGCAACTTGCATACCAGTCAGCAATTACAAATATCCTGATCTGCCTGTATCAAGATACAGAGAAGAGGTAAATGATGTTGCATCATGGTTTTATAAAGTTATGCTGTGTTTTCTTTCTCCCACCCCCAAGCTACTGTTTGCTTGGTTTTCACTTGTGCTAAAACAGGTATTGGAAAGGGTTTTCTTGACTTTGGTATTTGTAATTCATCAATAGCTTCCTCCCATGTATGCCCAGATAGTTTCTGCCATTGCATCAAGTCCTTTTCATCCATTAAATCTTAGTGTGCCGGTTGCATCCTTTCTTGGGTAAAGAGGATCTCACTGTAGTCATCTATGCTTTGGTAATAATCAGCAAGAACGTGGGGTGGCAGTGTCCCCAGAGCTTTATTTTCATTTTGGACAGTGTCAGGGAACAAGTTATAGCAACTGAAGATGCTGGGATTGAATCGCAGAACCCTACTGTAGAGTTGGAAGGGTGGAGGGTCATGTAGTCCCAACTCAGCGTTTGAAATTAGCCAGGCGGAATTCGGCCACTTGTGACCAAGTGAAGATGCCTGGGTGCCAAGGTGGATCCTTAGATCTCACCTGTTTTCATACACTCAACAACGCATCCTGTAGAATTCCACCCCTGATATCTCATCTGCACAATCGGAACCAATTTCAGGAACCAAAAACTGGAATGGAAAAATACAACTTTTGAGCTGTCTGACCGCAAAATGGCAGCTGGACGTTCCGTTTTGGTGACTGTAACCCTGGTTTAAGGAGCCATTTGGTGCCTAGCTTATATATCTGAGTTTCTAACACCGGTCCAACCCTTTGCCATGGAAGGTCATGTGCAAGGGAACACGGACTGAAAGAGTAAGGCAAGGCCTGATTCTGTGAGGTAAAGGAAAGTTGAACCAGCAATTTTTTCCCCTGAGGAATTAAGGAGACAACAGTTAGCTTATTTTGTTACTCTTAACATTTATGTTTCTGAAATTCTTGATAATTCAAAATTCTCTGGGCAAATGACAAAATGAAAATCACTAGAAAAATAAGGAACGTTAAGAAACTATGTTATTCTGAATTCTTGGACCCAGAGGTGTCTTACATGAGTGGAAAGACAGCTTAGAATGTAGCACCATTGAATTTTCCTGTTTTCCTTATCCAGCTTCAGCCCACTGTGCATCACACACTGTACCAGAAAATTACTCCCTTCATGGGAGGTTTTTAAGCAGAGGTTGGAGGGCCATCTGTCACGGATGCTTTAGTTAAGATTCCTGCATTGCAGAGGGTTGGACTAGATGACCCTACAGTTATATCTAATGTGTTATAGAATCATATAATCAATAGAAGCCATATTTGGTATTACTTGGAGGACATGCTTCCCTCCTTAGACAAATGGAGGGGGGGCGAAAAGTGTTCTGTAACCACCACTAGGTAATAGTAGGTAAAGTGGCTGCTTTGATGCTCCATGCATAGGATTTGAAGTAGCAGTGGAGAACGGATGGTTTGCTGGCCTCAGTGTTTGCTGGACTGCAGTTTCTGCCCTCTCTGGCCAGAGGACATGCTGATGGGAGCTGGAATCCAACCACATTTGGAGGACCACAGGTTCCCCACCCCTGCCTTAAAGGAGAGGAGAAGCACTTTGTGTTGAGGATAACGTTCACAAGTGGGACAGAGGAGAAACTTCTCTTGACCAACCCTCTAAATCCATCAGCGTGCAACAGAAGGAACCAAATGTCGATCTTTCTCTCTCTTTGTTTTAGAGTGAAAGAACTGAGAAGGTGATCAAAATCCAGAGAAGGCTGTTAAAGATTGTGGCCTGTCATCCTGCAGACGTGTCTTAAGTTATGGTTCTGTATTTTTTTTTAGATGATCTCCTTGATAGAAAGCAACTCTGTGCTAATCGTGCGTGGATCTACCGGCAGCGGCAAAAGCACTCAGCTTCCACAGTTTGTTTTGGACCACTGCGTGCAGCGCTCCACCTACTGCAACATCGTAGTGACTCAGCCTAGGAAAATTGGTGCCAGCAGTATTGCGAGGTGGATTAGTAAGCAGCGGGCATGGCCCCTGGGGGAACTTGTGGGCTACCAGGTACAGTGGCATGTTAACCCAACGTTAAAGCGCATGTTGTGTAAAGAACCCACCTGAATCTCTCTCTTCACTTTCTTCCCTCTTGGAATTGGATGGGCCAAATCATCTGATTCTTAGACGGCCTTTGTTGTGCGCTGAAATAGAGGTTTAGTCGAATCCCAGTCTTCTGTGCCGAAAAGGCATTTGCCGTCCTGCTGCAGGTCTGTGGCTCAAGTTTCCCTAATGAATGACCACCAATTTTAGGTGTTTTCAGAAAGGGCTGCAATTTAATACCTTGTTGCTTGTTCTTCTGAGGACATTTCTGTTCCAGAACAGCTTCTTTTTCATTATGCTCAGGTGACGCTTGGGACAAACAAGGGTGCATTATAGAGCGCCTTTCATACCAGCCCTTCCTGGGCGTGGGAACCATTTCAACCAAACTTCGTTGACTGCCACAAATGTTTTCATGATATGTGTTTGAAGCAAAATGTGTGGTGTTTATATTTTTCAACGGTTTTTAGGTTGGTTTAGAAAAAGTTGCATCCAAGGACACGAGGCTGATTTATATGACAACGGGAGTTCTCCTTCAGAAAATAGTGGGGTCCAAAAGCCTTTCAGAGTTCACCCACGTCTTCATAGATGAAGTAAGTTGAAGGAAGATAAGATTGCACCAAGGCTGCTTTTCGTAGGAAACGTTTCCATTGGGCTCTTAATCTCACAGCTTCTGCATGAGAATAGCGCTCGGATGCCTGTAATATCTGCGTTCTTCATTGAGCTGCTAGGTTGGTGGTACCAGGGCCCAGGGCCTTCTCTGTGGTGGCACCATATCTTTGGAGTGCACTCCCCATGGAAATGCAGATCATTGGCATCAAATTTATTACGAGTAAAATGAGTAAAACATACTGCGACACAATAGGGTGGGCCCTGAAAACACCCAATGGCCTGGGTAAAGAGGTGCTTCTTCAGCATACACCGAAAGCTGTATATCAAAGAAGCAAGGCTCACCCCTGTGTAGAGGGAATTTTACAACTTAGGAGCTGCCACAGAGATAGCGCTTTCCTGGGCTGCTGCTGCCACCACTCTCAACTTCCGAGTGTGGTGGAACGGTACCAAGAGGGCCCAACTGCTGTTCTTAACACCTGGGAGGGTCTGTAGGGTCAGGATTTCAGGCCTAAGTTGTTTAGGGCTTTAAACACTAATGTGAGCACCTTGAATTGTGCCGGGAAATGAAATGGCAGCCAATGCATTTTTTTAAGGGGTGAAGTGGGTCCTAAATTGCATCCCAGCCAGTAATCTGGCTGCTGCATTTTTTGCCTTTTGCCTGTTTTATTTTCCTTTCGTACTTTGAACCGGTTCACAGTCAAATGATAACTCTGCACCTTTTTAGCTGCAACCAGGAAAGATGGGGTGAGAGAGGAAGAGAAATGTGCATGCCAGGGGTACCCTTCTGATCTCCTGACAGTTAGCTAGGGAAAACGCTGATCTCTGAGCCCAGTGCAGCTCTAAAGTTCACATCACTCGTGTTAAGCCCTCTCATCTGCTATGAACCCCTTTAGGTGCACGAGCGTACTGAAGAGATGGATTTCTTACTGCTGGTGGTCCGTAAACTGTTGCGCACCAATTCGCGATTTGTGAAGGTAAATTTAAACTACAAGTTAATGCATTCTGAAAATGCAAGATCGGCTTATCATAATTCTGTGGCATGGAAATAATCTCCTAATACTGCAGTTTTTGGTGTTAGGGGTGTCGTGTAACAGCCTACCGGGCTCTCAAAGTAGTGACAGAGTAGGACTTAGACATCAGCATACAGGGACAAAGGACATCTGGCTTGCGTCACAAACAGCTCTATCCTGAGATACCTGGTTGCTTTTGAAAGTCAGTTAAGGCCCACCCTGCCACTTGCACACGTTCTCTCTCCACCCCCACCACCCAGTCCTGCGCCTTCCAGGTTCCCTTGTTCCTTTCACCAATGCCATCTGCTGCCAGCTATCACTCGTTCTCCAGCTGAAAAGGGCATCACAGCTGAATCCAGCCCATTCAAAGCCAGGAAACGCAGCTGGGAATGCCTCGGAGCAATCCCTGCACATTGGGGCTGGCGAGTTTTCAGCTGGAGTGCATCATGGTTGGGCATTCTGTTTCCCCTGGAATAACATTCCTCTGGGAGCATCCGCAGACTTCAGAGCGCCCCTCGTGCATTTGCGATCTTTTCCGGCTCAACCCTCTGTTCATCGAATAGCGGTAATGAAAACTGATTCCAACAGTTTCGCTGTTGGATGAAAAGGCCGCGAAGTGGTGGAAAGCATTGATGTGCTGCGTAAATAACTATTGAAAAGCATGCCATCTCTTCTGAGAAGTTAACAGGCTTCCAGGGCTTCTTCAGGCACCCAACAGTGATGGGTAGGTGATGCTCTAAGACAGCCTTTCCCTGATTGGGGGGCTTCTGGAAGTTTTGGAGTACAAATACAACAGCTGTGTTGGCTGGGACCAATAGGAGTTGCATTGCAAAACATTCAGCGGTTGGAAGAGGCTGTTGTAGTAGACAGAGGCACAACGAAGGCAGCTATAGGAGCATAAGGCTATATCCTACCTCCACTGTTGGAAACAGTTGAGGTTGTTTTTGGCATTGTCTCAAGAGATGATGGATTGCGCCTCTGAAGGTGGTCAAACTGCTGTGTTAGCAGCAGCAGAGTGACCTCTCCAGGGTTCAAACCTGGGCAGTGTATATGGAGGTCCTGGGCTGCCCAGACGACAAGCCCCCTCTCTCAGCCTCGTTCCAACCCCCTTCTGCCCACTCTGTTGCAGTGCAGGATCGTGCTTGCATTAACCAGCATTGATATGGTCTGTTGCTACTTGCAACGTTCACAAAGAATAAGGAAGTAACATTGGAAGCGCATATTATAGTGGGGGAAGGTATATGCACCAAGTATGTATCAGAGGATCGCCAAAACATTTGCTATCAGGACGCAACATCATCAATGTATTATAGTATTTTAATATTTTTTTGGAAGCGGCCCAGAATGGCTGGGGAAGCCCAGCCAGGTGGGCAGGGTATAAATAATAAATTATTATTATTATTATCATCAAAGCTGGAAGTCAGGTCCTTCGTTGTTCAGATTTAGAAATCCCCCCATTACTTTCTCATGCATGCACTCTTGGGTTGGGGCTAAAAATTTTTAAACGGTTCTAATTTTCGTTTGTTTTTTGTTGGGTTGATGTTGGTTAAATGTTTACTTGTAGTTGGTGGTTATTTTAATTTGGGTATAACTGCAAATTGTTTGTTGTTGTTATTTGTTCCTATTGATTTATTGGTTTGTTTGTTGCTCGTATAGGATATTTTGTTCTTTAATGTTTGATGCTTTGTTGTGTTTTTATTTATGTTGTAAGCCGCCCAGAGTGGTGGGAAAACCCAGCCAGACGGGCAAGATATAAATTTAAAAATTATTATTATTATCCTTGATGTGGTCCAAAGGAAAGCAGGGCAAGACATTTGGCACCAACTTGGCTGCAGGAGTTGCTGGAAAGAGGCGTACAAGGCTCCATCCAACTGCCTTAGGGACTCCACTCTGGATCTGTGTAGGGTTTACTCCTAAGCCTTTTCTTTTCCTGAAGATATACCTACCACAAGGCAGTGGAGGTTTAGGACCAGTCAGTCAGTCAGTTTTATTGCACATAGCCAAAGGCTGCCACAATGTACACAGAATCATTCAACTATTAAAAGAAAATATCCTGGATTAATACAAGAAACTTAAAACATTTATATTATCAAGACGTTACCTACTCTAAACAGTACCTTAAAAAGTACCTTAATATACAGGTTAAGACATTGAACAATAAAATTTATAAGCTAAAATCGTCACATGGCCACTAATATATTAAGAAATAATGTTAATTAATACAATGTGCAATTATATTTGGAGTTTGGTGATAAAGATAGAATATAGCTTGATGTAGATAGGGTCAAATAAATTCATCTCCTTTACAGTTGGTGGGTTTAGGACCAGTTTTTTCCTTCTCTTAGATGGGCTACCTTCCCAGGTTGACAAGCCCCATCTGCCCCTCCCTTCTTTCTACAGCACATGCAGAAACCTCCTTCTTAACTGGCTTTAAGCCTCTAAATACTAATTGCTGGGAATTGCAATTGAGCAGTACTGCTTGGGAGGTTCTCCCACTGGCAAACCAGATGCCTCTGGGAACAGGATGCTGGACTAGAGAGGCCACTGGCAGGGCTGCTCTTACGTTTTGAGGCCTGATCATGCTGATGACGAACCCTAAAAATGACATTTACACAGAGGGGATCGCATGACACTAGCAGAATGACATTTGGAAGCAGCCCTCCCCCCCCGACTCAGATTTTGTGACACTTTGTATCTATTAACAAGAGACACGCGTTTTGCAGCAATATTGTGCCCCAAGGGTTTTTAATCTTCCTATTGTGCACATTGAGTAAACACGTTGTGCTTTTTTCTTGTATGCACAAGATCAAATGTAGTCAGTGTCTGAAACTATCTATACCCACATCTCTTCTTAAAACACACACACACACACACACACACACACACAAAGTCTCAAATGCAAACAGCTTTATTATTATTTATTAAATTTCCATAGCACCCTTTATCTGAGGAACACATGGCAGTTTACAAAATAAAAACATAAAAATACATAACATAGTGACAATACCACCACCCAAAAAAATTCAGTACAGTGGTACCTTGGGTTACATATGCTTCAGGTTACAGACTCTGCTAACCCAGAAATATTACCTTGGGTTAAGAACTTTGCTTCAGGATAAGAACAGTAATCGTGCTCCCACGGTGCGGCAGCAGCGGAAGGCCCCATTAGCTAAAGTGGTGCTTCAGGTTAAGAACAGTTTCAGGTTAAGAACGGACTTCCAGAACGAATTAAGTACTTAACCCGAAGTTCCACTGTACACAGTAGGAATTCAAGCTGTGAAGCTTCTGAAGCTCATTTTCATACTTCCCCCTTTCCACAGGTAATTCTGATGTCTGCAACAATCAACTGCCAAGAGTTTGCCGACTATTTTGCTATCCCCGTCCGCAACAGGCTGTATCCAGCATATGTGTTTGAAGTAGAAGGCAAACCTCATGCTATTGAAGAGTATTACCTCGACGACCTGAGGCCTATTCTCAGTCATATCAGGGTATGGAAAACAACTGGCTTTGGTCTCTCTGTCTAGAATAACTTTGGGGATATTAAGGGTAAGGAGATGGGCTTAAAACCCCAAGAAATTCCCCCTCTCCTCTTTCTGGCATATGCATAGTAGCTTCAGGAGGTAAGAAAGGAAGAGGTTTAAAGTAGAGCTTCTCCCCCACCCGCCCTAACATAACATCTTCCTTTTAAACCAGGTTTCAGATTCTGCATTGTCAGTGTAATGTGATCTAACGAGTGAATCCCGCCGAAGCATTGATTTAATGGTTTCAGACTTAATTCAGTGGGGAGGGGAAGGGGCCAGTGGGAGAGGAGAAAATTAATTGGCTGTACACTCCAGGCAGGCGTATCTGTTAACAAGCAAGAGTGCCAATCAAAGGCAAACTGATAGACTCCTGCAGTCATCGAAGTCCCGATACACAGAACAAAGAGTATCTGTCCTGTTATAACAATGTCCCGTCAGCATTCATGTATTTGACAGCAGTGTGTTGGCAACACCCATGGACAGAACAGGGAGGGACGCTTATATAATCCTTCTGGATGTTTGTGAAAGATTCCTGGTGATGCGTGGCAAGTAAGAGAGTCAGGAAAGTTGACTAGAAAGTCTCTCCCTATCAGGTCAGATCAAGGTTTCTTTAGTGTGTGGTTGGACACAAAATGTGTGTAGTTTTTTTGTAGGGGGGATTTGCTCCTGGGAAGCTGATAATGCGCAGTTTGGAAAAAAACCTGTGTGAAGGATTAGGCACATTAGGTGTTACATGTTTATCAATCACTTAAATGACAAGCAATGTCAGGGGCAGCATGCACAAAAATTATATAAGGGTTGAACACACAGTTTCCATATTTAAAAGAAACAGCCCAAACTGTATTTAAACAACAACAACATTTTTTCTTTCTTTCTTTGGCTGGAACCTCTTCTTCACATTCACCTTTCAGCAGGTAACACTTTGTCACCTTCTTGTTCATAAACTTCTCCTGGTTTTACACCTGTTAGTTGCTGATCTAAGGCAGATAGTCAGTGTATAGTAGACTATACACTGACTATCTCCCCCCCCCCTTTTAAAAGTCTGACGGAGAATTTGTGCAATTGGAAAATCTGCTTTTTAAAAACTTCCAGGATTGGATCTGTCAGACATGTTATTGCTTCTGTCAATTAGGTTTCCTAGCCACTTGATTTCAAGCCCAACACCTTCATGTGTATGGGAAAGGGGCTGCTTTAGGATCCTGGCTCCTCTACCCCAACCTTCTGAAAAGATTGTACAGCTTTAGTCCTCCCATTATTGCTACTGTATTTCCTCCCCCTCTTCTCACTCCCCCTTCCACCCTTCCTGGCTTATGGCCCTTCTTCTTTGCTTAGTAGGGAGGAACAAATAGGATGGTACAGGCGGTTGTGTTTTGTACCTTTAGGGCAGCTCTGGAGCAGCTTTGATAATAGCGGTGGAGCCCTTTCGGAGTTTTCCTAGGAGAAAAGGCACCAAGCTTCGTTTGCTATTTTATGAAGGCTTTTGCTTTTTTATTTTATTTCGAAAAAGCTGACAGCTATGGGTGGTATTGAACACTTTGGATCTGCTGATGCAGGGCACTTGAGCTAGCAGCCTCCAGCCCACCCTCAAAATCAGCCCCAGAGGGTTGGGCAGATACCAAAGATTCCAACTGAGAAACGACTCTGTCCCTGTGGTGATGGCAATCTGGAAACAGTGGCTCATGTTCTGTCCTGTCCCCTTTATAAAGATCTGAGGAATGAGATCATCACCCCACTCCTACTTACCATCCCAGGCCGCCCATCCGCGGCCACATTGTTCTTTCTGTTATCAGTTCAAAATGATCAGACAACAGCAAAGGTTGCTAGGTTTATCGAGAGTGCAATGAGATTAAGGGCCACTATCTGAACGATAAGGGACGCGGGTGGCGCTGTGGGTTAAACCACAGAGCCTAGGACTTGCCAATCAGAAGGTCAGCGGTTCGAATCCCCGTGACGGGGTGAGCTCCCGTTGCTCAGTCCCTGCTCCTGCCCACCTAGCAGTTTGAAAGCACATTAAAGTGCAAGTAGATAAATAGGTACTGCTCTGGCGGGAAGGTAAACGGTGTTTCCGTGCGCTGTGCTGCTTTGCCAGAAGCGGCTTAGTCATGTTGGCCACATGACCCAGAAGCTGTACGCCGGCTCCCTCGGCCAATAAAGCGAGATGAGCGCCACAACCCCAGAGTCGGCCACGACTGGACCTAATGGTCAGGGGCCCCTTTACCTTTTTATCTGAACGATAATCTTGACCATTTGTCCTTTTACGAATTGTTGTCTTTTTAAATGTATATATTGCTTGTTTTATGTTGCTATGGCCGTTGGCTAATGCAAATAAAGTTTAAAAAACAACAACTCTGTAGAAGCATTTTGGAAAGAGATTAAGTGCTGCATTGGATGCAATTCTATGTAATGGGTTGGATGCTAGTTGGAAACTGGTGTTGTGGCCTCACAGTCAGAGGAGGTGGGTCCAAGGATACTCAGCCTCCAACTGGGGAATCGGATCAGGCTCCTCATCCTGATGTGAACCAACAGTGTTCAGCGCTGGTGGTCTGGAGCCTACACAGATGCTTGTCCTCTGAGCCTGACTCATCACACAAATCAGCTACCTGTTCTGCCCAGTGATGCAGGGAACAGAAGGAGGGACCAGCTGGTTGGCCCTTTAAGAACCACAGTCTCTCCCTTTACCTCTGGCCTGTGTCAGAGCTATGGGAGCTATCCATGGTGCTGCAACTACTAGCCTGGCTGGCTGCTGTGGAAATTTGGCACAGATGGGTTAGAACAGCTACAGCTGCTTCTTTTTGTGTTTTCATAAACGTACACAAAGGCTTGGAAAGCCCGATGCTGCTCTGCAGTGGTGTAGGCAGGTTCTAATGCTTGAGCAGAAAGCACCAGTGCTAAGAAAAGCTTAGAGCAGCCTTTCCCAACCTCGTGCCCTTGGTTTATAAGTCCCACCTACCTCAGGCAGCTATGCCAGTATAACTTTATGAATATGAGGAGGAATAGCATGATTATTTATTATTATTTGTTAAATTTCTGTATTATGGGAGTTGTAGATCGGAAGAGGTAAGGTTATGCACAAATTTGGAATTCTTGTTTTCAGTGAAAATACTGCACCACACCCTTTCCTTATGTTTACAGGGTGCAGACCTACCTGCTTGTCATTGGTTACTCTGTACAAGGCACCATTTTTAGTTTGTGTCTACATCCCGGTGCTTGAAACCCCCTCAACTACTTTTGCCAGTAGCAGTAAGCTGTCACCACTCAGGAATGCCACTGGTCTGTGGGGGAGGGGGGGGAGAGTCCCTTTTAAGAAAAGCCCTGCTATTTGTATGCCACCTTTCCATAGTTAGAACCATACCGTGATCAACACCCACCTGGAAACCAATGTCCCCACTGTGGAAGGACATGTGGATCCAGAACTGGTTCCCACAGTCACTTACGTGGCCCAGGGAGAGAGGGAAAAATAGTGGAAGTGAACAGCTGGCTCCGCAAATGGTGTAAACAGGAACGGTTTGGATTCTTAGATCACGGACTGCAGTTTCTTGAAGATGGACTTCTGGCAAGTGATGGGCTGCACCTCACAACGGTTGGGAGGAATGTTTTTGCCAAAAATCTCAGAAACCTCATCAGGAGGGCTTTAAACTGACTAATGTGGGGAGGGAGACAGTGCTCCTGAAGGTAGGAGTCTATCAATTGATGAAGATGATCATCCAAATGTCATAGACCAAATGGAGCAAACAGCACACAGACCTAGTGGTGGGAGGAAAAAATCCTTAAATAAGAAACACGGGGAATGATTAATGGACTTCAATGTCTGTACACTAATGCGCAAAGCATGGGAAATAAACAAGATGAGCTTGAGCTCTTGGTACAGCAAACTAAATATGACATAATAGGCATCACTGAAACCTGGTGGGATAAGTCCCACGATTGGAATGTAATAATGGGGGATACAATCTATTTCAGAGAAACAGACCAGACAAGAAAGGAGGAGGAGTGGCGTTATATGTCAGGGATGTGTATACCTGTGAAGAGATCCAAGATTTAGAACCTCAAAGCCAAAGTGAGAGCATTTGGGTCAAAATTAAGGGAGAGAAGAATAACAGTGACCTCATTGTGGGAGTTTACTATAGATCCCCAAGCCAAACGGAGGACATAGATGATGCCTTCCTGGAACAGATGGCCAAGCATGCAAAAGGAAGGGAGATAGTAGTAATGGGGGACTTCAGTTACCCGGATATTTGTTGGATGTCAAACTCAGCCAAGAGCATAAGGTCAAACAGATTCCTCACTGGCCTTGCAGACAACTTCATTGTCCAGAAAGTGGGAGAAGCAACAAGAGGAACAGCCATTTTAGATCTGGTCCTAACCAATGTTGATGACCTGGTTAGTGGGGTAGAAGTGGAAGGATCATTAGGCACGAGTGATCATGCTCTTCTGAAGTTTACTATACAGCGGAAAGGAGCAGCCAAGCATACTAGGACTCAATTTCTTGACTTTAAGAAAGCCGACTTCATAAAACTTAGGGAAGTGCTGGGTGAGATCCCATGGACAATAATACTAAAAGGAAAGGGAGTTCATGATGGCTGGGAGTTTGTTAAGAGGGAGATAGTAAAAGCACAATGTCAGGCAATACCAATGAGACGGAAACATGGAAGGTGCCTAAAGAAGCCAGGGTGGCTATCTAAAGAACTTTTAACTGAGTTAAGATTAAAAAAAGGATGTGTACAAAAAATGGAAAAGGGGAAACCACCAAAGAGGAATTCAAACAAATAGCCAGCACGTGTAGACACAAAGTCAGAAAAGCTAAAGCACAGAATGAACTCAGGCTTGCTAGAGAGGTTAAAAGCAACAAAAAAGGTTTTTATGGGTATGTTCGTAGCAAAAGGAAGAACAAATAAACAGTGGGGTCACTCAGAGGAGAAGATGGTGAAATGCAAACAGGGGACACAGAAAGGGCTGAACTCCTCAATGCCTTCTTTGCCTCAGTCTTCTCCGATAAAGAAAACAATGCCCGACCTGAAGAATTTGGAGCAAATGATTCAGCAAAGGAAACACAGCCCAGAATAACTAAGGAGATAGTACAAGAATACTTGGCTAGTTTAGATGTATTCAAGTCTCCAGGGCCAGATGAACTGCATCCAAGAGTATTAAAAGAACTGGCAGATGTGATCTCAGAACCACTGGCAGTCATCTTTGAGAATTCCTGGAGAACAGGCGAAGTCCCGGCAGACTGGAGGAGGGCAAATGTTGTCCCTATTTTCAAAAAGGGAAAAGAGAGGACCCAAATAATTACCGCCCAGTCAGTCTGACATCAATACCAGGGAAGATTCTGGAGCAGATCATTAAGCAAACAGTCTGTGAGCACCTAGAAAGGAATGCTGTGATCACCAATAGTCAGCATGGATTTCTGAAAAATAAGTCATGTCAGACTAACCTGATCTCGTTTTTGACAGAATTACAAGCCTGGTAGATGAAGGGAACGCAGTGGATGTAGCCTACCTTGATTTCAGCAAGGCATTTGACAAGGTGCCCCATGATATTCTTGTAAAGAAGCTGGTAAAATGCGGTCTTGACTATGCTACCACTCAGTGGATTTGTAACTGGCTGACTGACCGAACCCAAAGGGTGCTCATCAATGGTTCCTCTTCATCCTGGAGAAGAGTGACTAGTGGGGTGCCACAGGGTTCTGTCTTGGGCCCGGTCTTATTCAACATCTTTATCAACGACTTGGATGATGGACTCAAGGGCATCCTGATCAAATTTGCAGATGACACCAAACTGGGAGGGGTGGCTAACACCCCAGAGGACAGGATCACACTTCAAAACGACCTTGACAGATTAGAGAACTGGGCCAAAACAAACAAGATGAATTTTAACAGGGAGAAATGTAAAGTATTGCACTTGGGCAAAAAAATGAGAGGCACAAATACAAGATGGGGACACCTGGCTTGAGAGCAGTACATGTGAAAAGGATCTAGGAGTCTTGGTTGACCACAAACTTGACATGAGCCAACAGTGTGATGCGGCAGCTAAAAAAGCCAATGCAATTCTGGGCTGCATCAATAGGAGTATAGCATCTAGATCAAGGGAAGTAATAGTGCCACTGTATTCTGCTCTGGTCAGACCTCACCTGGAGTACTGTGTCCAGTTCTGGGCACCACAGTTCAAGAAGGACATTGACAAACTGGAACGTGTCCAGAGGAGGGCAACCAAAATGGTCAAAGGCCTGGAAACGATGCCTTATGAGGAACGGCTAAGAGAGCTGGGCATGTTTAGCCTGGAGAAGAGGAGGTTAAGGGGTGATATGATAGCCATGTTCAAATATATAAAAGGATGTCACATAGAGGAGGGAGAAAGGTTGTTTTCTGCTACTCCAGAGAAGCGGACACGGAGCAATGGATCCAAACTACAAGAAAGAAGATTCCACCTAAACATTAGGAAGAACTTCCTGACAGTAAGAGCTGTTCGACAGTGGAATTTGCTGCCAAGGAGTGTGGTGGAGTCTCCTTCTTTGGAGGTCTTTAAGCAGAGGCTTGACAACCATATGTCAGGAGTGCTCTGATGGTGTTTCCTGCTTGGCAGGGGGTTGGACTCGATGGCCCTTGTGGTCTCTTCCAACTCTATGATTCTATGATTCTATGATTCTACATACTCATGGTTAAAACCATGTCTATGGAAGACATTCTTACTCGGCTACAAGTGATCGCCGAAGAAGTAGTAGTAGTTATAACCATGCTCAAGGGGGCTTGCAACATGAAAAGATTTACGTAGTCAAAAAGCATGTCAAAAGTTTTCTCTCTCTTATCTGAGGAGAGTTTTGTCATTTTGTTTCTTTAAAAAAACCACCACATTTACTTGTTTGCAAAATGTTCTGTACCGTCAACATTAAGAAAAAGTGTCGTAGTGTTGAGCAGCACAAAAATCAACAATAAAATTCCATCAGTAAAACCAAATGCAAAGCACATCACAAATCAGTAGATCGGATTATAATGCATCAACATAACCTGGTGGGGGAAAGCCTGGGTGAACAGGCTTCCTTGCGTGAATTGTTGTTGGATCCCAACAGCTGCTTTTCCTCAAGAGTAGAGCAACTTGGGAGTACTTTGGTTTTTAAAGGCAAAATAAATTACCGTATTTTTCGCTCTATAACACACACCCGACCATAACACGCACATAGTTTTTAGAGGAGGAAAACAAGGAAAAAAATATTCTAAACGAAACAGTGGATGTATGATTTTTGTGGTTCATGCTGTGACTACAGACATGTGATTTGTTGGTGAGTTTGGGGTAGCCCAATGCAAAAATCCTGAGGATCCATGTGGATCTGTGCTTTGTAACCACGTTTTAAGTGGGGAGGGAAGGAAAAACACTCAAGGGACAAGAAGCACGCGTGGGGTGGGTGGAGAAGGATGCTGCTAATAATGCAGAAGAGGGGTATAAGAGGAGAAGGCTCCTCTCCTCTCCCGCTTTGCTCCTTTAAAGCAAGCAGGCTCTGCTCCTCTCCCTCCTCCCCGGCTTGTTGAAAAACTTTGCTGCTATTTAGCGAGCTGAGTGGGGAGGAGAGAGGGACAGAGAGCCTGCTTGCTTTAAAGGAGCCAACCGGACAGGAGCCACTTACACTCGTGTAAGCGGCTCCTCTCTTGCTTTGCTCCTTTAAAGAAGCAGGCTCTCTGTCCCTCTCTCCTCCCCACTCAGCGGCTCTTCTCCCGCTTTGCTGTTTCCAAAGCGAGCCACGGAGGAGGGAAGGAAGGGAACCGTGGATCCTCTGCTCACGACTGCAGCAGATCCCCCCGCCACCCGTAGGCATTCACTCCATAACACGCACAGACATTTCCCCTTACTTTCTAGGAGGAAAAAAGTGAGTGTTATGGTGCAAAAAATACGGTATTTAAAATTATTCTCTTATTTTTTATTTCTGTGCTGCATTGTGTTGGGTAAAGCTGTCTCTATCAGATTTGTTTCCAGTTTGAATGGGTCACTTCTGGCAGCCAGGGTTCCACTTGTGGACTCTTGTATTTGTCAAACTGCAAACTTCCCTGGTAAAACGCCCTGGCAGCTCTTGTCTTCGGAGATAGCAGAAAAGGGGGGGAAAGCGCTGAAGCTTCAGCAAGGTGAAAACTCAAGCTCTGAAAGCTACTGAAGCAGAGAAACTCAAACTGATGGCTTTTACATTCTAACAAGTAAGAATGGAATAATCCTAGGATAAGATAGAAGATGAAACGGCCTGTAGCCTTCATAAAATGGTTCACCAACCCATCCCGACCATCCAGTCTCACTGCCTTAGGTGAAATATATGCAACTGTTCAAATGAAACTAACATCTTCACACAAGGATTTGGGTTAATGGTCACTGAGCAACAGGGTCAGGGAACCTCTCCAGATGTTGTGGATCTCAATTCTTGCCATCCCTGACCATTAGCCATGCTCACGGGCTGGTGGCAGTTGGGGTCCAACGTCATTGGGAGGGCTGCAGGTTCCCCATCTCTGCTGTGCAACATGGTTTTTTTTGTTTGTTTGCTAACAGTCTGGCGTACTTTATATTGTGATTGTTTCCAACATTGTAGGGGGTTGGATGACCCTTGGGGGGGGTCTCTCCCAACTCTGCAATTCTGTGTCCACATCTCTGTAGGACATCATGCATAGCATGTGCTACGTGCGCCAAAAAAATTGTTCACTGCTTTTCTATCTCAGGACTGCCAAGTTTAGTACAGTGGTACCACTGAGCCTCTTGGGCTTGGCGATCGGAAGGTCGGCGGTTCAAATCCCTGTGACGGGGTGAGCTCCCGTTGCTCGGTCCCTGCTCCTGCCAACCCAGCAGTTCGAAAGCACCTCAAAGTGCAAGTAGATAAATAGGTACCACTCCGGTGGGAAGGTAAACAGCGTTTCTGTGCGCTGCTCTCGTTTCGCCAGAAGTGGCTTGGTTATGCTGGCCACATGACCCAGAAGCTGTACGCTGGCTCCCTCAGCCAATAAAGCGAGATGAGCGCCGCACCCCAGAGTCATCCGTGACTGGATCTAATGGTCAGGGGTCCCTTTACCTTTACCTTGCCTTGGTTATCAAACTTAATCCGTTCTGGGAGTCCATTCGACTCCTGGAACCATTTGAAAACCGAGGCATAGCTTCTGATTGGCTGCCGGACCTTCCTGCACTAAATTGGAAGCCAAGTTGGACGTTTGGCTTCCAAAGAACATTCGAAAACTGGAACACTCACTTCTGGGTTTTCGGCATTCAGGAGCCAAAACATACGAGTACCAAGGTGTTTGGGAACCAAGGTACAGCTGTACATAAATGGAACTTGTAAAAACCAGCAAACTCTTTAAAACACATTGTTTCACCATCTGTCTACTTCTGTTATCCACAATTTTTAAATATGTTGATTAGCCAGGTTTCTCTGACCTTAGAAAATAATTCATTCTTTAGCCAAGGGGAACAAAGGCTGTTCACTCAGGTGGAATTGCATCTCCTTTTAGAAGACTTTCGGTTAATTAACATTGTGAATTAGGCTTTGAAAAATGTACTGATGGAAGAAGATTTGTGTTGGCTGGGAATTGCAAGTTTCTTCATGTTCGCCTAAAAGCTCCTTTCTCATAAATAGACTACATCTTACCAAAGATTGAAGGAAGCAGCTTCTTTATGTTCTGCAATCCGGAGCAGAATGTGCCCTTTTGTACTTCCTGCCTGTCAACTTTGGCATAATTGGGAAGAGAATAAAATCATACTAGAAGTCCTTCCACAGGAAAAGCAGCTGTGCTTGGAATGTATCAGGACTTCAGTTCATCATAAAATATTCTCTGTACCTGTTGGTTCCCTGCCTTCAGTCTCTTGGCGGGGTGGGGGAACCCACTGCCACCAGGGCTGTGTACACACTATGCATTTAAGCACATTTCTCCCCCTCCAGAATTTTGAGCAATGTAGTTTACCCATCACCAAATTATAATTCCCAACAACAATTAACAAACTATACCAGCCTTATACGGAGACAAACCTTTTGGTCTATCTAGCTCTGCATTGCTTACACAGACTGGCAGCAGCTCTCTAGGATTCTCATAACATGGAGCGCCCCCCACTCTAGGAATTGAACCTGTGACCTTTTGCATGCAAGGCAGGTGCTCTACCGCTGAGCTACCATCCTGCCTCACCTTGCTTTCTGTCCTACGTCTCTTCTGATTTCCTTCACTCATCCCTGCCATTCACAACCCATCCCTGACCTCTTTTTTCATTTTTATTTGTAATTTTCAGTTATATACATTTCAGTAGTTTTACAGTCATTTTAACATTTCAAAACTCTACTTCCTTCCTCCTCTTTCTGCGGTTAAATTTATATTTATCACTTCCTGCATATTCTGAATTAACTGATTCTTTTATAGTTACTCTTATGAAACTGGAGGTTATTACAATAATCCTGCCAATGTCCTTATATGTATACAATTTATTTGTACATATTCAATAAAGTTTGTTGTCTTGATTTCTTATTTTTTTGGTAAGTTTCTCCATATCTGCCTAGTCCGTGAGTTTTTGTATCTAGTCGTCTTTCATTGGGACTACTACTACTTTCCATTTTGGGGCCAATAACATTCTTGCCACTGTAGTCGCATACATAAATAAATTTCTATACTGTTTAGGTAGTTCTACCCTTATAATTTCCAGAAGGAAAGCTGATGCTTCCCCCCCCCCCAATGTTATTTTAAACATCATTCTCAATTCATTATATATCATTCCCTAGTAAGCTTTAACCTTTCTGTAAGACCACCACTTACGATAGAAAGTACCTTCTTTCTCTTTGCATTCCCAACACTTACTCGATTTTGATTTATACATTTTTGCCAGTTTACTCGGTGTTAGACACCATCTGTATAACATTTTCAGGGACGCAGGTGGCACTGTGGTGTAAACTACTGAGCCTTGGGCTTGCCGATCGGAAGGTTGGCAGTTCGAATCCTCGTGACAGGATGAGCTCCCGTTGCTCAATCCCAGTTCCTGCCAACCTAACAGTTCGAAAGCATGCCAGTTCAAGTAGATAAATAGGTACCGCTCCAGTGGGAAGGTAAACGGCGTTTCCGTGCGCTGCTCTGGTTTCGCCAGAAGCGGCTTAGTCATGCTGGCAGCATGACCTGGAAAAACTGTCTGCGGAAAACGTCGGCTCCCTTGGCCAGTAAAGCGAGATGAGCGCCATAACCACAGAGTCGTTCGCGACTGGACTTAACTGTCAGGGGTCCTTTACCTTTACTATATAACATTTTCATACAGTTTTCTCTTAACGTCCCTGACCTTTCTGCATCCCCTGTCCATTTACCATTGTTTGCAAGACCCTTCAGGCAGGGAAGGTGTCATAATTCCTTTGGTGTCACCTCACCTCCTTATGCCAGCAATTTTTTATAAATAGCAAGAGTAATAGTAACCTCCCCTTTTGCTCTACCCTCTAGAGAGCCAGTGTGGTGTAGTGGTTAAGAGTGGTGGACTCATAATCTGGGGAACCGGGTTCGTGTCCCCGCTCCTCCACATGCAGCTGCTGGGTAACCTTGAGCTAGTCACACTTCTCTGAAGTCTCTCAGCCCCACTCACCCCACAGAGTGTTTGTTGTGGGGGAGGAAGGGAAAGGAGAATGTTAGCCACTTTGAGACTCCTTCGGGTAGTGATAAAGCGGGATATCAAATCCAAATTATTTTTCTTCTTCTTCTAGATTCCAATACAAGTTACTGAGGACCCGGTCATACCTGAAGAGATGTACAGAGCTGCAGTTTCTCTGATCCAGTGGTTTGATGAGTTGGAAATGAAAGAGAGCAGGTGAGATTCTGTTCTTCCTGCTCCCTGTGCAGAGTTGCACAGGTGGGCTCCTTGCCTCTGAAGAAGAGACCTTTGAACATTCTGACCAGGAAATTGGTGCTTGTCAGTGGTGGATGGTGTCTGGTAGGGCAGAAGGCAGTAGGTGGCGCCAGAGATTATGATAATCTTATTTTATACCGCCCAACTGACTGGTTTGCCCCAGCCGCTCCGGGTGGCTTCAGCAATGACAGAGCCAGCTAATTCCAGCTTTGTCCTCATCTTCCTTCCTGGTGAGTTCTACAGGGGCAACACTGAGGAGAAAGAAGCTGATAGGCAGTGCCATCCCCAGACTTGTTATGAGTAAGAAATCAGACAGGTGTTGCCCAGCTGAGGGCAGACTGAGGTTGGGGGCGCAGTGCCCCATTCAGCCTAATGGACTAGCCTCTACTGGACTTGCACCCCTTTCTCCTTAAAGGGTGCCTTCAATGCACTGTGAAGGTGGGGACTTGAATGCTCCCCCATAACGAAACCAGCATTCCCTGCAGCTGTGGGTCAGTTCTGGAGGAACATTCTCGAGTTTTCCTGTGATCGAGCCCCTTTAGTTCAGAATTCCTAAATGAATTCCCGTACTCAAGACACACCAAGTGAAAACTACACCGACAGAACAGCCCTGGGGTCGTGTTTTCTGCAAGTCCCCTGCGGCGTGTCCTGCCCCCTGTTTTTTTGGGTGCTTCGCAAGAATCTGTCCCTCTCTGGGAAGGTCTTTGGTCCCTTGTCTCTTGGCAAGAGTTGCGATGTGGTGCAGACTGTCTTAACCTCTTCCTGTAGAAGTGTCTGGGCCCAAGCAGTAGCCAGTTTGTCACTGGGCTGATGGAGGTGTGTGTGTGTGTGTGTGTGCGTGTGTGCACGCTGTGGCATTGGTGTGTGTGTTCCGCAGTGGTGTGCACTGGGTTGTGTGTGTCTCACCAGCCTACGTTCTTTGCATTGGGGACAATTACCCCCATATTATCCCTGATAAATTGCACGACTGGAGTCTGGTGCCATGGGAAAGCAGCCAAATGCAATGGTGATCAGACTGGAAGTCCTGCCTCCATCCATACATGAACTGGGATGGGCATTGAATTATACTGAGTCGAGAGTGGATTTCATGCTCTTTATTCAGCTCATAGTGGTGAGGAGAAATGCAAGTTCCCCCAGAATGTCTGCTTTATATACATTATTTACACAATGGGCCCCATGAGATTGGCTAATTCCGGGATTCTCCTGTAGGCCAATCAGGTTGCGGATTCACTTCCACCTGGAGCTGGATGGGGTGGCTCCTGTGGACCAATCAGACTGCTGCATTCTGGATCCTATTGTTCTAGGACCAATCAGACTGCTGCATTTTGGATCCTATTCAACTCAGTACATAACAGGCATCATCACTAGCACAGCCTATGAATGGTTGGACTTGGCAGTACTTTCAAGCCTATCAAGGGCATGTCTGTTCTTTGTTTTCTTGGTGCCGTTTTCCAGTTGTATGTTTCGTCCCTCCTATGTTGAGTGGGCATAAAATATGCCAACCACTTCTCTCCCCCCCCCCACCTGATTTTTTTCTGCCCAGATCCAGATTAGGGATGTAAACATGGATTAGGAAATCCGGAGTCTTGGCACCAAATTCCAAAATATGTCCCAATACTTGTTTCTTCTTCTTCTTGCCTGTTTTTGTACGCTAATGCAAAATTCTACATAGACTAATACGTGTTTGGGCTTTACAGATTTTGTTTAATGCCTTGTTTGCATTTAAAAGGACATCTGTGTATGAGTGTCTCTCTAAGCTATGTCAAATGGAAGAGTTTGCCTTGATAGCTGCGGGGCAAGATTGTATCTGTGTGTGTTTGTGTAGTTTATGGATGAAATTATTTCAGAGAGAGAAAAAAATGCAACAAAAACTTCTTATATGGATGGGGGAACCCCAATGCACTTTCTCCTGAGCGCGTGCTCTCTCTCTCTCTCTTTTCATCTTATCTTATTTTGATACTTAATGTCCATGTTAGTTCAGAGTGCAGAACGGATTAAGGCAATGTAATCTGCTGTGCTCCGGAGCGTTTTGAGTAGCCTGGCATGCAGTGACTGCAAAAACCTGAAAGCCTCATAAGGCCGGCTCCTAACTTAAAATTGCATTCTATTAAGATTTTTAGTACCGTCTTGTTGATAAGAGGTATTATAAAAGAGCAGAGTCCTCTATCATCATCTTTGTTTACAGTCTAGCAATTTTAACAATTTGGAGAGAGCTTGTTCTTGCAAGACTTCCAGAGTCGCCTTGTATTTATCAGAGGGCAGTTTCATAATAAGAAAATAAACAGAGGGGAAAACATTCACGGACGGATAATTGCTTTGTTTCGTGGTAATGTATGACCTTCTTTTCTTTCTTTTTTTGGAGAAATATGGCTTGTCTGCACTGCCCCCCTCCATTGGATATCTGACCTAGTTTTAAGTCAGAACAAAATGCTGTTTTTAAAATAGCTGCTGTTAACCTCAATCCTAATACTTTTTTTTACTGTCATAATCTCATTGAAATAAGGAAAATTACACTAGAACAAGTAGATTTTAGATTGCAGCTGCGAAGATGGGAAATTGCCATACTCAGGGTTGGGAAGATTGTTCCACCTAGCTTAGTATTGTTGACTGTGATTGGCCTTCCATTATTTCAGGTGTGTGTGTTTCTTTCTCGGCCCTAGCTGGTGATGCTAAGAATTGGACCTGGCAGCTTCTGCATTTGAAACAGAGAAGGGGCACCCTTCTCAAACATTCCCTTCCGGGGAACCTTTAGGAAGTCTCAGGCCAATGATGGGCGACCCCAGAGGCCAAAGCAACAATTCAGATTTCACCTTCATATGGTAGTTTCCGCACACACTGATACCTCCTTCTGTTTCCTTCATCAAGGCAGCCTACAGACATTCCAGTTGTGCAAAACATTTGAGCAGAGGGTGTGAATTAAGACTTCTTCTTTGGCGATCACTTGTAGCCGAGTAAGATTGTCTTCCATAAACACGGTTTTAGCAGGGGGTCCGTAAGTGACTGTGGAGGTCAATTCTGGATCCACACGTCCTTCCACAGTGGGGACATAGGTTTCCGGGTGGGAGTTGATCACGGTGAGCGTATGCCAAACATACCTTCCTCTTAGCCCATTTCTCCCTTTTGTCCTAAGTTTGAGCATCTTCAAAGTCCATGGCACCTTTGGTAAAGACTGTTCTCCAATTGGAGCGCTCACAGGCCAGTGTTTCCCAGTTGTCGGTGTTTATACTACATTTTTTTTAGGTTTGCCTTGAGACAGTCTTTAAACCTCTTTTGTTGACCACCAGCATTATGCTTTCCATTTTGAAGTTGGGAATAGAGTAGTTGCTTTGGAAGACGATAATCAGGCATCTGCACAACGTGACCAGTCCAACAAAGTTGATGTTGAAGAATCATTGCTTCAACACTGGGGATCTTTGCTTCTTCCAGTACACTGGCATTCGTTGCCTATCTTCCCAAGTGATGTATAAAAATTTTCGGACAAGGGAAGCAGGGGCAGACTGGTAATATGGGGCCCTGAGCAAGGAAATTTCTTACTTTTCACAAAAATTTCTTTTGGTACAGTTTACCCATATATTTACTCGTATTTTACCTGTATAAATATAGGTGGTATTATTATTATTAATTTAATATTTTGTACCCCCTTGGCTTGGTGCCCTATATGGGGGAACCGCCTGCAATACCCTAAATCTGGCAATGTAGTGAAGGGTGTGGGTGTGGGTGAGGGGGATGTGGGGTGGGAGGTGAGGAGAGTCCTAAGTGCCATATAGCGAGGCTTTCATTATTCGCTTTCCTGGAAGCTCTTTGGGAACTGAAGAATGGTAAACGAATATATACTCCTTTAAAAAAAGAAGTCGTTTATTATCCTAGACTTACTTCCATCCCTCCCTTAGTATTTTTCTTCTAAACGGAGGTATTTAAGAGTGTTCCAGCATTGTGAGACCCCCACTATCAGGTGCTTATGTAATATGTTGCATTCTATCCTCTGGATGCTGTAAGTGAAGTGAATATCTGCAGCATTTCATATCGAGGTCTAATTATTCCTATGAAGCAGAAGAGATTTGCAAAACTGACTTCTTTTGTATTCCCTTATGAAGAGGCTTGCAATGTGTGTGCCCCCCGCCATGATTGATCAGAAAAGCTCATAATTGGGGAGGCGGGGGGTGATTTTTGTCAGATGGATTTAGCTTCATAGTTTTTGCGGGGTGCCGTTTTGAGTTCTATTAAAAGTTACCTAAAATTATTGTTAAAGGGGGCCAGGTGGCAAGTGATTGGGGGGGGGGATCTGCCTCAGAACCCCTAGATCTGCTGCCAGTCACATTTCAGATTTTGAGAGTGCTGGGGATGGCAGCAACAAAATGAGCTTCTGGCACACACACTAGTCAATGGTTAGCTGACAGGTAACGTTAAAGTCTGTACCACTTTGCAGAGCACCCATTTCCCTAATCTGGTGTCCTTGAAATGATGTTCTACAACACCCATCATCCCTGACCCTGGGCCATGCTGGCTGAGGTGGTTGGCTAGAAAGTGGGGAAGGCCACTCAGATTCCTATTGTGAATAAAATATAGATACATAGTTCGAAAGCATATGCCTTTGTTTTTCAGCTGCTAGAATTGCTCCAAAACATCAAAACTATTCTATTTGTTACATTGCCATCTCTGGGAGATGCATTCCAGTGTGAGCTGCTGTGATGTAAAGAGAGCGCTTATAAAAGCTTGTTACACAACAAGTTTTTGAGATATAATAGGGAATAAGAACGCTTCTCTTTCTGTTAAGGCTATTGTAGGCTTCTTGCTCTTAGCTTCTTCAGGCATGTATTTTGCAGAAATTGTAGCTCCAGGTAACACTTTGTAAACACATCTGTTCAATTAGCCGAATAACATTAAACACAAAGGGAAGCTTCCCTCGTTGGCATTGTGAGCGAATCTGTTCCTTAGGCCTTTTTTTGGAAAAGTAGATCATTGTTGCTTTTAACTTGAAACTAATGCATACTGTCTCTTTCCCTAAAACCAGAAACCCACATGCAGAAATCCAGAATTTGGACTTCATAACTGAGCGTGGCAGTGTACTGGCATTTTTACCTGGTGAGGTTTGTTTTTACTTTGGGATGGAGGAGAAAGTGTTTGTTAATACATGAGGAAATGTCACCAACTCTTTGTCGTTTGGGCTGCGGTTTCTTTGTGTAGAGTTAGGCAGATAACCTTACACATGGCCAGACTATTGGTTCTTTATGGCCCAGTTGCCTGGCAGTGGTTTTCCAAAGACTTGGGCAGAGGTACAGTGGTACCTCAGGTTACATACGCTTCAGGTTACACACTCTGCTAACCCAGAAATAGTGCTTCAGGTTAAGAACTTTGCTTCAGGATGTGAACAGAAATCGTGCTCCGGCGGCACGGCAGTAGCAGGAGGCCCCATTAGCTAAAGTGGTGCTTCAGGTTAAGAACAGTTTCAGGTTAAGAACGGACCTCTGGAACGAATTAAGTACTTAACCTGAGGTACCACTGTATTTCAAATTTCCTGCTACCTGATCTTCTCCCACTCTTTTAGATTTAAACTAGAGATGCCGGGGATTATTAAACTTGGGACCTTATCTAGGCACTCCTACATATGGGCTCTCCCTTTGAACTCCCGGTTTCAAACAGGGGCCTAGCCAGATGAGCTAAAGTGGATTATGTGCTCTCATTCTTTGGCTCCCTCATCGGGAACAAAACGGAACAGCTTCATCAAGGTTGGCCTTTGCCATTGGCCAGGAGTATGAAGCCTGTGAATTGGTCAGGCCTGGTGCACATACTAGCTTTCGGCAGTTACTTGGTCAAGTGAGACAACCTTCCTGCTTAATTTGAGGCTCTAGAAACCGAACACACCCTCCCAAGATAGGACAACCATCACTCAGCCTCTCAGCCGAGTCTGGAACATCCTGGGCAGTAAATGTTAACAACTTAGGTGAAGGTCACAGGGAATGCAACGGGACACAGCGTGATAGCAGGGGTGTGAAATGAGACTGTAAGCCACAATCTGAGCACTTGGCTGGAGAATCAAAAAGTGTGAACGCAAACCAGATAGGAGACGTTTGTTCGGGGTGAAAGCCGCTTGCAGTTGAATAAACAATCTTCCAGATGACTTTAAATGATTTTGTACTTCTTTAGCTCCGAGTAAACATGCAGCACACTATTTATCGGTTATTTTTCACCCTCCAGGTTTGGCAGAAATAAATCGCATGCATGAGCTTCTCACGATCATGGCTCACAAGAGGTGAGTCTTAAATCTGTTTATGGTGAGAGGCGCTGTGGTGCTATTCCTGTCGAATAAGGTCATTCTCTCTCCCCGCCCCCCAATATATTTGCCTTTAGCTGCAGTAAGCTACATGGATAGGGCAAAATTAAATGAAGGCCACTTGCACTCCCTACATTTAACACATATTTAAAGCCTGTGACGACTCCAAGGAGTGCTGGAAACTCTAGTTTACCCCTCACAGAAATATAAGTCCCAGCACCATTAACAAACTACAGTTCCCAGTTCTGGGGGGGGGGTGTGTGGATGTGGTTTAAGTGCATGGTATTTGCACAGCCACATTTGATGAAGATAAGAGTTTGGTGTAATAGCACAGAAAGCTTGAGAGAGCCTATTTGGGGCAGCAGAAGGGTGAAAGAGAAACTGTTACCCTACATGTTCTCTTTTACAACTGTGGGCCCCTTGTTTGTTGAATCCTGACAAGACAGAAGTACTGTTCTTGGGGGACAGGAGGCGGGCAGGTGTGGAGGATTCCCTGGTCCTGAATGGGGTAACTGTGCCTCTGAAGGACCAGGTGCGCAGCCTGGGAGTCATTTTGGACTCGCAGCTGTCCATGAAGGCACAGGTTAAATCTGTGTCCAGGGCAGAGTGGCTGGGGAAGCCCAGCCAGATGGGCGGGGTACAAATAATAAATTATTATTATTATTATTATTATTATTATTATTATTATTATTCACAGTAGGCGCGCAAATTGCACCCACTTTACTTGTGACGCAGCTTTATGTGCTTGGTGGCTGGCCGATAGCACACAAATTAAATGCATGTAAGGCAGCGAGCTTAAAAGCTCTTTCCGCACCTACTCTCCACCTGCCTTACCTTGTGTGGCCATCCGAGATCTTGCAAAGGCCTCCAGAGCCTGTTTCCCAGAGCCCAGTAAGCAAGGCAGAGACCTTGTAAATTCTGGAGAGGTCTTGCATGGCTCTGGAGGCCTTTGTGAGATCTCAGACGGCCCCATGAGATCTTGCACAGGCTCCGGAAGGTAAGATTGCTTGTGCAGGGTTGGTTCCAGGGGAGTGACTATATGCGATTTCGGCTTTACATGCTATCCCCCACCCCCAATAACCCGTGCACAAGATCCAGTTTTATTTACTGCCTTCTTGCAAAACATCAGGGTGATGTGTAGCAACATAAAAAACTGCAAAAGCAACACAGAGCAATCATTAAACCAACTTAAGAAAATGTTAAACAACTGCTTGGGCCCTTTTGTGGGAATAAAAAGTCTTTGAGAGATGCCTGGAAGTCAAAAGCAAGGATGCCTGCCAAATCTCTGCTGGAAATTTCCATACCATGGGACCTGCAGTGCCAGTGTCTGGTTGTGCCCTTCTATTGCTACTGGGGCCACTTCCAGAATGTCACTATTTTGCCAGTGGCTTTCAGTTGTACGTGGTCAAATTTAGCTTGCACAATTAAAGTGGGGTTGGTGTTCTTGTGCAACAAACTTGTCTCCGCCTCGCAGGACTTTTTGCACTAAGGCAGGTGGCAGCAAAGTGCGCTGGGATAATGGTTCTTGAAGTGGTATAATATCAATGCAAACAAATCACAGCGATAGCTCGGTAAACAGCGGGCATCCGATTACCTCCCGGCAAACTTTGTGAAAATATATAGAGATGAATGCTCAATAAGCAGGTGGTTTGGAAGAGCCGCAAGTTTCTCACATGTGTTTCCTTAGGTTGCAAGTATATCCGCTGCATTCCAGCGTCACCTTAGAAGAACAGAATAATGTGTTCTTGGCTCCAGTTCCTGGTTACCGAAAGGTGAGATTTTTGAACAATGGCTTCAGTAGTATTCACTCATAAATCTCTTTTTACATGCATCTCAAGGCTTATTTACAAACATGCTAAGATGCCCAGTTTTTTTTTTTAAAAAATAAAGTAGCTATTGCAGACCATCCACATGCAACCCATATAGTCTTCTCATCTAAATAGCTTGGGGCTAGGATACCTAAAACATTATCTATTCCGATAGACCTACCTGGACAGGAGGTCAGTTTCTGAGCCCCTTCTCCAGGTGCCTTATCCAAATAAGAAGCACTGGATGGCTGCTGGAGAAGAGGACTTCTTGGTGGTGGCTCCTGGTTAGAAAATGTGCTTGCCTGGTGCCCACATTATTATGGTTCTTTGGGTGCCTGGTGAACACATTTTTATTTTCTCCCAGGGTTTGAAATTAATCTTTTGGCGCTGTTTATGATTTTGCTTTTGCTGATGGTGTCTTTGTCTCTCTCTATATCTGTCATGGATGCTTTAGCTGAGATTCTTGTATTGAAAAGGGGTTGGACTAGTTAACCTTTGGGGGATCCCTTCCACCTCTAAAGTTCTATGATTCTACTTGGTCATATATGCTGTATTTAAATAACAGTAATAATTTTTGTTGTGATTATTTGCTTTCTTGTTTTTTTTAAGGCATTTTTATATTAAGGCTAGTAAATTGTATTGTTGTTGGGCAGCCTTTAAATGCCGTTAATTAAATAAATCATGTAAATCGTTAAATTAATAATTTATTATTTCCTCTTTTTTAAAACCTTCATGTAGATCATTCTGTCTACAAACATTGCAGAGAGCTCTGTAACAGTTCCAGATGTCAAATATGGTAAGCATGTTTTGATGCATTATGGTCATAGGAATAAAAATAAATATTTGTATGTTCTGCTTTTCTTTTCTTCTAGCATTATTGATAAATCAGCATTTAAAACCCTTTGAGCTGCTTGCTTCAGAGTAACTTCTGAGCATAAGGTCCCTGGGTTCCTGTTTTACTATGTAAGGCAGAATTGCTAAAGTATTTTTCTCCCTGTCTCGGAGCTCTCTCAAAGGCACATTTAAAACTAGGATGGAGTGTTCTCTGTGCCAAAAATTCAAATTCTGCCCCAAGGAAAAGTTTTATTTTGTTCAGAGAGAAAGTCAGGAAGAGGGAGTTATTTATGGCTTTTGGCAATAACTACTCACATTAAATTAGGTATATTATTTTAATTTACTGTGATTCATTCAATTTGCATAAAATCAAATGCACTTGCTTCGGGTGCTAGTTTGGTAAGCATCAGAAAGGTAAAGATGGGGGGAGGTTGTAGGACAGAGAAGTGGGGAGTAGCGTTTATTGTATTCATGCAGTGGTTAGGATGTGTTGAGTAGATGTAAGGAAGCTCCTCACATATACAGAAGCCTGGCTTTTTGAGTCTTTTGCAGACAAGTTGCTTGCATTGTTTTACCATAGGGGCTAGAAACTTGAGTTTTTAAAAGTAGAGATTGACAGCTCTTGGCAAGCCAAATATTATAATGTAGCATGGAGTATAATGGTCACAAGGCAGAGGCCATTAGCCATACCAAACTTGTGCAGAAACCAGTGAAACTTACAACACTATTTTTATAGTATCAGCGTTCTGCAGCACTTTGATTCTTCCAGCTTCTGGGTTGTACACAAATTGCTCACACCAAAGAATGCTAAGCCAACCCAAGCTGGGTTCTTCAGTGCTTTTGCTTTCTGTGAGATTAAAGTGTGGTTTGTTTGTTTTTTAACTTTGGTAGCTTCAGCACTAGTTGTTTAGTCTGGAACTGCCATCCTTGGTTCGCTCGCTTTTCTTTAAATAGGGAAGTCAGGCAATATTGTTGGCAACCCAGTACATTCTAGTGTGTTCTATATTGTGTCTGTGTTTCTCTTTCACATCTGATTTGCGGAGATTTTGTCCTCTTCAAATGGAATTGTCGCTCCAGCCTGTCAGATGAAGACTGCCAAACTTTTCAGCGCTACTGTACTGTTCAGTTGAAGGTTCCTCCCTTTGCCGTCTTCCCATGTCATTGCTTCCTGCCTAGTGGAGATATGGCATCGTTGACTCATTTTATTGACTATGAGTATGCATGCCTTAATTATAGGTTTACTTGAATTACATTTTCTTTTCTTTTTGAAGGAAAGCGAAGAAAACTTAACCAGGAATTGAAGAGCACACAGGCTGCTGAGAAAAGAGCAGACTAATTAAGTTGCAATTTAGTGCTTTAGTACCCTAATAATAATAATAATTAATTAATTTATACTCCGCCTATTTGGCTAAGTATCCCCAGCCACTCTGGGCGGCTTCCAACCGAATATTAAAAACAACACAGTGCCAGACATTAAAAACTTCCCTAAACAGGGCCGCCTTCAGTTGTCTTTTAAAAGTAAAGTAGTTGTTTATTTCCTTGACATCTGCTGGGAGGGCGTTCCACAGGGCAGGCACCACTACCAAGAAGGCCCTCTGCCTGGTTCCCTGTAACCTCACTTCTCGCAGCGAGGGAACCGCCATAAGGCTCTGGACCTCAGTGTCTGGGCTGGATGATGGGGATGGAGACGCTCCTTTTCCCTTAGAAAAGAAAGCAAGGGGAAGAAGCCTTGAAGAGGAACCTTCTGACTAAATTTGCAGGGGATCTTATGTTGAATAAGAAGCATCACGAGTAAACATTACAACAAGCATCTTCACCACGGGGAAGGCATTGCCTGATGACATAGCATCATATGAAGTGTTGTGTGATCTTTTAAAAGTCTGCTTTCAGCCAGTTGCAGAAAAATACGATCACACCAGCACGAAAGGGCTCTAACGTAGGAGAAGCCTTTGTGTTGAGGACGTGCAACCTTGCTCAAGAGCCGTAGGCATGAACTGGCCTAATCTGATAGGAGCATTGCTTTTTAAAAGCCAACTCTTTCAAATGCTGTATTGCAGTGACGAATTTGTGTGTGTGTGTGTGTGTGTGTGTGTGTGTGTATGTCGCTAGAGAGGAAACCTGCTTTGAGGCCCATAAAGTGTGAGCTGACTCTTGGCAGCAACGTGAAGCATCTAAACAATTATGCGGAGTGACACAAACGCAAGATCAAGACCTTCCGATTGGCACTAGCAGCTTCTCGACAAAAGGGAGCTCCCTGTCCCTGCTAGGAGAGAAGGAGGCTTGTTTTCACATCCCACTCTCCATCCTACCCCCCACCTCCTCGCAGGCACTTCCTTGATTTTGCCTGGTGGTTTGGTATTGCTGTTTTGTGACCTTTGCGCTGGCAGCAGCCCCAAGCTTAGCTGACAATATTCTCATGACCTCTGGTGGTAGCAGCAGCAGCAGCCATGAGGTAAGGAGGAGAATGTCTGTGCCCTTGTCTTAATCCATTCACAGTTGCTTGATTTTTTAAAAGGAGGACAGGCTTTTTCAGTGGGTAGTCAGAATCTTCTGCCTGCTGAAAAGCGTATGTTTTAGAAATGATAGCTCCCTCCATTTTTAATCTGGTCTTCAGTTTAGCGGCGAAAAAAGGTATAACTTCTGCAATGGAGATTACCTCTTAAAAATGCAAGCAAAACCAAACACCAATATCTTTTTTTGGGGGGGTGTGTGTGTGTGTGTGTGTGTAAAGTTTGCATCAGATTCAGACTGCTGCTACATATTTTAATTAATCACATGTTTATCCCACTCTTACGATTCTTCAGCCGGGATGTAAGAAGTCATCATTTTCTGTTCCGCCCTGCATTTATCCCATGCAACACTGCTTCAGTTCCGCTTCAGTTCATCTTCTGCAAAAAGCGCATTACTCATTCTCCGCTGTGGCGAAATTACGTTCTTCCACTTCGTTCACTTGAGTGCAAAGGAAGCACAATGCAAATAAGGGGAAATCTAATTAATTAAATACTGTTTGCAGACTGAAAGCAACAGCAGTGAATGCAGATTGTATTCAGTGGAGTGATTTTCATTCTGGACGTGGGACGAATAAGCGAACATTGGCAATTTCTGCTCCTGTTTCTGTTGGAATTCTCCATCTTTACTCTTCAGTGAGGCATATGTGCTTCTTATTCTCTGTCTCCTCTTACAATCCTCCCACAACAGCCCCGTGAGATGAATTAGAGAGTTACCCACATCTTTTTGCGTGTTCATTCTAAGTCAAGGGTTGGCACATTTTTTCAGCCGGGGGCCGGTCCACTGTCCCTCAGACCTTGTGGGGGACTGGACTATATTTTGGGGGGGAAATGAATGAGGGATAATGAGCAGCGTGTAAGAGGGCTCCAGAGAGGGACTTCTTTAAATGGCAGCCGCTTGAGAGGGACGCTCAGCCAACAGCGGCTCCTGTGTCTTGCGAGCGGCAGGGGCTGGAGGCGGCTGTGGCGATCACACAGGGCCCCCGGACGTTTGACGGTCTATTGACCCTGTGCCACCACTGTGATTGCTTTCTTTGCTGCCACCAACCCATTTCTCCTCACGGGTACATACGGAGTCCAGTCAGTTGTTAACGTTAACAAATAATCAAGTTTATTTTTAGGCATGAACAAGCTTATGGTTTCAGTTATTTTTTCTTGGCAGTTTCTTAATCTTAGTTCCTTAACTGTCCTATTCGTTCCTAACAACTTCAAACTGATTATCCCAACTATCTAGCTATCTGACTCCACCTAACAATTCCTCTCACAACACAACTCAACCAACCAACCAACCAACCAACCAACCCACAGACTATTCCTCCCTCCTCCTCCTTCAACTCCCAACTCTCAACTCTCAACTAACTGTCACACAACTCCCCCTCTAACCCTATCTCCTCCTATCAGTTTCCACTGGCCAATCACATCACACTCATTTTAACCCTTTCCTTATGACCCACCTAGGAGGCAAACGCCACAGTGGCAGGATGATGAGTGGCACGCAAAAGGGCTCCGGAGAGGGGCTGCTTTAAATGGCGGCCGCTCAAGAGGGGCGCTCAGCCAACAGCGGCTCCTGTGTCTTGCGAGCGGCAGGGGCTGGTGGCGGCGGGGGGACGATGAGCAACGCATGAAAGGGCTCCGTAGAGGGGCTGGCACCAACAAAGCCCATCCCCCTTCCTCCTCTAGGCAGGGCGGGGAGAAGCCAGGAGGAGGGAGGGAGTAGACGCCGCTGCATATGTTTGTGGGGGAAATGGCGCAACCCGAACAATCAGAATCAGATGCACGCCTATCCGCGTGGTGATTCCCGGACCGTTTGCGGGCTGGATCCAGAAGGCAATTGGGCCAGATGTGGCCCCCGGGCCTTGGTTTGCCGACCCAAGTTCTAAGTCATGGTTTGGCATAGCATTGCTTGCATTCTGGGCCAGTGACTGGCGTGAGCTTCATGTCTGCGTGGGATTTGAACTTGGGTCCCGTCCCCCCCCCCCCCCAGTTACCATCAAACTTTCTAATCCAGGGATTAGGCACCTGTGGACCTCCATAAGTTGTTGGACTCTCACTCCCTTCATCCCCAGCCAGTCTGGCCCCAATGATCGGGGATGTTGGGGGCTGCAGACTCCTAGAACCATATAATTTTAGAATTCTAGAGTTGGAAGGGACTCCAAGGGTCATTCTAGTCCAACGCCCTGCAATGCAGGAATCTCAGCTAGATCATACATGTCAGATGACCATCCAAGCTCTGCTTAAAAACCTCCAAAGAAGGAGAGTCCACCACATCTTGTGGGAGTCTGTTCCACTGCTGAACAGCTCTTGCCTTCATAAAGTTCTCTCTGATGCTTAGTCGGAATCTCTTTTCATGTAACTTGAATCATTTTGGGTCTTATCCTTTGGAGCAGGAGAAAACAAGCTTGCACTGTCTTCCATGTGACAGCCGTTAGATATTTGAAGATGCTTATCATACCGTATTGGCCCGAATATAAGCCACACTTTCCCCCCAAATTTCGACCATGAAAAGTTATGACTGCCTCCAGTTGAGCCAAGTTGAACAGTTTCTTGTAATGCAACATGGCGTTTCAGATCATCACTCCCCTGTTTTGCATAGTCTTTTCCTCTCTTTTGTGTGTGTGTTATCTTACATTAAACCAACATTTGCATTGCAGAAGCACAGTTTTATTTCCTAAACTTTGTTCGTTCTTGTTTATTTATTTATTTATTTATTTTTGTAGTCATTGATTTCTGTTTGACCAAAAATCTTGTCTGTGATGAAGAGACCAACTATCAAAGCTTGAGGCTGTGCTGGGCTTCTAAAAGCAGCAGTAATCAGAGGAGAGGTAAGTTGTTCTCAGGTTATAAAATGCTGCAGCAAGGATGGTGCTGATGTAAAGTTATTATTATATTATTATTCATTTCGTTTCTATACCGCTTTATATTTTAAAGACAAAATCTGAAAGTGGTTTGCAACACATTAAACCATCAAGTAAAACAATCCAGAATACAGTGGTACCTCAGGTTACATACGCTTCAGGTTACATACACTTCAGGTTACAGACTCCGCTAACCCAGAAATAGTGCTTCAGGTTAAGAACTTTGCTTCAGGATGAGAACAGAAATCGTGCTCCGGTGGCGCGGCAGCAGCGGTAGGCCCCATTAGCTAAAGTCCTTCAGGTTAAGAACAGTTTCAGGTTAAGTACGGACCTCCGGAACGAATTAGTACTTAACCCGAGGTACCACTGTAAAACAAATCCTAGCTTCAAGGAGGATGCAGAACTACAGGCCGGGGTGCAAAGAGACTTGTTCTATAATGAAATTTGCAGGGGTGGTAGAAATGTTAGTCATGGGGCAGATTTGTCTGATGGGTTTGGAAGGGCTGTATTCCCTTTTCTTTTTTTGCCCTTCCAAAGGCTGCAAAATTCAGGAAAGATCCCCAAAGGCCCCTAGTGTCTCCCTATTGCTGGTGCCTCTGTGGATGATTGATTCTTTAGTCCATTTTTGAGCATAAGGCTTAAATGAAAGCAAGCAGGCGGCATTTGCGAGATACGGCAAGCGCTCCTCTCAGGAGTAGCCACTGTTAAGGAGGTTTTAAGCTCAAACGTAACCAGTCAAATCAGCTTATGCCTTTTCTGTGAAGGTCGTGCTGGACGTGTTTCTAAAGGATACTGCTACAGGCTAGTGTACAAGGACTTCTGGGAAAATTGTATACCTGAGACCACCTTGCCTGAGATGATGGTAAGAATCACACACAATATAGGTATACCTGCCAATTTCGGTTTCTTTCAGTTCCTCGTTTTTCCAAATCTTAAATTCCGTTCTCCACATTTCCGCAACAGTTTGTGAATTTCTTCCCACGAGAATCTGGCAGCAATTTGCTGCACATCTTTCCCAATAAACACGTTTTTGCATGCAGTTTTGACTAATAAACACATTTTTGCAAACCGTTTCCTCCAATATAGTGCATTTTGGTATTTGCATGCTTATACACACTTTACTCAAATATAATGCATTTTTGTACACATTGTTTGGAGAAGCGCTAATTTTGAGGGATAGCTGTGTTTTGCTATGCATATTGGGTGAACTGGGTGCTGTCCAATTAAAATGCAAGCAAAACCAATTTTCTAGACATGCCCCTTTGAGTATGTGCCCTGGGTCTCACAAGTGGGCTTCCTGACAAAACAATTCCTCACTTAGCTTGAGAAGGTTTCAATCTTCTGAGGAGGCACCGAACCCTAATGTGGGACCGTGTAGATGTCCAAGGAGCCACAGTTACAGGTGAGCAACCTGTCTCTCCTGCTTGCTATGTCTGTCAGGAGATTGATGGCTTGGTTTGTACATCGCTTCAAACTGTAGTTAAGCTAAACTATGGTTCAAATCTAGATCTGACATCATGGGCACTTCACTTTTTCTCTGCTGCTTCTGCTGCTACTTCCGGGAAACAAGTCATGGTCTGGCTTAATGTATTGTCCAAACCAGAACTTACATGTGTTTTCTCTCCAAGCAAACCACAAATAAGTAGGCAAGGTTTGTTCTTGTTTTGATTATGCATTCTGTGTTATCTTTTTTTTATGTGGTGAACTGCCCTGAGATCTACAGATGAAGGGCCAGTATAAAAATTTAATAAATATACCGTATTTTTCGCTCCATAAGATGCACTTTTTTCCTCCTAAAAAGTAAGGGGAAATGTGCGTGCGTCTTATGGAGCGAATGGCGCTGTGCTGCTCCCCCTCCCGCTTCTCTGAAGGGGCGCTGCGCAGCTCTCCCTCTCTGCGCAGAGCCTGTCCTGGAAGCTTCTGTTCCTTCTCCAGGAAGGGGCGCTGCATAGTTCTCCCTCTCAGACAGGGAGAACTGCACAGCACCCCTTCAGCAAGGCGCCTGTACTGGCTTCTGCCTTAGCCGTGCGCAGCCTCTTCGGGCAGGGGGAGCCTTCATCCCGCTGCCCTGAAGAGGCTTGGCGCGGTTATCCCAGAAGCCAGAACAGCCACACGGTATCCCAGAAGCCAGATCCCTCTTGCTGTTCTGGCTTCTGGGATTCAGAATAATTTTTTCTTGTTTTCCTCCTCCCAAAACTAGGTGTGCCTTATGGTCTGGTGCGTCTTTTGGAGCGAAAAATACGGTATACAAAACAAAAGGTGCTTTCATGGCTTACTGTTTATTGGTTACTTGGAGAAAACGGACCATAAGGCCAGGTTTCTGCCGTAACACTAAGCCAGGCCACGACTTATTCCTTGCAGCGTGGCAGGAGCAGAAGAGTAGCAAAGCACCCACAGCCTTAGCATGCGCTTGCATGCTGCGCATTCACATTTAATCATGGCTTCAAGTGATGTGTGAACCCGGCCACTGTCAGGAGATTATTACTGTGCCTCCTCCCACCCACCCCATATGATTTGCTCAGCCCAGAAAGTAAAGGCGAACATCTTTCCAGCCGCCCGCGAAGAGATTTGCAACACAGGATCGCATTTGTTGTCACTGTGCTCTTATTCTTCCTTTCAGCGGCGCCCACTGGAAAGTACCGTGCTGAAGGTGAAGCTGCTTGACATGGGCGAACCGAGGGCCTTGCTAGCAACTGCTCTGTCTCCTCCCAGTATAAGCGATATTGAGCGCACCGTTCTGCATCTCAAGGAGGTTGGGCCCTTCTATTTTGTTTTGTTTTTTTTAATAATAATTTTTATTAAGTTTTCCATTTTAACAATCCAATCAAATCACTTTAAATATTCCAAATTATACAAATATATATCATAAAGTCCAAATATTTTGCCAAATTATTATTTTTTTGTTGGGGGTTGCCATGCTTCAAGTTCAGTGGGGTCCAATCATCTCATATTTCTACTGCTTTGAGTGTCCACTAGTCCCATCTTTAAATCTTCTTGTTATTATCCTTCTTCTTTCATAGCCTCTGAGTTGTTTCCACAGGCGAGCTGAAATGAGCAATATTATGCTTCTGTGTGAGCTTTGTATGACTCTCCCTATTTTTTCTCTTTTTCTTTTTTTTGCAGCTGGTAAGTCTTTTATTTGCAGTATGTCCTCACATGCTGGTATTTATGCCGAATCCATCCAAAAGTCCTTCTCGGTTGGCAGACGCCATCTTTTCTCAGTTCTGATGAAATAGAATCTAGGCGTTTGCTCATGGGCCCTTCTATTTTGATATATCAAACCTCAGAAACAGGGAACGCTTCCCCAGGAGGCATCCGCTATCCCTCAGCCACGCCCTTCTCTGGACCCAAGTGTTTTTGCCTGGCTTCAGTGGGCAAGATTAACCTAATGTGCCCCTCCAGCAGAAGCTCTCTGCAAGGACTTCCCTTGCGCAGCAGGGCATCTTCTCCTCTCCCCACGTGCCTGTCAGGATTCACAGAATGCTGTGTGAGATAGTAAGTCTGCAGGCTTGAGTTTGCTAGCTGGTGCAACTGGCTGATGCAGTCAGCCTGCAATACTTTCTATGGAAGTGCTGGGTCAGAACGACTCAGCGGTAATGTGCTGACAGTTGATTGGCTGTCATCGGTTTAAAAGGGAAACCTGTCCAGCAGTAAGTGGGTGGTGTAGAAGAGTGTGGTCAGAGAGACAGAGATAGAAAGGTCTTCCTATTTGCCTTAAGGTTCAGCTAGGTACTCTGTTGGACTGTATGAGCTGCTCGTGCATTATAGGCTGTAGATTATTGTATATATTTTTGTGTGTGTGTGTGTGTGTGTGTGTGTGTATATATATTTATAGTAAAGGTAAAGGGATCCCTGACCATTAGGTCCAGTCGTGACCAACTCTGGGGTTGCAGCGCTCATCTCGCTTTATTGGCCGAGGGAGCCGGCGTACAACTTCTGGGTCATGTGGCCAGCATGACTAAGCCGCTTCTGGCGAACCAGAGCAGCGCACGGAAACGCCATTTACCTTCCAGCCGGAGCGGTACCTATTTATCTACTTGCACTTTGACGTGCTTTCAAACTGCTAGGTTGGCAGGAGCAGGGACAGAGCAACGGGAGCTTACCCCGTCACGGGGATTCGAACTGCCGACCTTCTGATCAGTTTTACCCACAGCGCCACCTGCGTCACAATAATATATATATAGCTCACAATAAATATACTGCACTGCACCAAAGAACCTAGAACTCTGAGCATTTCTGCTAAAGCGCCGCGGAGAATTCGTGACAGTGCCCCCTGGAATTGGCTCTGTGGTGGGGGTTGGAATAACCCCCGGAGCAGCATGTGGGGGAAGGATTGTTCCAGTGGAAAGGTCATAACACCATGATGTTGAATGGCACCCCATGTCTCCATGAACCGAACGCTTCTTGCTTGTTTGGATTTAGGATCAAGGGTGTCAATATGTAGAATGTAGTCTGCTGTACAAGGTGAAATTTATATTAGCTGCTGTGCCCACTTTTGCCTCTGGCATGTGGCCCCCAGAAGGCAATATGGCCCTCAGTCTGAGAACACTTTCCCACCCGTGTGCTAATCAGTCGAAATAACTATCTTTTTTTTTATTGTACAGTGGTATCTTGGGTTACATACGCTTCAGGTTACATACGCTTCAGGTTACAGACTCCGCTAACCCAGAAATATTACCTCGGGTTAAGAACTTTGCTTCAGGATGAGAACAGAAATCATGCTCTGGTGGCGCAGCGGCAGCGGGAGGCCCCATTAGCTAAAGTGGTGCTTCAGGTTAAGAACAGTTTCAGGTTACAAACGGACCTCCGGAACAAATTAAGTATTTAACCCGAGGTACCACTGTACATGCTCAAATAGTACAGTGGTACCTCGGTTTAAGAACAGCCCTGTTTACGAACGATTCGGTTTACGAACTCCGCAAAACCAGAAGTAGTGTCCAGGTTTGCGAACTTTACCTCGGTCTAAGAACGGAATCCGAATGATAGAAGGGCACCGGCGGCGGGAGGCCACATTAGGGAAAGCGCACCTCAGTTTAAGAACAGTTCCGGTTTAAGAACGGACTTCTGGAACAGACTAAGTTTGTAAACCGAGGTACCACTGTATTGTTTTTAACATTGACAACTTTTGCAGGCATAAGGAAGAAGAACATGGTGAGCAGAGCACTTTTATTTTCTTTTGTTTCTAACTGTTACTGAATTTTACAGTATTGTTGCATTATTTTTTAGATTTTTAAAAATTGTTGTTGTTGTTATTAATTTATTGAATTTATATGCCACCCTATACCCAGAGGTCTCAGGGCGGTTCACATAAAAAGATAACAGTAATGGTAGTTCTTTTTAAAAAAGTACGCTGTGTGCCACTCGGAGACCTCTGGGAGGAGGGAGGAACACAACCAACATGCACCACACCATTGCAAAATGGATGAAGCACTCAATAAGTATTGAAGTTATCAGAAGACGAGGCCAACATGTCCTGGAAGAGGTGATGTTCCCTCTTAGTTCATCAGTTGTATGTGGGTTTTGACGGATACAATAGCGCAGGCCTGACATTAATAAGCATTTGCAGGTTTGGAATATATATTTTAGGGGATTCTTAATTTTAGCCTTGAGCTTCGTGATTGTTGGCAAATCAGTTTCCCATTAACATCCATCTTTGCTTGCGTTTTGCTATAGATAGGAGCGCTTGCTGTCCATTCAGAAGCAAAAAACCCTTACGATGGTGAGCTGACCTTCCTAGGCAGGGTGTTGGCACAGCTACCCGTGAACCTGCACCTTGGCAAACTAATGGTTCTTGGCCATGTCTTTGGGTGCCTGGAAGAATGCATTATAATAGGTAAGGTGGACAACAGAGTGAGTATAGTTAATGCCTTAAGCTGGAAGTTGCATACCTAGGTTACTAAAGGTTTTCCTGGCAACCTCAATATTCATGGTGCTTTAAAAATCATGGTGCTTTTTAAAAATTTTAAGCAAGGTAGTTGTCAAAAGGAGCTTACAGAAGGGTTTCCTAAACTTGGGTCACCAGCTGTTTTTGGTGTTCGTTATTGTATTTTAGTGTTCTGTTGGAAGCCGCTCAGAGTGGCTGAGGAAACCCAGCCAGATGGGTGAGGTATAAGTAAATAATAATAATAATTACTCCCATCATCCCTACCTAGCAGGATCAGTGGTAAGGGATGACGTGGAATTTAAATTTGGATCCTAGACCTCTTTTTGTGAAGGAGAGGTGGGGTACACTTTTTAGAATTAAACCCATTTCTTTCTCTTTCTTTCAGCTGCTGCCCTCTCTTTGAACAACTTCTTTGTAATACCTTTTAGGCAGCATCTTGATGGATACAGGTATTTTCCCATGGGCTGTCATTTGATTTTTTTAAAAAAAGAAAATTTCAGTGGGTCAGTTAGCCAGTGAAATCTACATAAGCTTGCATATACATACAAAAATAGTTGGAAGAAAACGGCACACTTGCTTTGTTTTCAGATGATGTATGTTAGTATTGCATGAGGTGGATGAATCCCTGCTGTTCGAAGGTTGGTGGCCAGGGGAACAGAATGTCAATTATATGAACTGGGGGGTGTGTGTGCTAGGAAATTGGTCTGTTTGGACCTGTTACGCCCCAAAAACAGATGAAGTCGCACCAAAGTTATATTTCGATCCGCCATCTTTTGTGTCTTCACCTATTTTCCATTTTGGCTGAAGAAGAACATTTAAAACTTGGCGTTCATACTGGTGTTCCTTTGGTGTTTCAGAGGTAGTAGCCAAAAATGTATTTAAAAAAGTAACGGTGTTGTAAAACTGTAAAAGGTGACGACTGCTCTTTAACTTTATAACAGTTTGCGGTGAATTGTTTACAGGAATAAACGGCATTTTTCTGGGAATAGCAAGAGTGACTGTATTGCGCTTCTGGATGCTTTTAAGGTAACTGTTTTCCCCCACTACCCGCAAATTATGTTCCCATTTGCTACTAACAACTGGTGTCACCATTGGGGGGGGGAAGCAAACATTTTGGTACCATCTCTACACTGTGCAGTGGGACCGCCACTTAGTGGGGGGGGGGGGCTTGCTTCCTTTTTTTTTTTTTTTTTTAAATTGATATTTATTAAATTTTCAAAAAATAACAAATAACAACAAAAATTCCCAAAAAAGTTTGAACATACAAAAAAGAAAAAAAACCAAAAACAAAAATAATACAGAAATAATAAAGAAGAAAAAACCCAGCCGCAAAAAAGAAAAAAAAGAAAAACAGAAAAACAGAAATATAAAATCCTTTACGATCTCCATTAACTTCCTTTCTAGACTTCCTCCTCCTCCCCTCTCTTGTTTCTTAGTGTTTAATTTTTACAGCAAATCCTTTCTGTTTTTTCATAACAATCTATCATTGCGTTTCCTTGTTCTATTTTCCCTCTTGTCATATAAAAACTTTAAAACTCAAAGCTTATATTCCATATTTAGCAAATTCTTACATCATTACCTTTTACAAACCATTTACCAATTCTTACTTAAGTCATATAATTTAATTCAACATCCTTCAAACCTTTATAAACATTCCCAATATTAAAAATAAGAAAAAGAAAATAATAAGTCAGATTCAATCCAGTCAACTTCCAGCCTCCCCTCCCCTGGTCCCGGGATTGTCAGTCCTTTTAACCTCAATAATCCGGCTCCTTAACCTGGTTGTCTCGTGTCCGAGGCCCTCAAGTCTCTTTCTTGCCCCTTTCGCCACTCTTGTTGATATTTCCCTTTCAGTCGTGGATACTCCAGCAAAAAGATGCTTTTGACTCTTTGCAGCAAGTCCATCCCAAACCCATTACCCAAGCCAGACAGCAGATAATACCACTTCCAATTTCCAGAAAACTTGGAGACTTCGACTTCTCCAATCCTCTGATGGCCCATCCCTAGACTCGGAAAGTCCAAATAACCATATAGAGGGGTGTCAATCCATCCCCCCATTTCCAAATCTGACCGCATTTCATCTTTCCGAATCAGGTTTGTCCCAAGTTCATTTATCAAGTTCAAAGGCTGATCTTGCCCATCCATAAGTCCCTCCATCTCTGAAGCCTCCGTCGCTACAGCAGGTTCATATACTTGTATAGACTTTAACTGAATTTCATTTGTTTGCTGCTGTGCTCTGGTGACTTCCGTCATCATCAAGGTCGACTCCTGACGCATCTGGTCCAGCTGGGCACTTAATTTTGCAAAACCTTCCAGGAACACTTGTTCAAGCCTTTGTACAAGCATTGTCCTTCAAGGTCAGTGACAATTCTTTCCCACGAGAATGGTCCTTCTCTTTTACACTCTCTGCATTGCAATTTCACTCAGTTCCACTAGATGGAAAACCCTTTTTTTTTATTTTTTTATTTTTTAAGAGGGGGAAAACAACAGTAACAATCTTTCTTTTTCCAGAAACACTTTATCCAAAATTCCCCCTTTCAAATTCAAGAGGCAACAGTAGAATCAAAATGTTACCCTTCTTTTAACTATCTGTCGAGCTGGATAAACTTCAAAACGTCAGTTCTGACAGCCCGCTCCTGGTTCAGGGAGGTGGAAAATTACTTTATTTTAAACTCACTTCCGCAGGGTTGAAAAGATCAAAACAACCCCCTTCTTCTCCTGCAATCAAAAGGGGGTTCTAGAAATCTTAGATGTTGAATTTTAGTTCTCTCAGAATTTAGTTTTCAGGCTTTAGTATAATTTGTCTTTGCTTTCTTCACGTAACAAAAGAACGGAAGGCGACTTCCTGTTTAGACCTTTCCGTTCCGAGTCCCAATTAAATTCAATTTCAAGTTCAAGTCCAATGTTATTTATTTATTCACCAATCTTAAAAGTAGTTCAGCTCTTCCAGGATCAGGTACTCACGGATAGATGTTTTAGATGCCAAATTGTCCAGGAAAAAGGCAGCGCTCTCCGAAAACGGCAGTGCGGCTTTGCTGCACGGAGGAAGCAGTCGACTCACAGCACCACGCACCTCCCACTCCGGAGCCCGTTACCGGGCTCCTGTACAAGGGGAGAGAGCGCTCTCGGTGCCCGCTGAGTCCCACGCCCACAGGCTTCTTCCGCCTGTGGTTTTTGAGGGTCCCCGCTGCGCCGTAGCGGCAGGACCCAAGCCTCCGTGCAGCGGGTTCCCTTCAGTTCGAAGGGAATTCCGCCATTTTCCGGAGGCGCCACCCCGGAAGTTCCGGGGGGGGCTTGCTTCCAGGGGTCTACACACAAAGGCGAAATCAGGAACCTCTGGAACGGTTTCCCGCCCCCCATAAGGCAGAGGGCTACTTACTGGAATCTAGGAAGGCCCCTTCCCAGTAAGTGAGTAGGCGCCTTTCTTACTGGCCTCTGGGATGTTCCCAGAGCCCTCTCACCTCCTTCCCAGATGCTGGGGTACGGAAGGCAATGCCTTGCTTTTCAGGCTTTGGGAAGGTTGTGCAAGGGCTCTGGGATGCTCTCAGAGCTCTCCTGTCCCTTTTCCAAAGCCCAGTAAGTGAGGAAAACATGCTGGGTGGGAAAGAAAATGGAGAGTGGTGGGTTTATTGTTCATTTAAAGGTAAAGGGACCCCGACCGTTAGGTCCAGGCGTGGACGACTCTGGGGTTGCGGCGCTCATCTCGCTTTATTGGCCGAGGGAGCCGGCGTACAGCTTCCGGGTCATGTGGCCAGCATGACTAAGCCGCTTCTGGCGAACCAGAGCAGCACACGGAAACGCCGTTTACCTTCCCGCCGGAGTGGTACCTATTTATCTACTTGCACTGGTGTGCTTTCAAACTGCTAGGTTGTCAGGAGCAGGGACCGAGCAACGGGAGCTTACCCCGTCACGGGGATTCGAACCTCCAACCTTCTGATCGGCAAGCCCTAGGCTCTGTGGTTTAGACCACAGCACCACCCATTTACCACCTGCCATTTCAAATAGGCATGGCTCCTCCCCCCAAAGAATCGTGGAGACTGTAAATGGATCCAGATGTTGAGTGTGGTTAGGAGACACACACCCCAATTCCCCTCGCAGAACTACAATTCCCAGAGCGGATTAACACTCAGTCCCTCTTCCTAGGGAATTCCCAGCACCCAGGATTCCTTTGGGGAAGTTGGGGGCTTAATGTGTGTGGTGTATACAAAGCCCAGGTCTCGCTCTTGGTGCATGTGGAGTATTTTGTGTCCAGGCTGTGTTGAAGTGCAAATTACCAAATTATTGTTGTGTTGGTTTTTTGTTTGAACCTATTCCTTTTTCCCCCTCTTGCTTTAGGAATGGCAGGAAAGCAAGAAGAAAGGAAAACTGAGACACCCTAAGGTTAGTTTCACTTGTCATTCAGGTGTTTAGGCATCAGTCTGGACTATTTAATTGCTGGGCACCCAGACTTAGCTTTATCTCCGTCCTTTCCTTTCGAGTAGTACCAGGCCTGGCTTTCAGAGCTGTGGTTGGTTTATTTATTGAGCTTTTAGGTCCACATTCAGGGTCCCAGGAAGGAGTTTAAAACCAGAGCCATTGCCATACACAACCGATAAGAACATGAATAAAACACTAACACTATGTAAGTAACAGAAAGTTAAAATAAAACAACACCTTAAAAAGCTCGTAGCAACCAGAAATTATGCTAAGACCTTGAACAATCATACTCCTTATGGCTAGATCCTAACACCAGACTGATCCTTTGACTTTACAATACATTATTTTCCTCGTACATTCTTTTGCTCTCTGTGCCTTTTCTAAAGAAGGTTGTTTATGATGTAACATTGTTTTCTTCCTGCATTCATTCTGCACTCTCTTCTGTTTTTCCTTTGCAGTTATGTCATTTTGTCTTGTGATATCTGTTGTAATGGAAAATTCAGTTCAACATCAATCAGATTCCCCCAAACACCTGGGTGAACAGCAGGCATGGCCAAATCTGTCAATTCTGGTTTCTCTCTCCCCCCTCTCATTTTCCAAAACTCAGCTCTCCTTATTTCTCCATATAGCCACACCAGTTTGCATTAAAAATAAATAAAATAAAGCCATCCAAAGTCATCAAAAGCATTTTAGTGTGCCTTTCTAATAACACACACTTTTGAAATGCGTTTCTGAAACTGAACCGAATTTCTACTCCATCCCTACTGAACATATACATTTCCCCCGATTATATAGGAGCCACCGCTACCTCCATACGAAAAAGCATTATTATATCGAAGAAATTGCTTAGCAAACATGTGTATAATTAGGAGAGATTTGTCCTAAAATGCTGATGAATTTGCATGAGGACTTGGGGGAGGGAATAAATCAAAATGATGTGGCGATGTGGAGGATTGGAAAAACGAGAAACCAAAAATTCATATTTATTATTTAGTTCATAAAATTGAATACCAAGAACCTCAAAGTGGTTCACAAATAGATAAAACAAAGTCAATAAAAATCCACAACCTTACAACTGTTAAAATACTACAACAGATTCAAATTGCCTCAACTTTCTAAGCATCTGGTTAGGTTTTTGTTCAGGGGCCAAAAAAAGTACAGTGAAAGTGGCTGCTTGATCTCAGTAGGCAGGGACAAATTGACATATCCACCCGTCCCTAACGGGAACATCCTGGAAGTTTGGGTGCTGACGTGAGCTCATAGAATCATGGAATAGTAGAGTTGCAAGGGACCCTGGGGGTCATGGCTCCAACTCCCTGCAAGGAAGGAATCTTTTTTTGCCCAACACGGGGCTCGAATCCACGACCCATAGATGAAGAGTCTCATGCTCTACCAACTGAGCCATCCCAGATTACCTCCACGGGATGCTTTATGAGCAGAGAGGGGTGTAAGGGGTTGAAGAAACTTTCCATGGCCCCCTTGGACTGGAATTAACTACCCACCAGTTGCCTCCTTTTTGCTGAAGGTGGTGGAGAGCGAAGTGGTTTTGCATGCTTTTTAGCCTCTTAGCTTCCTGGCTTTCTCCCGCAGGATGAGCTCGACTGGGGTCGTTCCAACTACATTCACATTAAGAGAATTAGAGAGGTGAGTTGGATGTGCGTCTTTCTTTTCTTTCCCCCAATAATACAAAGTACCTGGGCAAGAAGAGGCCTGCTGGATCAGACCAAAGGTCCATCTAGCCCAACAATCTGGCTGATCAGATGCCTGCAGGAAGCCCACAAGCAAGACATGAGCCCAACAGCTGTATCTGTGCATGTGTGTGTAAGTTCCTTCGTACATAATCCACATGAAAACCATCCAAGCACCCTCATTGTTTGCGGGATGTTGTTCGCTTACTCATTTCAATGCCAGGAGCTCTTAAGCAGCTCCCATCAGACAAACATCACATTTTACAATTCCAAAGTGAGACCAGGCTATGGGGTTCCCATGATAACCACCTCCTGATCAGCTTTTTTGCTTCATTTTTTTTATTTGTCTCACCATTACATTTATACCTCGGCTTTCCTCCAGAGGGAGCTCAAGGTTTCACACACAGCTAACCCCACTTTTCCTCGTTTTATCTTTCCAACAACCCTTTGAGGTAGGTTGTGCTGAGAGAGCCATCACTTGGACCCAAGAGTCTCCCCAGTCCTAGCCCAACGCTATTTTTTGTTTTTGTTCTAACTATTTGTGCTTTCATGTTGCATTTTTATCTTGCGAACTGCACTGAGATCTTTGGATGAAGGGTGGTATATAAATTTTATTGGTTGTTGTTGCTGCGTGTCAAGACCCCGAGGCCTCCCCCTTATGTTGAAGAATAACACCAGGACACAGTATTTTAGGTTAAATGGGCAAATTTAGGCCACAACTTCATTGGTTACAGAATGTGAGTGGTAGTGGCTTAGGCCAGTGATGGCCAAACTTGTCCCTCCAGCTGTTTTTGGACTACAATTCCCATCATCCCTGACCACTGGTCCTGCTAGCTAGGGGTGATGGGAGTTGTAGTCCAAAAACAGCTGGAGGGCCAAGTTTGGCCATCACTGGCTTTAGGCATTAGAATTGAACTTACTATATCTGACTCCTACATGCCATGCTGGGAGTCTAGTAAGGGTCAACCACCAATAGGGGGAGCCCTGCTGATGTACATCAACTAAAGCTCTCCCAGGGTCCCCAATGGGGTCGTGGCATGGTCCTAGCCCTACCTGGGCTTTGGACAAAGATCCACAGCCCCGGATCCCTTTAATGCAGCTGTTCTTAACCTGTGGGTCCCCAGGTGTTGTTGGACTACAACTCCCATCATCCCTGAGTTCTGGCCTTGCTAGCTAGGGGTGATGGGAGTTGTAGTCCAACAACATCTGGGGACTCACAGGTTGAGAACTGCTGCTTTAACGGAATACCCTTTAAAATGGAGAGGCAGGTGATGGCCACACCTCCCCTCCCCCAAACCAGGCTGTACCAATGCCCAACCACCAAACCTTACAAAAGTTGTGACGATTGCTACGAGGTAGGTGAAAACCAAATGGACAGTGCCAATTTGCCAAGTGAAAAAATTCCTACCAGGCCCCCTCAACAGGCGAGGGCATTTTCAGTAAGGAAGATAATGTAATGGAAAGTTTAATTTCAGTGCTTTTCCCCCCTGGAAGTACTTAAGGGTATGCACCACTGGCACCTTTCCCACCCCCAAATGTTAAAAGTATGGCACTTCCTGTAACAACTCCATGGTGAGTACCTTCACCTTTTTTTCTTAAAAAAAACAAAACCAAAAAAAAAACCTAAGCCTGCTATAACATTTCCTGCCTTGCCATTCCCTGCTCCCCACAGTGTTCTGCTTTTAAAAAAAGCGTGATCAGATGCAGTTCATTTCATGTAGGCCCACAGAAGCCAATGCGTAACTTAGCAAAAACTGTTCAGATTTCCTGCTGCAAACAACGGACAAAGGCCGCTAATGAGTGTGCTTGAATCGCGGTGCTCAGTTACTAAGGTTACCCCGCACTTAACGGAAATTGTTTATCCCCGCTTGAACGTAATGGGCTGCACCCTGAAAGAGGAAATAATGGGGAACCTTCATTGGCAGGGACATGCCTTTCCTCCGCTCTGAGTTTAATTGGGAACATTGCTCCAAGCAAACAAGCCCTTTGATCCAACACACAGGAACGCAGTGGAACTTCTCAGTGCAGCTTTGCAGAGAAAAGTCGCAGCATTTAATGTGGGACTCGGAGCGTACCCTCTCACGATGAATTGTTCTTGTGGCTAAGCAGTTTTGTGTCTTGGCCTGCCGCAGTTTTTAGACCAACGTGCTACTCCAAAATTGCCAATAATTTGTAACAAGATATTTTAAAATAATTTCACTGCTCCCAATGCTGGCAGCAGCAGGAACGCAACTCTCCTGTTGGTGGGAAAGGCACTGTTTTTAACACCAAGATGACTTTAACACCAAGATGACGTTTCCGAGCACAATTCAAAGTGTTGGTGCTGACCTTTAAAGCCCTAAATGGCCTCGGCCCAGTATACCTGAAGGAGCGTCTCCACCCCCATCGTTCAGCTCGGACACTGAGGTCCAACGCCGAGGGCCGTCTGGCGGTTCCCTCATTGCGAGAAGCAAAGCTACAGGGAACCAGGCAGAGGGCCTTCTCGGTAGTGGCGCCCGCCCTGTGGAACACCCTCCCATCAGAAGTCAAAGCGATAAACAACTACCTGACATTCAGAAGACATCTTAAGGCTGTTCAGGGAAGTTTTTAATATGTGACATTTTAGTGTATTTTTGGTCTCTGTGGAAGCCGCCCAGAGTGGCTGGGGAAACCCAGCCAGATGGGCGGGGTACAAATAATAAATTATTATTATTATTATTGGGTGCGGCATTTTTCTGGGACAAGCAATAAGCATGGCGGCTGAGAGAGGAGTTGTGTTGCTGCTGGCAAGTGCGACACTGACGTGAAGCTCAAAATAAAAGCTGTATGAAGCTGTTGCAACCGCTGCTGCTTAAGGCAAGAAGCTAATTCCAGTTCAGTTCCTCCCTTGAGAAGCGCATGGCCTGCAAACAGGTCTGCAATAGTTGTGGGCCATTTTGGTGCCATCCTATTAAAGACATATGTTCCTAGCAAAGGGCTTCTCCCTCCTTCAGCTTCTTGGATTCCCTCGTTCATACGATGCTGCTATCCTTCCATCTTACAGCAAACTCAAATCGTGAACACCAATAAAAATGGTGCCAGAAAAATAAGGCCACTGAGAAGTGAGAGAGGCATCGGCATGTTTGGGGAAACCCTAAGGCTTGTAGAAGCAAAAACATAATATAATATTTTAAAAAATCCTTAAGGTCCACCCCCATCCCAAAAACACTTTGGGGTCCAGTGAGGGACAGCATGTTTGGAAGCCACAGAGTACCATTTGAGAAAGAAAAATGGCAAACTGGTCAAGGTGGTGGGAATGGCCTTTAAATTGGGTTGTGGCTGACCGGAACTTTGTTTTTAGGATGTGGAGATAAACTACAATGTTTTTCCCCCTACCAATATTAATTTAGCTTTTGGCCTAGGCCCTTGGTGCCTATGGCATAAATAGATAAGAAATCCTCTTCTAGTGTTGTGCTGTTACAATCATTGTATTACGTTTGGCGTATATTTTATACTTGCATTTTCTGTGAGCTGTTTATAAATATTTTTTAAAAAATAAAATAGTGAGGTGTGGGTTTGTTTGTTTGTTTTTGCAGGGTACAGAAGAGAGGGAGATGTTTTGCCTTAATGAAATTTCCTTTTGATGGTCTTGGGATGTATTGTGCTTAATATCCAGATGTAATTTTTTTAGGTGGCTGAGTTGTATGAGGAGCTGAAAAAGAGAATGGGTGTGTTCAACATGGAGGTCAACCCTCACCCCCCTGCTATGGATCAAGACCATGTGTATAAGCAACGATTCATTTTGCAGGTGAGATGTCTGGATGTACAAGAGATGTTTTTCTAGATATACATACGTAATATACATACGTAAAATAAAACTTTTTTAAAAAATTGCACAACAAAACTCAACCATTTCCACATAAATCACAACAAAATCGAAAATAAAGATACAAAAAACCACCAGCAACAACCCTGTGCCAACAAACCCTTCCAAAGCACCCCAGCCCAAGATTCTGTTTAGCAGCCTCAGCTTTTGTAGCTGGAGTCAATCAGGCCAATTGGAAAAATGCCTGCAAGGCAGGCAGCAGGTCTTCCAGGACTCTTCAGCAGCTTCAGCTTTTGTAGCTGGAGTCAGTCAGAGCCCCACACACCTGAGTCCCAATGAAAATCTGTGAGACTTAAAAATAAATGCTTGGTTCCAAAGTGGAACCTCTTTTACTCTTACTGCAAATTGCATTTACGCAACTACAAACACATTTGCAAGCCCCACGAAACCAGAGAGTTTGGCTCACGTGTCATTGCAGTGTGACGAATGGCTTACTGCAAGAGAACTGCCACCTCTCCTGAGGCAGTTAACTTTTCCTTCTTCCTTAGGTTGTAATGGCTGGGGCTTTTTATCCGAATTATTTTACTTTGGCGGAACATGATGAAGAAATTGCCGTCCGGGAGATGTCAGGCAAAGATCCCAAAACAACTATAATGGTACAGCTTAACTAAGTTTTGACTCTGCCTTGTGAAGCCATGTTGAAGTGTCCTGTCCCTCTTCCCCGATACTGTTGTTTTAATAATCACATTTCTCATATATATATATATATATATATATATATATATCTATCACACAGCATTGTTGTTTTTGACCTATCTGAAGGCATACATTTTTCCTAACAGTTGAAGAACATTCCCCCGTATGGCTTCCTCTACCATAAGCAACTGCAGTCCCTGTTCAGACAGTGTGGCCAAGTGAAATCCATTTCCTATCATGGGACCAAGTAAGGGAACTTCCATTTTTAACATGGGCATAAGTCATTCTCGAAACAAAAAAATAAAATAAAAAAATAAAAAAAATTCCTTCCAGTAGCACCTTAAAGACCAACTAAGTTAATTATTGGTAAGAGCTTTCGTGTGCATGCACACTTCTTCAGATATGAAAGCTCATACCAATAACTAACTTAGTTGGTTTCCAAGGGGCTACTGGAAGGAATTTTTATATTTTATTATTTTATTTTATTTATTTTGTTTCGGCTCGGCTATGGCAGACCAACACAGCTACCTACCTGTAACTATAATTCATTCTGGTTTTGCTAATCATGGGCAGGGCAGAACGGTTTCTCTTTTGTGCATTTTTAATATTCTACCCTGGGATAAATATTTCAAAAGGGCTGTATATAAATGCCTAGCGTAAAAAGATTGCCTACACGTTTTCAAAGGTATCTTCGCAGTCATAAGGGTTTGAAATGTTCTGGGTTTGTGTGCCTGTCATATATAACTGAAAGTACTTGGCATTTATTCTGAATGATTTCTGTACGATTTTACACACATTTTACTTGCCAAGCAAAGCGAAATTATATTAATTTAACCAAAATATATTTTGAATCTCTAAGTCACATTACAACTTTCTGGCAGCCCTCATTTTTGGAATTTGAACGCTGAAAAATTCAACACGCCCTACCGCCTTGTATTTTCTTCGTTCTAACCTAAAGAACATACTTTATTTTTACTTTGCATTTTCTCCCTGTAGAGCCTTTGTAGAATTTTCCCGGAATCCAACCGAATGCTTTAAAACACTTTCTGCCGTATATATGGCCCTTAAGATGTCACAGCTGCGGACTCCATTGGAGCTGAATATACATTCCCCGGAGGAGATTGAAGGGAAAATGGAAGGAGGACCAAACATGCTCGCGCGGAGTTCACAGTATGCTGCAGATTCATTAGTTTTCAAATTAATGCAAATTCTCATGCGTCTGATTTGCATAAATTTATTCTGTTGGCAAATAAACAGGGACGGGAGCAGTGAGTTAAAGCCGCGCTGCACGGTGTGAATTCTGCTCATTCTTTGGGTTCAGAAACTTCGTGAGACAAAACAAACATAATCCCGAAATCTGAACAATAAAGAAAAGAGCAAGTTGTTCTGGGTGCCTGAAGTGTCAAGGAAGTAGGGGAGAGTGGTTTACATTTTCTAGACCATGCTCTGTTTCTTTTTTAAAAATGTATTAGTTTTTTAAAACTTAGATTTACAAAATATTGAAGAGAAACCTATGAAAATGAAAGATGCGTAATAATTCATGTCTATGTAAACAGCACTTGCAAATTTCCGCAAGTTGTGATGCTAACCTAGCCAGGCTTTGCAAACCAGCTGTTTCGAACTTGGTTTCAAGCTCTGGTTTAGAACTAACCATGGTTGACATTTAAAATCAGCCTAGATGCAACACTGCACCATGGTTAGCTCTGAAAATTGAACAGGGGCATTATTATTAGGTGATTGGGCAAGTGTATGAACAACATTTTCAATGTATTTAAAAAGCATCAATCAGCTTTGTTCAACTCCAGTAGATGCTCCAGCCTTAAAAAGCCAAGTGTTTTGCTCGAGGGGAGCATGTGCTTTTGTTACGTTGAGGGCTAATCTGGCCTCGCCCATGAGAGGAGAAGAGATCGTTTGAGGTTTGCTGGTTACTTAAACCAGTGATGGGGAACCTGTGGCTCTGCAGATGTTGTTGGACTACAGCTCCCATCAGCCCAGCCAGCATGACCTGTGGAGAGGGATGATGGGAGTTGTAGTCTTCCGTTCTGGCTAGGCCAGTTGCTATAAACATTTTAATTGAGGAATCAGTCTTCAGAAGGTAGCAGTGAGTGATTTCTGTTCTGTTTGCTTTGTGCTTCGCATTTCTTTTTAGAGTGAATGTGGACTTTCAGAAGCACACCGTGTCTCCCATGGAGAAGTTCAGTAGCCCTTTGGAAAAACTGCAGACCATCAGCAGCCTTGATTTATCTATCAATGTCACAGAGGTACAAATGTCACAAAACTATACTGCAGCAGTTAGTGCACATTCAGAGTCTAGATCATATTATTGCTGCCAGAACCACTCCCATGTCCTCTTTGCACTTCTCATTCCCCGAAATCATTGGTTGAGGTCTCCTCATTTCTGCATCAGCTGGCAACTGTAAGCGCTCATGAAAGCATTTCAGTGTGCAGCTGTCCTAATACACACATTTTTTTGCGAGCTGTTTTATGCTCCTCGTTATGGAATGGGCAAGGCAGCAGGGAGCTCAGTGCAAGCTTAGCATCATGAGCATGGGATTAGCTGTGCCCGCACTGTGCCAAGCTACCCATTGCCTTGCCAGTCATGTGCGGTTGTTGGAAAGCCAGGCAAGGAACGCTGCCCTGTCAGCTGCTGCTGCTGCTGGGCAGGTTTACATTAAAAAGTGGACTCAGCCAAATTTCTTCACGCATCCCTACCTTTAAAAGCCATTAATAGTGGCTTCCCATTTCTCACATAATGAGAAGCTGCAGTTACCGTATTTTTCGCCCTATAGGACGCACTTTTTCCCCTCCAAAAATGAAGGGGAAATGTGTGTGCGTCCTATGGGGCGAATGCAGGCTTTCGCTGAAGCCTGGAGAGCGAGAGGGGTTGTGTGCACCGACCTCTCTTGCTCTCCAGGCTTCAGGAAGCTATCCGCAAGCCTTGGGAGCCCGCGGGAGTTCCCGCCGGGCTCCCAAGGCTTGCGGACAGCAGCCTGCAGCCCAAAACCCGGGGAGCGCAGCGGAGCGCGCCCCGGGCTTCAGGCAGCTCTCCACAAGCCTTGGGAGCCCGGCGCGACTTCCCGATGGGCTCCCCAGGCTTGCGGATAGCAGCCTGTTCTGGGGGCTGGGGTCGGGGGAAGCTCAGGCTTTCCCCGCCCCAGCCCTGCGCCTGGGGGGGAAATATTTTTTTTTCTTTATTCCCCCCCCCAAAAAAACCTAGGTGCATCCTATGGGCCGGTGCGCCCTATGGGGCGAAAAATATGGTAACTGTTGCCTCTTTGCTGGCTTTCCTGTTTCTGCAAAGGGAGTAGCAACACAGCTGGCTGGATATCCTGGATGATTAAGTAAGACTTTGACCACACAGTCAATATCTGTCTTATCATCTATCTGTTTATTTATCTATTCCCTTCCCTCTCTTCAGGTGGTAGAAGTTGGGCACTTTTGGGGTTACAGAATTGACGAGAAAAATATGGCTGTGCTCAACAACGTGTCTGCTGAGATCAACCAGTTACACCTGACCCCTCTGCTAGTCCGTCCCTATCCCGATTTGGTGTGCTTGGCACCCTTTACTGAGTGGGAAGACGAGAGATACTACAGAGCCCAAGTCTTATATGTATCCGGAGAGAATGCAGAGGTACATATTTTTTAAAAGCATGCTTGTGTTTGCAGCTTAATTCAAACCCAAGGAAGCACACACAGCTCTGAATCAACTCTGAGGGTTCTAGAAAATGGGGGAAGGGCAGGATTGGCAAATGCTGGGAGAGAGCGATTGGAGGGGTTAGAAAAGGCTAAAATATATTAAATAGTAGGGCAGACTCTTTCATGTTGGCAAATTGGGCTGACTTTGCATGGCCGTTTTAAGAAATTGCATCCTTGGGAATCTAGTAAGCTTCCTTAAGCTGCAGTAGTCAACATGGGGCTGTCCAGTTGTTGTTGGACTCCAACTCCCATCAGCCCCAGCCATCATGGCCCGGTGGTCAGGGATGTGGAGGGCACGGGGTTGGCTTTCCTTGTCATACGGAGTTGGACCACTGTTCTGTCTTCAGAGTTTCAGGCATGAGTGCTTCCTATGTCTGCCTAGAGAAGTTAGGGATTGAACCCTGAATAATAATAATAATAATAATAATAATATAAAAATAAATTTTTATTTATATCCCGCCCTCCCCAGCTAAAGCCGGGCTCAGAGCAGCTAACAACAGTAAAATAATACAACATTCTAAAATCATTTCATTAAAAAATTAATTCAAATCAGAATAATGGCAACCATTGGGCTAGAGTTCTGTGAGGACTGCCAAAGGAGGGGGTCAGGCTGTGCCCTGGCCAAAGGCCTGGTGGAACAGCTCTGTCTTGCAGGCCCTGCGGAAGATGTCAAGTCCCACAGGGCCCTAGTCTCTTGTGACAGAGCGTTCCACCAGATCGGAGCCACAGCCGAAAAAGCCCTGGTTCTTGTTGAATCTTTCGCCTGCAAAGGTTGCGCTGTCTCACCAAGTTCTTCTCCACGGTCCTTTGTCTGCCCTGGTGACAACTGCACTTGTTCAGCGAGCCACTGGTGTGCCAGGTGCTCACAATATGCAGATTGGCACCTCACCTCTGCTCTGTGCTCCCTGACCAGTTCAAAACATTCCCGCCATTGTTTCATAGTGGGGGGAAATGGCGCCCAGCCTCGTTGTTGCACACAAATCACTTTGCCCTTGGATCAGCTGCTGCTGCAGCTGCATGAGAAGCTATTCAAGGCAGCTTCCCCACGGTCATTTTAAGCAAAGGGGTCACCGGCTCAAATGGCTGCCTTAGCCATAAAAGTTCACGCGATGCAATAACGGGCCTAATTTTTGCACCAGGAGGCTGCTCTGAATTTGTAAGCCAATTTTCTTCTGTGCTTTGGAAATAACTGTCAGTCCTTCTATTCATTACTGTTGTTTTACCGTCCAGGTTTTCTATGTAGATTATGGCAACAGATCAAAAGTGGCTTTGGGACACTTGCGAGAGATTCCAAGCCATCTCCGTGAGCTTCCGTTCCAGGTAACGTTCCTTTTTGTTCCAAGAATCACGGAACCGTGCTATGTGTTTTGGAGGGAGAAGTGTGTGTGTTAAATAACTATTATTATTGCTATTATTGTTATTAATCAGTTCAAACTTTTCCAGGGCCCAAAGTGCATATATTCGTGTTTGGCGGTTTTTTTGTTTTGTTTTGGTGTAGGCTCTGGAATTCAAGCTGCGCAGAATGCGGCCTTCTGCCCAGTCCCTTGTATGTGGAGAGCAGTGGAGTCACGCTGCAAGCCAGAGCTTTGCTTCCTTGGTCAGCGGCTGTGCTCTGCTGGTGAAGGTCTTCTCGATCGTGCACAGCATCCTGCTTGTCGATGTTCTTCGGTACTCTGGGATTTTGGACATTGTGAACGTCCGCGATATACTCATTCAGGAAGGCCACGCCGAACTGGCGGAAGACTCCTATGAATCCAAAGTGCGTTCTCTTGTTCCTTCTCGAGTACAGGAAGTCTTGGCATTTTAGGGTTTTTTGAAGCTGTGAGAGCAGGGGGGAGAGGATCGAAGGCAAGGCTTAACCTCTGTCGTTCTGTGAGTTCTGATGTCGGCGGAGCCGCAGGGGAATGGTTTTCCCGGACAGCTCTGCACAGGGCTCAGGCTGGAGAGCAGAACTGGGATGTCGCTTCAGCACTAGCAGTCCCTCAGACCAAGCCATAATAATAATAATAATAATAATTAATAATAGTAATAATTTATTATTTATACCCCACCCATCTGGCTGAGTTTGCCCAGCCACTCTGGGCGGCTTTCAATCGAGTGTTAAAAACAATACAGCATTAAATATTAAAAACTTCCCTAAACAGGGCTGCCTTCAGATGTCTTTTAAAGATAAGATAGCTGCTTATTTCCTTCACATCTGAAGGGAGGCCGTTCCACAGGGCGGGCGCCACTACCGAGAAGGCCCTCTGTCTGGTTCCCTGTAACCTGGCTTCTCACAATGAGGGAACCGCCAGAAGGCCCTCGGTGCTGGATCGCAGTGTCCGGGCTGAACGATGGGGGTGGAGACGCGCCTTCAGGTATACAGGACCGAGGCTGTTTAGGGCTTTAAAGGTCAGCACCAACACTTTGAATTGTGCTCAGAAACGTACTGGGAGCCAATGCAGATCTCTCAGGACTGGTGTTATGTGGTCCCGGCGGCCACTCGAGTCACCAGTCTAGCTGCCGCATTAAATACAAGTTGCACCTTGAAGCAGATAGATGGTGAGCATGGCGGCCCCTTGCAACTCTGATTTTGTTATTCTGTCCTAGCAACTGGCTCCACCTTCGCTGAAAGGAGCCCCACCCTCCTTTTAGCACTTATTGACTCCAGTTCAGCAGGGGATGTTATGATTGTGTAACAGCTTCTGAACTGGAGTCCACTGCCTCAGGCCATGGGTTGACAGGGACTGCAGACACATCTTGTGGTGCTTCTGGGACTGGTTCTGAGGGCTATCCACTCAGTGTTATACCCTGAAGAAGGGAAGTCTGGCCTCAGGCTCAACTCCCAGCAAAGCAAAGCTTAAGTCAGGCACCCCCAACCTGCGGCCCTCCAGATGTTTTGGCCTACAACTCCCATGATCCCTAGCTAACAGAACCAGTGGTCAGGGATGAAGGGAACTGTAGTCCAAAACATCTGAAGGGCCGAAGGTTGGGGATGCATGGCTTAAGTATAGTTCTTATGAAAGCCTATGAGATGGCTATGAAAGCTGCTAAGAAATCTTACTTTGCAGCTTCCATTGCATCCGCTAGCTCTCGCACAACTTTTTAGAATAATTAGGTCAATAACGTCCTTAGGAGGACAACCAAATTTAAGCACAAATTCAACCCACAGCTGTGAGGGTCGAGCTTTTTTGCGGAGAAAGTCCTGTTGCTCCGCCGTGACCTCCCTGCCAATTTAGATACAGTGACTGAACTGGAGGCCCCTCGACTGACTTCAGGTCCAGTGCTGGACCATTTTGATCAGATACTCCCTGCTGATGTGGATAGATTCCTCCAAGTTGGTAGGCCCACCACCTGCCTCCTTGATCCGTGCCCATCTTGGCTGATTAGAGAGTGTCCAGATGTTGCGCGGACCCCCCTGGTTGAAATTATCAATTTGTCCCTTGACACAGGGACATTCCCAGGGGAACTGAAGGAAGCAGTAGTGTGTCCACTCTTAAAGAAAACTTCATTAGATCCCTTAGACCTATCCAATTACCGCCCAGTTTCAAATCTTCCATATCTGGGTAAGGTAATTGAGAGAGCGGTTGCTGAACAGCTTGGTAGGTTTCTGGAGGAAACAGCGGCTTTAGATCCATTTCAGTCCAGTTTCCGTCCTGGTTTTGGGACCGAAACGGCTCTGGTTGCCCTCACAGATGATCTCCGTAGACAACTGGATCGAGGCGGGTCAGGACTGCTCATCCTTTTAGATTTGTCAGCAGCCTTTGACATGGTCGATCATGATCTTCTGAACCACCGCCTTGCAGACGTGGGGATACAGGGCATAGCCCGTAACTGGCTGTGCTCTTTTATCTCTGGTCGGGGACAGAGGGTGGCACTGGGGAGGGAAATATCGTCGCGCCATTCCTTGGTGTGTGGAGTGCCGCAGGGCGCAATTCTCTCCTCGATGCTTTTTATGCGCCCCCTTGGCCAGATTATCCGGAGCTTTGGGCTGGGCTGTTACCAATATGCTGATGACACTCAGCTCTATCTGCTGATGGATGGCCACACCGACTCAGCCCCGAACACACTGACCAGATGCTTGGAAGCTGTGGCTGGATGGTTTCGTGGGAGCCGATTGAAACTAAATCCTTCAAAGACAGAGGTCCTATGGCTGGGTCGGGATGGCATGGGGATGAGGGACCAACTCCCTTCTCTTGCGGGGGCCCAGTTAGTGCCATTGCCTTCCGTTAAGAGTTTGGGTGTAATCCTTGACTCCTCCCTTTCCATGGAGGCGCAAGTTACAGCAACAGCCAAGGCGACATTTTTTCCACCTTCGCCGCATCAAGCAGTTGGTCTCTTACCTTTCCCGCCCCGACCTGGCCACAGTGATCCATGTGACGGTCATCTCCAGGCTTGACTACTGTAATTCGCTCTACACGGGGCTGCCCTTGAAGCTGACCCAGAAACTCCAGAGGGTGCAGAGTGCTGCAGCGAGGCTCCTCACAGGGTCTCTGCCATGGGAGCATATTCGCCCAGTGCTTTTCAAACTGCACTGGCTCCCGGTAGAGTACAGGGTCAGATTTAAGGTGCTGCTTTTGACCTTTAAAGCCCTTCACGGCCTAAGACCCTCGTACCTACGGGACTGCCTCTCCCGGTATGCCCCATGGAGAGCCTCAAGGTCCATAAATAGCAACACCCTAGTGGTCCCGGGCCCTAAGGAAGTTAGATTAGCCTCAACCAGAGCCAGGGCCTTTTCAACTCTGGCTCCGGCCTGGTGGAACGCTCTGTCTCATGAGACCAGGGCCCTGCAGGATCTGATTTCTTTCTGCAGGGCCTGTAAGACAGAGTTGCTCCGCCTGGCCTTTGGCTTGGAGCCAATTTGATTCCCTCCCTCCCTTTCTTTCTTTTTTCCTTTCCTTCTCCTCCTGCGATGAGGCTACATTTTAATATTTTAATGTTTCCACATTTTAATGTTGTATTTTAATTTTGTTTTTAAGTTGTAATCATTCAATTTGTTTTTATTATTGCTTGTAAGCCGCTCTGAGCCCGGCCTTGGCTGGGGAGGGCGGGGTATAAATAAAAAATATTATTATGCCCTGTGTAGCATAACTAACCAGGGACGCAGGTGGCGCTGTGGGTTAAATCACAGAGCCTAGGACTTGCCGATCAGACAGTCGGCAGTTTGAATCCCTGTGACAGGGTGAGCTCCCGTTGCTCAGTCCCTGCTCCTGCCAACCTAGCAGTTTGAAAGCACGTCAAAGTGCAAGTAGATAAATAGGTACCGCTCTGGTGGGAAGGTAAACGGCATTTCCGTGCGCTGCTCTGGTTTGCCAGAAGCGGCTTAGTCATGCTGGCCACATGACCCAGAAGCTGTACGCCGGCTCCCTCGGCCAGTAAAGCGAGATGAGCACCGCAACCCCAGAGTCGGTCACGACTGGACCTAATGGTCAGGGGTCCCTTTACCTTTACCTTTTTAGTATAACTAAGTCTCTTTCCTCCCTCTGCCCCCTCCCAATCACTCTCAAAATGTTTTCTTTTGAATTTCCCTTAGCTCAGCCACGAAAATCTTAAAGAGCTGTTTTCAAAGCCAGAAGAAAGGAAGAGGGATGCTTCTCTCCAGAGGAGCTCAAGTGAAGAGGAGAATCGCTTGATTGAAATGCTCTTGGAGAACGCCTCTGCCAATAGGTTTAGTGCGCCAAACTGCAAGGTAAGCTTTAAAGGCACGGTCATTACTTTCCCTTGCTTTCAGAGTGGCGTGCTGTGGGTGCCCTGAAGGACGTAACACAGCCTTTCCATCCAAGTATCTATTAATACCAGGTTTCTTCATCACTGAAACCACGTGGCTGGTGAAGGTTACTTTGGGGGTGGGAGATCGCTCCATCTCTACAGAAACGTGTGAGAGCAGCTGAGCGAAATAACAAAACACATAATTTTCATGCAAACTTGCAATTTTGTGCAAGCCGTTTTTATGCTTTGGGTTTTCCAGAGCTCGAAGAGGCTCATTGACAGTACTGCCAAACCATGGTTTAGTGTGTATGAGAAGGAACTGGAGCAAGTTTCACGCTCCCCGCAAAGCGGATTTTGTTTCAGTGACATCTTGTATGCCATCCACACTTGACAAAGTGTGGTTAGTCTTCACTGTTTGCTTGTTGAAACCAAGCGAACGTCAGGTCATAGTTTTAAGAAGCTGGATAGATTCAATAAACCTTAGTTAAATTTAACTACGTTTAAGGAATGGATGGCACACTTAACTGTGGTTAATCCCAAGCAGAGTCTTTCAGTCTTTTGGTGGCTGTGCTGGAAGAAGAGGGTGTGTGAGCCCCAGACTCACAGTGGCTCATCCTTGCACCGCTAATCCGTGGTTTCATGTTACTCATGAACTGATTTTAAGGGGTTGGGGTGAGGGGGTTATTTTGATGCCTCCATATCTACCCTTCCTTCCCCAAAACATGAGCCACACTTTACTACCATAAGAAGAAAATCCAAAATGGACTAATTTGGGTGTTTTATGTTCTGCTTTAATTTTTTTCCTCCTAAGGCAAGGCTTATTGGCCCATACAACCCCTACTGCCTGAAATTCAGCAGCATGACCAGAATCTCCAGATTTAGGTAGGATGGCATGTTATTGTGCTTTGTTCAAGGTCACTCCATGACATTCTGGCTGAACTGGACTTCTCATTGATGTCCTTCCAGGTCATGTCCAAAATTGTGTCCCCCTGGCTCTCATAATTTTTATTAGGGCTGCCTCCAAATTTGAAGAACGTATAATCAATTAATTGAAGTTAATTTCAATGGATTAATTTGCCAAATCTGCATAAGCCTGACCTTCATTGAAGTAGTACAGTGGTGCCTCGCAAGACGAAATTAATCCGTTCTGCGAGTTTCTTCGTCTTGCGAAGCATGGATGCACCCTGGTACTGTATTATAATGGGATAGCGGGCAAAGCACAAAGCGGGTCGCTCCCCAGCAGGAGGAGTTTCCCCAGCCTGGAGGATCTGTTGCCGGGAAGAGGCAAAGACACCCCCTCCCACCTCCCCACGAAAACAGCCCCCCTTCCTCTGTCGCCAAGCCTTGCCGCGTCTTCGCTCCGCCAAACTGCGTCCCACATCAAAGCCCCAGCCCGCTCCTCTCCCTCTCTCTCCACAAGGTGCCAAAGGAAGTTCGAGCCCAGGAACCGAGGGCGGACGCACGAAGCGCCCGGCGCGGACTCTCCCTTGCTCCCCCCGTTACCTTGCGGCACGCCGCCGGGCTCCCCACAGTCTCGGCAGCTGCTCCCGGCTTCTTCCCACCCCCGCAAAGGCGCCTTCGCGGCGGCCCAAGCGCAGTGGATGCCTCCTCCTCCTCCTCCTTTGTCCTGCCTCCTCCTGCCTTCGCGCAGTTAGGGCAAAATGGAGCAGCCACGTGGGGAGGGGGAGAGAGAGAGAGAGGCGGCGGCGCAGAGACCCAGCCAGATCCGCTGGATCCCAGCCCACCTGCCTCCTCTGTGCCCTCTCCAGAAGAGGATCCCTCTGGAAAAGGTAGGTCGCTCCCTCGCTCGCTCCCTGCCAGCCCAGTTCCCGCTTCAAAAGGAAACAAACTCACAAGACGTTTCGTCTTGCGAAGCAAGCCCATAGGGAAATTCGTCTTACGAAGCACCTCAAAAACCGCAAAACCCTTTCGTCTTGCGAGTTTTTCGTCTTGCGAGGCATTCGTCTTGCGGGGCACCACTGTATTTCTGGAGAAAAAGGCATACCTGCTTTGGTATTTAGGTTATTTAATTCTGCATTCCTGCCCTAATAAGCCCCGCCCCAGCAGTTTTGCAAAAAAAACCAAACAAAAAATGATTATTAAGTAACAAAATAAGGTAAAACTAAAACTTTAAAATCCAACAAAGCAGAGTTAAAAGCTTCAATAATTCATTAAAATCCATGCATAATAAGAACATTTGCAGTGCTCACCTAAAACGGCATCGGGGATGGGGCTAGTCTCACCTTCCTTTGGCAGAAAATCCCCAAACTGGTGTCCATTCTGACATGTATTCGTCATAACCAGAGCCAATTCAGTTTTTCTGCAGTTTGGCTTCTTCCAGCTGTGACATTATCATCTCACCTTCCACTTACAGCCAGAATTTTACACATTTTTTTGGTCGTACTATTGCCATGTTCCATTATGTGATTTCACACCAGTGATTTCATGTGTTCCGTATTTGGATTTCCTGATGTAGTTCTTCGTTGCGGTTAATTAAGACCCAGAGCCCAATTGTACCTGATTTCACAATATTTAAGTATTTAAATGTTAACAGTGGACAGCCATTTTCTGCATCTCACTGACCCTCCCCCCAAACACCCCTCCCCACTCAAGCACCTAATCCCATTTAGACAACTGCAGTGCGTTAAGGGCTCATGAGATTAAATTATTATTTACTTGGTCCCAACCTGAGTAGCAGTTTACAGGTCTGAGCTTGTAATTTACATGCATTTTTTCAAGGTGTGCAGTTATTTTGTGCTTCTGGATTTTTGCTTCTTCACAGGGTGGGTGGGTTTGTGTGTAAGTGAATAAACTCCGGTCTAAGAACACACTCCCTCTATTTTTCTAAGTAAACCAACTAAGTAGGAAGTGCAAAGGTTTTCCTGAGGGTTTTCTCATACCTTGACACTTCCCTCTCCCAAAACAAATAGATTACCTGCCCCCTGCAAGGTTCTAAACATCTGCTGAGCTTAATGACAACAGCCAGGAACCGTTAAACAAAGCACAAAGCAACATGTCAGAAAATACGACATTGAGCACGTATAATCTGCTAACTTTTTAAAAAAACAACAGTAGCAACACGCTGTTCTGAACACATGGGCAGAAGGAATTACCATATCTGCTTAGTGTGAAATTCTCTTAACATTGTAGCTGCAAAGAAGCCTTTGTCACACATTCCTACCAGCTAAAGTTACTACGATAGGGCCAACGAAGATGATCTCTTCCGTCTAGGCAGATGCACACGGTGGTCTTTCAGACAATAATTACTATTATTTATAAAATTTCTATTCCATCCATCTTCCCAAAGATGCTCAGGGAGCAGCAAACGCCAACATGTTTAAAAAAGACAATTAAAATGGACATAAAACATGTTTAAAATAACTGAAAATATTTTTTTAAAAATCATCTCATCCAGCCTATTTCAAGGTTGGCATGCCCAGTATCTTTCAGCCATCGAATGCCTGGGAAACAGGAATGTTTTTAAGTTTCCCCTAAAAATGAATAATGAAGGAAATGGGTGCATCTCACCAGGGAAGGTATCCCACAAACGGAGAAATGCCACCAAGAAGGTCCTGTTATGGGGAAACAACAGCTAGACAGCCTTAAGTGATGGCAACACCATATTGCAGCCCTAAGCTGTTAAGATACTGGCGTAACATTAAATATCCCTAGCATTTTGCCACCAGCTGGAGGTTCCAAACACTCCTATAGGATAGCCGCAGGAAGAACGCATTGTGGTAATCTAATCATAGGTCACCCAGGCACATATAGCTGTGCTCAGATGTGCTTTTTCTAGCAAGGGATGGTGCACAGATGCCACAGTAGGAACTGTCTTGAAGAGAAGCCCTTTTCTCCATGGGGAAGACTGAAGAATGACGCCCCCTGGCAGCAGTAGTTCTATGTAAATGCTTGTACATAAAAGATGATGATGATTTACAACACATACAAAAGTAGCTTTAAAGCAGGCATAGGCAAACTCGGCCCTCCAGATGTTTTGGGACTACAACTCCCATCATCCCTAGCTAACAGGACCAGTGGTCAGGGATGATGGGAATTGTAGTCTCAAAACATCTGGAAGGCTGAGTTTGCCTATGCCTGCTTCAGAGAGGGGGGGGGGAGAGAAAAACGAAAGCAATAAAACCCCAAAGGATATAGTACATTGCCATAACAATCAGTATCAATTGACGATTGCAATTTTCGACCTACTATATTTGGTATAAATGAGTTTCAAATTGCATTATACTTGTCCATGCAAAAGAAGAGAAAAGAAAAGATGTTTGATAGAACCCTTTTAGTAGGAAAGGTGTTGAAGAGAATAATTTCGCTAATTAGTCAGTGGCAATTTCACGACATTGGATTTCTTCTGCTTCATATTAGGAATTCTGTGCAAGGCTGGTATTTAAACGAACTGAATTGCTTTTCTCTCTCCCTCTCCCGCCCCTCTAGAGCAGTCTTAGTGGAGAAGGAGAGTGTGAACTCTGTGGTGGTGGTTGATGCCCCTGAAGACTCGTTTCAACAGATGCTGGTTGCTGCCTCTGTGACAGTAAATGCAACAGGTACGTGGTGTACCATAGAGCATTGATAAAGAGCTGATCGATCACTTGTGCCTGTACAGTGGTGCCTCGCAAGACGAAAAGAATCCGTTCCGTGAGTCTCTTCGTCTTGCGTTTTTTTCGTCTTGCGAAGCAAGCCCATTAGCGGTTTAGCGGATCAGCTGATAAGCGGCTTAGTGGCTTAACGGATCAGCTGTTAAGCGGCTTAGCGGATCAGCTGATAAGCGGCTTAGTGGCTTAACAGATCAGCTGTTAAGCGGCTTAGCGGATCAGCTGATAAGCGGTTTAGTGATCAGCTGTTAAGCGGCTTAGCGGCTTGGGAAAAAGGGGGGAAAATGGAAAAAAACCCCGCAGGAACTCGCAAGACATTTTCGTCTTGCGGAGCAAGCCCATAGGAAATTCGTTTTGCGAAGCACCTCCAAAACGGAAAACCCTTTCGTCTAGCGGGTTTTCCGTCTTGCGAGGCATTCGTCTTGCGGGGCACCACTGTACTGTAGTTCTGTTACCACTGGATCTTACATTTGCAAAATTATTGCATTCTTTAAAATGACCAAATAGTATTATCATTACTGCTGTTGTTTTCTGATAACAGGATCCACAATGTTGCTCAGGGAGACATCTCTGATGCCTCATATTCCAGGACTTCCAGCACTGCTGGCCATGCTGTTTGCTCCTGTGATAGATCTCAGGTATGTGCACATTCCTAAACAAGAGCATCGCAGTCAACTTAAACGCTTGTGCTGCTTCCTTTATAGTTCCCTGATAGAATGTGTAACACTCTTTCCAAAGGCTTCATGTTGTGTGACATAAAATGCAGTCCCCCACACTGATAGTAAACATTGATCTTTTTTTCAAATCCAGGGCTATGCTTACTGCCAGGCCTGTGCATATTTAAAGTAATTAATTTCAAATGTTGCCGAATTTAAAAGCTTGTAACCTGCCAGATTTGAAGTTCAGAAGGTGATACTGAAAATTTGCTATCCCTGAGAATCATATTTCTGTAAAGAAAGAGGTGAAAAGAGTCTGTGGGTAGGGTTTGCCCAAATCACAGAAGCTCAGGCGCAAAGGGATCAGGAGGGACAGGATTTCAAGAAATCTGATCACAGTAATCCCTAGAGCATGGCTTACTGTGAATGAACATGCTGCTGAATCGTTCTTGTCTAGGTCCTCCTTTCCTTGAGTTCCGGGCAATAAACCACGAGTGTGCTTACTGTGAAGGGATGTGGGTGGCGCTGTGGGTTAAACCACAGAGCCTAGGGCTTGCCAATCAGACGGTCGGCGGTTCAAATCCCTGTGATGGGGTGAGCTCCCGTTGCTAGGTCCCTGCTCCTGCCAACCTAGCAGTTTGAAAGCATGTCAAAGTGCAAGTAGATAAATAGATACCGCTCTGGCGGGAAGGTAAACGGCGTTTCCGTGCGCTGCTCTGGTTTGCCAGAAGCGGCTTAGTCATGCTGGCCAAATGACCTGGAAGCTGTCCGCCAGCTCCCTCGGCCAATAAATTGAGATGAGCGCCGCAACCCCAGAGTCGGTCATGACTGGACCTAATGGTCAGGGGTCCTTTTACCTTTACCTGTGCTTAATGTGAGGTCTGAACCAGCACTCATGGTTTGTCTCTCTCCAGACAAACCATAGTGGTAAGCCAAGGTTTGCTCCTGGCCTATGGATCATGGTCCATTTGGGAAAAACAACCAAGCTTGTTGCTCTCGGAGTGAAATGGCTGCAATTCAGCATGCCTAGAACACTGCTCATTCATGCTTTATGGTTTACAGTTAGATACAGACAGGGTCATTGTGTGCAGGTGAGCAGTATTCAGTTATGATGTCAGATCAAGTTTCTGTTTCTGCTTATTTTAATATACCGCTCCTCATCTGAGGATCACAGGCCAGTTTACTGTTTAAATGACTCAGTCATTAAAAAGCTTGTTGCTCTCATTAGGGTTGATGAAAGCAGGAACAGATACATTGGTGTCCTTTGTGGCTTGGGATGGAACTACTCGCTGGGAGTCCCCATCCTCTCCGACCACGACATGGAGTTTATGTTTGATGTGAAAATTGATGCAGATGACATAACCCAGGTAAATTCCGCACCAGTTCATCCCATTCATGCTGCCCCCCCCCCCCGGTTTCTTGGAAGTGAACCCAACTGCCTTGGCTGGTTTATGTGCGATGAGATTGATCCACATCTTGGGAAATCATCCTGTATTTGGGTAGACGATTAAGCAAACCAATTCTTTTAACAGATCTGGTTTAAAAGTGTTTCAGTTTGAATCAGAAAAGTAGTTTCATCAAAAGCTCAACTACAGTGGTACCTCGGGTTACATACACTTCAGGTTACATACGCTTCAGGTTACATACGCTTCAGGTTACACACTCCGCTAACCCAGAAATAGTACCTTGGGTTAAGAACTTTGCTTTAGGATGAGAACAGAAATTGTGCTCTGTCGGCGCGTCGGCAGTGGGAGGCCCCATTAGCTAAAGTGGTGCTTCAGGTTAAGAACAGTTTCAGGTTAAGAACGGACCTCTGGAACGAATTAAGTACTTAACCCGAGGTACCACTATATTCAACCAGTCGCCATCTCTGCTGCTTTCAAAATTGACCATCTTTTATTCACAGATAAACATTATAAGGATCGCCATTAACAAGCTGGTCTCAGATGGTCCAAACGGCCTGATGCATTTTGGTCAAGAGAGAATTGCCCAGTTGCAGGATGCCACTCGCCAGAAGCTTTTAGGGTAAATTACCACCTTTTTTTGCCATAAGAAGTTGCATTCACCTTTATATTACACAGCAGGGGAGAGAGAGTGTATTGCAAATCTAAAGAAGCGCTAACTCAGCTTTCCCTAGCCTGGTGCCTTCCAGATGTTTAGAACTCCCACCAGCCCCATCCAGCATGGCCATGGATCAGGGATGATGGGAGCTGTGGTTTCAAACATCTGGTGGGCACCAGGTTAGAGAAGGCCAGGCACAAATGTAACAATCCTGGAGAAGCGAAAGAACCTAAATGTATCATTATGTATTCGGGGCACTCGTGCATCTGCAGTTTTAAGTTAATTGTATTTACCATATGTCATCACTACTTAACGGGAAACTCTGCCTTTGAAAAACATGTCTAGACAGAATGAATTAAAACGTATCACTGCCGTACTTTGCACAGCTCAGGGAGACAGGAGATGGCAGGCGGGGAGTCTGTAGTAATCGAGTTGTCACACACGACAAAACATTCCCAAAATAGCTGGGATTAGATCTGCATAGACAAATTCGGGTGCATGCACGTGTATGCACTCGGCTGATGCAAACATTGGCACTGGGAGATCAACTTAAATTATGATGTTTTAAATGCTTGCCTTGTCAAAATACTCTTAATAAATTAGCTCAGCCAGGGCTCGAATTAGAAAGGGGCAGGGGGAGCTGCTGGCCTTCTTAGCTTGTCCTCCTAATGAAGGTTAGAAGGGGGGCAGGATTTGGCTACAGTTGGGGAATGTTGGAAGTGGGCTTTCTGGCTTTCATTAAGGACCCCTTTAACGCCTCCCCTTCCAATAATTAGGGCACCAGATTCTGTGTGACGCTGATTTTTCCCCCTGAGCGGTTTCCCAACAAAGTAAGGTTGGCAACTGGTGGGCCCCGGAATCTCCATCCAGCCCTCCGTGTAGCCTCTGCCTGCCCCCCTGCTGGGGACCTCAGCTACTACCCCTCCCCTTGCAAGGCAAAAACACCATTAGAGGCTTGTTGAGCTTCATTCACACCGTACATATAAAGCAGTCTTACACCACTTTAGTAGTTTTGACTTTCCCCACAAACAATCTTGGGAACAGTAGTTTTGTACTGTAGAACTACAGTTCCCAGGATTCTGTTGGTGTGCCGCGCTGGGCTTTGTAACCAACTTGGGAAAACGCCAGGCAGCTGCGTTCTTCCCCCTCAAGCACCTCTCGGGGTGATCCATCACTCCTCTGTCCCGATACGCTTCTGTGACACATATCCGAAGATATGTGTACACAGTACTGTAGCAGAGTCCAAGCAGAAACTAGGCATAGAGGTGTGGAGTCTAAGCTAATTTATTATGTACACGATCAGGTGTTACAGAACAAAGGAAACATGTCTCCTCTCCACTTCTTCTCCGAGAGAGAACAGCAAATGGAAAAGTACAACAATAATGGAACAGTGTAACTGAACTTCCGTTCCCATGATTCCAGTAGTATGGAATGTCAACACAGACATGTGATGAAGACAATTGCACATCAGCAGTGGAGAGAATGAAATCCCAACAGATTCTCCATGACTGTTCAAGTGGTATAAGACTGCTTTAAATGTCTGTGCTGCTAATATGATTTTTCTTTACTCACAATGAGTTTCTTTCTCCCTGCTCTCTCAGCCTGATTTGTAAATCAAAACCTCGTGAAGTTGTTCCTCCCAAATTCTATCCGAAGCCATATGAATGGAGTCAGGTAAGGTTTGCTTCCCAAATTTAGACCTCAATAACACCAGTCCCAAGCCTTCTAGCCTCAGGTATGGTGACTCTCCACGGTCTCTAGCAGATCACATACTACCTGACTGTTTTACTGAAGATGCCAGAGTTTGAATCTGGGGTGTTCTGGTTGGAGATACTTGACGAATTTGTTTCAGTGAATTTCAGTATGACCTGCCCTTATCTACAGCACCTAGACTGTGGCGTGGATTGGAGCACATTTATCCTTTGTATCCCACTCTTCTCTGAATTTTGAGACATAGTGACCAGCATAAAAATGTCCCCCAAAATGAAGCCAAACACTTCCTGAAAAAAATATGTAAACCAAACTGCAGCCATCATTCAAAATTCACACACTTCCCCAGATTTTGCGATGCAGTTTTCTAGTCAAGAAATGCTTGTGTTCAAAAATGAACATACTAATCAAAATAATATACGGAAATGCCCATTCCTACCCCCATGTCATTGTGTTAGTTTGTAGTTGTGGCTGTACCATCCTGCCAAGTGCTAGAGATAATTTTAACATTCTATACAGCATCTACCTACCTACCTCCCATCCATCCATCCATCCATCCATCCATCCTCTGTGAGTTGCCATATTTTTCGCTCTAAAGGACGCACCGGACCTTGTTTTAGAGGGGGAGAACAAGAAAGAAAAATTCTCCCCCTCTCTGCTCACCCCTTCCACGAAGCGGCAGGAGAAATGGAGCCCCTTCCATTTCTCCTCCCGCTTGGCTGAAGGGGCGCTGCGCAGCTCTCCCTCTCTGCTGAAGCCAGGAGAGTCGCGCTGCGCTCCGAAGGCTTCATGCGGCTACTCCTGAAGCCTGGAGAGCGCACCGACCCCTCTCGCTCTCCAGGCTTCAGAGAAAGCAATGCGAAGCCTCCGGAGCGCGGAGGGAGCACTCCCTCTGAGCTTCGGAGGCTTCGCGTTGCTATCGCTAAAGCCAAGGAGCCTGAATTCGCTCCATAGGACGCACACACATTTCCCCTTAATTTTTGGAGGGGAAAAAGTGTGTCCTATAGAGTGAAAAATACGGTATAAACTCTGCCCAGGAGAAAATGTTCCTGGAACAGACACCCCCCCCCTTCAACCTCACCAGAAAACCTTCCCTTCCATTCAAAGCATTAAACCTTCACTTTAAAAGAACAAACAATAAAATGTTCATTACTTGCATGTACTAAGTTACGTTGTTTGGACATTGTTCCCATGTTTTTCTTTCTCATTTAGCCACGGTCAAACATTGTCATTGACCAGTCTGAACCACAAGATGCACGAGCGAGGACTGATTCCTTGTACCAGCTGCATAAGTTGATTTTGTTAAATGCCTAAGGCTTCAGCACTCATCGTCCTTCGCTGGAAGAAAGTCCCATTAGACTTGGTGCAATCTGCTTCCAAATAAGTGTGTTTAGGATCAGAATGTTGTTGTTGTTTTAAAAAAAAACCTATTGTTCTGTTACAGAAAAATATAAAAGATGTGTTTAAAAATGTGACCTTACCAGTTTAACTGTTTGTCTTGTTTTCCTAACAAACAAGAAGCCCCTAGAAAATGACACAGGTATGTGCAGTACAGTATTTGAAATTGGAAGAACTTTAGTGCTGCTCACTTACTAACCACATGAGGCACTAAGAGCTGCTTATCCCTAACATTAGACTACCTGGCTTCACCCCTCCAACCTATATGCATTCAGTAAAGTTCTGAATGCCAGGGTTTGTAGGGGGACGGTACACCCTTAGGCTTTTTCATACACCCGAGAGCCCTGATCACCCTTGGCTCCTGGCATTGGGAGAGGGGAGGGTTCGGTGTCAGGAACGGCTTCCCAGGCAGAGTGAAGCTGCTGTGCCATCTTCCTGGCAGGTGGATCAATGTTGCTTACTGTGAGAGGGGCAAGATGACAAGGGGTCTGGTGCAGTGCAGACGCACAGGCAGAGCTAATCTGGTGCTCCTGCTTGCATGTTTGCACCCTGCCAACCTCCCTTGCCACCTGCCCTCCCAGTAAGCAGCAGTGACCCATCTGTCACTGGGGAGCTAATGTAATGACTCTGCCCCCCAAGCAAGCTGTTTCTGCCTGATGTACAGAAGTTGACGGGATGGAGCCAGGCAGCTGTAGGAAGAGTGGGAGCACAGTGGGATGTTGCCATGGTGGGCAGTGCCAGGAAGAGGAGTCCTCCACCATCTCCATTTAACCCTGCCCATGATGTTTCTCTTCCTGAGTTCAAAGCAGGGCTGGGGAACCTTTGGCCTTCCAGATGTTGTTGATCTACAGCTCCCATCATCCATGACAATTGGTCTTACTGGTTCTGGAGGGACAAAATTTCCCTATCCGTGCTTTAAAGATGCATACAAGTTGTTATGGCTAAGATTCTTGGAATTGATAGTTTTGACAGCAGGGCTTAGCTGCGACAGATTCTTTAAAGAGTGTGAGGTGCATATAATTAAGCTGCTTCAGTTTAGCTCGTAGTTAACATTCACAGCAGCCAAATAGGAAGATAACGTTTTTGGTTTTGCCTTTGGATTAAAGTGCATTTCAAGTTTTAAGTGTTCCATTTAACATTTGCTTTCTGTTATTAGCTATATCTGCAATTGCTAGTTTGCTTTGAAAAAAATAAAGCCAATGAGTTTTAATACACTGTGATTTTTGTGTCTTTTAAAATACATATTGGGCAAAAGGAACAGCGTAGATTAAATCAAATCTGTTGTTCCTTTTTCCATTCACGCAGCATGATGGAAATTGCAATTTGTTTCTTCCTAGCTTGAAGTGGGGGGGCGGGGGACGTGACGTACAGACATGCCTTTATAGAAGTTAGCAGTGGAAATACAACTAAAACAAATAGCAACACTAAAGCAAGAAACACAAAGGGCAATTTTATAGAATCGGTTAGAACTGATTAACAAGATCATAATCTTAGTACAGACCACAGAATGTGGTTTGGCAACCAAAGGAAAAATACTGCAATCAATCTTAGGACGGATTCTGCTCAGTTCTCTCCCATCAGTGCAAGAAAGACCACTTACCTTTTAAGGTGGGTGAAGGCTGCAGCCACGGAGGGTGACAGGATAGGCTGCCTAAATTTTAAATCTATATTGGCCAATGAAGGCCTACGTGTGGGGCAGGCCTTTGGCAGACTGGAGGAACAACATCAGCTTGGCATCATTGGCATCCAAATGCCAGCCTGTAACTCTCACCCCCACCCCAAAATCTGGATTTACCTTTTTTGAGGCAAATCCAAGAAGTAACAAGAAAAAACCCCAACCTTGTGGCCAGCTACTTGTTTTTGCAATATTTCAGTGACCCATTTGTCAGTTAATCCCGATGTTCCAGAAATTGTACTCTAGAGCAAGATATCCTCCTTGCCTTGCACAAGAAAAGAGGCCTGGGGTACGTTGATGTGGTGCGCTTGACTCAATGCATTGCACATAAAGTCTGGAAAAAGTCTTAAAGTAGAAGGACGCCTCTAGATCCAAGATACTGTTCGATCTATTAAAACATGAATATCCTGTCAGTTTTCTGTGTGGTAAAGACCTACTGCTTGATGTAATAGAACCTTGTTTCCGAAAAAACGAGCAGTACACTGTTACTGCTGGGAAATAACTGGGAACACCAGTTAATCCTGCAGGTCCCACGTGTGTGGGACTACCAAGAAAAAATGGCTGACTGCCTGAATTCAAAAAAGCGCACACGGGGCTTGACCCACTCTTATGCCAAAACAGCCCCCAGCAGAGTTTAAAACACAGATCTGTGCAGCGTTTGCAAAGCCTCTACCCCTCTTAGAGTGAATAGACCACAAACTTTGGTATGTTTAAGTGCTTTACTTACAGTAATCACAGATTTCACTCACGCATTGTTCAATGCAACAGCAGAAATCATAAGGGCAAGGTATTTTTGGTTGCAAAATGCAGGTGTTAGTCTCCAACATGCGGTGTGAGTCTGGAGCCCCAGCCTCTGACACGTGCTCAGCTACATGGTTGGAACAAAAGGAACAAGAAACAGACAATACTTCCTTGCAGAAGGTGAGGGGGCGTGACCTAGCCATGCCTTCTCTAACAATTTACAAGTCCTGGGTTAAAGTGTTTATTTCTACTGAACTCACCAAGTCTCTCAGTGCTATCCAGCACCCCTTCAAGAGCAGGTCTTCTGCCAAAAGTTTCTTCCCAGTTTGGACACCAGGAGGGCACAGATGGGGTTAAGGGGGAACATGCAAACCCCAAACTAGGGAGAAAGGCGAAGGAAGCCTGCCCAGGATCTGGATACTGCTCTTGTATATTGCGAATGTCTTCCAGCAGCATTTTGCAGATATGGAAATTTGTCTTACTCTGATATTTTAATTTTTATTTTTTTTAAGATGGTCCAGTGGAACATTCTGCTCACCTCTCCTTTCTCTGCTGACAATATCTGGGTGCACGGGTAATGAATTCTGCTGCCACCTCACATACTGTTAGCGCTTCCTTTCCCTGTCTTAGACAGATGTTCCTTAACTGGAGGCTTCCGCCTTTTCTTTTCTTTTTTTTAAATGATATTTATTAAGGTTTCAAAAAAAGGATACATAAATAAGAAAGAGAAAAAAAAATACAAAATACAAAAAAAACCAATTAAAAACAATTCCATCTTTTCATCACTTCTCTTTCATTTACTTGTTTCCCGGACCTCCTCATACCTCCTTTTTTTGTATTCCAGTTCAATTTATTAGTCCAGCAATTCCTTTCCCTCCTTTTGGCTTCCGCCTTTTCTTGCAGGGGAAGTTATCTTGTCTTCTTTGTTCGCTCCCTGTTTTTCCTTCATGGTTTCTGTAGAGTTGTAACAGTTAGGTTCCAGTCCCTGATGCAGTTCCAGGTGGATGATATTTTAGTAGTTGAGGAGTTATCTGCCTTGCCAGTCAGTCTGGAGAGAGGGATGACTCCTCTCCCTGGAGGGAGAAGCAGAGGGTTCAGACAACCTTGCCTGTATGGGGGAAAATGAAATATACGAAATATATGTGTTTGTGTGTGAACAACAAAAAGAAATGGCTGAGTCTCTGGATTCAAATGCGGGGGCTAACACACAGAGAGCCCCAGTAGCCCCAGTTAAAATCACAAAATAAGCAGCCCATTAAAGTTTTAGGAATACAGGTTGTTAAACCTCTCATTCAGCTGCATACAGCAGCTGACCTCTTTCTACCCCTCTTGCAATGAGCAGACCACACACAGTTAAGTAAGTTTAAAATGTTTTACTTACAGATTCAAGGTCTCAGTCATGCATTGTTCCATGCTGCAGCAATGATAATACAGGCAACATACTGTTGAGTAGAAAATGCAGAATATAGTTCCAAACATGTACTGTAAGCTCAGGATCAAGCTTACACACATCCTCCTTCAATGGTTACATGATGCACGGGGTGGGGTGGGGGCGAATAGAAAGGCTTGGATGTAACCTGAGTCTCTCTACAACTCTGTGGTCCTTAACCCCTTCGTGCAATAACTAGCAGTCGTGCATAGTTAGGTTTGACTGCAAGCTCTTGCAGCCTGATCCTCCTATCAGCATCACCAAACACAAATTCATGGGAAATACAATTTTCTGTTCTGCTGGGAATCTGCTGCCACCCGGTGGACAGTATGGATTTACTTTGTATTTGAAATTTATTTGCAGGTTTGCAGCTCCTTCCAAAACACGGAATATATACATAGCTGTCAACTTACAGATTTGAAAATAAGGGACCAACAGCCTCGAAAATAAGGGATCAACAGCCAAAATAAGGGATCAACAATTACTTTGATAAAATACATATTTTGTTGCGTGCAAATGGCTTTAGATACCTATTAGGTCCATAAATTACCATATAGCATATATTCAACACAAAAAAACAGCAACAATTTGTTGTTGACAAAGGACAGCTGGACATAGAAAGGGCCCCATTACCTTCAGTAGCTCGTTTAAGGGACATCATCAATAAGGGACAACAGCGGGACACGGCGCTGGGATAAGGGACTGTCCCGCCAAATAAGGGACGCTTGACAGCTATGAATATATATTCAGTTCATCAACTGCCAACAGGAAGGATGACCAGAATGCAAGATTTAGGCCCCATCTGCACTATGCTTTGAAAGCAATATCGTATCACTCTAAACAGTCATGGCTCCCACCTAAGAATCCTAGGAACTGAAGTTAGTTAAGGGTACTGAGAGTCACAGAGCTAACGTGTCAAGAGCGGTTTGACAGTCAATCATTCTCACCAGGGCACTCTGGTAATTGTAACACTTTGAGGGGAAGAGGTGGATAAAATGGGCACATAGACTGAGTTCCTGCACTTGAGTTAAAAGAAAGCCTAAATAAAAACTATCAATTTGACTGGATCATCAAGTATAGTTCCAAATTTGCCAGGCTTGTGATGACGGTTGTCTTAAAAATGATGGCTCTGCTGTATATTTCATAAAAGGAATGCCAAATCATATTAAAGGTGTCTGGAGGTTCCAGTCCTTGTTGAAATCTAAAATCATGAACAATTTCCTCCATTATAGCTATATTCTAGAGTGAGGGGTACCAAGCATCCAGTGTAAGATTTTGGGTTATTTTCCATTGAAAATAGTAATTTTCCAATTACTATTCCTGCTGCCAATACCACATATAAATAAGACCAATTCTTTTGACAATATATTTACATTGGTATCCTCAAAAATTTCCAGTAACATTAATTCTGGACAACAGACAACCGTTTCTTTATTAATATTTACCATTTCTGTCAAAGTTGAATCCAAAAAATCCTGCACCAACTGACATTCCCAGCCATAAATGATAATATATCCCAAGTTTATTGCAACTCCAACAATTAAGTGCTATGGAAGAAAACATAATTTTGACATTTGCAAAGGAGTCCAATACCATCTGTGTAGTAATTGTACAGTGTACTATTCATTGATGTTAATATTGCATGTTCTTGAATTGTGGTTTATGATTTTTTCTACTGCACAAGTCTCTTTGAGGCCTTAAAAAACAAATAAAAGGAACTAATTTGTCATAACTGGAAAACTACACTTGGAGACAGGATAACTGAATGGTAAATAGGGAAAAATGGATTAATGTAGTCAGAGCTAGAGAGGTGTAAAACAGCTTTATAACCACTTTGTTCCAAAATCGAGTGTTTTCGTATTGAATTGTATAGCAAGGTACAAAAATATGCCTATACCTATACACTGCTTTGGGACGTGGGTGGCGCTGTAGGTTAAACCACAGAGCCTAGGACTTGCCGATCAGACGGTCGGCGGATCGAATCCCCGTGACAGAGTGAGCTCCCATTGCTCGGTCCCAGCTCCTGCCAACCTAGCAGTTCGAAAGCACAAAAAAGTGCAAGTAGATAAATAGGTACCGCTCCGGCGGGAAGGTAAATGGTGTTTCCGTGCGCTGCTCTGGTTTGCCAGAAGCGGCTTAGTCATGCTGGCCACATGACCCAGAAGCTGTATGCCGGCTCCCTCGGCCAATAAAGCGAGATGAGCGCCACAACCCCAGAGTCAGCCACGACTGGACCTAATGGTCAGGGGTCCCTTTACCTTTACATACACTGCTAGGTGCATTGTGTTTTGTATGTGAGTATGTGTGTGTTTATGTGAATTCCTAGCTCTGGGAAACTGATGTTTGTTTAAATCTTTGTAAAAAACACAGTGACAAATAAACAACCCTTGCTGTTTAAAAATCCCTGGGTACCTTTAAAGCTTTCTCTCATGAGATGAATGATGAAGGCTTGATTGATTGATTGATTGATTGATTGATTGCATAGGCTTTGCAGCCTGAGAGTTTGCGGGTGGCTATATCTGTTCAGCCTTCTGCAGCGACACCAGCAAATCTAAGGATGTAGTCACTGCAGAAGGGATAAATGTCAGATGGGAGGTGCACGTGCTTTGGATAAAAATAGCAAGTGCACTGAGACTCTGTGGTTGAGGCTTTGGGAAGATCAGCAGCAGCACTGACCACAGTGGCAAACCTGGAATTGCCTGGAGAGCATGGCATTGGCGCCCCATGGCTCCAGCTGAGAAGCTCTTCCCTTGAGCCACGAGAGCCTTGTGGGGCTCACCAGAGGCCTGCCCTGCCAGGGAGGAGGCTAGGGCCTGGGTGCCGGTGCTCAACACTGGGGGGCGCCATTGGCATTGGGGGCGCCGAGTGTGATGGAGGTGGGTGGGGGAGGTGACAGCCCACAGTGGGGAGACAGAGGCTGGGGGACTTTAATGGTGCATGACGCTCCTTGTCCCTGAGTAAGAGAGCACTTTTGATCTTGTGGGGGAGAGTTCATAGTTCATGCTTTGTGTGCCAGTTCGATCCCTAACATCTCCAGGTAAGGCTGGGGAAACTTGCTCCTCTGAAACCCTGGAGAGCCCTGCTTCCACTTAGTGTGGATCTGCCTTCTCCAAACCTTCTCCAAAACCCTGGAGAGCCAGTGTGGTGTAGCGTTTGAGAGCGGTAGACTCGTAATCTGGTGAACTGGGTTCGCGTCTCCACTCCTCCACATGCAGCTGCTGGGTGACCTTGGGCCAGTCACACTTCTCTGAAGTCTCTCAGCCTCACTCACCTCACAGAGTGTTTGTTGTGGGGGAGGAAGGGGAAGGAGAATCTTAGGTGCTTTGAGACTCCTTCGGGTAGTGATAAAGCGGGATATCAAATTCAAACTCCTTCTTCTTCTTCTTTGCTTCTCAGTGGTTCTGACTATAGCTCCCACCAGCCCCAACCTGAGAGGACAGTGGTCAGAAGTGATGGAAGATGAAATATACTCGGAGTCGAGAGTGGATTTCATGCTCTTTATTCAGCTCATGGTGGTGAGGAGGAATGGAAGTTCCCCCACAATATCTGCTTTATATACATTATTTACACAATGGGCTGCACATGATTGGCTAATTCCAGGATTCTCCCATGGGCCAATCAGGTTGTGGATTCACTTCCACCTGGAGCTGGATTGGGTGGCTCCTGTGGACCGATCGTACTGCTGCATTGTTCTAGGACCAATCAGACTGCTGCATTTTGGCTCCTAGTCAACTCAGTACATAACAGAAGATGTGGTTGGAAATGTCTCTATGGCACCAGGTTGTCTCAGTGCCACTTCATTTGCATGCAGCCTGTGGAAGTGGTTAGCGCTGCACTAGTTGGGGACTTAGATTCAACATTCCTATTTCAGTAGTTCACTGCTTCCAGAAAGGAATGAGCTTCTGGAAAGCAATGAGCCTTACTTTGTGGTTGGCATCTGTCTCGAGAGACGGTGGAGTGCTCCTCTGGTATGAAGTCAAATGGAATATGGCATATGTATGGCACCAACTTGGCTGCAGGAATTGCTGGAAGGAGGCTCCAAGGCGCCAGCCTATCGTCTTAGGGACTCCAGTCGGGATTTTTGTAGGGTTTACTCCTTAGCCACCCAAAGATATCCAGCAAGGCAGCAGAGGTTTAGGGTCAGAATGTGCAGAATCTGCCTTCCACTACTGGTCTCGTCCACTCAATCTGCCAGAACCTGTCTTCACATCCAGGTTTATAATTTGGTCATCACTTTAATAAATTTGCTGCTCCTTAGCGAGCTGTGAGTTCCATTGATGACATTTCTCCTCTAAGGCTGTCACTGAGCATCTGAGGGAGGGGAACAGGAGGGGAGCAGATACATAGAACTGGTGTGGGAGGCGATCAAGAGAAACATAATTTTAATAACTTTGAGAAAGTCTTATCTAATCTCTACATTCCTGGTGTCAGATAAAGGCTTTCCTTCAGCCTCCCATGGAGGGGATCATACTGGAAGCTTGAAGATGAGGCAATGCACCAAACAACCTCCCCAATTTGCTGGAAACAACCGCCCTGATTTGCCGTAAGAGTTTCAGCAAGTGATGGAGCAGAATGTGTTTGCGAGGGTCTGTTGCTTCAACCTATGGAACCAGACGGGTGATGAATAGGCCAAGTACATGGTGCATAATTTCTTAAAATTATAATAAAGTAGACTGTTCTGTGGTGATAGTTTTAAGTGGGAAATTATGAAAAATTGGTGGATTTTTGTTTTATGTAGCAACTTATAAGCAAAAAAAAAAAAAGCACAAAAAATGGGAATATAAAGGATTAAGTTTTAAGAACACTAGCACTCAAAACTGTCACAGACCCTCCATGTGTCCCTATTTTCCAGGGACAGTTCCGGATTTACAGAAGCCGTCCCGGTGTCTGATTTGATCCCGGATAAATGTTGGAAGGTATGGTACCCTGAGAGACCTGGAGGGGCCAGATTGGGCTCCTGGCCTAAGGTTTCCAACCCCTTGTCTAAATAGATATTATACCTCCAACTCCCTGTACATCATCACTTTGCAGCCGGTTAGATTAACTGCACCAACATTTCGGCATTTGGTCATCTCTAGTTAAAGCTATGGTTTTCCCAGTAGTGATGTATGGAAGTGAGAGCTGGACCATAAAGAAGGCTGATCACCAAAGAATTGATGCTTTTGAATTATGGTGCTGGAGGAGACTCTTGAGAGTTCCATGGACTGCAAGAAGATCAAACCTATCCATTCTGAAAGAAATCAGCCCTGAGTGCTCACTGGAACGACAAATCCTGAAGCTGAGGCTCCAATACTTTGGCCACCTCATGAGAAGAGAAAGCTCCCTGTAAAAGACCCTGATGTTGGGAAAGATGGAGGACACAAGGAGAAGGGGATGGCAGAGGACAAGATGGTTGGACAGTGTTCTCGAAGCTACCAACATGAGTTTGACCAAACTGCGGGAGGCAGTGGAAGACAGGAATGCCTGGCGTGCTCTGGTCCATGGGGTCACAAAGAGTTGGACATGACTAAACTACTAAACAACAACAACAGGATCTTGCTCACGTTGGCGTGATTTCAGGTGGTGATATGACACTTGAGGTGTCTTTGGCAAAGCTTTCATACGTGCTGGGCAAAAGGCAACTTTCTTGGAAAGAGAAGAAGCAGGTAAAGAATGTGTTACATGGAAAGTTGTCATTTTTGAACTCGTATTACTTTTCATTTACATATGAAGCTGCTGTAAAGCAGGTTGTGGAATGGCTCGTGGTTCTGTTGATGGATCTCTGGGCAATCTGCTTTAGCTGGGCAAGAACGATTCTCCGTTGTTGTCTCATAACAGCAAAGGCTAAACTGCTTTCCCCCTTTCAGTTAGGTTTCTGAAAAAATATGGGTGTCCACATGGTGGACAGGAAGCGGGTGGGACTCATCCCCCAAATCCTAAGTGCATTTATTTAATTTATTTATGTAGATTTGGGTAATTAACAAGAGGTTTAAAGTGATCCCTGAGACCACTCCTGTTGACAATGACTGGCAGATTTGGATTCTCTCCACTTGTTGCGGGGAGAGCGTTCCTGGGCCAGCAGGCAGCTCAGACATATGCATCAATACTCACTGGAACCAACCACTTGCTAAGGAGCAGCACATACAGTGGTACCTCGGGTTACATACGCTTCAGGTTACACACTCCGCTAACCCAGAAATAGTGCTTCAGGTTAAGAACTTTGCTTCAGGGTAAGAACAGAAATCGGGCTCCGGTGGTGCGGCAGCAGCAGGAGGCCCCATTAGCTAAAGTGGTGCTTCAGGTTAAGAACAGTTTCAAGTTAAGAACGGACCTCCGGAATGAATTAAGTACTTAACCCGAGGTACCACTGTATAGTATAACAATAGCAGTTCCAAAGCAGCTCAAAAACCCAGCAGCAATGTGTTGATTAAAACCTGAGAATAGAAAATCGTGTTTTTAAATTTTGATTTTTATGCTGCCCTGAGATCTTCGGATAAAGGGTGGTATACAAATTTAAGAAATAATAATAAATAATTCAGACTCATGCCTGAATTAGACTGAAAAACTTGGTTATTGTATTGGGTAGTTCAAATGGTAACGGCATTAACTTGAAAACCCTGTATTTCTTTTTCCTATTTTGCTCACACTCTCGCTCATTTCGGAATCTCACTAATATTATTTATTGTTCATTCTATTTGTGTATTTGCTCTTAGTGTATTTTTGGTCTTTGTGGAAGCCGCCCAGAGTGGCTGGGGAAACCCAGCCAAATGGGTGGGGTACAAATAATAAATTATTATTATTATTATTATTATTATTATTATTATTATTATTAAAAGAATGTCTCAGTGTCTCGCAACAATAACATAATTCACGACAAATGTGTCAGTTAAAACAACAATACATTAACATATCTGTGTTGCCATATTTATATAAATATCTGTTGTACTCACAGATAAAATGTATTAATCTATGGCTTTTAAAACTTTGTGTGGAGGGATTGTTGTTTTCATTTCTTACTATGTTATGTTTGTGTTTTTATATTGTAAACTGCTCTGTGATCTTCGAATGAAGGGTGCTACAGAAATTTAATAAATAAATAAATATAAATACCATACAGTTATTGCTTAATGTTATGGAATGTATACATAATCTTTCTTTTAATTTTTTCTTGTCGTTCTTTAGGAGCAAGAAGCTCGAATTCCATCTATGTGCTGCTGCTAATACTGGTAACCTGAATACATTGAAAGCAGTAGAAGAAGTGGGAAATAAAAATAGCAGAAGTCTGCTCAGAAGCATGATAAATACTCAATTTGTAATTGTGACTTCCTCTACGTGCGTTTACAAACCATTGCTATATTGAGGTGTGATTCAGTCACAGTCCAGCAAATTCAGATTGCATAACTGCTGTTGACCGGAATATCTTGCACAACATACTCAACTTTCCCCGAATACCAAACTTTTCTTGTTAATGGGAGTGGCAGGCAAATGCTGTGGGGAGTGTGGGACAACACTCACTTTGATGCAACATCCTTTAGCTTCCCTGAAAAGTAAGTGGAATAAATGCTAATTAAAAATCCAAAATCTTCTAACCACTCTGCAAACAAACCAGGATGAATGCTTATTAAATAGCCAACATTGTCTAATCTCCCTGCAAACTAAACAGCTTGGATGCTCGTGAAATAGGCAATGTTGTCTAATCTTCCTTCAAACTAATCAGAACAAGCACATTAAATAGCCGATGCCAATTATTCATCCTGCAAATGAATCAGGATGAATGTTCAATAAACAGGTAATCTGGAAGTGCGTTTAATGTACGTCAGCAGGCTGAGCCACTATTTCGCACCTGACTCTGGCTGGTGGTTTTTTGGGTGACTGGAAAAAACCACAAAATACGACCTACAAGGCTGAAATCTGCCCACCTGCCCTGGTCTCTAAGGCTCCAGGTTGTTTTATTCCTGAAGATGCCAGATACTGAACCTGTAACCTTTTGAGCTACAATCTCTTTTACAACATTTCAGTTTTGGCTTTGCTGGCCTGATGAGGTGAATTCAGCTTATTGAAAAGTTCATTATAGCATTACATTTGCTCTTGCAGATGGGAGATATATTTCTTTTTTGCAGGGTGGAAACTTAAGCTATGAAGATTATGATGGCCGCACTCAACTTCATGTTGCAAAAAGCGAAGGGCACGCAAAGCTTGCTGAGTACTTGCTGAAAAGCAGAGCAAGTGTTTATGCCCTCCCTCCCTCCCTCTCTCTCTCTCTCTCTCTGTGTGTGTGTGTGTGTGTGGCACATCAGATGAGGTTTATCATTGAAGGAGCAGCCAATTTATCATCTCACTTGATCACCTCTGAGTTCCCCCTTCTGGGTAGCTGCCAAGCCAGTCACAGAGAGAAAGCAAATGAGTGCTCACACTGGCTTTGTCTTGGCACGTCATCCCTGGTAGTTCCACTAAGGACTGTTGAAGGAACTTATTAACTATGAATTTGTCAATAATTACACTGATGTTTCTTTCTTTTTTCTATAAATGCACATGGAAATAATTTGCCTGCTTCAGGAAACTGGAGCTCACCTTTCCAGTGAAGAGCTAGAGAATGCCTCTAAGGAGACCACCCTGCCCCCAGCTCTAAAATTAAACCTAACATCATTAGAAGAGACCTGCTAGATCATCTGAAAGGTCTTGTCTACTTCAGCATCCTGATTCCCATAGTGACCAGTCAGATGCCTCTGGAAAGTCCACTGGCTGTGGTGCTATGAGTCTGATGAATCCCCTAGATAGACTCCTGGGAACATACGTAAGAAGTGGATTATAATGTCCTCCCTGCCCATAAGCTGGATGTACCAGTGTAGTGTAAACTAGAGTTTTAGGGTGTTTCCAGACAACAAATCTAAAGAAAGTAGTATAAGAACTGTTCACCCAGGCAGTATTTAATTTAAGAATTGTGTTCTTAGATATGCAGCATTTTGCAATTATACAATGGTATCCATTCTATCCATCTGGTGGGTTGCTAGATCCCACATAGTTCTGAATAACCTGAGAGAGGTCTGGCTTAGTGTATATACTGTTCTGTGCCTTTACTTGCACTCAATTCTGGGGAAGTAAGTTTTTTGTTGTTGTTTAGTCATTTAGTTGTGTCCAACTCTTAGTGACCCCATGGACCAGAGCACGCCAGGCACTCCTGTCTTCCACTGTCTCCCGCAGTTTGGTCAAACTCATGTTAGTAGCTTCGAGAACACTGTCCAACCATCTCATCCTTGTCGTCCCCTTCTCCTTGTGCCCTCCATCTTTCCCAACATCAGGGTCTTTTCCAGGGAGTCTTCTCTTCTCATGAGGTGGCCAAAGTATTGGAGTCTCAGCTTCAGGATCTGTCCTTCTAGTGAGCATTCAGGGTTGATTTCCTTCAGAATAGATAGGTTTGATCTTCTTGCAGTCCATGGGACTCTCAAGAGTCTCCTCCAGCACCATAATTCAAAAGCATCAATTCTTCGGCGATCAGCCTTCTTTATGGTCCAGCTCTCACTTCCATACATCACTACTGGGAAAACCACAGCTTTAACTATACAGACCTTTGATGGCAAGGTGATGTCTCTGCTTTTTAAGATGCTGTCTAGGTTTGCCATCGCTTTTCTCTCAAAGAAGCAAAGTAAGTTTTGCAGCATCATATTTTAGCAAAATGGCTGGTGAGAGCTGCTTCCTCTACATTGCACCCAAACATTCTAGAGAGGTTTTGCAAGGTTGGCTAGCACAAAAAACTGTTGATAAGCTAGTTAAGAAAAACACATGGGCAGGAATCAACCAAAGAATCCCATCAGCAGAAGCCCTGAGCAATGTGATTTTCTGTTCTCTGATTCCTGTCACCCTTGGAATTGGCTCTTTGGGGGTCAGGAGAACCCCCAGAACAGTGGGAGGAGTAGAGAAGGGGGATCATTAGATCCAGCAAGCCAAAATGCCTTCACTGATGTAACACTTGCCTTAGCACAACATTGATTTCCTCTCCATATGACAATTGTTCTTTTTTTTTTTTTTAATCCCCACTCCCAGCCTTGCTGCGAATGGGGATGTGGATGGATTGATGGTTTGGCATTTATCAGGCATAGACATGGAACACACTGATTATAGTGGCAAGAGACCTTTCCAAGTGGTAAGTGCAGGTATCAATACACAGCAGGCTGAGGAACATTTTTCATTCTGAGGGCCCCATTCACTTTTGGTCAACTTTCCAAGGGCCACATGACAGTGGTTAGTGGGGTGAGAGGAATGAGGGATGTGGCCTGGTGAGAGGGGAGCCCTATAGATCTTTCCAAGGGCCAAATAGAAAGCCCTGGAGGGCCACTTTTGGCCTCTGGCCCTGAAGTTCCATGCTCTTCTTATACAGGACTAATCTGAGCATATTTGCTATGGCAGGGAGGTCAAAGCTGATGCAAAGCATGATAAGGATATAATAATAATTTATTATTTATACCCCGCCCATCTGGCTGGGTTTCCCCAGCCACTCTGGGCGGCTTCTAACAAAGATTAAAAGTACATTAAAACATCAGTCATCAAAAACTTCCCTAAAAAGGGCTGACTTCAGATGTCAGAAGCTAAGGAACAGGGAAAAGTGTAGCAGATTCCCAGCAATAGCTAAAATAGTTTTTTCGTAATGTTAGTCTGCTTTAGTGCTGGGAAGTGAAGCAGAAGCCAACTCCTTTTTGGAATAAAGTCAGCTTGTTTCAGTGCTGCACTGTTTGTGACATGAAACTGAATGCAGTTCAGCAGCTGTGCATGAGCCGTCTTTGGACTGTCTGTATTTTGCTGGAGGGATTCAACCACATACTGTGGTACCTCGGGTTAAGAACTAAATTCATTCTGGAGGTCTGTTCTTAACCTGAAACTGTTCTTAACCTGAGGTACCACTTTAGCTAATGGGGGCCTCCTGCTGCCGCTGCACTACCGCCGTGTGATTTCTGTTCTCATCCTGAAGCAAAGTTCTTAACCTGAGGTACTATTTCTGGGTTAGCAGAGTCTGTAAGCTGAAGCGTCTGTCAGCTGGAGCGTCTGTAACCCGAGGTACCAGTGTACTGGAAATTTAATTGATTAATTAATTAATTTCTATACCACCCTATACCCGAAGGTCTCAGGGAGGTTCACATAAAATATCAAATACTTAAAATCAAAACAAAACCAACAATCCAATAAAAAACCCCCCAAAAAGAGCCAGCATTTAAAAACAGGGTATAGGATGTAGATCAAGTCAGGCAAAGGCCTGGCTGAAAAGGAACGTTTTTGCCTGGCACCTAAAGGTGTATATTGAAGGTGCCAGGTGAACTTCCCTGGGGAGAGAATTCCACAGACAGGGAGCCACTGTAAAGAAGGCCCAGGTTATAGAAACAGAGAACTGTAGAATTGGAAGTGACCACGAGGATCATCTAGTCCAGGCTTCCTCAACCTTGGCCATCCAGATGTTTTTGGCCTACAACTCCCATGATCCCCAGCTGGCAGAACCAGTGGTCTGGGATGCTGGGAATTGTAGTCTCAAAACATCTGGAGGGCCGAGGTTGAGGAAGCCTGATCTAGTCCAAGCCCCTGCAATGCAGTAATTTTTTTTTTCCCCATTGCAAAATTAAAGTGAATTGAAGTGCTCTGGTACATCAAATCCACTTCAAACAACAACATGAACTTTATGATGTTAGAATATTGATGGAGTAATTCACTAAAATTGTGGGATAAACTATTGTTTAACTGGAAGGCGTATAACCTCAGTGCAAGTGAGTCAGGATGAATGCTCATTTTGAAAATCAGGATGCTCACTGTGGCAAACCAGAATGAATGCTTGATACAGAGTGAATATTGTATGACCTCTGCATAAGCTTTGTGCAAGCAAATCAGGACGAATACCCCATAAGTATGTTGTCTGGAAGAGCCTTGACAGCCAGTCTGTGTGCCTAGGACTGTAAAATTGGTAAGAGCTGCCAGGCACAAGGCAGGCCAAAGTAAGTGATGGCTACACTGCATTCAGCTTGATGGGTTGCAAATTATGCAGGCCTTGCCCATTTTTTGGCACCTCTGGAAATTCCTTGAAACATTTTTTTAAAAAAACCCAAAACTGGTGTATTTGCAGGCCGGTGCTGTGAAGAAGAAGCCAAGTCCTGGACTTTTTGAATCAGCTGAAATAAATATTAGGTAGGAATTGTTCTATTTCCCCCCGCCCTCTTTTCCTTTCCTGCAATATGCTTGGTTTTCTGCATGATTTATTGTTGCAGTTATAGTATGTCCACAGTCTTAATCAAGTCTTAACTCCAGTCCTAATCGAGACCTAAACAAACTAGGCGGTATATAAAGGCAGAAAAATATTCAGAGCATATACAGTCATGCAAAATCCTTTAATAAATAGTACCCTGGTTAAAAGATATTTATTTGGTCCCTGAAACTACAATTCAAGGTCATTGACAAATTGCAAAGATGAAGGATAGAGTTGGAGGCAATGGTGCTTCTATACAGTGGTACCTCAGCTTACAGACGCTTCAGGTTACAGACGCTTCAGGATACAGACTCCGCTAACCCAGAAATAGTACCTCGGGTTAAGAACTTTGCTTCAGGATGAGAACAGAAATCGCGCAGCAGCAGCAGCAGCAGTGGGTGGCCCCATTAGCTAAAGTGGTACTGCAGGTTAAGAAGAGTTTCAGGTTAAGAACGGACCTCCAGAACAAATTAAATTCTTAACCAGAAGTACCACTGTATAGGTTTTTCTTGTTTTTTACTTTTCTATGCATGGAATAAGGGGAGAGGACTGCTTGCGGATCAGGAAGTTAAATAACAGGAAGCAGACAGTAGGAATAAATATACCATATTTTTTCGTGTATAACATGCCCCCGTGTATAAGACGACCCCTATTTTTGGGGACTCCAAATTAGGAAAATAGGGGTGGGGATTGCCGGAAATCACTACACGTCTGATTGACGCTGACAATCGCACGCATCAGCAAACCAATCGTATGCCCGCTCGCCGCCAGCAGCTGACAATCGCCTGCCCAATTGCCACAGCGGCACCCAATCAACAGCAAGCCTTGACACAGCCACCAATCACCCGCCCAACTGCAGCAGCAACAGCCAAATGACAGCAGCCCTTTATGCAGCCACCAATTACCCCAAAACCCCCGCTGAAAATCTCCTGCTTGCAGCTGCAACCAATCACCCGTCCTCCCTCTGCACTATCCATATATAAGATGACCCCCAATTTGTAACATTATTTTATAAGAAAAAACATTGTCTTATACACGGGAAAATATGGTAAGTATTCTGTAGTAGCCAGTAGAATAGGTTGTGATGTGTGCATAGGTGTGTGCTACCTATAAGTTTCTCTGGTTTGCAAATGGGCTCAAGAAGCCTGTCAATGCCTGCGCTAGTTTATAGAACGAAAATTAACCATCCTTTTTATGATTCTTCCTTACGGTTCTGTGAGAATGAGCATTCTGAACAAAATCTATACAGTGGTACCTCAGGTTAAGTACTTAATTCGTTCCAGAGGTCCGTACTTAACCTGAAACTGTTCTTAACCTGAAGCACCACTTTAGCTAATGGCACCTCCTGCTGCTGCCGCGCCGGCACAGCAAGATTTCTGTTCTCATCCTGAAGCAAAGTTCTTAACCTGAAACACTATTTCTGGGTTAGCGGAGTCTGTAAGCTGAAGTGTATGTAACCTGAAGCGTATGTAACCTGAGGTACCACTGTACTGGTGGAAATATGTTTGAATTCATGACTTTTCTGCTGACTGGATTTTGAAGGTTGAAAAAATAAATGATTGCACTTGACATTTCTGTGAAAATGTAGCAATGAAAACGTCTGGAACATACACATATGTCTTGCAATACTTTCATTTTGACTTCTGTTTTTTTTCCCTCCCTGCCATAGAAACATAGATAAATATTTTTGCCATTGTTTAAGTGTTAAGTTATTAGTCAAAATAGGTATCGTTTAAAATAAAGACATAATTCTAGGCAATACATTCATCTTTGTCACTGAAATTCTACCCAGCAATGACAATTTTAGCACCTTCCATCTTGACATATATTTTTAAATTTCAGCTCATGTCTTAACATAATTATTTTGGCGGAACATACAATTCACATTTGCCACAATAATATCCAAATATTTTACTTTTTCCAAATTGAAACCCTGTTTCAAAACCTTCTCATCTTCTGTTGTCATTTTCTTTGTTAACATTTTTGCTTTTTGGTTATTAACCTTAGACCCTGCTAAGATACCAACATCATTTAGTTTCTCCATAAGAATCCCCACTCCCTGCAGTGGGTTTTCTAGAATTAACATCTGGTCGTCAGTAAATGCCCTTAACTTAAACATTTCTTTTAAAATCTTTATTCCCACAATTCTCTCATATTGTCTAATGTCTCTAAGTAAAACTTCCAAGACTAGAATGAAAAGTAGCGGGGACAATTAGGTATATGTGTAATTGGCTTCTTTCCAGACATCTGCTATTTTACCACTGTAGAATATTATTCATTGTCTGTTGCAAGGGTTGTAAAAGTTCCTCTTCAAAAGACTTATAGTAAGAAGCCAATAGTCCATCTGGGCCTGGTACTTTTCCTTTCTTTTATTTTTTTATAGCACCACATAATTCTTGAGTAGTTATAGGGCCAATCATTATTTGTCTTTGAAAGTCTGAAATCTTTGGTAGATGTTGTCTATTTGTCTATATATATATATATTAATATATTACTTGACCTTTATACAACTTAGAATAATATTGGTGAAATACTTTTTCATATTTGTCTTACCTGTTATTACAGCATTTTCTTCTTGCAACTTCAATATCAACTTCCTTTCTTTCTCCTTCTGCAGTTTATATGCTAACCATTTCCCAGGTTTGTGAGCAATTTTTTTAAAATTTAAATTCATTTAGCATAATCCAGTTTTGTTCCTGTCTCCTGCATAGACAACTGTCTCAGCAACATCTTAATTTGCCAGATAGTTGGAGATTGTTCCAATTATTTTTCTTTTTGCTTAATCTCAGACAAGATTTTTTCCCCAGTAGCACCTTAGAGACCAACTAAGTTTGTTACTGGTATGAGAAGTATCTGAAGTATCTGAAGAAGTGTGCTTGCACATGAAAGCTCATACTGGAAGGAATTTTTTTGTTTTGTTTCAACTACGGCAGTCCAGCACGGCTACCTACCTGTAACTAGAACAAGATTTTTTGTAATTTCGCCTGTCTCTTTCTTTTAAGTAAGGAATTATGTAATATGAAAGAACCTCTGTGGAAAGCTTTGTTGCATCTCAAACCATATGTATCTCTGTGCCTTTAAATTGTTATCAAATAATTATTTCGTAATTTTTGCAATATTCTTTTGCAATCTTTGTTTGCAATCTTGTGCAAACCTTTTCTTGTTGCCATAACACTTTTTAAAGTCTCCAAATGAAAAAGTCATTCTTCCTTTCGTAAGTCATAATAATTGGATTATGGTCTGAAAAAGTCTTTGGAATGGCAGAGGCTTGAGTAGAGGAAGCCAGGATGGAGAATAATTGACAGGAAAATTGTGAATTTAAACAATAGCAAAAGTTTGAGATTTATTTATACCTCATCCTTTTCCCTGATGGGACTCAAGGGGGTTTACAGATAAAAACAAGAACTGCTAAAAACATAGAAAAACCAATCATTAAAATACAATTGCACACTGATAGAATTAATACTAGATACATATATAAAATCTGTTTAAAACTTATGAATAATTACAATGAAAACAGCATGGCATCGGCTCTTTAATTAAAAGCATTCAATTCTCCAAAGCATATTGGAACAAAGAAAGTCTTCACCTGCAGGCAGAAGGACAGCTAGGAGGGAGCCAGTTTGGCTTCTCTAGGAAGGCAGTTCCAAAGTCCGGCAGCAGTCACCAAAATGGCCCTCTCCTGTGTCCCCACCAAGTGAGCCTGTGAGGGTGACAGGACTGAGAGAAGGGCCTCCCCTGAAGATCTCAAAACCTAGGCAGCTTCATATGAGGGAATATGATCTTTCAGATAGCTTGGACCTACGTTTGTGTGTTGGGGAAACTTAGGAAAAAACGGTGATTTAAAACAAGGTTTTAATATAGCAAGTGGGGAGTTGGGAAAGGTTCTTGTGTAGAGTCGTACCTTGGATCCCAAATGCCTTGGTACTCAGACGTTTTGGCTCCCGAATGCCGCAAACCCGGAAGTGACTGTTCTGGTTTGCAAACTATTTTTGGAAGCCAAACGTCGCAGGGGGCTTCCATGGCTTCCGATGGCTACAGGAGCCAATCAGAAGCCGCGCTTTGGTTTCCAAACGTTTTGGAAGTCGAACGGACTTCCTGAACGGATTCCGTTTGACTTCCAAGGTACGACTGTATTAGCTTTTTGGTGTTAGCTTCTGTGCTGTACCTGTCCAAAGGCGGATCTAGAGGAGTGCAACTGGTTCACTTGCAACCGGTTCAATGACACCCAACAGAAGGCAAGAGGTGGTGGTGGGGTGCTGGATTTTGCCGTCGCACTAAAATTTGAGACACCAAGGTCTGCCGCCGACCCACCTCTGCTAATTCTCCTTGTTAAAACTTTCAAGTCAGCACAACAATCCTCCTTTCCAAATCTATTGAGATCTCTCCCATCTTGTTCCCTTCTATGGCACTGTGGTTGTGCAACCTGCCTTCTCTTTTGTCCCCCTACCTCATCCATAGTGGAATCCAGGATTGTGATGTGATCAATGGGGGCTGCATGATGACGGATAAATAGCTGTATCTGTAGCGTGCGTGTGGGCACGCGTATGTACGTGTGAGTTAACGTTTGACACAGTTGAAATGATTGAGCCAAATTATCATTCCATAATAGGCTGTCAAAACTGAAAGGTCACTGTTCCTTTAGATTTCTGTAAAACAGACGGCCCTGTTCTGTTGAATAGCATCCTTGCTGCGATAATACAGGTGTCCCACTATCTCTAGAAACAACTGAAGACATTTTTCTTCCCACAGTCAGTCCTAACTGGAAACTGTATCCACTCATTTCTCTCTCAGGATGTTGTTGTTGTTTAGTCGTTTAGTCGTGTCCGACTCTTCGTGACCCATGGACCAGAGCACGCCAGGCACTCCTGTCTTCCACTGCCTCCCGCAGTTTCGTCAAACTCATCCTGGTAGCTTCGAGAACACTGCCCAACCATCTGGTCCTCTGTCGTCCCCTTCTTCTTGTGCCCTCCATCTTTCCCAGCATCAGGGTCTTTTCCAGGGAGTCTTCTCTTCTCATGAGGGGGCCAATTTCCTTCAGAATGGATCGGTTTGATCTTCTTGCAGTCCGTGGGACTCTCAAGAGTCTCCTCCAGCACCATAATTCAAAAGCATCAATTCTTCAGCGATCAGCCTTCTTTATGGTCCAGCTCTCACTTCCATACATCACTACTGGGAAAACCATAGCTTTTACTATACGGACCTTTGTTGGCAAGGTGCTTTTTAAGATGCTGTCTCAGGACAGGCTGAGCTTAAAGAAAGAGATTTTTTTGGTGTTCTATACCAAAGAGGGCTTATTAGGAAGAAGAGGAAAACTGTGTCTACTTTTTTTTGCTCCCCCACGAAGTGTGTGTGTATATACAGACACACACACACACACACACACACACACACACACACACACTCACTTCATATAAACCACTTCTCGTTTGCAGCCTTTAGTTTTTCCCTCCCTGCTCAGGGGACATCCTAGTGTGGTGGAGGTAAAACACTTGGGCAGCCATTCCGGCCAGCGGCTTTCAGGGGTTAAGAGTGAAGCCCCTTTAGGTTCCCTTGGGAAACCCCTCGCATGCCCAACCGCCTGCCCTCAGCGCGCCCCAGTGGCCTAATGCGGCCTCTCTGTTTTGGCGCGGGCGCGGGATGGGGGGGGGGCTCTCTCTCTCTCTCTCTCTCCCCCCCTCCCCTCCCTGGCAGAGGCAGGTCCAGGCGCCGGCCAATGAGCGCGGGCGAGCCCGGGAAGGGGGCGGCGCTTCCGAGCCGGTATATGGATGCGCACGTTGCCCGTCTCTGACACCCGCTCGCCCTTTCGGCCAGGTAACGGCATCTCTTGAGGGGAGACCATGATGGCAGCGGAGGCAGCGCCGGCGGGCGGCTTTCTGGGCCGAGCCCTCTCGTCCACCGAGCCCGCTCCGGCCCTCGAGATCGGCGGCGGCTGCGGGGCCGTGGCCGAGGCGCGGGTGCTGGTGATCAACACGGGAGGGACCATCGGGATGGTGCCTCAGCCGGAGGGTGAGCGAGTGAACTTGCTGGGCAGCATGGAGGGTTGGGTCTGTGCGTGTCTCCTGTGGGAATAAACACCCCGCGCCACCTTCCCCTCCACATCAGGCAGAGGTCCCGGCAGGTGGGAATTCGGCAGGTGAAGCTTTCCCCATCACCTGTTGAACTTCAGCCTGATATTTTCCAGAGGGGTTGACCCAGTAGCCTGTTGCATCAAAAGCGACAGAGTTTTATAGTACCTCAAAGAGCAATGCTCACCTCACCCACTTTAAAAGGTAAAGGGACCCCTGACCATTAGGTCCAGTCGTGATCGACTCTGGGGTTGCGGCGCTCATCTCGCTTTATTGGCCAAAGGAAGCCGGTGTACAGCTTCCGGGTCATGCGGCCAGCATGACTGAGCCGCTTCTGGTGAACCAGAGCAGAGCACAGAAATGCCGTTTACCTTCCCACTGGAGCGGTACCTATTTATCTACTTGCACCTCAACGTGCTTTCGAAGTGCTAGGTTGGCAGGAGCAGGGACCAAACAACGGGAGCTCACCCCGTCACGGGGATTCGAACCGCCGACCTTCTGATCGGCAAGTCCTAGCCTCTGTGGTTTAACCCACAGCACCACCTGCGTCCCTCACCCACTTTACCTGGGAGTAAATAATTTTCTATAGCTCAGCTGGTGGAGCATGAGATTCTTAATCTCGGGGTGGTGGGTTCGAGTACCCCCATTGGGCAAAAAAAAAAAAAGGCATTTCAAGGGGTTGGACTAGATGACCCTTGTGGTCCCTTCCAACTCTACAATTCTGTGATTCTAACATTACAAACCAGACTTATTCATGAGTAGGATTTGCTCTTAGCTTGGCTTTGGGGGGATGGCAGAACACTCCATCTGATGTTATGTGCAGAGTTGCAGGTAGTACATGGGAGGTGGGGATTGTGAACACGCAGCTGGCTAGAGGAAGCCCTATGTGCGGGGTTTCTCTTCTAGCTCAGGGTATTGGGCTACTTATTCCTTCCTCCAAGCAGGTATTTGGACTTGTAGAATGGCTCAGAGTGTTCCTTTGTTTCAGTGGCTACATGCAGAAGAGAACAAGGCTCACATGGGCATAGCCAGGATTTTTGTTAGGGGGGCAGAACCTCAGTTAGCTATATATTTTTATTGATTTTTACTAATTTGAGGGGGCAGCTGCCCTTCCCTACCCCCCTGGCTATGCCCATGAAGGCTCATGTACTGTTTAGTTATTAGGTGATGTGCCGTTTGTGCATTCAAAGTTGCGGAAATTCCAATTATTAAATGGTAGAGCCAGGGGTAGGCAATGTGGTGCCATCTATATTTTGCTGGATTCCAATACCCACAATCCTTAACTACTGACCAAGCTAAACTGGCAGAGGTTGATGGGAGCTGGAGCCCAGCAACATCGGGAGACGGCCATGTTTGCAACCCCTGGGCTAAAGAGACACTTTATATAACAGAATTTGTAGACCTCTTAATGACCTTTTATCCAAGAACAACATGCTCAAGTGTCACATAGCATCACTCAGTTCTATTTTTCTAGAAAAAGAGGTGCTGGAACTCACCATGAATACCTCCCTCGTTCTCTTAGAATGGCAATGGTGCCCACCTGAGAGGTGCCCGAACTAAGTCCAAGTGAGTTCCAGTTTGAAAAAGCCCAGGCATCTCTGTTTCACATCCTGCTGAACTTGCAACCCCAGCAGTTAAAACAAGGATAAGGAAATTCAGGTGGAGGCAGGGGTGTGGGGTGTCAAATGCATCTTCTCAAGCCTCTTTGGCCCACAAAACTCTCCCCAGGCCCTCCCCTCACTAGTCCTCCAGTGTTTTTGGCTGGCTGGTATGTGTCTTTGAAGTCTGATAATCCTCCTTGTGTGCCTGAATGGAGAGGGATAGAGTATATGTGTAGATACTAGCCTCCTGCACAAAGGTAAAATTCACATTCATTGCTCTACCCATTTTCCTCTGGCTTTGACCACCACTGACATGTGGCCCCCATAATGTCGTCTGTAGGGAAATGTGGCCCTTCGGTTGAAAAACGTATCCCCACCCAAGTTAATACTGGTTGGGAGAAAGGATATTTTCATTACCTTTCAGTATGTGTTTATAGCCAAAGTTGAGATGCTAATCTGCATTAGTGAGTTTGAAACCATGGAACATAGTTTAGTAAACACAGAATGTGAGAGCATGGCTACTGCAACTCCACCTACAAGGTCACAGCTTTCTCCAGATCACCATTAATGTAGAGCAGCAATTTCACTAATGCAGAGACTGAAGAAGTGGGATGTTTACCCTTCTGCCACTCTTTAACCATTCTGATCAATCTGTGTGCAGTAATGTGGTTTTGAAAGTGGAGTTTGTTCAAGACCTGTGGTTTTCAAAATCAGGGTAGCTAGAATGTGGCAAAAGGTGATAATTCTTCATCCCTTTGATGTATGCTTAGCTGCATTAGTTAATTCAGAAATGAGGTATCAAATAGAAGTGACATTAGGAGTTCTGTGAGAAGATCTTCTATGTATTTTGCCGTTAGGTAAAAGGAGCCATCTCCATTTCTTTTCTTTTTCCCTTCCACTATGGACAAACTCATTACATTTTCCTTTTCGCAGTTGCTACCAGTGCTGTTTACTTGTTATTAGCCGTTGGAGAGCATTGGTTGCAAGATGACAACTTTATTTATTACATTAGCTCATGCTTCAGTCAGGCTAAGTCCACACCGTACATTTAAAGCACACACACCTCTGAATCTTGGGAATTACAGTTTGTTAAGGGTGCTGGGAAATGTAGCTCTGGGAGAAGTAAACTACAGTTGTCAGGATTTAGGGGTAATTTAAATGTATGGTGTGTATGTAGCCTCCATTTCTTTGTAAAACAGGGCAGTTTTGTGCAACAGGACAGGGACAAATCATCTTATTTCATATTTTGCTTCAGGAAGGATAAACTCAACTGTTTACATGCAATGTATGAGACAGACTGAGATCCTACAAGTTTAGAGAAAGTCAAGATTCCTTAGTATGGCATTACTTGTGCTGAAGTGGACCATACTGTGCTTGTGCTTATTCCATTTAATAAATCCGTTATACCTTTCCATTGTAGAGATCTGCCGGAGGTCATTAATTCGTTATAGTTTTTAAGGATAACGTTCATTAATTTTAAGACGGGTATGCAACAGACAACTCACCCTTTGATTAGTCTTAATCACACTTGTTACTTTGAAAATACAGGATTCATAATGAAAGCTTGTGAACCATGTGTAGTTCTGAATCAACCTAGGATGGTTCCATTTTCCTCATCTGAATTGATTGATTGCATTCCTTCCTCAGCAAAAGCAAATAAAAACAAATAGCAGCAACAGGGGGTAGGTGTGGGTTGGTGCAATCAAGATAAGGAAAACTAACAGAAGGGAAAAGTTACTAGTATGGGTATATTACATTACATTATATTATTTATTTATTACATTTGTCAGTAGCTTTATTCTGTGGTTCAGCTCAAGTGGCAAAATATCTTGGGCTGGCCTTGGGAGGGAGAGAGAAAGGATGCAAGAGAGGGCAGTGATGATCTTAAGTTAAGAGATAAATGCATAGATGGGCAATTTAAAAAATGTATAGAAGTACAGAGGGATTTAAAAGCACAGCCAAAGAGAAAATAAAAGCAGAATGAGTGAAAAATAGCTTTTTTGCCTTCTTTACCTGGTAGTCCTGTCTTTGTAACTTTGTTAGGAGAGTCATTAATGATGGCAGTTTTCACCTGGGTGACATGGAAAGCATTGGGTGGTATTCAATGTGCTTGTCACAGGGCAAGGATTTATGCCTGCGCAATGGAACTCCTCCCCTCCTCTCTCACCCCCCCCCCCGAGAATCAGAGGGAATTTAGAGAAGCAAGCAACCATCTTCTTTGGCAGGATGTTAACAAAACCACTCCTGGAAGAGGGGGACCTAAGCCCCACCAGAAATGCAGTGGGAGGATGGGCAGCCATGGCATGCCTCCAACAATTCCAAAAAAAGAGGGCTTCCTAACTCCAACCTCATTTTAGTCCGTCTTATCTGCTGCATTGGAAAGCTCTTCTCATCTATTGGAGAAGCAGCTGTACTGCATGGTTGGGCTTCTGAGCTTGTGCAAGTGTCTGCCTGCCTCCACGATTCATTCTGGATTGCAGGATTGCTATGGCCCAGAGGCACCCAATGAAGTGCTGATTCCGAGGAATGGTGAAATGTGAGAGGCTAATCTGGGACCGCTTGGAAGAAGGCCAAGGGCCACAGATTGCCCACCTCTGTTATGTATGTTATATACAGTCATAAAAAGGTAAAGGGACCCTGACCATTAGGTCCAGTCATGACCGACTCTGGGGTTGTGGCGCTCATCTCGCTTTATTGGCCGAGGGAGCAGGCGTACAGCTTCCGGATCATGTGGCCAGCATGACCAAGCTGCTTCTGGCGAACCAGAGCAGCGCACGGAAACACCGTTTACCTTCCCGCCGGAGCGGTACCTATTTATCTACTTGCACTTTGACGTGCTTTCGAACTGCTAGGTTGGCAGGAGCAGGGACCTAGCAACGGGAGCTCACCCCATCACAGGGATTCGAACCGCCAACCTTCTGATCGGCAAGTTCTGGGCTCTGTGGTTTAACCCACAGCGCCACCCACGTCCCATATACAGTCATGCCTTGGGATAAATACGCTTCAGGATAAGTATTTTCGGGTTGTGCTCCATGGCGACCCGGAAGTAACGGAGCGCGTTACTTCCGGGTTTCGCTGCTTGCGCATGCTCAGACAGTCAAAATGACGTCATGCGCGGAAGCGGCGAACGCTTACGTTCTGTTCAGGATGCGAATGGGGCTCTGGAATGGATCCCGTTCGCATCCCGAGGTACCACTGTATATGAATGTAAGCCGTCCAGAGTGGCTGAGGAAACCCAGCCAGATGGGTGGGGTAATAATAATAATAATAATAATAATAATAATAATAGTAATTCTGAAGCCTCTAGGTATAGGCAGACGGAGATAATTCAGATGGACTCTAAATGTATAGCACCATCTGGATCCTGTACATCATGGGAAAGGTTTCTTTGGTCTTAGCTGTGCAATTTACATTATGTATTTCATCAGTTGGGAACAAAGCATATGTGTAGCAAGTCAGCTGGAAACCGAACACTCGTCTGCTGCATCTATTGAAAACAAAAGTGCAGAGTTTCTGTCAGTTTGCCACTTCCTTTCCCACCTCCACATTCTCAGAACTTGCACTTCTTGTAAGGAGGTAGTACTTGAGATGTGAATCATTGAATGCTCTGTAATATACGTTCCCACTGAATTCATTTTGCATTAAAGAATGTACTGTACAATTTTCATTCATTTCTAGATGTATCCCTGGATGTAACAAGTTAAGCCATGTTGTCAAAATTTCCCACTTTTTAATAGTGGAAAAACAAAAACAAAATGTATTTTTCTCTCTCCAATATTTTTCAGGTTATTTTCAGTTGCAAATAGTATGTACTGATCTCGGCTCTTGAAATTCTAGCACATGAATGTGCTCAAAATCACTGCTTATGGCAACTATCCTAAATTATGCATGTAGCAAAATTCTGTGTGTGTTTTCCTGCAAGTCCTGCAAGGAAATCAATGGCATTCAATGTAGAGTATAAACATTCATTTGCCATTACACTGTTTTTCTTATCTGCATTTTTCATCAGAGATGACTCGATCTGTAATACATTAAGGAAATAGCTATTTTATCTGCAGTGGAACTGGATGTTTATGTGTCTTTGCCCAAGGGCTTATGTGTCAATCATTAATAAACAGTTAGTGTCTTGATCCAACTTTCATTTTCCATGTGTGAGTTCTATGGAAGTTAAGACTGCAGGTAGATTTTAGTTATTTCAGATTTGAAACACACATATTTCCCAGTTTACCATTCGGATTGTTTATTTCTGTTTACAGACAGTAACCTGTCCCCCACAAAAAGCTTGTTACTTGCCTCTGGAGGTTTTCAAGCAGCTTCACCCTCCTTGTTTCCTTTCTAATTTAGGCAGAGGATTGCAACAGCTGCGTGTGTCATGTTTATTGTGAGCACTGCCCTTAGCAAACACTTCAGATGTTAGTGAAATGTGGCAAAGTGGGTGAAGTTAGGTTTCCCTGCAAGCCCATCCCTTTTAGGGAGTGTTCTCTTAGAAACCTCTAACCTTGACTTTAGCTTCTGTCCTACATGAATACCTGCATCCTGGACATATGGGCCAGCTATGTCTAATCTTATTTAAAAAAATATTTCCCCCCCAAACATAACATAAACAAAAGCAAATAAAAATAAAATAAATTGCCAGCTGACATTAACAACAACATTAACAATATTCCATCCTAATTTAAACGTAATAGTGTAGGATTCACCTAATATGACCTGTCTTGTGGAAGCTCTGTGCAACAATATCTGCTTGTGAAATGGGGCCTTTGCATCCTGTGCACCCCCAAAATTGGCTCTTTTGGGGGTGTCAGGGAAATGCTTGAAGCCACAAATTAATATAGGCAGTCCATATATAAATGATATCATGCTTATAAACCACTATTATAAGCTGTGTTCAAACAGAAAAGGCAGCGTGTGGGAATGTTCAGGGATGCAGGAGAGCATATATTGTTTGATTACAGTGGTACCTCGGGTTAAGAACTTATTTTGTTCTGGAGGTCTGTTCTTAACCTGAAACTGTTCTTAACCTGAAGCACCACTTTAGCTAATGGGGCCTCCTGCTGCTGCGCCGCCGCTGCACAATTTCTGTTCTCATCCTGAAGCAAAGTTCTTAACCTGAGGTAATATTTCTGGGTTAGTGGAGTCTGTAACCTGAAGCGTATGTAACCTGAAGCATATGTAACCCGAGGTACCACTGTATATCCTTTCCAACTTGTGTTAATAAGTTCCACAGTTTAGCAGAGTAACATTCCCCTTTTTAAACTTGCACAGCAGATACGTTTGCTCAGGCTCGCTAAAGCCTCTATAATAAGTTTTGTTGCTAATTCCCCATTTAGTCCCTCATAAAAAGATAGACATGACACAGTCAGTAATAATAATAATAATAATAATAATAATAATAATAATAGTAATATATTTATACCCCGCCCATTTGGCTGGGTTTCCCCAGCCACTCTGGGCGGCTTCCAACAAAACACTAAGATACAATAACCTATTAAACATTAAAAGCTTCCCTAAACAGGGCTGCCTTCAGATGTCATCTAAAAGTTTGGTAGTTATTTTTCTCTTTGACATCTGGTGGGAGGGTGTTCCACAGGGTGGGTGCCACTACCGAGAAGGCCCTCTGGCTGGGTTCCCTGTAAGATGGCTTCTCGCAGTGAGGGAACCGCCAGAAGGCCCTCGGTGCTGGACCTCAGTGTCTGGGCAGAACAATGGGGGTGGAGACGCTCCTTCAGGTATACTGGACCGAGGCCGTTTATGACTTTAAAGATCAGCACCAACACTTTGAATTATGCTTGGAAACGTACTGGGAGCCAATGTAGATCTTTCAAGACCGGTGTTATATGGTCTTGGCGGCCGCTCCCAGTCACCAGTCTAGCTGCCGCATTCTGGATTAGTTGTAGTTTCTGGGTCCTCTTCAAAGGTAGCCCCACATAGAGCGCATTGCAATAGTCCAAGCGAGAGATAACTAGAGCATGCACCACTCTTTTTATAAAAGTATAAAAAAGAATTTACTCACACATTCTGTTCACAATTGGATCCCAGAAGGCAGACTTAGCTTAGAAAAGCAATATACTCCTGGAAACTATCCCATAAGGAAACAGTCCCTTTGTCCTCTCTTGGCTGGAAGAGAGGACATCTTAGGCTAAGCAGATGTTGCTTCTTTGATGAATGTAGTCAGAGAGAGAGAGAGATGGCTGACCAGTCCTGCTCTTCTGTTACCTGGGCAGGTGAGGTCACACCCACCTCTAGTCACATGCAGAGGAAGTCTGTCCCAGACAGGAGAAACAGGAAGTTCTGATTGGCTGGTCCAGACATCCCCTTTTATGTCTGCTCTAGGGAAGTTGTACTTGAGTTGACTGCTCTTGAGTTTCACATCCCACACAGTGAGCTCTTAAGACCATTGAGTAGTAGATGGTGGGTGTTTGTCCTTCCAGCCTTGGAGTATATGTCTTTTTGCCACCATAAGGGATGGCAGATGAACAACTTAAGATATAATTTAAGAGTGTATGAACATGATCTGTGTCTAATTTTTGGTGCACAAATTTGTATACAAGTTTTAACCTTATGCAATTAGCACGACATTTCGAGGAACTAGCCTTTATGGTGTCTTGAGATTGCTGCTATTTTTTGTCATCTTGTTATTTACTATTCAATCTTTTTAAATTGTATAAAATAAAATAAATAAAAATTGCAGGCATTTATCCAGAGGTTTTGGGTTGTTTTTTTTTTGCTGCTGCCATGCTCTTATTATTTTATGTCATTTATTTAATATTTGTATATGTGTAAGCTGTTTCATACATGTTTTTTTAAAATAATTTTTATTGAATGGTTTTATGTTACAAAAAACAATACAGCCATACTACCACTAAATATAATTAAGAAATAAAAAATTACATACATCGATATTTAGTTTGTTATTTGTTATTTACCATCTTATTTCCTCCCAAACATTGCATACAACACACATATGTGCAGACACCCACACACCCACACCCGCACAGAAAATGATAATAATGAAAGTAAATATTTTTCCCCTTTTATCTTCCAAAATCTTTGCTTCAACTTTGACTTCTTCTCAAGTCCCTTTGCATACGTTTTATCTTACATTCGAATGTACACAAAACAATAAACCTTTCTATATAATTTTTCTAATACATTCTGAAAACATAATAAATCCTTAATTGTAGTCCACCTCCTTTATCACTCGAATGCTAGCACGGAGTCAAAACTATTATTGTATTTTTGAACATATTTTTTATAAACATCCCATTTTTGCTTTGAGTTTCCTCTGAGTTTCCTAGTCAGTTGAGCCGTCTCCACCAATTCCTGTAATTTGATTTGCCAATCTGTTATTTTTGGAGCCTCGTGATCCTTCCATCCCTTGGCCCCAAGTATACGAGCCGACACCAAGTATACTGCGGTTGCATACAAAAATACCTCTCTTAGATTTTTTGGGATCTCTTTATCTAAAATACTTAATAGAAATGCCTCCGGTTTTTTAGTAAAAGTTATCCCCATCATCTTTTTTAATTCATCGTATATTTCCCCCCCCAAAATAGTTTCATACATGTTTTGGAGAGATGGTGTAAAATGCCATTAAATAAATAAGAAAGCAAATAAATAAATAAATAAATAAATAAATAAATAAATATCAGAAGCCTATGCTGTATTTGTAGAATTTAAACCAGTTTTCTTATATACCTTGAGCAGAAGATAAGGAGGTTCAACTGTCAGATAAGAAATTAACGAACATTTTCTTTTATTCACATTTTTCTTTTCTTCCTTCTGTTTTCTCAGGCCTTGCTCCTGAGGCCAACATGCTAGCAGGGGCCCTGAAGAAGATCCCAATTCTTCACGATGCAACATATGCCGAGGAAACGAATCTGTATTCCCGCCTTCACCTTGGAGATGACACCTTGGTGCTTCCGTATGTATTAGGGAAAGAAGAGTTTCCTTAGAATTCTGAATCTTTCTGTGTAGTAGCATGTGCTTTTAGCTTTTTACCTGATTGTTAAGGCTTTGTATAAGCCGCTGTACAGAAGTACCGTATTTTTTGCTCCATAACACTCACTTTTTTCCTCCTAGAAAGTAAGGGGAAATGTCTGTGCGTGTTATGGAGCGAATGCCTACGGATGGCAGGGGGATCTGCTGCAGTCATGAGCAGAGGATCCATGGTTCCCCTTCCTTCCCTCCTCCGTGGCTCGCTTTGAAACAGCAAAGTGGGAGAAGAGCCGCTGAGTGAGGAGGAGAGAGGGACAGAGAGCCTGGTTACAAAGCACGGATCCACATGGATCCTCAGGATTTTTGCACTGGGTCACCCCAAATTCACCATCAGATCACATAGCATGTTCATGGCTACAGCTTGCACCAAAAAAATCACGCACCCACTGTTGCCTGGGGCCACAGTGGTGCAAAATCGTGGTTACAAAGCATGGATCCACATGGATCCTCAGGATTTTTGCATTGGGCTACCCCAAATTCACCGTCAGATCACATGTCTGTGGCCACAGCATGAACCACAAAAATCATACATCCACTGTTTCGTTTAGAATATTTTTTTTCTTGTTTTCCTCCTCTAAAAACTATGTGCGTGTTATGGTCGGGTGCGTGTTATAGAGCAAAAAATACGGTAGCATAGGATGTGACATGTGCCAGAAATCAGATTCCTGAACACCTCAGATTTCATTTCTTTTCAAGGCAAATTTCAGACCTTCATGGTTGGAGATACTGTATGTTTGAAACTGTTTGGGTGATGAAATCTAAGAAGCCAGTGGGTTGACTGAGGCTCATGCACACTTTTACTTGGTCCATATTTTGATTGTACTGTGTACTGATTAATTCTCCTGGATCCGAGAACTTTTCTCATTAATTTACAGCTTTGGCTTGCAAAAATCCAATCTTACTTGCTGCATTGGATCATATCAGGCACTCAGAAAATTCAAAGAAAGTTTGCTAACCAACCTTCAGTTCAGCCGGTAACTTTCTCCAATGGACAGCAGATTTGCTGTTCATTAGAGAAGTACCTTGGGAATTTGATTATCTTTTTTATAACAGCATACCACTGAGAAGAGTAGTAATTAATACAGTTACAGTGGTACCTTGGGTTAAGTACTTAATTCATTCCGGAGGTCCATTCTTAACCTGAAACTGTTCTTAACCTGAAGCACCACTTTAGCTAATGGGGCCTCCTGCTACCGCTGAGCCGCCAGAGCACAATTTTTGTTCTCATCCTGAAGCAAAGTTCTTAACCCGAGGTAATATTTCTGGGTTAGCGGAGTCTCTAACCTGAAGCGTATGTAACCCGAGGTACCACTGTATTTACAAAAAAAGGAAAAAAAAGTGGTTGGCAGATTGTGTTAGAAGAGGTATTCCTTTTTCTGTCTTACTCATGAAGGAATACTTTTTCTAAGATGGTACCTGCTGTATTGTGTGTATATCATCTTGAACAAAGGTTACTTTTGGTTTTAGAACTCTTATTTTTTTTTACATGCATAAGAACAAAAGAAGGTCCATGTAACTGGATGCAGATTTAATTGTCCAATATTTCAACTGGCTAAGATTTCTACAACAGAATAGCAGATCAGATAGGAAGAGAAGTTTATGAAGTTCAATTTGTGTCACAGAGTGAACTTCCTCAGATAGCAACAATATCCCCTTATAGGCTTTCTTACCATGCACAGCCCAGTGTTCAGGTCTCCAGTGGAAAAGGGGTTGCAACTAAAATAGTTCATTGCATAAAAAGTTTTTTTTTCTTCTTCTCAGCATTTCTAGACAAAATAAAAGAATTATCTACACCATCCTGGAACTTTCTCCACTGCTTGATTCTTCAAACATGACTCCAGCTGAATGGGACAAGATTGGCAGTCTCCTTGAGGTATTCTGGATTACTCTTGTAATGCTGTTGGTCACAGAAAAAATATTGAGCCATAGCCAACTAAATAAATTTTGTGAGCAGAACAACTTTCGCTTTCATAACGGGTCTTCTCTCCTCCCCTCCTCTGGGTGCATCCCACATCATCTCCAGATCTGATCCGAAGGGTTGGGAGAACCCTCAGAACATATCTAGGGGACCACATGGGGAGAGGAGTCACATGCCATATGTAGAAGTCCTCATGCAGAGAGTTACTTAGCACTATTTGGAAACAACCATTGTCTTTCACATTGTGATCCCAACAGCCTAGAATAGTTTACATGCTGACAAAAAGAAACCACTTTCAGTATCCATAGGGTAACTGGCAGGATGTTTCAACACATGCTATTCTTTACCAATCTTCACTGCTGACCAGCAAATGAAGCACATGAATGGTTTTTTTTTTAATATTCACAATAACATTTCCATTTCACTCCTCTTTAAAAATACATGCATACCTTTAAAGCTTATTGCAACATAAGATTTGCTCCTCAAGGGATGACTTTCTGAAGCAATCTCATGACCACGTTGCTAGAGCAACAGCAAAAGTCCCTACATAATCCAGAGTTTTGGTTCTACCCAAAGTTTCTAGGATTCATCTGTAAACAGGATCTAACTGGAATCTAGGATCCTGCTCACAGAATTGTCCATGGAAAAGTCTGATGTAACTTTAATGCAATCAGTTTTCTTTTGCATAGTTCTGGTTTGTGTTTCTTGCAACACATCACCGTTCTTTATCTTGCCACTGCAACTTCCAGTTAAAATCTGTTTGGCCACAAGGTGGAGGCATAATGCAGCTTTGAGCACTGCAAGGTTTATGCATGGTAATGCCAGTTAGACTTTTCTGGAGCACAAAACATTTTGGCCTTGAGTTATTGAGGAACATAATTGATTTTTTTAAGCACTTCAGTGGGATGAGAAATGGAGGACTCATAGCTCATTGGTAAAACACATGCTTCCCATGCATAAAGTCTAGGGTTCAGTTCCTGACATCTCTAATCAAAGGACCTGTGGCTGCAAGAAAGCTTTATGCTGAAGACCTTCAAGAGTTGCTGCTTGTTAGAGTAGGCAGTATTGGGTGAGATGCATCCAGTGGTCTGACTCAATGGTGTATGGCAGCTCTCAATATACAGAAGTATTGACTTGCGTTGCATTTTTGTGATTATGCCTAAAAGCTCTGTGATGAGTGGGCAGTTCTGGGCTAGATAAGCCATGAATCTGACTAAGGCAACTTCATATATTCTTCATACTTTTGGGGGAAACTGCCCTGGAATTTTTGATCTGCCAAATCGGGGAAAGCTAACATGATGTCTTCCAGATAATACTGCACCACAACTGTCCTCAGCCCTAGCAAGCATGGCTTATGGTCAGGGACAATGGTCACGAATGATGAGAGCCGTAGTGCAGTAACATCTGGACGGCATTACGTTTGCTGTTACATTAACAAAGGACTTTCAAATAAACTGCACCCAATGTCTATACATTTCATAATAATAATAATTTATTATTTGTACCCCGCCCACCTGGCTGGGTTTCCCCAGCCACTCTGGGCGGCTTCCACAGAGACCAAAAATACACTAAAATGTCACACATTAAAAACCTCCCTGAACAGGGCTGCCTTAAGATGTCTTCTGAATGTCAGGTAGTTGTTTATCTCTTTGACATCTGAAGGGAGGGTGTTCCACAGGGCGGGCGCCACTACCGAGAAGGCCCTCTGTCTGGTTCCCTGTAACCTCACTTCTCGCAATGAGGGAACTGCCAGAAGGCCCTTGGTGCTGGATCTCAGTGTCTGGGCTGAACAATGGGAGTGGAGACGCTCCTTCAGGTATACAGGACTGAGGCCGTTTATGTAAGAATGAATAAACAGGTTACCTCGGTTTATGAACTTAATCCATTCCAGAAGTCTGTTCTTAAACCAAAACCGCTCTTAAACCAAGACGCACTTTCCCTAATGAGGCCTCCTGCCACTGGAGCCCTTCTGCTTTTTGGATTCTGTTCTTAGGTAAAGGTAAAGGGACCCCTGACCATTAGGTCCAGTCGTGGCCGACTCTGGGGTTGCGGCGCTCATCTCACTTTATTGGCTGAGGGAGCCGGCGTGCAGCTTCCGGGTCATGTGGCCAGCATGACTAAGCTGCTTCTGGTGAACCAGAGCAGCGCACGGAAATGCCATTTACCTTCCCGCCGGAGCGGTACCTATTTATCTACTTGCACTTTGACGTACTTTCGAACTGCTAGGTTGGCAGGAGCAGGGACCGAGCAACGGGAGCTCACTCCGCCACGGGGATTCAAACCGCCGACCTTCTGATCGGCAAGCCCTAGGCTCTGTGGTTTAACCCACAGCGCCACCCGCCACCCGCCAAACCATATATATATATATATATATATATATATATATATATATATATAAATTTGTCCAGTAGCACCTTAGAGACCAACTACGTTTGTTCTGGGTATAAGCTTTCGTGTGCGTACACACTTCCTTCAGATACACTGAAACAGAAGTCACCAGATCCATATATATAGTGGGAGGGTGGGGTGGGGTTTTTCTCAGGAGGGTAGTAGGAGATGGGTGATTGACTAAATGGGTATGGTAAACCTGTTGAGGACTGTTAACGACTGCAATTAGTCCTAAGGAAAAAGCAAGGGATAGTATGCAGATTATTAGCATATGTAATGAGACAGGAATCCAATATCTCTATTAAGACCAGGTCTCTCCATAGTTTTCAGTTTAGTGATAAGTTGTAATTCAACAACTTTTCTTTCAAGTCTATTTCTGAAATTCTTTTGTAATAAGACAGCTGCTTTGAGGTCCTGTACTGAATGTTCTGGGAGGTGGAAGTGTTCTCCTACTGGCTTCTCTGTCTTGTGATTCCTGATGTCAGATTTATGACCATTCTCAAACCAAGACACTATTTCCGCTTTTGTGGAGTTTGTAAACCAAATTGTTCTTACACCGGACTGTTCTTAAACTGAGGTACCACTGTATATAGCTCCATGCCATCTTTTGGACAGAAGAGGGCAGCCTTACATTAGAGATTTGCCTCTCTTGAGATTGGATGCTGGGCCTTCCTCCTCATATGTACTATTACAATGGCCCCAGTTTGCTTAATCTGTTCCCGTAAATGGTATAATCCCCAACTAAAAGAGGCGACAAAGAAATCAGACCATATGACTCATTTGCATATGTTAACATTCCTGTTTTAAAGCAACTGCTAAGCTTTTCTTAATTAGCAGTCTTCCTCTGGTTAAGGACACATCATTAATATGTATACACTGAAGAACAGGTCTTTGAATTTTCTCATAATTAGCTACTGAAAGAACTTCATTTTCTGTTGGCTGTATTCTTTAACAATTAATTATGTTCAAGTCAGAGCTTCTCTGGAAGGAAACATTCAAATGTGAGATAGGAATAAACAAATAAATATGGCTCCATTGGTACAGTGTTTTGTTTTGTTTGTTGTTAGGCACACAGCCTGCCTCCTCGGTAATATAAGACAGTGTGGTGTAGTGCTTAGATTGTTGGACTAGGACCTGTGAGACCATGAAGCTCACTGGGTAACCTTGGGCCAGTCACTGTCTCCATCCTAACCTACCTTGCAAGGTTGTTGTGAGAATGAAATGGGGAGGACAGAATTACGGGTGGGATTCTGCTAATGAGTCCCAGCAGTGGAAGCCCAGCACAAGGCATTCTGCTTGAGGAATGGGACTTCTTTCTACCCTGTGCTTCCAGAAATTGGCTCAGGAGGGGTCCAAGATAACCCGCAAAACAGCATGTGGAGGGAAGAGAGGGGTGATTGTTCCACCTGGCAAACAGAAATGCTTGCCTTGATGGAACAGATTAACTTAGTGCGATGTTGAGTCCCACCCTAGGCACGTCATCTTGAGTATACATAAATCTTAATAAGTCTGGTTTGTTCTTCTGGCTAAATATACACTTAAAAAACCAAACCAGAATTGTCTCACAATGGCAGTGTTTGTATGTCACAACAAACCATGGTTTATCACGATGAGAGGAAATTTATTTTTATACCACCTTTAAAGGTGATTTACAAAACATTTTATGTGCCCACACACATATACCATACTTTTCCGTGTACAAGACGAGGTTATTTTATTTAAAAATTATGTTTAAAAATGGGGGTCGTCTTATACACGGATAGTGCATGGGGGGGGGAGTGGGATTGGTTGCTGCCGCGAGCCAGAAGTTATCAGCTGTTATTGTACGTGTTATTGGTGGCTGCGGCAAGGGCAGGTGTTGATTGGCTGTCACTGCAGCAATTGGGCGGGCGATTGGCGAGGGGACAGATGATAGGTGGCTTTTGCAACACGTGTGGGTGGTAGGTTAGGCAGATCAGCGTTTTTTGGCAATCCCCCCTAAAAAAAGCTCAGCAAATCTGGCCAATCTCCCCCCATTTTCTTAATTTGGAGTCCCCAAAAATAGGGGGCGTCTTATACACGGGGGCATCTGATACACGGAAAAATACAGTATATACACTTATACAATAATATTAAAACAGCATTCCAAATAAAAATTAAAATGCAAGTAATAGTTGTTCCCCCTGCCGCCACTGTATGTTGCTTCAATATTTGAATGCTGGCACCTAGAATGCATTTGGTCATTTGAAAATTATTTAACAGCATGTTAGAGGAAGATAGTACTATACTAAAAAATCAACTTATTTGGTGTAGTTTCTTCCCCTTTAAAAATTCATGTTGTTTGACTCTCCCCAGACTATCATTCCTGACCGTTTTTAGAATTTATCTTCTTAATGTGAGAAATTTGTTCTCTATCAACAGATATACTATGAAAAGTATGATGGCTTTGTGATCCTTCACGGCACAGACACAATGGCCTATACAGCCTCAGCATTGTCATTCATGTGTGAGAACCTGGGTAAAACCATTGTACTGACGGGATCTCAGGTAAGCTGCTTCCTTGAAAACTGAGCAGGGTGGGCTCTGTCTTGTGTCAAAGTTAAGCTGACACGTACAAGGTGGGTGTCTCATTCTTACACATAGCAGCCTTGGGAGGTATGTGCTTAATGTGTCTTATTCCACAGATAGGGGACACAAGGCTGTCTACTGGGGGAAATGGGGCACAGCCCCACCAAACTCATTCTGCCCTCAGTCAGCCCCCACCTGCCTGCCTCCTTCCCTACAACCTGTCCAGGGCACTGGCTGTCAGCTTCCTCCTCCATGGTCTCAGTGTTGCCTTTGTAGAACACAGAGGAGGATGGGGAGAAAACTGGAATTACTTATGTTAGCCGGTCATTAGCACTGGCTCCAGGTCCACTGGGCATAATCCACCGCTGTCCTACCCTAAAACCACTAGTGTCTGGAGGCGGTTGGAGGATGCATGGCGGCTAACAGATTGAGGTTGAATTCTGACAAGACAGAAGTACTGTTTTGGGGGGACAGGGGGCGGGCGGGTGTGGAGGACTCCCTGGTCCTGAATGGGGTAACTGTGCCCCTGAAGGACCAGGTGCACAGCCTGGGAGTCATTCTGGACTCACAGCTGTCCATGGAGGTGCAGGTCAATTCTGTGTCCAGGGCAGCTGTTTACCAGGCTGAGACCCTACCTGCCCGCAGACTGTCTCGCCAGAGTGGTGCATGCTCTAGTTATTTCTCGCATGGACTACTGCAATGCGCTCTATGTGGGGCTACCTTTGAAGGTGACCCGGAAACTACAACTAATCCAGAAAGCAGCAGCTAGACTGGTGACTGGGAGCGGCCGCCGAGACCATATAACACCGGTCTTGAAAGAACTACAGTGGCTCCCAGTACTTTTCCGAGCACAATTCAAAGTGTTGGTGTTGACCTTTAAAGCCGTAAATGGCCTTGATCCAGTATACCTGAAGGAGTGTCTCCACCCCCATCGTTCTGCCCGGACACTGAGGTCCAGCGCTGAGGGCCTTCTGGCGGTTCCCTCACTGCGAGAAGCCAACTTACAGGGAACCAGGCAGAGGGCCTTCTCGGTAGTGGCACCCGCCCTGTGGAACGCCCTCCCACCAGATGTCAAAGCGAAAAATAACTACCAAACTTTTAGAAGACATCTGAAGGCAGCCCTGTTTAGGGAAGCTTTTAATGTTTAATAGGTTATTGTATTTTAGTGTTTTGTTGGAAGCCACCCAGAGTGGCTGGGGAAACCCAGCCAGATGGGCGGGCTATAAATAATAAATTATTATTATTATTATTATTATTATTATTATTATTATTATTTAGTAGCCTTGCTTTGGGGGTGGGGGAAGAGAAATACAGTATAGATAGCCAGCGTCTTTCCTCCAGTGGGGCTAATAGCAGTTTTGGAGGGGGTGATTTTGGGTGGGGAAATGGGGTGTTGAAGGGAACAATTAGGCTCCTCTTCCATCAGCATTAGTGGTGTGGTGACATTAGCAGTCTACTGTGCAATGTTTTGAAGTACAGTAAAGGGAACCAAAGCAAAGGAAGGTCTGATAGATCTCTCTTGCCACTGGCAGTTTTGCCCTTAGTCACCTGCCAAAGAAGAATCCACGGTTGTCCCAGGATAATGGGCTGCCGGTGAACCAGCCCCATCGGGCAGCTGGCTGCCACATTTTGCACTAACTGAGGTTTCCAAATAATATGCAAGGCTGTAGGTTGTCTACTGGGGGAGGGAGGGTGTGTCGTAATTGGCAAGTGATATTTCTTCCAGGTTGAAATCTCCACTCTCCCTCCTCTCCCTGCCAGCATAAAGAATATGCAAAATTAAAGGATAACTTTATGAGGGTTGGGGAGATTATATTTTAAATTCAACTGGAGAAATTCCACCATCTGCCATAGTTTAGAATGATGGAGAAATACGTCCACGTTCCAATAAATCATCTGATAAGAGAACGTTGCATTAATTATTCATGGATTTACACTTGCTTGTATTACATATCCGGAGTCTCCTCCAGCCCCCTATCTTGCTGCTGCTGCTGTGTGTGTTTTCAACAGCAGTCATTTCTTATTCTCTCTCTTTCTTTCTAGGTACCCATATACGAACTGAGAAATGATGGTAGAGCCAATCTTCTGGGGTCACTGCTCTTTGCTGGACAATTTGTAATCCCTGAGGTCCGGTCACCTTCTTGCTGCTAGCCTTACCTCTACTTGTCCTGCATGCCTCTCTATACTTGATGATTATCACCCCAGTCCTTTCACTGACATTTCAGATTTTGCAGAAATTCAGATATTGCAGTCAGCGTACAAACTGAAAGAGAAGTGTAATTTTCAGTTTATCTTCTTGATAGGGGAGCTTTATAAAACAACAACAAATGGCATTTGAGGTTATAAAATCATACATTCCCAAACATAAAATAACACCTCCTTTAATTTAGGATACTAAAGATAGGGGTGTTTTTTTTGGCACAACCCAGAATGTCCCTTTTATAGTAACACATTCTCCTCTTTACAAATTCTATTTTGTACATATACCATTCCATTAACTTGAAATTAGCATTTGCCCAACTGATTTTTTCAAAATGTTTATACACCTCACAATTATTTTTAAAAAGAAAATAGCATCCCATTTCGAATTGATATCAGTTATTAAAGAAATATTGCTTACTAATTTTCCCCAAACATTAGTAATATAGAGCACCACCATCACAGAAGGATAAAATTGGCAGCAACCAACTTACTAGAGGAAAGTGTTGCTTAGGGGAAAGTGCTTTTCATTGGAGTGTGTGTGTGGTAAGCTGGATGCCCCCAGTGGTACAAACTGCAAGGGGGCCTACGCTCCTGTCTGCCTCTCTAGAAATAATACGTGCTTTCCCAACCATTCTAAAGCTTCTGAAGCTATTTATATACCCACAGTGTACTCAAGAGCAGCGCACGTCTTATGGTAAGAGTCCCTTTCAACCCTCACTTTTTAACATCCTAGTCACTGGGTCTCAACTTGAGAGGTTCTTGGCAAACCGTGAGAGCTGCCAAACCTGCTCTTGGATGGAAATGCCACAAGTTGTTAGCTTATATTTAGTTCCAATAGTCTAAAACCCCAAACACTTAAGTGACAAGAGGTGGCACTTTTTGAAAGCACAAGAGATATAAACCTCTCCTACATAATTTTCATTGTATTTATAACTCTCTCCTAAGTCATTCTCATTATATTTAAAGAAAGAGTCAGGCTTTTTTTAAAAAAATCTGTTGGATCTTTTAATTACAAGGTTTGTATACTGACATGTTCCTTTTCTCGTCCTTGTAGGTGTGCCTGTACTTTCATAATAAACTGTACAGGGGAAACCGGGTTACTAAGGTGGATGCAGAGAGCTTCAATGCCTTTTCCTCACCTAACCTGCCTTCACTTGCAAATGCTGAGGTGGATATTATAAGTAAGCCATGTTGTGATTTCAGTCCTTCCAGCTGTATAATTATCCCATCTGTAACCCTTTCCCGACCTGTTGCAGTACTAGGTCAAGACTTTTAAGCATCTTTATACATGCGGCCATTTTTGTTCATGGACTCTGGCCACACCATTGCTTGTATACTTTAATGATAGGTTCCGTACCACTTCTGCTTCAGATAATCATGTGGAGTCATGTTGCTGTTTTTCTAGATCAGCTTGATTCTGGCCAGCTTTATTTCTGAGTATTTTAGCTTTACTTTTTAAAACCTAAAGCGTTTGACAACTTGGAACCAATTTACCCAAGGGACTGCCATGCCCCAAATATCTCTACCTGGCACCTGTGCTGCTCAGATGCTGAGATTAATACATGCCCCATAAGTGCACTTAGTTTGTACTAGAAACCAGGGTTTCGGTGATGCATCTCCAGCTCTCTGGAACAATTACTAGCTGAAATTAAGCAGGTCTCCAGCATTGTGATGTTTAGGTGCCTACTGAAGACATTTTTGTTTAAGAAGACTTTCCCTGAGGTTTTCCCTACATCTATAGAAATTGTTTTATTGTTTATAGACTTAGTAGGAACGGTTTTATTTTTATTTTAGTATTTCTACGTTTTGAATTTTATTGAATTTTTAACATGCACATTGCTTTGATGACTTCAGGCTGATACATGGTGTACAAATTTGTGTGATGAATGAATGTTAAAAAAGAAAACAAGTTTGTAGCCCTCGAACTCTCTGCAGTAGGCTTAGGGGATATCATTTTATTTGTATCTCTTTGTTACTACCCTTTTTATTTCTCCTCTCTGTTATCCACACTTCTTTACTGCCACAAAATTCTGACTTCTGCAAAACTGTCAATATTAAAAAAAAACAACAGATTTCAAGTTCAGGCTTAAAATATGGCATTTGAGCTCACTTAGACAAAATAAGTAAATTTGAATAATAATTTGGGTGGGTGTGGGGTAGGTTATTACAAGCTCTATTTCTGTTGGAACTGAATTTAGTCAGGGATTAGTGCAACGAATGAATGGCCCTGGATAGAAAATTGCTGCCCCAGGTGACAAGGTAAATGTTGTTTCAGGAGAAGTTATCAAGCACAAATACTTTTGTGCTGTGATCCTCCTGGGAGAGTTGTTGCTGAACTAGGCATGCTACATACATACACTTGTTTCCAAAAGTCTAACTTTCTGTTCCCACAGTCAGTCTAGGATGGCAGGTGCCAGACAGACAGATAGGTAAGGGTGGTGCTGTTTCACTTCCAGCAATTATAAGATGAAGAGGATGTGGAGATGTACAATGAGGCCAGTATTGCAGACTGTGAAGACTGCTGGGTAAAAACAAATAGGAATATGTTGTTGGGATTTATGGAGGTGAGTTCTGCTCAGTCTGTCAACGTCTGGCTGAATGGTGGGTAAGGGCTGTAGCTCAGTGCTAGGGTATCTGCTTTCCATACAGAAGGTCCCAGGTTAAATCCCAGGTGCAACTGGGAGAGAGCCTAGCTGGAAACCCTGGAGAGCTGCTGCCAGTCAGTTAGTGTAGAATTCTGCCTTACAGTTAGTGGAACTGCCTGATCTGCATCATTTGTCACAGAGCCCAGCCTCCACTGAGCAGAGTAGTACTGGGTTGCATCACATTCGTGCAAGGCTTTCTGCTGGAAAATGGAAATCTGCTCTAGAGGGTTGGGGGAATGCCGAGAACAGATTTCTTTTTTTTTTGGGGTGGGAGCACAAGAGGAGAAGAGGGAAGGGAGGTTCCAGTGCATAAGCAGAAATCTTTGCATGGATGCAATGTTTTGTTGGATACAACCCACTATATTTAAATGTTATTTTGATTCATAATATATGAGTGGCTTTTCTTTAAAAATGGACTCTTGCAGATTTCTTTACTGCCTTCATGGAATTAATCCTCACTCTGTAAGACTGGCCACTGGTATCCCACTAGTTTCGGGAGGGTCTATAACTCAGTGAAAGGCCACATGTTTCACATGCAGGTCACAAGTTCAGTCCCTGCTATCTTCAGTTGAAAGGATCAGGGAGCAAGGTGCATGAAAGGCCCTTGCTTAAGAACTGACTGGGAGGACCAGTCACCTGACTCTGCTTAAAGCAGCTTCCAACGCTCCTTTTCTCAGGGTTGCTATATTTCAAGAACCAGGACATCAATTCCGCCTTTTAAATCCCGGTTTTATCTAGGAAAATATGGGTGTATGGCAGCCGTACTGTTCCTGTTTCACTGAGAGGGAACTAAGGCTGAGAGAGAGTGAGGAACAAGACCCAAACAATAAGAGCAAGTTAGTGAAGTCTGGCCTAGAAGCCCTGTCTCTAGCTATAGAATTCTGTGTAAGGAGGGACCAAAGCTATCACTGTGATTATCTGGCAATGCTAAATTTTATTTTCCACATGACAGCAAACCTGGTTTTGCCATTGGAATTCCATTTCAATGATAACACATGTTCCTTTCAATTGCAACGTTAACTTTTAAAAGTATACATAAAACAACTTAGGGCCACACTTAAAAAATGTGTGAAGTGGTCCTAAGCAAGCCATGCATTTCCAGAAAGATCAAGCCACTTTGGTATGTTTAGGTAAAGGTAAAGGGACCCCTGACCATTAGGTCCAGTCGTGACCGACTCTGGGGTTGTGCGCTCATCTCGCTCTATAGGCCGAGGGAGCTGGCGTACAGCTTCTGGGTCATGTGGCCAGCATGACTAAGTCGCTTCTGGTGAACCAGAGCAGCGCACGGAAACGCTGTTTACCTTCCCGCCGGAGCAGTCCCTATTTATCTACTTGCACTTTGACATGCTTTCGAACTGCTAGGTTGGCAGGAGCAGGGACCGAGCAACGGGAGCTCACCCCGTCGTGGGGATTCGAACCGCCGACCTTCCGATCGGCAAGTCCTAGGCTCTGTGGTTTAACCCACAGCACCACCCGCGTCCCTTCTTGGTTTAGATGAAGGCTATTTCCATTACTACCCTACTCGCTATAAATGCAGGCATGTTTATTCTTGTCATGAGTATCTAGGTGGCAGAGTTTTACATATCTCTCTTTTACAAAAATTGAATCAATTATCTTGCAGAAAATTAGTGCCATGAGAAGAGGGCAGTGTGTGTGTGTGTGTGTGTGTGTGTGTGCGCGCGCGCGCGCGCGCCTGAACTGTGCCTTTCTTTGCTTCAAGAACATCCACCCATAGACTCTTTGTGGCTCTCCACTTCTTGGCCACCTCCCTGTATTCAAAATGAATACTTCACAAACCTATGTAATGGGGTCTGGCTTACTTTTCGCCTAGAAAAGAAGAGGTGAGAAGAAAGTCTCTGTCTGGAGGTCGGAACTCATTGAAAGTTGCATTTCTGGTTTGATTTCATAACACTGAATTCAGGCACCCCCCTCACTCCTTAGGGAGGTGTCTCTTCTCAGAGCTACTGCACTCCGTGAAGTGAATGAGTTCAAACCTGTATTGTAGCGTGACTCCTGCATGTTGCCTAACCAGAGTCCTACTGCTCTCCATAACGTGCTTGGATTAGTTAAATCTCCCCTACATTTCAACAGTGTTGTCTTTACTATGTGCAACAAAGAGAGTAGGGCTTGTTTGCAATATTCTGAGTGGCATTTCACATCAACAGATAGGCTTGTTCCTCACTGCTGATGGTTTTGAAACAACGAGCTTCCCTGGATAACAATAAGGCAATAAAGGCCATCAGCAGCCACTAGACATCATGGTTATGTTCTATCTTCACTTTCAGGGACATTGTAGTTTTGAATACCATTTTCCTGGGAATCACAAGTGGGGAAAATGCAATCACATTCAGATATTGATTTTAGGCTTCCCATGGAGATCTGGTTGACCACTGTGAGAACAGGATGCTGGACTAGATGGGCCATTGGCCTCATCCAGGATGTGAGGGCGATCTGGCTGCGACATCTGTCACCCCATTGATCGCCAGGGTTGGTTCCGCTGATCTGGCTGGCTAGGCGGGTGTCCCCTTCCTCCCTCACCGCTCCATGTGCGTCCCTCCCAAAGCTGCGTGCTCGGTGGAAGAGGACGACCATTGGTGCTGTTTCTATGGAATCCTTACAACACATGTTTCTACTTTTTAGAATATCTCGGAACTCTTCTTTGTCCCAGGAGACAGTTTCCTAATGTGCTCACATTGTGATTCTCTAAAGCGTTTTAACAATTCTGAAATCAGTTGGGTAACTTTTCTTCCCTACATCTCCTCAACCAAATAGGTTTGTCTGTGCATTTAATGTCAGCCCGGCATGAAGAAATGAAATTGACTAAGCTTTCCCTGTTTCTAGATCAGATCAGTGCCAACTTAATTATTGCATGTCAGCCTGTGCTGTTTGAGGCACAGCACCACTGGCAAAAGGTGACAACCCCCCTCCAAAAAATTAAATTTAAAAAATGCTTTCTAGCATCACTGCCAATATTTTGCACCTGTTGTTTTTTGTGACTATCAGTACCCTAGCCTTCAGTTTCTTTGCAATACTATGGCAGAAAGAGAAGAGAGGGAGGCTTGATGGGATACAGATGAGGTTGACAGAGAAGCTACCGTATTTTTTGCCCTATAGGACGCACTTTCCCCCCTCCAAAAATGAAGGGGAAATGTGTGTGCGACCTATGGGGTGAATGCAGGCTTTCGCTGAAGCCTGGAGAGCGAGAGGGGTCGGTGCGCACCGACTCCTCTCACTCTCCAGGCTTCAGGAAGCTATCCGCAAGCCTTGGGAGCCCGCGGGAGTTCCCGCCGGGCTCCCGCGGCTTGCGCAGAGCTGCCTCTATCCCGAAGCCTGGGCGCGCCCTATGGGGCGAAAAATACAGTAAATTCTGTCAATATGTCTTTGAGCGTTATTCTAAGGATGCCTAACCTGTTGGTTTTAGTTGGAACATAGGAAACTGCCTTACGCCAAGTCAGGCTGGTCTAGCTCAGCATTGTGTAAGTCAGCCTTTTCTAATTTGGTGCCCTCCAAATGTCTGGGACTTCATCTCCCATTGGCCATGCTGATTGTGGCTGATTGGACCTGTAGTCCAAAACTTCTGGAGGGCACTAGATTGCGGAAGACTGGATGGTAAGTTTGGCTACCTATACATGAAAACATTTTCATACTGAGACTTGCATTCCCTACTTTATGTATGTTTCCCTGGAAGTAACCTTGAGTTTATTTAATCTTATTCATAGCTCACAGTGTGTAAGCTTGTCGTTTAATCCTACATATACTTCTTCAGAAGGCTACAGCAGGACCAGCCACCCCCCTCTCTCCCTCCCTCTCCTTCTGGTGATCTGTTCTACTCATGTACAGGAGCCCATGGAGGAAGGCAGTTCAGTTGTTGCAAAACCACGGAGAGCTCCAAGTGAGCAACTTTCTCCACAAGTGTTGAAAGTGAACTGAGGCCTTTTGAGCCTTTTTGTCTGCAGTCCACCTCTCCTAGGTACTGACCCTTTTTGGAAGATTAGAGTCCCTCAAACAGCCAACCCTCTGACCTGAATAAGAGCATTTCATGGGCTTCAGACTGGTATGCTGCCCATGCAATTGTACTGGCAAGGTACTGTGGAACTTGGCTGTTCACACCCAGGGGAAGGATCCCACTGTTTCTATTTCCACGGCTGCCCTGGTGCTATGGCATCTGGTTCATTAGACTCCTATCCACCAGCTTTGGATTCAGTGGACAGACTGAATTCTAATAAGATAACCGATTGCCCTCTTTGAATGATCTCTTTTAATCTTGGCTGCCTCTCTGTGAGGATCAGTGCCAACGTACATCATCTCAGACGCTGTATTAAAAAACACATACAACTTCCAAACTAGGTAGGACATATTTTGAAGGGAAACTTGGCAATAACTCTTCTGCAACAACATCCGCTCAGAAAATAAGTCCTTCTGAGGTAGCTGATGCTAGACTGCGAGGGGGAAATTGATTGGGGTTGAAAACAAACTAATCTTCAGTTGCTGCAAAAAAGATGACTTGGGTGCTGTGACATTTTTATGACATCAGATTGCTTATCTTTTGGCTTAAAAACAACAACACCCTGCTGAACTCTTATCCGACACAAAAGTGGTGTTCAGATGTGTGGTGCTTATTGTGTAGGGAAAGAAGAGTTTTGCGGTGGCTGCTGGTTGTGCAGGTCAGTCTGGACACGTGATGGGAAGAGCAGAGGATTGAGGTTTGCAGAGGCAAAAGGACTAGAAGAAGTGTGTCTGTTGAAGCTTCCTGACGAAACCTTTGTGATATTATCATTCTTTCAATGGATTCTTACAATCATAGCTGCTGTCCAATGGTGCATGTGATGGAATACCCATACTTGAGAGGGTCCTAGCTTTGTTTGGTTGTTTATGGATGATATTAATACCCCTCCTAGTAGCTGAAAAGGCTCTCAGAGTGGCATGCAAAAATCAATATTTAGGAGTATAGAGCTTCCTCTATATTCTCCTTCAGTTTTAGGGTGGAAGTTTCATCTAACCCAGTTTGATCAACACAGAGGTTCTCTTCTTTCCCTTTTGATACCATCACACTAGTTGTGTCTACTTCAGTTCTCTGTTTCAAAAACTATGGCACAACCTAAGTCCATTTTGTGCTGATGGGGAGCACAATATGTAAGGCCTCATAGAATCATAGAATCATAGAGTTGGAAGAGACCACAAGGGCCATCGAGTCCAACCCCCTGCCAAGCAGGAAACACCATCAGAGCACTCCTGACATATGGTTGTCAAGCCTCTGCTTAAAGACCTCCAAAGAAGGAGACTCCACCACACTCCTTGGCAGCAAATTCCACTGTCGAACAGCTCTTACTGTCAGGAAGTTCTTCCTAATGTTTAGGTGGAATCTTCTTTCTTGTAGTTTGGATCCATTTCTCCGTGTCCGCTTCTCTGAAGCAGCAGAAAACAACCTTTCTCCCTCCTCCTTTCATATATTTGAACATGGCTATCATATCACCCCTTAACCTCCTCTTCTCCAGGCTAAACATGCCCAGCTCCCTTAGCCGTTCCTCATAAGGCATCGTCCTTCTTGAACTGTGGTGCCCAGAACTGGACACAGTACTCCAGGTGAGGTCTGACCAGAGCGGAATACAGTGGCACTATTACTTCCCTTGATCTAGATGCTATACTCCTATTGATGCAGCCCAGAATTGCATTGGCTTTTTAGCTGCCGCGTCACACTGTTGGCTCATGTCAAGTTTGTGGTCAACCAAGACTCCTAGATCCTTTTCACATGTACTGCTCTCAAGCCAGGTGTCACCCATCTTGTATTTGTGCCTCTCAATTTTTTTTGCCCAAGTGCAATACTTTACATTTCTCCCTGTTAAAATTCATCTTGTTTGTTTTGGCCCAGTTCTCTAATCTGTCAAGGTTGTTTTGAAGTATGATCCTGTCCTCTGGGGTGTTAGCCACCCCTCCCAGGTTGGTGTCATCTGCAAATTTGATCAGGATGCCCTTGAGTCCATCATCCAAGTCGTTGATAAAGAGGTTGAATAAGACCGGGCCCAAGACAGAACCCTGTGGCACCCCACTAGTCACTCTTCTCCAGGATGAAGAGGAACCATTGATGAGCACCCTTTGGGTTCGGTCAGTCAGCCAGTTACAAATCCACTGAGTGGTAGCATAGTCAAGACCGCATTTTACCAGCTTCTTTACAAGAATATCATGGGGCACCTTGTCAAATGCCATGCTGAAATCAAGGTAGGCTACATCCACTGCGTTCCCTTCATCTACCAGGCTTGTAATTCTGTCAAAAAATGAGATCAAGGTGTGCTTGGCATTTTCAGTAGTTGTCATGGGAGTCAGATCCAAAAGAGGACAGAGCTTTCTTGCACCTTTAATTACCAAGTAGAAGAGTGTGTTTCAGTAGGTGTAGGTTGTCATGCAAACTCCTGTTTGCCCAGACTCTTCTTTAGCCAGGATTTTTGCTTCTTACAAAAAAAGTTTGGAAAATAGATATGGATACCATGTGTGGGTTGGGTGTGTTTATACATATTATCCAATGCAACTCTCTGCCAGTCTTTTGAGATTATTTACACACACCATTGTCTCCTAGGCAGAGATGGTGAGCTTTTCCAGAATTAATAATGACTGTTTGGCATTTAGTAATGGGAACTCAAGAGTGACTATTAGTTAAACAGCTGGCATCTGGCTTCCAATGTATAATCACACTTAATTGAATCATTGCCATTTTATTTAATCACTAGTAACTGCATTATAAACTCTGGAGATGATTAGTGGTAAGAGTAACAACATCTGTCTTTTAAAAAGACATGTGAAATATGTGTCATGTTGCTGATGCCTAGCAAAGTGGCTTTGCAGAGTCCCCCCAAGGTACACATTAAAAGAATCTTGAATTACAATATTGGAATGCTTCTTCTAAACAAGAACTTCTTCATGTTGTGCTGCTACAAAGTGTTAAGAAACTTCAATCCAGATAGTTTGGAGTACTTTGGTGAATTATAGTACAGGCTGGGGGTTATTTGGAGGCATCGCGCCTCTGTATACCAATTGCTGGGAATCACAAATTGGGAGACCACTGTTGCACCCACGTCCTGGATGGCCACTGCGAGAACAGGATGTTAGACGCGATGGGTCTCTGGCCTCAGGGACAGACCTTGGTAATATACCACCCTGTACAAGGCCAACATTTGACACCCTCCCCCCAGCTCTTGTAGTGCTGGCTTAAGCCAGGCTTTGGGAAGGAGGTGTGAGGCTCTGGCTGGGTTCTAGAGCCCTCCCACCTGCTTCCCAAAGCCTGGTCAGTGTTCTCAGACCCTGTCAGAGCCCTCATGCTTCCTTCCCAAAGCTGGGGAAGTGCTTACTGGGCTTTGAGAAGGCGCCTCCCTTGCCTGTGCATCCAGCAAGGCTGTTCTTACATTTGGCTTACTTGTTTTGTAGATTGGGTTGTGATAAGCAGGGCCTGTGCAAGAGATGTGTTGGCTTGTTCAGATCTCCCAACCCTCTAGAGTAGATTTTGAGGGTGTGCCAGGGGGCTGCAGGGGAGAAAAGAGGAGGGGAAGTTCTGTTGCTGAAGTTGAGGTCTGCCACACTAGCAGAACAACAGCATTAGATATGACCCTTAATTCTGCATTGGATTGAACTGTAAGAAGATTATGTGAAAGGCTTCCTAGAAGGGGATTGGAAACCTGGGATTGGAAAGAACACACACTTTCTCTCTCTCTCAAATAATATATTTGTTTTTCTTTTCACAGTTAACTGGGAGACCGTTTGGAGGGCCAACACTACCAAGAAATTTGCAATCCACAAAATGAACTTTGATCAACATGTTGGCCTACTGAGAATCTTCCCGGGGATCACTGCTGAAGCGGTCAGCCTTCCTCTGTCTGAGAGCATAATGAGAAGAAAAGCTATGATGACACTCATGTGTAGGAGTGTTGATTGCATATAATGAGCAATAAGAAAAGGTGATGGCATTGCTGAGCCACTCCCACAATGCCGCTGTGCCACTGCTTTTCTCAGAGCTAGTTGTATGCAGTCAACAATCCCACAATACGTGTTCGGATGTGAGAAAGAAGCATCATAGAATACTGTCATGTCCAAAAGTATTCTATGGCGCTGGAGGAGAATGCAATCAAAGATTTTAAAAAACCCAGTCTCTTATTATGCTTTTGAATGTTGCATGTTTGAGAAGCGGGGATGTGCATCATTTTGATCATTTTCAGGCTGTTGCGATTGGGAAGGGGCAATTTGCAGGGGAGAAGTAGCAGAGGTGGCTCATTTGTGGAGTTCCAGACCTGTCTTTATCTTAGAAATGTGGGTGTGAGATCCAAATGTGAGAGGAGGCAGAGTTCGTTGGAGAAGAATTGTAGAGGGAAAGTTGAAAGCTGGATGAAGTGCTATGATTCTGCATAATTAGAATGGACAGGTTACTTGCATCCTTGTGGCTCACCCCGCCCCCCATTTTGGCTCCCTGTGCTAATCAAGTTGTCCATCCCCTGTATAACCAACCACTGTCTATCTATCTTGCTGTTGTACTGCCTATAGTATATACTGGCATTACTTGTCCCCACCCTGTACCCCCTACAGTTATGTCTGTGTATACAGAGAAGCTGTTTTGTAAATGTATTGAACACCCCACTCTCAAACCTATTTATATAGCACTTTTGGTTATGAGGACTTGTGATTATCCATACATTTTGGATGGACCATGAAAATAATCAAAGTTCGTATTGCATGCCAGCAGTCAACCTAATAAGAATCTGAACTCCATATTTAAAATATTTGACCAATCTTTCCTTGCATTAAAAAAGATAGTATTGTGTAGAAAAGACCATATTTCAATCTAGGTAAACACTTTTGAACTGTATATATATTTTTCTTTCATGCAGGTGAAGGGGTTTCTTCAGAGCCCAATAAAAGGGATTGTACTTGAGACCTATGGGAGTGGGAATGCCCCCAATAATTGCCCTGCTTTGTTGGAAGAGCTGCAGAAAGCAACCGATCGTGGTGTGGTGATTCTGAATTGCACCCAGTGTCTGCGAGGAAGTGTTTCTTTAGTCTATGAAACAGGAAAGGTGAGACAAATTCTATGCTTTAAACCAGCTTTCCCCAAGCTGGTGCCCTCCAAATGCTCGGACTGCAACTCCCATCATCCCTGACCATTGGCTTGCTCACTGTGACTGATGGGAGTTGTGATCCAAAACAGCTTGGGAAAGGCTGTTTTGAGCTATGCCACTGCATTCAGGGTTGCTCAGTTTTGGGTTGGGAAGGAATGTTCATTCAGGTAAGATTAAAAATGGAAGTTTTTGGCAGGTGAGAGGGGGTGGAGGCAGTGGCTGCTGTTTGTGGTATTTTTTTTATACCATTTGGCTTTCTTCAGTGCACCTGTTGTCTTACTTGTGGCATTTTGTCTTCTGGGCTATGCAGAGCAATCTGTATGGAGGCTGGTGGGTGGCCTTTATATTGGTGGTGTTTGTGTGTTGGCCTTTAGATGCCAGTGCTGTGACTTAAAGGTATGAGATATATTGATAGAATTAGTAGGAACTAAAAACATTGGTCAGGAGACACCAACGGTCAAATAGTCTCTCCCAATCCCCACCCAAAGGAAGACTTGCATCCAGCAGTCCATGTCACCACCACTAGAGCAGCCAATGTTACTGGAAAGAACTGAATAGGTTCTAGTGCAGAACTCAAAAGCTAGTGTAGACATCTTGGATCAAACTGTCTCTCCCATGAACTTCCTTGGTGGCCTTTTGCAAAGCTCCCCTACCTCAGTCGTGTTTTGATTTGTCATCTTGATTCAAAGTGGCACCTGGCAACTAAGCATTGGCAGAGGTTGCTGCTGCCACCTTGGGAACCCTCATGCTGAGTTTGGCAACAATATCTTAAGAGACAACCAAACCTATGCCCCCAAATGGGCAAAGTCATGCAAAAGTGATGTTTTGGACTGCCATCTTGATTCAAAATGGCAAAAGGTGTCCAAACAGTGATGAAGTCCACTGCCCCTAACTCAGGAACCCTTGTGCTGAGTTTTGGCAATGATACCTCAAGATGTGGCCAAACCTATGCCCCAAAATGGGCAAAGTCACACCAAAGTCATGTTTCACTCTGCCATTTTGATTCAAAATGGCGGCCTGCCTCAAAATGTTGATGATGACTGCTGCCCCACCTCAGGGTTTGGCAACGATACACCGAGAGGCGAACAAACCTATAGAGAACAGATGGAAAAACAAACAGACAAACCACTTTCCATACCATAATATATCATAGATAAAAGAACTTTTCATCCCCCTGCCCTCGCTCTCTCCATACTTCTTCCCCAGGATCACACTTATATGATATATTGTGGTTACTTTGATAGTTTCTCAGTAGATGCTCTGGTGTGTCCACCCTGCATTGAAATCCCAAAGAAGGACAAGACTGCACAGGAAAGTAGGAAGGTTCCCTTTAGTAAAACCTGTGGGGATCATTGATTCAGGAAATCTGCTTCTTTTCCAGTATGGAATGGCAGAGTACTGGCTAGATTCAAAACCTTTAATTTTTATCTGTCCAAGCTCTCATCAAGATTTTTCATTCCTGTGTCCCTCCTAGATGCAAGATCAATTGTAATGGATATTTCCTGGCTTTTTCTATGTTGACAACTTCTGGACACATTTGGTAGTTATATGCCTAGCATATACAAGATGATGGTGTCTCTATCCGATTATGGTTGTGTCATTTTGAAGGGTGTGTGTGCCTGGAACTGGGGACCATCAAAGTGATGAATGAATCAGAGGTTTTCAATATGAAGATGGCTAAGAAATCCCCGCACATATCTTTAGATACTTGCCCCTCCCAAAGATTTGATAGTAAACTGAGTAAATCTTGATGGGATATTTCCCAAAGGTTCAAAGTGGGTGGCAGAATTAAAAGCCCCACCTTGATATGATTAGATGAGCTAGAGATAAATCAAATTTTAAGTGGTGGTGCCAAGTGGGCTGGGTCATGTCTGGCATTGGAGTTTTTTATTGCTATTTTTAATGCTGTTTTGTTTTCTGTTTTGCCCCAAAGTTAACCAAGCCCTTCCCCCAGTCTACTACTTGTAAGTTAGGCTTGCAATCTACCACTTTCAGTGCCAAGTACAAAGCTAGACCTGTTGTTTTCTCTTTCCCACTTAATTAAAAGGCCTGGTTAATGTTCACATATTGGTAATTATTACTTCATTATATTATACTGCTGAACTGCTTGATATTTTTTAAACTGGCTTGGCTTTTCCTAGAAATGTTTTAGCTAAGAGGTTTGCTCTAGGAAAATTGTTGAATCTGCCACTGCAATAATGAAAAAAGAAATAATGTAAGAACTGTTAAAGAGATGTCTTCAGTGCAGTTTGAAGTCGTACCCTCTGGAAATGTGAAACTGGCCTGTGGGAGCAACTGCAAACACACTGATCTAATCTAATATGTGTACTCTGGAGATTACAGGTTAAGAGGCTTGCTTTCAGAGCTCCCCAGGATGTCTGTGACAGCTCAAGACACTCAGTTTTGGACTCTGTACCAGAGCATGCCTGTTCCAGATAATGGGTATCAACTACTGAGGAACATGCAGAGGACCAGTTCACACATTACAGCAGTCAGCTCAGTTTTACCATTGGGATTACATTAAACAAAGAGCAACAGCCGATGTCAGCTGCCTGACAATTACACCTGTGCGATATAAACATTTTTCACATTCCCACTATTGCTAGGTATGTTTATAATTTAAAACATACTAGGTTTGTGGCTAAGACAGGTAACCTTTCAAGAAAGAATTAGAATTAACTTGGATCCCCTTATTTGATGAACGTAAGTACTCTTGTACATTTAGCACTGAAAACAATAAACATGTGATTCTGTGCGCTAACTTGGATGGCTTTAAAAGAAAATTAGACACATTCAGGGAGGAGAGGACCATTGATGGCTACTAGCCATGATGCCTATGCTCTACCTCAGGCATGGCCAAACTCGGCCCTCCAGATGTTCGGGGACTACAATTCCCATCATCCCTGACCACTGGTCCTGTTAGCTAGGGATGATGGGAGTTGTAGTCCCAAAACATCTGGAGTGTCTACCTTCACAGTCGGAGGCAGTTAATGATTTCTGAATACCAGTTGCTGGATCCAGCAAGCTTTCATTTATTCTTATGTGAACAAGATAGTATCGGTGACCACAAACAAAGCACTTTATTAGCCACCAAGGCAGCATTACAATCTAATATAAAAGGAACAAAAAGATTAAATTATCCGACTTGCAGTAACAGATTTTACCTCTGAGAACCTCATATACTTGCAGCACTCAACGCTTTGTAAATAATAACAGATAATTATTAGAATAATTATGGGATGTATGCAGTTGTGGTTTTACACTAGAAGAAAGCACTTCTACTCAGACAAGACTCTAGTGACCTGCTTTGTACATACCATTGTAACCCCCTGCTCCTGGTCCCCCCAACCCTTAGCAGAAAATTGCAATATTGCACTGGGCACTGCCACGCAACCCAGGTAAGGGAGGCGGCGGCAGCAGCAGGGTGCCATGCCATGTTCCCATTCTGCTTCCGGTGGTGAAACGGGACACATCAGAATTATGGGATATGATGCAGAGGTATAGAGAGTAAGGGGAAACTGGGTACCCTTCCCTGTACTAGTGGATACCATTTTTCAATATGCATACCTTACAAAACACACTCATCAAACCACATTTTCTTCATTGACTACAGACCCTTATGGACGCAGGTGTAATTCCAGGGGGAGATATGACACCTGAAGCTGCTCTTACCAAGCTGGCCTATGTCCTGAGCAAACCTGGTACCTTGGCTGAGAAGAGAGAGGTAAAATATCTTTGACTTCTGATTTTTTTTTTAAAAAAGCCTAGTAGTACTTTTCTCAAGTTGTGGCTTTCTGAGCTTTCCTTCCCTTTGACACACATAGGCCTGGACTAGATGGGCCTTTGGTCTGGTTAATCCTAGTATTGTTGAGTTGGAAAGGGACCTCAAGGATCATGTAGTCCAACTCCCTGCAATGCAGGAATCTCAGCTACAGCATCCATGACAGATGGCCATCCAACCTCTGGTTAAGAAGGGCGTTTCTTTTGGTCAGAGCCCACAAACTTCCCACTCCATCCCAACTAGGTTCAAAGGACTGCTGTCTATATGTAAGGTTAAACTGCAAAAAATAAAGATATATAAATAGTTTGTGCCCTGCTTGCTTATTTTTATATGTCACAATAACCAGGGACCGAACTGCAGTTGAGGAACCATCATATCTGGTTGATGGAGAGGGGAGGGACAGAAACTGCTCGTTGTTCTACCATTTGGGGAAATGCCCCTGTACAGCAAATCAGAGTCTCACCTCCCATGGAAAAGATCAGTGAAACGCTCCCACACCTACAGTGTTTTCTTTCACTACTTCTCTTTTTAAGACATGCCTAAACAATGCTAAAGTTGAGGGCAGCCTTCCTTCCCACAACACTCCTTTCTTTAACTTTGCACAGCCATGTTTCCAGATAGTTATCACAGTCATCTATATTCCCAGACTCTCTCTTTTTCTCTGTAATTATGAAGCAATTCTACATGGCAGAAGAGCTAGGCCACAATTCAATGAAATCATTTATGTGCACACAAGTGCTACAGTTCTTCATATTTTTTTTAATTTCTGGAGCATCAGAACTTTTTTCTGCCCTCTCCTCTCCCTAATATCCCAGAAAATTGTAGTTCTGTGAGGGGAGGACTTAGGGGGTCTCAAACAGTTCATCCTCAGCAGCCTAATAAAATACATGGATTCTTTGGGGGTATTCAGCAACTGCTCATACCCTTTCCCAACTTCATAGTATCCAATCTCTAATATGACTTCTAACTGAAGTCCCATGGCCTTATGGGGTATTGTAACAAAATCTCTCTCTCTCTCTCTCTCTCTCTCTCTCTCTCTCTGTGTGTGTGTATATATATATATATATATATATATATATATATATATATATAGTGTTGATTTGGCTGAAGGGACTTACATATCACATGCTAGTATATATATGTGGAGACCTCCTAAGGCAGAAGGAGGGACTTACAGTGGTACCTCGGGTTACATACGTTTCAGGTTACATACGCTTCAGGTTACACACTCCGCTAACCCAGAAATAGTGCTTCAGGTTAAGAACTTTGCTTCAGGATAAGAACAGAAATCGGGCTCCAGCGGCACGGCGGCAGCAGGAGGCCCCATTAGCTAAAGTGGTGCTTCAGGTTAAGCACAGTTTCAGGTTAAGAACGGACCTCCGGAACGAATTAAGTACTTAACCCAAAGTACCACTGTACTTTAGGTTTTCCAAACCCACTTCAAACATTTTTAAAAATAATCCAGCATTTTGAAGTTATTTTTACATGATCCAAGGACCTGGTCCTCATGTCACATTAAACCGGGCTCATGTTAAAGTTGCATACATTATGTCTTTGTTTCACTTTTACTATATCTGAGATCTTTTTACTTACCTGTCTGTCTTCTGTACTGGAAAATTACTTAAGGTAAAGACTGTCACTTATGCAGATGGACAACCAAAGGTGTAGAGGTTGGGAGCAGGACCTGCTGCTACAATCCTTCCCCTCCAAACCAAAGACGCACACACATTCACCTCTGACTTGGTTCCCAGCCTGCTCACTTACTTCTTTTTTCTCCTTAAGATGGTGAAGGAGAATCTGAGAGGAGAGATGACTGTTGTGCCCATTGGAACCCAGATCACCCTCAAAGATAGCAAGTTTATTCAAGAGATTGCAAAATACCTGTTTATCAGCTGCAAGGAGGTACTTGCTCAAATGACACCTGTTAAAGCAGAAAGCCCGTTGCATAATAACTAGCACCTGGGACCATCTAATAAAGCTGATTGTTGGAAGCTACAGGACAGGCAGAAGAAAGAAATACTTCTTTAAAAGAGCTTTTAACAAAGTAATGGAGGGTGTTTAAGGCTGTCATTGGCTACTTGTCATGATGACTGTGCTCTGCCTTCATTGTTGGATGCAGGACGGTTCTAAATAGTATTTTGGAGAATCACAAGGGAAGAGGACTATTGTCCGTATGTCCTGCTTGCAGGCTTCCCATAGGCATTTGGGCAAGATGCTGGACTAGATAGCCTTTGACCTGCTCCAGCACGACTCTTCTTATGTTATATATATATATATATAAAAGACAGCAAAGGGGATTGTTGAGTATAGAATGCTGGACATTTATGCAGTTTGTATGATAAATTTCCTGGGAGCACAAAGCACTTTAAAGCAACTTCAGCCCCCTTCCCTCAACAATTCATGCATCCTGGATTGCTTTGTATCAGAACTGAAGACCAGACGCGCTTCACAAGGTCTATGCAGAACAAGCATCTGTAGATAACTTCACACAAGCAAGCCACGCTATTATATCCAGGCACGGTGGGATGGGATTATGGGAAATGTGTAGATGTGTGTTAAACTGGGCTGTTTTAATTTCTCAGGAGCTAGCAGCTGTTAGAGATGCTTTGACTCCTCCTTTGGCTTGCGCAGCGGCAAAAAATGGTGACATCGATGCCCTAAAAGCCTTACAGAATATGGTAAGACCCTCTTTTTTATAGTGTATTTCATATGATCATTTGCACCCTGAACAGGAGAAAGCCTCACAGGCTATGGTCATCTCAAATGCATTTTTGTTTTGGGTGCGTATATAACTCTATGACATTCAGGCTCTATAGTTATGAGAGGAAAATTAAAAACCCAGGGTAGTCTTTCAGCAGGGAAAAACAGTTACCGTAGATTAGAGCTAGAGTCAGATCAGAATGACTGCTGGCCTTTATATTTTCAAAGGGGAAGCAACCATCGCTTATGATATCAGGATTGTGCTTTTTTAAAAAACAGCAGTCTAGTCCTTTGTTTATTTCGTTCAGAAGTAGGTCCTGTACCAATCAATGAGGCTTACATGCCCTTACGATTACGATATCTTTATTGTCATTGTCCCTCGTGGAACAATGAAATTGAAAATTAGGTGTGCAGCCTAAGCCTGCATAATACCTTCTTCACTAAACATGACAAATGAATTATATTCTTATACTGACTGCTCCTGTAGGTCTGATACTGTGGTGCTATATGTTTTTGTGCCTCCCCAAATTTGTCCATTTATTTATTTTTAATAATAATGTAAGGTGGTATTCAACTTTTACTTAAAGGAAGTCCATTGAAATTAAAGTTAGATCCATTGATTTCATTGGATCTGTTCTGAGTAAAAGGTAGTTGAATACCACCCCAATTTTTTTAACTAACTGGAGGGAATTCAACATCACATGCTTCTGATTGGGCAAGCATTTTGAGTTGCAAGATGGAACGATTTCCTCTCCCTCTGCTGCTGTTCAGTGGCTTCTCTTGACCACCCCAATCCAATGGGGGGGGGGAGCACAGGGGGAGGAAGGGGCTGTTGCCCTATTGGGTGAATGGAAGTCCTTGTGCAGGGCTTCTACTGATGAGACTAGTTAGTTGAATCCTGCCCCCCCTTTTACTGACTTCTCCAATAAGTACTGTGGTGCCAATGGTTTTTGTGTGTGGCTACCACTCCCTGCCCAAATTTGCCTGTTAAAAACAACTAATTAAAAAATAGGGTTTTTTTGCCATTCCTGTGGGTCACCTGCCATAACTCTGTGATGCCGAAAGTTTTTGTGGTTCTCCCATGACCCTCAAAATGCAGCCGCAGCCATTTTTTACACTGCAGCCGTACCATGCAGCCTCTGAAGGGTTGATGATGGGTCAATGTGGCTCTCATACTGAAAAGGTTAGCCATCCCCGTTATAACGTCACCGATGGGGGCTTTTCAACCTGATCATTGCTGTGTGCCTCAGCTGTCCTGGATTGGCCCACAGAAAGAAGCCTCAAGAGAGTGTTCTCCATTAATTCAAGAGTTCATATTAAAAATAGTAAGAAAGCCAGTTTCTCGGCTGAGAAACGGGGAATCTGGGAAATGATAAACTGGGCATGTTGCTGAGACCTTCGTTAGATGGATGAATTATTATTTAAATACACTCCTTTAAATAAACTTGTCACAGGGTGGCAACTTGAGCTCTGAGGATTATGATGGTCGCACACCTCTTCACGTTGCATCTTGTGAAGGTAATTTGGAGATAGTCCGACATCTGCTGAAGTCTGGGGCAACTGTCTACGCTAAAGACCGATTTGGAGCTACTCCACTGCTGAATGCCATAAAGTTCAGGTATTTATTTCTTAAGTGCAATTTACAGTGCTTTTTTTCTTAAAAAATGTTTAGGGGTACTCTCATTCCATCTGAGATTTAGGAAGCACCATGACAGGAAATGAGGCCGCCATCGGGGGTAGCAACGGAACTGACGATTCACCGTGCTAGAAAAGAAACATTTTTTAAAAAATATTTTAGTTTCTTCTCCCATTAGATTCACCCCTGCGTACCCCCCAGAAAAAAAGCACTAGCAATCAGAAAACCCCAAAAGCCCAGAAATGGACCATCCCAAGGGTGGATTGGGGATGAGCCAGGCTGGGATCCAGCTGCCCTCACAGCTGGCAGGGGCTGGGATTGGGATTGGAGGCTGACGTTGGCACAGGCATCAGGCCCAATCTGCTTCCTTCTGCAGCTGCTGTGGCTGGTCAGGCTGCAGATGTGGCAGTAACTCTCTTGTTGAGCAGCTGCAGCAGCGAGCAGTTTAGATTACTTTGCCTGAGTAGACTTGTACCTGTGGGTGTTGTGAACAGAAGAAGAAGTGCCTCACACTTCCCCTTCCTCTGTGGTACTGCCTTTTCCAGAATATTTTTTTGTATCTGCCCTGTCCTGGGGATGCATAGGATGTCCTTGCACCTGGAACATGCTTTTATCTCAGGAAATAAAGATAGAAGCACGTCCAATGGGACAGTGTTGTGAACGAACAGGAAGCGTGAAGTACTTCCTGTTGCACTTGACAACCTTGGAACATCCAAATCTGTTCTTGGTTGGAGGAAAACCTCTGACCATTGAGTAGGCTAAATATATCTTTTGCTGAACGTCCGTCAGGGTTAAAAATACTACTATGTTCCTGAAAATATGTTGAATGTATATCAAAATGTTTATATGTGTGGTGTTTACTATCTAGTATCTTTTGCAGACTACAGGTATTCTCTTCTTTCAAGATGCCTCTTTCAGGCTTTCCTGGAAGTATTTTTAAAAAATGCAAGTAGTATCTTTAAATATAGGACCTCTCTTTGGGGCTTTGAGTGGCTCACTGCACTCTGCTCATGTGCTGTCCCTTTCCATGTCCCCCAGAATCTGTTCCCCAATCCTTTCTCTAGTATATCCTATGCATTTTATTCTCCTTCTAATTCTTGCCAAGAAGTTTAAAATTCTGCAGATACACGCATCTATGAGAATCAGTTATGAGAAATAACTACATCTTTGCAAACTTTACTTGCTACACAGATATGGAAAGTGTTTGGAGGAAATCTAAAAACTTATTCATAATAAATAGCTCCATTTTAGGCTAGCAAGCTTATCAGTTGCACCTTCCCCATAACTACAGCATTCATAGGAAGCAAACCTTTCTCCTTAAGACTTTAAGAAGTCTTTGGTGCCAGAGTAATTCTTCTGGCCAGGTCTCCACACTCTTGACATGCATTTTGCATTGCAGATGGGTCATTAACAGTGCAAACCTATACAACCTATGAAGCAAGTACCGAATTTTTCGCCCCATAGGACGCACCGGCACATAAGGCACACCTAGTTTTTTTGGGGGGGAATAAAGAAAACATTTTTTATTTCCCCCCCAGGCACGAGGCTGGGGCGGGGGAAGCCAGAGCTTCCCCCGACCCCAGCCCCCGGAACAGGCTGCTCTCCGCAAGCCGGGGGAGGGCTCCCGCGGCTTGCGCAGAGCTACCCGAAGCCCCGGTGCGACTGCTCAGCGCAACGGGGCTTCGGAGTGCAGGCAGCTCTGCGCAAGCCGGAGGAGCCCGGCGGGAACTCTCGCGGGCTCCCAAGGCTTGCAGATAGCTTCCTGAAGCCTGCATTCGCCCCATAGGACGCACACACATTTCCCCTCCATTTTTGGAGGGGAAAAAGTGCGTCCTATAGGGCGAAAAATACGGTACCTTTGAATTTAGTCCTATACACCCAGGTAATAGGATGTATAGAACTGCAACCAAAGTCAGTTGGCATGCTTTCTTAATAGGCGTTATGACAATCTCGTTAGCTAGCCAAGCTGTTCAGATACAGGAAAATTTGCTAAGAATCTCTTAAAATTCTCTAGGAGCAAGTTAAACAGACTTACTGCTGAACAAGATGGCCTTTGTCCAGCACACCTATGCAAAATATTCCTGCAAACAGCTCTCTCTCTCTCTCTCTCTCTCTCTCGTGTGTGTGTGTGTGTGTGTGTGTGGTTAAACCACACCCAGTCACTGCCTGAGGAATTTCACATAAGTTTGTTATTCAAATTCTTAAGCTTTACCACTCCCATAAGAAACTCCTACTGGGGACTCTTGATCTTTTTAAAGCTGCTGAAAGGCAGGTTGGAAGAGAATGAAGCCGGGTTTTAGTTCAAGCTTATGCTGCTGTCAGGTTGAGAGAATGACCTGAATCATTTGTCAGTTTGCAGAGACTGTAATGTAATGTAATGTAATGTAATGTAATGTAATGTAATGTAATGGCCTACTCTGCCAGCAAACTTTACTGCTAAGCTTAAGGTGGAATTGGATGGTTGAAAACCTATAGAATCAGTTAGATGCTACTTTTGCAGTTGGAACTAGATTGTGGGATTAATTGTACAAAAACGGGGAAATCAAGCTTTAATAATATTTTAACACTTACCAATACAAGTACATATAACTGGAGGTGCAGAATGCAATATTGGAAGACAAAGCCTGGTGGTTATTGCAATCCAGCTCTCTCTCCTGAAGCAATACCCACTTATATGTAAATATTCCAAACATGATATGGAGCCAGTTAGATAAAAAAAATAAGCCCTGGCTGTACTGTAATATCCGAGATACTGCTTTTCTCCAAGGCACTATAGTATTCTTTGCCTCTAATATGACATCATCCATATAGCTGTAGTGATAACTACAAAGTTGCTCTCAAAGTATTTACTCTCTGAAGCCCTAGAGCAATCAGTACTGAAGCAAATCTTGAAGTATTTCTATAAACAGTCCCGTGGAATGAAGTAAGTGCATTTTTCCACAAACAATTTCTTAGTGTCCTGATGAAATCTGACAGCAGTTTAGGAACAACTTCCATCCAACTGGAAGCATGAGAGTGGAACCAATTCAGAAGAAGATATTTAACAATATATAATGCCAAAGGCCAGTTCACAAAGTTTGAAATGTTGGAACATTGTATGCATGGTACAGTGCAGGCTTGCAAATGTGTGCTATTGCATCTAAAATATTACACACACACACACACAGTGGTACCTTGGGTTACATACGCTTCAGGTTACACACGCTTCAGGTTACAGACTCCGCTAACCCAGAAATAGTACCTTGGGTTAAGAACTTTGCTTCAGGGTGAGAACAGAAATTGTGCTCCGGCGGCACAGCGGCAGCTGGAGGCCCCATTAGCTAAAGTGGTGCTTCAGGTTAAGAACAGTTTCAGGTTAAGTACGGACCTCCGGAACAAATTAAGTACTTAACCCAAGGTACCACTGTATATATGTGTGTGTGTGTGTGTGTGTGTGTGTGTGTATATATATATATCTATATATAGTGTCCAATTTTCCACAAACCGTTTCCTCACAACAAATGAAAAAAGTGGAAAGGTTGTGGGAACTAAGTGTATACCTGATACATATTATGGGGTGTGGGGTTATGCGTAAGAGGCAGCATGCATAGGCATGGGACATGCAATGTTGCAATCTTTCCAGATTTCCAACTGAGGAATGAGAGCCCTATCTTGTCCTGGCTCTTTACAATCCTAGTCCTCAAAGACTCTGATATGTTATGTGGTGCGTCCACCTTTTGAAGTCTGTTCTGTCAGGGGCGTGATAGGTCAGTTCATTGCTTTTTGCAGAAGAACCAAGGAGCCAAAGGAATGAAGCCATTCAGGTTTTGGAGTGGGTTACGGCTGCATTTCTTTAAGTGGTAGGTGGGAAATGTGCTTGTGACCCCCCCCCCCCCAATCTCTGTAATGCGTCACTCAGATTCTTCAGGCCCAGTGCAGGTGGGGCCATGAAAAACCATTTAAAAGCATTTGCTGGATTAAAAGATGTTGGTCTTAGGAAGTCTTATGCCCTCCGATTCTGATCATACCACAATAACTAGAATCATGCTTAACTAGAATCATGCTTAGCAAGTATAGAGTGCTTTCCACCTTCGCCGGATCAAGCAGTTGGTCCCTTACCTTTCCCGCCCTGACCTGGCCACAGTGATCCATGCGACGGTCACCTCCAGGCTTGACTACTGTAATTCGCTCTAGCGGGGCTGCCCTTGAAGCTGTCCCAGAAACTCCAGTGGGTGCAGAATGCTGCAGCGAGGCTCCTCACAGGGTCTCTGCCGTGGGAACATATTCACCCAGTGCTTTTCCAGCTGCACTGGCTCTCGGTGGAGTACAGGGTCAGGTTCAAGGTGCTGGTTTTGACCTTTAAAGCCCTTCACGGCCTAGGACCCTCGTACCTACGGGACCGCCTCTCCTGGTATGCCCCACGGAGGACCTTAAGGTCCATAAATAGCAACACCCTAGAGGTCCCGGGACCTAAGGAAGTTAGATTCGCCTCAACCAGAACCAGGGCTTTTTCAACACTGGCTCCAGCCTGGTGGAACGCTCTGTCTCATGAGACCAGGGCCCTGCAGGATCTGATTTCTTTCCGCAGGGACTGTAAGACAGAGTTGTTCCACCTGGCCTTTGGCTTGGAGTCACTTTGATTCCCTCCCCCTCTTTCTTTTTTCTTTTTTCCTTTCTCCTCCTGTGATGAGGCTGCATTTTAATGTTTTAATGTTGTATTTTAATCTTGTTTTTAAGTTGTATTCATTCAACTTTTTTATTATTGGTTGTTAGCCGCCCTGATCCTGGCCTTGGCTGGGGAGGGCGGGGTATAAATAAAATTTATTATTATTATTTATTATTATTATTATTTAGTAGAGTGGTTCCTGGTTCAATCCTTGGCATCTCCAGTTAGAACATAAGTAGAGCCCGCTGCACCAGGTATGTGGTCCATCTAGTTCAGCATCCTGTTCTCAGTGGCCATGGGAATCCCACAAGCAAGTCCTGTGTGCAATAGCACTCTGCCCTCCAGTTTTCAGAAAGTGGTATTCCGGAGCATACTGCCTCTGATTGCAGATAGTAATTCTGAGAGAGACCTCTGCCAGAAACCCTGGAAAGCTGCTGCCTGAAAGTTGACAGTAGTGGGCTTGATAGGCCAATGGTCTGATTTGGTATAAAGCAGTTCCATATGCGCATAGGTAGGCCAGTCTTTATTTATCACTCCTCTCAGAGTTGTTTCCACCAACCTCCCATCCAGGCACTAAGCCAGAGTATTTGCCATTGGCATAAGCTTAGGAGTTTCCAGACCAGTCACTTGCAATCTCATATCACAGCTGAAAAGTGGAGGCTGGGAAATTTTGATTGAGGTAATCCAGAACAAGCTAACTGCGCTTAAGTCTGAGTTAAATCAGTGGGGTGGGTTAAATAAGCTCCGTTATTTTAAAAAGGCTCCTAGCATTTATGTTATAAATGCTAATTGGCTGCCATTTGTTTTCAGGTTCAATTCATAGTGCTCATTTTGGCTTATGAAGCCTGATGTAGTTCAGGACCACAATACAACCAAGGCTACCTCCTTACATTAGAACCTGCCTTGCCTTTATGATTGTCACCTGAAGCACTTCTTTCTTACTTTCTCCAAGAGAAGTGCAGAGTGTGCCAGCAAGGGGATAGGTCTTTTTAGTGGTAGCCCCCACCTCCTCTAATAATCTCCCCAAGGAGTTCTGCCTGGTGCCTATGTTATTAGCTTTACAGTGCCAGGCCAGGACAATTTTGTTCTCTCGGACTTTTTGTTCTTAAGGTGATGTGATTTTTAGTCTGTTTCAGTGTTGGATGGGGAATAATATGTATGTATGTATGTATGTATGTATGTTTGTTTGTATGGGGAATAGTATGTATGTTTAACGTATAACCCTGCAGTTCAGAGCTGCTTGGGTTATGTTGCATTGTGGAACACAGCACTTGTTGCTACCTGAAAGGGAGAAAAATGTACTTGATGATGTTGCTGTGTCTCAAGAACCCTTGTGATGAAATATTTAAGATAACGAGCAAATGAATGAGGTCTATAATTGCAGTAGCAGTTAATAATATATCTCATGGAATGAAGTATTGCGAAATCATTTTTTTCAGCGAAGGGAAATTGCTTGGTAGTATGATTTAATATTTATTTTCCACTTATCAACAGAAGCAAAAAGAAAAGAAGAAGAAAAAGACTTTTTGGAAAGTCTTATTCTTCATATGTGATAATGTACTATCTTGGTCATATCTGCCAGCCCTTATGCAAGTTTGTATGTGTCATTTCCCTTGAAGTAAACAATAGGGAGCAGTTACCAGCTCACAGATCCTACATGCTATTTCTGAATTTCTTGGTTAGGCATCAGGGTAGTTTAAAGCCTTTTTGCCTCTTGGAAAGTCTGAATGTGATACTGTAATGTGCTTACACACAGGCATAGGATATAACACAGTAATTGTGCAAGAGGATCCCTTGTTCTCTTTCCCCAGGGAGTTGGGCCCATCTTGTGTACTGGGCACAGCCATTGCTGACGCTGATCCTGTTCTAGCACAGCCGCCACCAAATCTCTAAATGGCTGCTCCACTGAGCAAAGGGCTGTTTTGATTGATAGGGAGCCATGAAAAAGGGAATTAAGTTATGGTCAACTCTGTGTGTCCCATGTTTAAGACCACTGGCCCTTAAATCTGAGTGTTGGTGCAGCCATATGCCAACTAGGAGTCTTGTAGCAAAGAGAGTTTCCCTTTCTTCTTCTTTTACTCCCTGAAAATGCTCACTTGACTCACAGACTGGGAAGAATTTCGTGAAGGGATAGCTATCTCCATCTTGATCTATGAGTTTTCCAGGGCCACCCTCTGCTGGAGACAGAGTGTTTGGAATTTAACACTTGATACAGCTAAATATTACACTTGGAGAAGATTTGGCACAGTTTGTGTTTACTTACGACTGAATGATGGGCATGTTGCACTGACCACAAATTCACAAACATGCCTGAGTTTGATTGACAAGTAGGCATTGATACAAATCTTTCCTACATCATGTTATTTGTCATCAGTGTGACTTACAGGTCCCCTTCTGAAGAGAAAAATCAATATGGGAAATGGCTCTTAGATCCAGTTTATCAAAGAGTTGTTTCCATGTTAGCATGCTACAGATATTTCTATTAAGGTACTGGTGTGGTTAAAAATAAGTTCGTCCATTTTCTTAAAGGCACCATGATGTGATCCGCTTGCTACGCACAACGGGAGCTCACCTTTCAAGCCAAGAGCTCGTGAATGTTGGAACAGAACTCTGCAGGTATGAAAAAGTCATTTTTAAATGTCTTCAGATGACATTGCACTGTCTCTATAAACTAGTTGACACATGGAATGACATCACTTGATTTGTCCACATTCATTTACTGTACATTTGATGACCAGCAGCTGAATGAAGTGATTTGAAAGTTCTTTATTTATTACATTTATATCCCCACAACCAACCCTGTGAGGTAGGGCTAGGTTGAGAGGCACTGACTGGCCCGGGGTCACCCCATGAGCGTCAAGGCTGATTCGAGATTCAAACTCTGGTCTGGCAGGTCCTAGTCCTGCATTCTAACCACTACAGATTTTATATCTGTGATTGCCCATTCACACAATACATGCCATGCCATTGCTTACTACTGTAGTCATCAAGAGAATGACAGGTATGTAAACCAGGACTTTGTTCACCATTGTATAAAGGTGGCAGTGGAATGATTAAGGATAGTTGGTTAACTATTAAAACTGGTTTGTAAGGGAATACAAATTTCAGCCATTTCGAGTTTGGTTTTTGTCGTAAAGTTTGGGTTGCAAAATGGTTGCTGTTTTACTTTTAAGGCTCTCAAGCATTGGAGTGTCAAATGTTCGCAGGAAAGTTAAACGTTCAAGGGTAGATGTTTTGTTTAGGAAGTTTTGTACCAGACGTTGTGCACATGAGGGTCAAAAGTTCATTCTAGGATTCTGGCAATTAAAGGGAAGTAATTGTTAACCAAACTCTCCTCATTTTGTGATTGACTGAAAGATTGAGAGGAAGGGGGAGTGAAAATATTGTATATAAGCCACAGCTAATCAGAATGTTGTGGAGTCAGGCTTGGAATCTGCTATGCCAAATTTAACACCTGCCAGGATTATTAAAGGAGGCAGTTAATCCACTCCCCTTATGTTTTTTTCACAAATAAATTGACCCTACTCTTAGCTTCTTCTGCCCTCTGAAGGACTTGTTAAACTGCTTGGCCATACAGAACAGCAAAATGCTTTGAGACTTTCAAGAACAACCAGAAAAATAAATCCACGTATGATGCAATTTTGTACCAAGGTGTTCTGTTAGCCCTGACTGGTTTTTCAGTTCATATATTTTGTTGTTTCTCCATGGCTTCTTTTAAAAATTAAGATTGGAGTGGATTTTTGGAGCTCTTTGTTGACTAACCAGGTTTCATAGCACAGAAAAATATATAACACAAATATACCAATCCATTCTAAAAACGACTCTGCAAGTTCTTATTTGACCAGAGATTATGTTTGAACGACCTCTGTGTTACTGTAACTAGTAAAAAATGAGGTGAGCCTTGACCCTTTCATATTTGGTTGCTGCCCCAAAGGGGGGGGAATGCAAGGGGCTGTTGGAGGGAGGGGGAAAGAAGCAACCAAATTCCCTTTTTCTTTCTATCTCTGCTCCCCCCTCCTATATATCAAAATGCCAGTTAATGAAATCCAAGGATGCTTTCCTTCAAGCCTGTTATCATAGCCCATCTCTAGGCTAAAATGCTGTTCAATTCTGATCACAGCTGTCGGGAAAAATTATGATTCTGACAGAACTTTGACCATGCCTCTAATACCTGATTATCCTTCTGGAGAAATAAAATATGGAGTGGGGTTTTTATGATCTTAATCTGTCATCTGTCCCAGCGGTTACGGAGACTGCATAAAGAGGCATGGCCAGGCCAGCTAATAGGAACCGTATCCTTGAATGTGCTTGAGGCAGAATTATCTTCCTCTCACTCGAAATCACTACCCTGCTTATCAAGGCTCTTCACCAACAGAGAAGCATAATCTCTTCACTATCTGGGTGACACTTTTCAGCTATAAACATCTCAATCTCCCACAGAGGCTTAATATGCTCCTTGTGAGGAGTTCAGGTAAAAGGATATACAACAGCTTCAGGGCGGCAGTGGTGGTGGGGAGATGAGAAGAGGCGCCTTTGCCTCTTAGGATGGGCCTGTGCAGCTTGCAACCTACCACATCACCTGTCATGTATTGTGGTTTGCAAGGTGCTTGATAACCCATTCAATTTTGCATTATTAGATGGGCAGAACCCCTGCCCCCACCAATTTTTTAGCCCTTGATGCTCATACTAGGCTTGAGAGCCAGTGTGGTGTAGTGGTTAAGAGCGGTAGACTCGTAATCTGGTGAACCGGGTTCGCGTCTCTGCTCCTCTACATGCAGCTGCTGGGTGATCTTGGGCTAGTCACACTTCTTTGAAGTCTCTCAGCCCCACTCACCTCACAGAGTGTTTGTTGTGGGGGACGAAGGGAAAGGAGAATGTTAGCCACTTTGAGACTCCTTCGGGTAGTGATAAAGCGGGATATCAAATCCAAACTCCTCCTCTTCTTCTTCTTGAAGGCTGTGTTAGGCTTTGCAGGTCACAAGTTACATAGTCATGTCTTACGATGTACATTTTGGAGGTCACAAGTTGCATAGTCATGTCTTACGATGCACATTTTGGAGAAAGATGGATGCCAACACAATATTTCATAGAATCATAGTTGGAAGGGAGTCATCTAGTCCAACCCTCTGAAATATAGGAATCTTATCTAAAGCATTCAAGACAGATGGCCATCCAACCTCTGCTTAAAAACTTACAATGAAACACCAAGTCTACCACTTCCTGAGGTAGTCCATTCCTCTGCCGAATTGCTCTTACTATCAAAAAGCTCTTCCTGGTGTTTAACTGGAATCTCCCTTCTTGTAACTTGAAACCATTGGTTTGAGTCCTACTCTCCAGATCATGAGAAAACAAGCTTGATTCATGTGACGGCCCTTCTTGAAGATGGCTATTATATATCTAATCCTCTTAGTCTCTTCTTATCCAGGCTAAATATCCACAGCTCCTTCAACTGTTCCTCATAAGGCTTGGTTTCCAGTCTGTTGGTTCCAGTCTTGGTTGCCCTCCTCTGCACACGTTCCAGCTTCTTAAATTGTGGTGCCCAGAATTGGACACAGTATTCCAGGTGTGATCTGAGGAAGGCAGAATAGAGTGGTACTATGACTTTCCTTGATCTGGACACTATACTTCTGTTGATGCAGCCTAGAATAGCATTAACTTTTTTTTTTTTTTGCTGCTGCATCGCACTGTTGACTCATGTTAAGCTTGTGGTCCTCCAAGACCCCCAGATTCTTTTCACATGTACTGCTAGTAAGCCAGGTGTCCTGCATCTTATATTTGTGCAGCTGGTTCTTCTTGCCTAAGTGCAGAACCTTGCATTTGTCCCTATTGAAATACATTTTGTTAGTTTGCGCCCAGTTTTCCAATCTGTTAAGGTCATATTGAATCTCAATTTGGGTTGTGTCATTTGTGTGTGGCCTTTTGAATTACTTTTATTCATTTGGTATTCTTAGACTAGAGACAGATGTGAGAGATTCCCATCCCTCCAACCGCCAAGAGGCTTGATGTTTCAGGTGATATTTTAGCCACTGAGCTACAATTTCTTACAAAATCTGGCTCCTATGTCTTTATTAGTGTTTTAATTAAATAAATTGGTTTCACTTACCCTCTCCTTGAACATCTGCTTAACTTGCCTTGACGTTTTGTTAGCTGGGACTCCCTTTAGCTTATGCCCCAAGAGCCTTTCCAGTTTTGGGAGATAGTTTCACAACTGGAGGGGGTGACTGCTGACAATGCCTGTCTGCCTTGCTTTGCCTTGCCTTGCCAAGGCTGATCATAGTGATCAGAATGAAATGGAGAAGGATGAAGTTTTTAAGGAGTCTATTGAACATTCAGCTTTATGAATTACACTGCAGAGATGCTAGCAGTGGTGCTGGTGGCTGGTGCTCATTGGGAACTGGTGGGGTGGAAGGCAGAAGTTCAGAGCCAACGGCAAGCAGAGGCAACCCCTGACTAATCATACTCAGTGAAAATCCACTGAAGTTAGTGGATATGATTAACTTAGGTTAATCCAGTGGGTCTACGCTGAGTAGAACTTAAGTTGAGTACAGCTCCAAGCTTTTGAGAGGACTTCAACATCCTGCTCTGTTGATCGTTCCATCAGGACAAGCATTTCAACTTGCCAGAAGGAATTATTCTTGCTCTCCTCCTTCCACACACTTCTGGGGGGTTCTCCCAACACTCCCCTGAACCAATTTTTTTTGGGGGGGTGTGTGTGCTAGCGGAGGAGAGGGGAAAGCCCTGTTGTGGAAGTGGAAGTCGTTGCACAGGCTTTCACTGATGGGGCTCACCCCTTTCCGCATTTGGTTGCAATTTTTGGTATTTTTTCTGTCCCTTTGCAACTGATGTGCCCATGCATTCCTTACAGGCGCAAATGGAAGCATGGGAAGCAGGTTAAGAACACCAAATTGTCTTTTGAATGTGGCCAAGAAAAAGTGCCTTCCTAACCCCCAACAGCTTTTTATCAAGTTGCATCTTATTTATTTATTTTTTAATGATATTTATTGGAAATTTTTTTTAAAAAAAAATTACACACACAAAAAAAGACAAGACAGAAAAATAAAAAAATAAAATAAAACCATCATTCTCAAATTCTCCACTTTCAATACCTTCTTTCTTTGACCTCCTCCTCCTCCCTTTTCTTGTATCCTGATTAATAATAATCACAGCAAATCCTTTCCATAATTCATAGTATTCTGTCATTACATTACCTTAATCTATTTTCATCTTATCTTATAAAAAAAACCCTTAAAGTTTAAAACTTAAATCTTATTTTTACCAACTTCTCCTAGCCATAACATTCTTACCAAATTCTTTAGACATTTTTACAAGAGCCAAGTAGTTTCATTTCAACATTTTTCTAGCATTCATCAATTTTATAGAACAATCCTAATGATTAAAAAAAAAGAAATAAACAATCCAATCTTCATCCAGCATCCCTTCCTCCTGGTCCCGGGTTTTGTCAGTCCTTTTTATCTTATTAGTCTAGCACATTAACCTGGTAATCTTATATCCGAAGCCCTCAAGTCTCTTCCATGTCCCTTCCGCAGCTCTTCTTCATATTTTCCTTTCATTCGTGGGAACTCCAGCTTTTTGACCCTTTTCAACAAATCAGCCCCTTTTCCATAGTCCAGACTAGACTCCATGTGGTATTTAAAAACCTGTTTCAGATTCCCTCCAAAATTGAGAGCCCCCACAGCTCCAAACATCTGACGGCCCATTGCCAGACTCGAAAAGTCCAAATCTCCCTGTATAGGGGGGTCTGTCCAACCCCCCATTTCCAAACCAAACCAAACTTTATCTTTCCAAGTCTGGTTTTTTCCAAGTTCATTTGTCAAATCCAAAAATTTATGTTCCTGCTGGGCCGCAGCTCCCTCTGTCTCTGGCGCCCAAGATTCAGCAGCATCCTCTTCTCTCAGCTGTTCTGTCATGGCACACTCCTGTTTTAGCTCCTGGGTGGGCTCCATATAATTTCCCACTACCTGTTCAAAGGTTCTGGCCGCATTAGTCATCAAATCCGTCTTCTGGCTTAACTGATCCAATAGGGCATTTATTTTGCAGAGAGCACCCAACAGTGCTTCTGAAGACATTGTCCTGCAAGGTCACAAATCCTTTCCCACGGTTGTAATCTGTGGCAGCTGCAAGCTCCCAGGGATTAGTTACAATTTCACAGTCCCCCTCTAGGGGGAAATCTTCTGATTGTTCTTTCTTTTAAAAACAATAGCAACAAATTTTCTTATTTAAGGTATTTTGTCCATATTTGTTCTTTTTAAAATGCGAAAGGAAACAATGGAATCAATATGTTTCTCTTCTTTTAACTATCTGTCAAAGACATTTGTTTCTGGTCAATGAGCTTCAAACGTCAATTCTGACACCCCGCTCCAGGATCAGGACGGTGGAAAATTACTTTGCTTTAAATTCACTTCTGCAGGTTTAAACAGCCCAAAAAAGATCCCCCTTCTTCTCCTGCTACCGAAGGGAGGTTCAGCGATTTTAAATGATGAAAACCAATCCTTTGAAAGTGATTTTTAAAGCTCTAGTTTATGTTGTCTTTGCTTTATTCTGGCTGCAAGGAAACGGAAGGCTGACTTCCTGTTTAGACCTTACCGTTTCAGTACCAAATTAAGGTAAATTTTTAAGTCCAAATTCCTTTCTATTTTGCCAGTTCTTATTTAAAGTCCAACTGTTCAATGTTCCAGTACTCACGGGTGGTTATTTTAGATGCCAAATTGTCCCAGGAAAAAGGCAGCGCTCTCCGGCAACAGCTATGCGGCTTCGCTCTGCAGAAAAAGCAATTGACTCACAGCACCGCGCCACTTCCCCCTCTTCGCTTCGGAGCCCGTTAGTGGGTTCCTTTGCGGGTTGGGGGGGCGCTAAGGGTGCCCGCCGAGTCCCACGGTCACAGGCTTCATCCGCCTGTGATTTCCAGAAGGGTCCCCACTTCACCGTAGCGGAAAAGACCCGTTTCATGCGGAGCTAGTCCCTCCAGTTCAGAGGGAGTCCGCTATTACTGATGGCGCCACCCCGGAAGTCATCAAGTTGCATCTTAAAGGGGCTTACCATTCATGCCACTATCAGTTTGCTGGTGTGCCCTCTGAACTCAACCAGAGCTAAAAGAATTTTTTTTGTTTTGCCATTTTAAAACCCGGAAATATTGCTCCTTGCTATAAGAGGATCTTAGGCTTATGTATGAACCCAGCTTCATAAACTACATTCTCAACGTTTTACTTAGCGTTGTTTTAGTAACAAGTCTTTATTTTAATACATGAAATCCAGCTGAAGACTTATTCATTAGGTGCACTTATGAAACTTTCAACTTATTACTAATCTTGTGTATATCTAAGATGGTGGAAAAGACATGATTAGCGATGCAGCTGATGAAAGAGTTTTGCTTAATCTCCTGACTCATAATGAAGGAAAGGACTGGAATCTTAAAAGGCAATTTTCCCATGCAAGGAGCATAATTAACCCAATATATGAATCGCGAGGAGAGTAGTTTGGCTAAATAAATGACCAGCGCCAATCAATTCCATTCTTTTTAATTGTGATGTCTTCATTTGGTAGGCATCAGGGAGGGCAATATCCCATTTAAATGTAAGTACAGTATCTCCATCTCTGTGGTGGGCAAAAGCCTTTATTTAAAAAAATGACACAAAGAATAAAAAAAATTAAAATAGAATTTGTTAAAAATGTGTATGTGGACACTGTGCTGGCCTAGATTGGGCTTTGGGCCTTAGCCTGATCGAGCTGGGCTTATTGACACCTCTTTTGCCCTCTAGGCTGGCATCCCTCAGAAGGCCAGGTTTGTCTGGGGAGGAGAAAGGCCTTCGAGCTGCTAACTCCTACTTTCCACCTTTCATGAAATTAAAGTTAACATGCTTTTGTAGCACATTTGCTGTTATGCTGCGTTCAGGCAGTGAATTCTAAAGTTCTTTTTAAAAATGAAAATGAAGCAATTTGAATGCTGTCTATCCCACTTAAACTGCATGTCATGAGCTGAATCTTGTGTTGTTGTGAAATATGAAACTGCCTGTGCCTTTTCCCCTTTGGTCATGGGCACACCCACTGGGTGAAACTGGCCTGTTGAAAGCTTCTTCCTGTACACTCCTATTCATTTATGCGCCTGATTCATCAACACTGTTGCTAGCTCAGCTGTTTGGAGCTTTTGTAACCTTGTCCTGCTTCTTCTGGCAGCCATCCCCAGCCTTTTGTTTGTCATCCTTTTTGGAGGTACATTGTTGCCAGTGCACAGAATTGGATGCCATCAGCCCTAGCAAGCATGAGCAATGGTTAGGGAGGATTGTAGTTGCATTTAAGCAACATCTGGAGGGCCACAGTTTCTCCAGGCCTGCTGTAGAGCTTTGAATGAGTTTCTAGGTCAATATTTTATGGGCTAAATGTATTAAGAATTGTTAATGGGTCCTGGGAAGAGAAAGCTGGATGTCAAATCAGTTTTCCTACTCCATTGTGGAGTGGGAAACTGATGCTATGTAAAGCAAAGGTAGCCATGTTGGTTCACAAGGAGCCGACCTCAAAGTCACAAAATAGGGACAAGCTTTCAGTCTATACAGAACTGTTTATCAGGCAGCATCACGTTGGATGTTGTTGCCATAAATTCATCCTGGAAACTTTTGTTCTAAGAGTGAGATTGCAGACACTTATTAAACTTCTCCAAATCAAATCATCTTTGTTATTTCACATTGATGTCTCAGTCCTAAGCATGTTTTCTCAAATGTAAATGATATGGATTTAAAAGCGGGGGTGAGGAACCTCCTGCCTGTGGGTCAAACTAGACTTCAAAGTATATTTAGAATTGCAGTCTAAATTGAGATTTAAAATTTGTAATTAACTGTTGTTTCTGGTGCTGAACGCACTGAAAAATATTATTTGCCCCCTTGGTGATAAGCTACCTCCAACAGAGTTGTGGATAGAGGGGATCCTGTGTTTGAGATCGCTAGGCCCGTCTGAAGAACAACAGTCCCCATTCAAAAGCCCCATTCCTTCACAAGTCGTTTGGTTTGAAAGCCTTGGCAGCAACACATGTTTGAATCTGTTTTAAATTTGGAAAGCAGATTGTACTGCTTTGAACATGGAAGATAAAATATATATTCTTCCCTCTCCCCATGCCAGTCTTGCTTTTAATGGAGATGTTGAAGGACTGCTGGCCTGGCATCTGGCTGGTGTGGATCTCAACCATCCTGGTTATGATGGGAGCACTCCATATGACGTGGTAAGTGTGTGATTACTGTAATATGTCAGATGGACGTCCTGTTCAATATGTATGTTAAATCAAACACCTCTTCGGTTCTAAGGCAAATCTCCAAAGTGCCCCGCATCAAATACAACTTAAGAGGTTTCTGAAATGGCTTTGCACAGGATTCAGTGGAGCTGCAGGAGCAGGAGACTCTGGAAGGCCTAGGTCAGCCTTCCCCAATCCAGTGTCCTCCAGGTGCTTTTGAATACAACACTCATGGCTCATGGCAGCTGCAGCCCAAAGTAAGAAGAAGAAGAAGAGTTTGGATCTGATATCCCGCCTTATCACTACCCTCAAAGGAGTCTCAAAGTGGCAAATATTCTCCTTTCCCTTCCTCCCCCACAACAAATACTCTGTGAGGTGAGTGGGGCTGAGAGACTTCAAAGAAGTGTGACTGGCCCAAGGTCACCCAGCAGCTGCATGTGGAGGAGCGGAGACACGAACCCGGTTCACCAGATTACGAGTCTACCGCTCTTAACCACTACACCACACTGACTCTCAGTCAGCAAAGCAACTGGAGAGCATCAGCCTAGAAAGCATGGGTCCAAGCAGTTTTCCCCCTTGCCTCGCTCTTTTCCAAGGGAGAACTCACTCTTTAGCAATGCATTGGAATAAATGGCAATTTGGTGAAAACCTGAATTGCCATTTGTTCCAAACAAGTGCTAAAGAGCATTTTCCCCCAGGGAAGAGCAGCAGGACAAGAGGAAGTGTTTATAAGCCCTTAGAGCAGTGCCTGGAATGAACTAGTTCAGATTAATTAATTCATTGAATTAGTTCAAAATCTTTGAGATACATCAGGAACTAGAGGAGGAGACTCATGAAGTCTTTTCCAGATCTTTCCCCTCCCCCTTCATCTCTGCTGTCAGGAACTTAATGGGGGAAGCAGGGATACTTGGAAAAGGCTTTGAGCAAACAGGAGCTCATGAGCTGTCTTAAAGGTTTTGCAAAAGCCTCTTTGAGGTAGCTCCCCTGAGCAAGCTTCTTCAAAGGGCGCTTTTGCACAGCCCTTTAATGGTGAGCAGATGAGTGAGGATAAAATCCTGCTTCCTTGGGAACAGGATTGCATAGCCAAGGCAGGATTAAACCCTGCCCTCCCACCCATCAGCTGATGTCAGCTGCTGTTGGTGGGTGAGTGTGGTCTGGGGGAAATGATATCATGTGCCAAATGGACTCCCTGGCAGGCCAAGATTGGCCTGCAGTCCAGAGGTTCTTCATCCCTGGTGTAAACAGAACCACAAGGGCATTCTCCAGTGCCTATGCTGATGTTTCGAAATGGCAGGGCCTCTAGGGAAATAACAGGGCCAGCAAGAAAGAAAGTGTGCAACTGGGTGATTGCTCAGGGTTTTTGTGCAAGTACCTGCTCAGCTTTTGTGCGCAGGGGAAAGGGCTCTGATTCTAATACTTCTAGATTGGTGCTAAATCACATAGACAGTAGGCTAGGGAGAAAGCTACTGTCTACTCATAGCTTTAATGGAATGAAAAATCTCAATTGAGTTTGTGTGGTACAGTATAGTTATTTATTTAGCTATCTGTTTTTTGAACTTCTAGTCTGCCAACTCAGCTGAAAGAACTCTCTAGTACACCATTTAAAAATTACATAGTATGCAATAAAATACACATAAAGTCTCTTAATGGATAAACAACCATAAAAGTTAATAGAAAGCAAGGAAAACAGCAGAAATTAAAACCACTTGATTTCTCGGCTCAAAAAGAAAGAGACCTGTTTCTAGTGATCCATCTTCTAAACCACTGATCTCTTTTTCAAGCCATCTTCAGCACTCTGGAAATCATCCAACCTATCACTGTAAACCTGATGAAAAGAAAAGAGTTCTATTATTTTCCTAAACTTTCCAGTTGGCCAATCCTGGTGAGTTTTTCTTGGGAGAGGAACATGCCACCCCTGAAAAGGCCCTGTTAGTAGATTCCAGTTTGACCTCAGGTGTTGAAGAGATCTGAAGCAGAGGCTTTTCATTGACGTGTGAAGCGTATAGACGGTGCATATGGGAGCAGCATGTTTAGGTGCCTCTGTGTGATTTGTGCATGTGTATGAGCACCTATGTGCAGATGGCATAGCAGCACTTACTACTATCGCAACCTTTTCTTGTAGGCAAGAGCTGCAAATCGTATGAAAGTCATGGAGTTTTTATGTCAGCTGGAGGCCTAATTTGGTAAGGCTTACGCTTTGAGAAACAACCACCACCAATGTTTTGCGGTGTGCATGTGGGTCATTCGCTCCATGAGGAATGTTTGGTTTGGGAAATGGACTGAGTTGGGACCACAGTCCTCTGGTTTGAGTTCATAGCAGCATATATCCATCTGTTTTATCATTACTTGGTGGGCTAAGGTGTCTTGCATGCTCACTAAGCAGATGGCTAAATACAGTCAACTTTGAAAGCACCAATTCGGGGGATCTCAGGATTTCGAAAATAGATCATTGCCATCAAAACTAACATCACTGCCCGTTTGGGAGGACAATCCTTGTGTGCACTAGTCTGTAAAGGCTGCATCACATGTACACCTAAGGTTGTGGTAAACACACACACACACACACACACACACACACACACCCCGATTATATAATCCCGATTATGTAAAGTGCAAATGGGACTGGTGGTTTGATTCAAGAGTATCATGCTGGTAAGCTTGCCATGGAGGCTGGATTGGCCAAGACTCCCTCTTGGAGACAAATGGGGTGTTCTGCTCTGGAGTATATGAAACCGCCCCAGGGTGGCTTTTCCTCAAGGAAGGCTGTGAAATCCTCCTCCTTGAAATTTCAGGCCATGTCTTAAGTTATTTGAAACATGGCTCCATACTGTGAAGCAAGTTTCTCCTTGCTTCATGGGCATGTTGAAATGATTTCTGCTACTTATCTCTGTATATTCAACAGTATGCAAACACCTATGGGCAATGATCCTGACTCGTTATGGTGCTTTATAAATGGATTACATCATTCTTTTGGCTGTCTGCTGAAGCAACAAAGTTGCCAGCTCAATTTTTGCACTGGATTTCTGTCATTCTGCAGCCCAACCTCCCCTCTCTACTCACCCACATGTTACAAGGGCAGATCGCTTGTGTTTCAAATTAATAGCTGCATTTTTAAAAGCTTAAAACAAGAAAGCCACGTTTTATGTATAAAATGTATCTTAAAGGAATACCAATATTCAGTTGAGCAGTATTAAACAGAAAGTTCAATCCCACAGAGGTTCATGTCTCCTGACCATTATCAATAATTTTTATGACTAGCCAGTGAGAAAGTAGAGAGTACACTTGTCAAATATGCATGTGATACAAAATTTGGAAGAACTGCAAATGCAATAGAGGATTTTATATACAGTTTGAGAAAATACTGATAGGGTAGAACTCTGGAGTGCAATGGGTAATTTTGGGTGGCTGTCATTGTAAAGAGGAAATGTCAACCACTTGCACTCAGACAGTTATCTACCTACCTACCTATTTATCTAATATATTTTCCTGATTTTCTTTAGATACTTGGAGCTTCCCTGAGGCAAGATGGGGAGGAAAGGCACACATCGCTGCAAGCAACACAGATAACAATTGAAGAATGCAAGCTTATGCTCACTGTTTTTAGTAAAGAGAGTCTATTTTCTTATTTTTTTTAAAAAAAGAAGAAACTAATGCTTAGCAAAGCACATTGCAATACTTCAGACTCGGTGCTCATACTAGCCTTTTGAATCAATTTGTGTTTTCAGGAAGGAACGTGTGGTGATGAAATGAACAGCTGTTCTCAAACCACAAATGAAATTGCCTTATAGCAAGTCAGGCCATGGATTCAGTGGTGGCACAGCTTTGCAGGGTACCAGGCAGAAATCTTGCCCAGACTTGCTATCAGATATTATTTTAACTTCAGTTGCTGACTATTGGACCTGAGACCTTCTGCAAGCAAAGCAAAGTGCTCTGTTGCAGAGCTACTGTGTCTCACTATAGCTCAGTGGCAGATGACTCAGGGCAGGAGCTTCTTCACAGAAATCTAGACACAGAAATCAAGTTTCACATTTCAGCGGGGGCTACCGTTTTTCAAAAGATGAGATAATCGGGAATTTCAGGGAGAAGTATCATTTTTAAAACCAATCTTCTAATGCAGTGTACTGCATTAGAAACCTGGTTTTAGCTTTCCTCTCAAATTAAGTGGGGGGGCATACACACATCAGATTGCTTGAGAGAATTGTGGGGCTTCCAGAAGGGGGAAAAAATATTTAAAATCTAGAGAAGGCAGCCCTCTCAAAATATAGTATTTCACAAGAAATGACAGGATATATATGGATTATGAAGAAGAAGGAGTTTGGATTTGATATCCCTCTTTATCACTACCCAAAGGAGTCTCAAAGCGGCTAACATTCTCCTTTCCCTTCCTCCCCCACAACAAACACTCTGTGAGGTGAGTAAGGCTGAGAGACTTCAGAGAAGTTTGACTAGCCCAAGGTCACCCAGCAGCTGCATGTGGAGGAGCGGGGAAGTGAACCCGGTTCACCATATTACGAGTCTACCGCTCTTAACCACTACACCTCTAATGCCATGTGTATACTGCCTCTGAAACCAGTGATGGGAGTGTACAGGTTGCAGAGTAGGCAGGAGTGTAATGCACAGCCCCAGAACGTGCTCAGTCACAACAGGATATTGAGTGTTGGTTGGAGGAGAAAAACAGAAAACCTGGGAGTATGGCCAGCTGGCCCCTAAACCTGAGGACTCCTGTTTGGAGATGAGAATACACTCCACCTGGGATGGGTAGCCTGTGGCTCTCCAGATGTTGCAGGGAAACAACTCCCACCATCCCTGACTCTTGGCCATTCTGGCTGGAGCTGATGGAATGCCTTCCCATCAGATGTCACGGAGATAAGTAACTATACAAACTTTAGAAGAAATATGAAGGCAGCCCTGTATAGGGGAGTTTTTTAGTGTTTGATTATGTTTGTATATATGTTGAAAGCTGCCCAGAGTAGCTGGGGTAACCCAGTTGGATGGGCAGGGTACTAAAAATAAAAATTATAATTATAATTATTATGGGGTTTGAAGTACAGGAACATTTGGAGAGTCACAGGTCCCCTTCCCCATGCTACAACATTTTGTTGAAGGTCATCACTTGGAGGGTCCCGCTTGCGGTGGTGGTAAAATCTTGGTAATTTGCAAGGAAGTCAAAATAATGCCAAAATTTGTAAGCATCTTTCTGTGGGCTCTTGCCTAAAGAGAAATCTGAGAAATAGTTGAAGGAGGTGGCAGTGTGGGCTAAACCACAGAGCCTAGGATTTGCCGATCAGAAGGTCGGCGGTTTGAATCCCCGTGACGGGGTGAGCTCCCATTGCTCGGTCCCAGCTCCTGCCAACCTAGCAGTTTGAAAGCACGTCAAAGTGCAAGTAGATAAATAGGTACCGCTCCGGCGGGAAGGTAAACGGCGTTTCCGTGCGCTGCTCTGGTTCGACAGAAGCGGCTTAGTCATGCTGGCCACATGACCCGGAAGCTGTATGCCGGCTCCCTCGGCCAGTAAAGCAAGGAGTGCCGCAACCCCAGAGTCGGCCATGACTGGACCTAATGGTCAGCGGTCCCTTTACCTTTACCTTTCAGGGAAGAAAATACATGTAGGTATTTTGAGAACAGCGTAATCGCTTTTGATAAGATTTGTGATACTTTTCAGGGTGACTTTGTGCATCTTTGTTTCTGCTGCCAGCACATTAGACCTCCCCCACCACTGTGTAATAGTGGGAGTTACTGTGGAAATGATCGTGATCTCTTTGCTGTGCCTTTCAATAAAATCTCTGAAAAATATTAGCTCAGCACTAAGTGGTTGCTTTTTTTTTAGTGGGGCAGTGAGGAGGAGGAGGATTTTTTGATCTGGTCAGTTAACAAGAATGGCAGCCATCAATGGTATTCTGCTGGTGAACAATACCATCACCCCAGGCGCTTGCTTATTACACTTAAGACAAGTCCTGATTGAATGGACTTCATCTAGCCCAGTATCCTGTTTCCAACAGTGATCAGGAAGACCAGGAGCCCACAATCAAGTCCAAGAAAAGGAAAACACAAAATTATATAATAAAATACTCATAAAAGCATAACCTAGAATATCCACACACACACACACCCCAGCTTACGTAAGAATCCACACCAGAAGCAGCGACTAAAAACTTGGCTGGATTATTAACATTTCCCAAATGCCTGGGAAAATAAAAATGTTTTGGTCTGTCCCTCAAAAAATGACAAGAGTTGGTGCCAAGTGAATTTCCCTGATAACTGGGAGCCTACTGCATTACTGTCAATTGTTACCCCACATTTCTCTCCCCCCCCCCGCCATCACTTTCCTAACCGCAAAAGGTCCATTTTTAAAAATGGATTTGTTGTGTGAGAACTCTTTAATTGAACAAACTTTAATTTCTGGTATGCCGTTGAATCCCTCTTGCAAAACAGTGAGAGTCGGGAGGTGACCTGTCTCTGGAGTCAGTGCGTGCTCAGTCCTTTTGTCAGAACTCTTGAGCATCTTGGATATAAACGGCAACTTCACTATCATCTTGAGGGTTTAGAAATTGCCCCGTGTTAAGAGCAGAGTCCCCAGATGTCTGAAGTGCCTTAATTGTGGGGTATACAAAAACATTGATTTAAGCCAGTTCACCAATGCAGATAATTCCTCTAAGCACTCATATTTCTAACTTTCTACATACAGAGTTGTTATACTTAACAAGCATCAACTTGGACCTAAGCAGTAGGGAGGGAGGCATGCCAAAGCCACAAATCCTTTTGCTTAAAAAGATTGGCTGGCCTGTGTTAACATTGCCATAGTTATTATGTGATATAAAGAAGAAAATCACCGCAACAGATGCTCTCGAAGTGTTTTGTATTTCCTCCTTTTCCTCTTTGCAATTTAATCTTGAATGTATGCAAAGAGAGGCTAAAACCTTGCTGAGAATGTTGCTTCCATCTGTCTCCTCCACTCTCCTCCTAGACTGAAATGATGATCCAAGAGCTTTGGGTGACTGAAACTATTAACTAGAGTCTAACAGCAATCTGGATTCGCCATGTGCTTCCCTTCAAGCCCTTTGGCAACACAGCCACAGGTGAGAATTACATAACCGGTTTTATCCTAAATTCTGCTTATGCACAGGCTTGGCTCATCCCCTGGGCTGTTTGGGGTTGCACTGTGGAAAAACACGTTTGGAACATGTAGTTTGACCTCCAAACCACACATGGCTGATCCAGCCCAGGATATGAGCTGACGGACAGCTATAGGAGCAACTTCGCCCCAAGCCTGATCGGTCACATGTTCAACATCCATTAAGGTAGTTAGCCCTGGCGCAAAGAGAGTAAATTAAAGGCAAGCAGGTTAACCGTGGTTTACGCAGTGGATTAAGCTAATGAGACCCTAAAATAATGATAGAAATAAACATCAAAAGGAAGCCAACTCGGAAAGTGTCTTCCAGGACCCAATTTAAGCTGGCTGTGATGGTGACACTTATAAATGAAAATGACAACGTAAACAGAATGTATGTGTGCTGCCTTAATTATGGGGTGTGTGTTCAGGTTCCTAAACTGTCCACATGCTTGCCTTCATCATCTCCGACATTTTGTTTCTCAACACATTGCTCCTTGTGCAGGCGAGTGACTGCAGACAATGCCTGCATGAGATAGCTCAGGTGGTAGAGCATGAGACTCTTAATCTCAAGGTTGTGGGTTCGAGCTCCACGTTGGGTGAAAGATTCCTGCATTGCAGGGGGTTGGACTAGATGATCCTCGGGGTGCCCTCCAGTTCTGTGATTCTATGAATGTCCCATGCCGTTGTTGGACATGCCTGGGTTATCAGCAGATGTGCACCTGTGCTGACCCCAACATCCCATACACTCCAGGCTTGCAATGCATTCGGGTTGTTATGTTTTCTGCTTTTTATATAAGATCTCACTACAAGCTGAGTTAATGGTAAATCAAACTCGAGATCTGTATAGTGAAAAAATCAAACTGCCTAAACAGACTTCCGAAATCATCTGCTTCAGTCGGTGGAGCTTGCCTTTTGAGAGCAATCAGGTACCTTCATTGTACTTGTTTTTGGCACCTGCTAAAATCATTCCTGTTTAGACAAGCCTACCCAGATGCTTAGAAATTTGAGGTGACTTTATTCTGTTTTCGTATTTTGTAGTCAGGTTGTGAATTTTTCTTGGTTTTACCTTTTGTAAACTGCTTTAAAGTTTGATGGGGTTTTGTTTGTTTGTTTGTTTTTTTTACAACCAAGTAGCAATGTTATGGAACAGATAAAACCAAGCACCGAATCTGGAGGCTGCAGGATTTGGTGCCCTCCCTGCTGAATTGCAAGAAATCACTACTAAATTGCGCAAACCTGGCTAGGTCTGGAATTGCACGTATAAGCGGGAGCTGTATGTATCATTAAGAGCAAAAGACAAACCTGCTGGATTAGGCCAGTGGCCAATCTAGTCAGGCATCCTGTTCACACAGTGGCCAACCAGATGCCAGCAGAAAACCCACAAGCAGGTCCTGAGAGCAAAAGCACTCTCTCTCACTCCAGTTTCCAGCAACTGGCATTCAGAAGCATGAGCATGAAATTTATTACGGTCAGAGACCAGCTTGAGAAACACAAATGGAACTACAATCCCAATAGCAAAACAAACATTTAAAACAATATACAACAATGGATTTTAAGTTTAAAAGTGCAATAGGCATTGTTGTTGTTTAGTCGTTTAGTCGTGTCCGACTCTTCGTGACCCCATGGACCAGACCACGCCAGGCACTCCTGTCTTCCACTGTCTCCCGCAGTTTGGTCAGACTCATGCTGGTAGCTTCAAGAACACTGTCCAACCATCTTGTCCTCTGTCGTTCCCTTCTCCTTGTGCCCTCCATCTTTCCCAACATCAGGGCCTTTTCCAGGGGGTCTTCTCTTCTCATGAGGTGGCCAAAGTATTGGAGCCTCAGCTTCACGATCTGAAGAAGAAGAAGAGTTTGGATTTGATATCCCACCTTTCACTCCCCTTCAGGAGTCTCAAAGCGGCTAACATTCTCCTTTCCCTTCCTCCCCCACAACAAACACTCTGTGAGGTGAGTGGGGCTGAGAGACTTCAAAGAAGTGTGACTGGCCCAAGGTCACCCAGCAGCTGCATGTGGAGGAGCAGAGATGCGAACCCGGTTCCCCAGATTACGAGACTACCGCTCTTAACCACTACACCACACTGGCTCTCACATCTGTCCTTCCAGTGAGCACTCAGGGCTGATTTCCTTCAGAATGGATAGGTTTGATCTTCTTGCAGTCCATGGGACTCTCAAGAGTCTCCTCCAGCACCATAATTCAAAAGCATCAATTCTTCAGCAATCAGCCTTCTTTATGGTCCAGCTCTCGCATATAAACACATAAAAACTTTAAAATAGACTACCTCAGAGAAATGACCCAAAGTCGCCCGTGGATCCGGGTTTGGGAATTTTCTTAACAAACTAGATTGAATTGGGGGGTGGTCTGCGCCTACAGATCTGTGCGCAGAATCCGGCGACAATCTGGGTCGTCTTGTGGTCTTTGCCTAATGGAAGATCGAATTTTTGCTTTACTGGGAGGTCAGCAAGCCTCTCCAGCAGGGGGTCAAGGGGTTCTCTACATGCCTGATTGTAAAAGGGACATCTAAAAAATATGTGTTCAGGGCTTCCTCTATCCCCCAATGGACAGGTGCAAATTCTCTGGTCATATGGGACTTTTTTTAAAGGATCCTTTCAAGACAGGCGAGGGCAGAGCCAAACATTCAGAAGCAATTATTGCCTCCAACGGTGGCAGTGGAACATGGGCATTAACAGCCATAGCCCAATCTAACAGGAGGGATGCGCATATGTTTCTAAAAAGCTTGGATTTAGCTGGTTGGCTATTCAAAGAGGTAAAGTAGGGTGACCACTGGATTTGGTTCACCTGCTTTCCCCTCCAAACAACAGGATCAGCAGGGTTGTTTTCGGAGGCAGTTGGATCACAGCCAATGTGTTTCAAAAGAGGGACAACTGGATTCAGGGCTGCTAACCAGTTTGTTCCACAAGGGTTATATACAATTTTGCTGGCCGGGTTCCAAACACAGGCCTTCAGCAGGGCATCTCCAAAACTAGAGAGAGAAGGGGAAAGTCTGGAGGTTGTGATGCCCTTAAGGAGACAGTGCAGAGTTAATTCGCTGTGCCTGAATACGATGCAGGAAGCAGTTCTCACTGTGCCTTCTTGAAGTTTCACAACAACTATAGAATGTTACCAACCTAGATCAGACATCCACCCCCCCCCACATTTTTTAAAAATCAAAGGGACTTGGTATGTAGGTTCATTTAATTGCTTATAACAATAGCCAGTGCATACAATAAGTGAGCTGGCCAAAAACAGAAGTGCTTCTGGGGAATTATCATATGTGCCCTAGAATAAGAGAATTGGGGATGGGAACTGCTGTTTCTCCTGACGTGGCACCTGTGATTCCAGGACAAGCTGTTATAGTCAAAGAGCTTCTTCCCAGGCTGGTTGCTGAAGATCTTTCAAGGCATATTTATGAGCCGAATACCAACTTGAGTATGTTGTTTTAAAAGGCATTATTGATTCCAAGAAGATGAGTAAGCCTGTTCAAGCCACGGAACTTGAGCGACTCTGATGATGCTACATGATGCATTGCCCGCCCGTGGCTTGGCACAGCTTCTGCCAATGATAATGTGTGGTAAATGAAGAGTCTTCTGCTGCAACCAATGGGCAAAGCCCGTGGACATGGTGTGATAATTCTGCAAAACACGTCTTGCAAAATGCACCATCCGTCCTACGCAGAAAATTCTGGGGTGAGT